CCGACTTAATTAAACTCCTACGGGAGATTTACGGTAATAAAAATAACTAGAGTAATATAAAGGAATATTAACTTAGTACTCTAAATAATTACGATTCGGGGAAGGGTCCGATCGAGCTAGGATCCGATATAGCCTAGGCCCTTCGACTATCTATTAATTAACCCCGAACTATAAACTAATAGCTATAGGAATAAACGAAAGTAACCCTAGCTAACTCTTTCGTATACCTCGCCCGTTACGACTACCTTACTAACGAAAATATCCGCGCCTTCTATATTATAACTAGCTACGACCTTAAAAGCCGAAAGACGGCCTTCGAAATAAACCCGTACTAAACGATAAGCTACCGATCGGTAGGATCGTTTAACTTCCTAACCCGCTAATACCTCTTCGATAACCTTACCTTTATTTTAATCTTTACGATTTATACGGATTTAATAAACCCCGAACGAACTATTACCGATCCCTTAAAGTTCTCCTAAGCCTACTTCGCCGTAATATTATACCTCTTTAAACCCCGGAAATTATTTAGCTTTAATATAATTAAAGACGGCGCCCTCGATCGGGCGGCGTACGCGCTCGGTTAGCTACGGCGAGCATAGGAAAACGGTAATCTCGAGCTTAATATAACCCTTTAGTTTACTTATTACGTCGCGCTAATAAACTAATAAAATAGCTTTAGCTACGGGTTTTAAAGCGGTATTTTATCGTATTTTATCTTTAAACGACCGATCGAGGTCGCCCGTTAAGCCTAAGAAAATAAGGGGCTCGATTCCCTTAATATTATAAAAAAATACGCCGAAGTAGTGGAATAGTTTTATAACGTTCGAGTTTTAAAGGGAGGGGTAGGTATCGTTAAGCGTCTTCGGTAAGCCGTAAATTATTAAAAGCGAATTAACCTTATTAACGTTATAATATCCGCTTAAAGTACGCCGATCGGCGAGCCCCTTAGCCGTAAATCCTCCGTTCGGTTTATCGCATAAGCCGAAGTTCGTCGTTCCTTTATAACCTTAGTACCTAATTCCCCTTACTTCCTTATATTAACAGACGTAAACCTTTATTATAATAACCTCGTTAAGGTTATAACCCGTTCCTTTCCTTCCTCCGGACTAAAAAGGATTAAGGCTTTTTAATCGGGGGAAACCTCTATACCGTATAAGTAAAGGAAAGATACCTAATTAACCCTTAAAACGCGCTCGCTCCCTTATTATCTCCTTAACTAAGAAGGCTAAAACGAAACTAAGAAGAAGGTAGCCGAAATAAAGAAGGAAAACGCCGATCGGGTTAGATCGGCGAAGATAAACCGGGCTAAGTTAGCCGTAAAGTAATAAAGGGACCTCCTTATAATATTAAACGAGAAGCTAAAGGTACGACGGTAGTAATTAAATAATAGCCGGTAGAATAAAGTTTCGCGGTAGTTTTTTAAGGAGAGATATTAATCGGGATATACCGTACTACCCTTTTTAATTTAATTATTCCTTACGGTATAATTAAACTAAGAAGGCTATAGTAATACGGTAAAATATACCCTCTTAATATATTACGTAATACGTTACGATAAGCCTTATACCTATATAAAGTAACCATAGTATCCGTAAGTACGGGACATACTATACTTATTATCTAAATTATTACCTAACTAGATTATTATCTTTACTATTTTTATCTTAATTAAAGATTTATTTTTATTATTAGATTCGTCGTTCTCCGATTAATATATCTATTTTAGTTATAAGCGCTTAAGTTACTTCGTCGTACCGTTATAGCCGAATAAGTAACTTTTACGTTTTACCTCTTTTCTTCCCTTACCTCTTATGCCTTCGGGCTAGCGACTACTATATCTCTACGACCAAGGGATATAACTAAGATACGATAACTACATTAGATTCCTTACCTCTCGATTAATATAGCGACACTAGTTTCATCTATCTTAGACCATCGTACGTACTATAGTCTTCGATAGAATGTACTTTCGAGCGAACCTATCCGGGTCTCCAGTATCGCGTACGCTCTACTCCTCCTTACTAACGCTATAAATTAAGTTTATAAAGTAATAAGCTATCGATAGTATACGTTTATCGACTTACTTAACGGCTTTTAATATATTCGTATCGCCGATAAGTATTACGAGAAAATAGCTTTCGTAATATCTTTCGGTATTTACGAATAAATTATAATACTTATAGGGTTAATTAACGCTTTAGTTATCTTTTAAGCCTTTATAAAAGAGATTTTCGAGCTACTTTAAAAGTTCGTAGCTAGCCTCTTAAACGACGTAGTTATTTAAGGCGATACCTTAGAATAACTCGACGAAAGAGTAAGATTATTATTCGCCCGGCTCGCCTTATACGGTATAATAATGAACTCTAGAAAATTATAGTTATTCGTTAGGAAAGGCGTATTTCTAGGCTTCCTTATCTCTAAGGATAATATTTAAGTTAATTTAGCGAAGGTCGCTACTATTAAAGATCGACCCTAGCTAATAACGACTACGGAAATTAAAGCTTTTATTTACGTAATAAGCTACCTTCGGTACCTTATTAAGAACTTCGCTAGGTATTCCTTATTCCTTACGGACGTAATAAAAGGACCTAAAAACGCTCCCGTAAAGCTAAACGACGAGGCTATGGTAGTATAGAAGTTAATCTACGATAAGATTATAACGGCGCCCGTAATAAAAGATTACGATTAGAAGCGCTTATTTATTATCGATATTAATTCTAGTTAAAAGGATATCGGCGCGGTATTATAATAACCTTATTTCTACGGCGATTAATAAGTACTTTATTTAATAGCGTACTTTTCGCGGAAGCTTACGGAAACGTAGTTTCGCTACTTCGCTTAAGAATAAGAACTTTTATATATCCTACTAGCGTTTTAATACTAGCGTTATTAAGTAAAAGAAAGAAACGTTACGATAATTACGGATTATAAGTTATTAAAGATTATTAATACTAAAGCTAAATAACTTACCCGAATCATACGTTTTCTAGATATTATTAAGCATTATAGCGTTAAGATCGTTTATAAAGTTAGAAAAGCTAACGTTTTAACCGATTATTTATTAAAGCTACTTAATAACTCGGAGATATTAATAAACGGAATATTACCGTTTACGGAAGAGGTAATACTCGGAAAAGTTATTAAGTATTCTTACGAACTTATGCGTTTCGATATTTAAGCGATTTATAAATACCTTTAGCTTCGGTAGCCGCCGCCGAGCGCTTTTAACGAGGATTAGATTAAGAAATACTTCGTAATATATTAAGGGAAACTACATAAGGTTAATTAATATATTAAAGCTTAAGGAGAGCCGCTATACGCTACCGGAATAACTAACGAAGCGATAGGTCTTTAAAGCGTTATCGAATACGATAAATTATTAATAAAGTTACGAGGCGTATATTACGATTAAAGGCATACTATAATAAAAGTTATCCTTAGGAAGACTTTAAGGCTATATTAGCATTTCGAGATTACGCTCGCGGTATAGTAAATTATTATGAAATACCCGACCTATTAACTTATAAAAAAACTAAATTTAACGTTACCGGACCTATAAATTATCCTACCGCTTACGCCGCTTACGAAATAAGCGATTAATTATACGTTTATTAGTTAATCGACGTTACTTATTACCGTCGAATACGCTACCGGATAAGTCGAAAGCGAAGTCGTATCGTTAATCGCGTTTAAAAACTATATCCCGCTATTAATTCGTATCGGCGAAACCTTCGGATATCCTCGCGAATAAATAAGTAATAATAGCGTAGCGTTTACGAACGACGAAGCTATTTAATAATATCGTTAATATAATTCCGTCGTAAAACTTATTATACCGTTACGCCTTAGAGGTAACGGTAAGGTCGAAAAGGTTAACGGTAACGTTAAACGCATAATACTACGAAAATATTAAGCGAACCTAATAATACGAAGCCTATTTAATTTCTTACGTCGAGCCCTTACGATATATAATAAAACGCTAAAGCTAAGCGGCTATAGTAGTTTCTTCCTTATGTTCGGTACGTAGCTTCTATAAGAGTAATAATAAGTAGAATTCGCCGAATACGTTCGCGAAGCGACGAAGGAAGAGGAGCTATAGTTCGTATAATAACTAGCGAAGTAATACGAAGCGCCGATAGCTCGAAGTTATTATAATAACCTAAAGGTATCGCGAGATTAAATACGAGCCTACTTATAGGAAAAGAAAGAACTCATTAGGACTTACGCTCCGGGAAATTAGGTATTAAGAATTCGCTAAAGGTTAGGTAAATACGAGCCTTATTACGACGGCCCGTAAGCGATTATAAGCTACTACGTCGGTAATACGTATAGGATAAGGAGTCCCGGAGGTATCGAAATACCGAATAAATATAACGGGACTAACCTATTTCCGGCGTACGTTAACGATAAATATCCCGTACGTAGTTTATAGTATACTAATAAACGCCTACTAAAATAAGATCGTTAGCGGTTAAAAGATTAGCTTAGGATTACGTAAAAATAATATTAATAAGGCTTAATACTAAAAATTATCGTAAAACGCGCCCGTTAAGGACTAAGGACGATCCTTTCGTAAGAAGAGGAATAGTATAATACCTAAGGAATTAGGCATTAAAAAAGGAGCCCTATAATTAATAGAATTAAAGAAAAACACGTAATAGCTAACTATTCGTAAAACGCTATATTTAAGTCCTTTTAGTAGTTTAGTTTTTATACCTTTAATTAATTAACTAGGTTTACCTTTTAACTCGTCTTACGTACCTTAAGATTAAGGTAGCGAGGCTACGAAAGGAACCGCTACTAAAACGTATATACGTATAGGTATATAGGGACCTATGTATATATGTAAATATCGGTGGGCCTTGTCTGCCGAAAACGGCAAGCCCCCCCACGTACCTACTGTTTAATTATAGGCCCAGGTTATGTGCTTAATATATCTACCTAGGTACTTACCAAGGCATAGGTAGGTACATTATCGATAACGTATTTCCGCCCACCAAACCCTGGATGGGGGGTTTTTTTTTTCAACCCAGAATCATTTCAACTCCACCAGAAAACCAACAGTGATCACCGCCCATCGCCGAGATCTAGGCATTCATAAAGACGAAAGAGGTTGTAGCACCAGCTTGGCCTCCATTAGATCCGACCCTCATGCTCGTTGCGTTTAGGTTCAGCGTCAATCCGATCGAAACCACATAACACAAGCCGTGAAGAAGGGATATCTTACATGAACCATGTCTGCCCCGACATCCCTCCGCAAATCCGCCGGCCCCGTTGCCTCCTCCTCTGATGTCCCGGTCGCCGAGGTCGCCGAGGTCGCCCGAGAGGAGGAATTTGCGCTGGAAGGCATGAATGAACTCCCGGAGGGGGCGAATGCGCTCCAGCCGGCGAGCGCAGCGGGAGAGCACGGGATGGAGATTGACGAGGAGAACAAGCCGCATTTTGCACCCGTACAGAATACCGTACGTCGGAGCCTCTGCCCCCATTCGTATCTTCCAAGCTAACTGGCCCTTCCCGCGCACAGGATCCGGCGATGCACATTCAAACGCGCAAGATTCCCATCCCGCCCCACAGATTCGCGCCCCTGAAGAGCGCGTGGCCCAAGATCTACCCGCCGCTGGTTGAACACCTCAAGTTGCAAGTGCGCATGAACGTCAAGCAGCGCCGCGTGGAGCTCCGCACGTCGAAACACACGACGGACAGCGGCGCCATCCAGAAGGGAGAGGACTTCGTGCGCGCCTTCTCTCTCGGCTTCGACGTCGACGATGCCATCGCCCTGCTCCGCCTCGACGACCTTTACATAGAGACCTTCGAGGTCAAGGACGTCAAGACTCTGACCGGCGACCACCTCGCCCGCGCCATCGGCCGTATCGCCGGAAAGGACGGCAAGACCAAGTTCGCTATCGAGAACGCCTCGCGCACTCGGGTCGTGCTAGCTGATTCTAAGATCCACATTCTCGGAGGTGAGTTTGGCGTCTCGCCTGCCGCGCTATCGCTATCGAGAGCGATATCGGTGTCGCTAACTAGCGGACCGCAGGGTTCAAAAACATTCACATAGCGCGCGAATCCATCGTGAGCCTGATATTGGGGAAGCCTCCCGGTAAGGTATACAACAACCTGCGGACGGTGGCTACGAGGATGAAGGAGAGGTTTTAGCCCAGCCCTGGCCAATGCTACGTTACGTCTTCTGGAAAAGGAACTACGGCGCTTAGGAGTTGAAACGGGGAGTTTTGTTTTCTTTTTTTCCACAGAGATATCGTAAGTTCTAAGGCGTACAAGCGGCCAAGCGGCGTCATTGTAGGCCGCTAATAAACTAGCCTTTGTCACGTTAGAGCATCTGACGAGCATCATAGCATTCGGCGCATTGAAGGCAGGTATTAGTTGCGTAGTTGGGTATTGCTGTTAGGCATCTGGTAATAGGCAGCCGTCAAGCTCGTGGCCTGCATTGACTTGCCCAGCGTCTTGTCGTGTTGGTAGCAGATGCCTGCTTGGTTCGGGTCCCAGCCTGCTCCGTTGTCAGGAGGAGTTCCCGGCTCCCCTCCCCTCCCCCCACTATAAACCAATCCGTCGTCGTCCTCCTTCTCTTCTTCCAACTCAATCCTGCAAACTCCAACCACACGACAACGGCTACCCACAACCCTAGGCCGGTTACCGACGCGCACGCATGTCGAATTCCCTCTGCCCTTCTTCCCAAGCATTCGCCGGATGAACGGCCCAACGTGCCGCCGGCTGCCTTCGCTGCTAGCCAGCCGCGCTGGCGGCCGCCACGTGACGGCGACGACAGGGGGAGGTTGCCGAGCGCAGCACTCGCGCGCGCGCTGGCGGGTGCCGCGTCTCTCCTCCCTGCCGCCGCTGCCGCCGCTGCCGCCGCGCCTCGCCGAGTCGGGCGCCGCTGGGACCCTCCAGGTGCGAGGCAAGAAGACCAAGTCGACGGTGAGCCTCGACGACCTCCCTCGGGAGTACGCGGGGACTCCCAAGGTACGACGCAAGAAGACCAAGTCGACGGTGAGCCCCGACGACGTCCCTCCGGAGTACGCGGGGACCCCCAAGGTACGACGCAAGAAGACCAAGTCGACGACGGTGAGCCTCGACGACCTCCCTCAGGAGTACGCGGGGCCCCTCCCCCCGGAGCCGGGCAAGGGGCCGGACGGGGCCGACGAGCCCCCGTACCCCACCGTCGTCCTCCAGGCCTACCGGAACATGCGCAAGTTCGAGAATTGCGTGCTGCTCACCCGCGTCGGCGGCTTCTACGAGCTCTACCTCGCCCAGGCCGAGGAGTACGCGCCGTTGCTGAACCTCAAGGTCGCGCAGAAGAAGACCAATGCCGGCCCAATACCTATGGTGCGTCCGTGGCTCCACCCACCCAGCCTCGTTGTGGCGATTCTGGACGCCGTATATACATATACATACATACATACAGATATAGCTATTGCGTTTCTCGGTGGATATTCGTTCTGACGTTTAGGCAGGCTGGCTTCCCTTTCTTTCAGCTGGACCGGTTTCTCAAGGCCCTAGTCCTCGACTTGAACTGCTACGTTGCCATAGCTGAGGAGTTCCCCAACGACCCGGGCGACAAGGTCAAGTCGGGCGGCTTGATGCACGACCGCAAGGTCACCCGCGTCATCACGCCGGGGACGCTCATCGACGAAAACTTCATGGATCCATATGCCAACAACTACATTATGGCAATCCACGTGCACCTTTCGCATGAAGGAGATGACGCCTCGGACTCGGCAAAATCCGATGGGGCCACCGTCAACGACAATGTTAGCATCGAGTCGGGTCCTCTCGCGGCGTTACAAGTCAGCGATACCCCTATCGGCTTAGCGTGGGTAGACATCTCGACGGGGCAATTCTACACAGAATCGACGACCGTCACGTCGTTGAGCTCTATCCTCTCTCGCGTTGGTCCGAAAGAGGTGGTCGTCGACGAGGTCCTCGAGTCGCACAGAGACCACCAATTATTTTCTGTCCTCGCTGAGGATAAGCACCTCATTACATTCGCGCCTCAAGGCGAACACCTACCGCTATCGGAATGGAGTCTGATGTTAGAGTCGGAAATCCCGGCCCAGATCGCCCAGACCTTCACTGCGAACGAGGTGTATGCCGGGAGTCTGCTGCTCCAGTACGTTAGGGGCCGTCTACAGAATATGAGTATGAAACTGCAGCCGCCGCTGCGATACGACAACATGTCGGTCATGATGATTGATAAGAGCACTATGCGGTCGCTCGAGATTAAACAAACCATCCGCGACGGTACATTTCGAGGTAGCCTTCTGCACGCCATCCGGGAGACGGTTACTAAAGGTGGCGCCCGGCTGCTGAATACTTGGCTCTGCGCGCCCTCGACGTCGTTGGAAACCATTGTCGCCCGCCAGGATCTGGTAGAGTACTTTGTCCAGCACCCGGATCTTCGCGATGAGATTGTGATACTACTGAGACGGAGCCACGACTCGCAGCGCCTGGTGCAGAAGTTTGCGATCGGTCGCGGAGACGAGGACGATCTCATTGCTCTCGCCAACACTATCCAAGCCACAAAAGATATCGTCACGCTCTTGGAAAACTCGCAGGGACAGGCCCGCCCGCCACCAAAAGGGGAGCACAACGCGCAGGGCGAGGGCGGGACCTCGTGCTTCGCGTCGCTCCTCTCGCGCATCAAGCTCGAGGACCCGATCAGCTTAGCCGACCGCATTAGAACCTCCATTGACGAAGAGGGCCTAGTTCAGCAGCAGCGCAAGGAGGACGACAAAGCAAACCAGCTCCTGAAGCTCGCCGGCAACATAGTTGCCGCCGAAGGCACTCAGGAGGACGCGTCCGCATTGCCTAAAGGGACGGGCGCGGCTACTACCGCTGCGAAAAGAAAAAAGCCTGCTTCGCTCAGGGATTACCTTTTTCCCGCTGCCGACGAGAGCGTGACGTTCGTCATGCAGCCCAAGGCTAACCGAACTCTCCACAAACTCCACAACAAACTATCCTCCCTCTTAGACGAAAAGTCCGCTCTCGCCGACACCCTTCGCGAGCGTTTCGGCGCCGCCAGCCTCACCCTGCGGTGGGCGCCCAACGTGGGCCACATCTGTCACATCAAAGGGGTCAAGGACGTGCGCAAAATCACAGCCGACCTCGCCAGAGACCAATCGTCGTCGAGTCCAACCCTAGTCGGCTCGAGCCGTAGCACCCGAGCCTTCCACGTCCCCGAGTGGACCGAGCTCGGCCAGCGCATCCACCAGACCCGCTTCGAGATCCAGGCCGAGGAGCAGCGCATCTTCGCCGAGCTGCGCGCGCTCGTCGTCTCCAACCTCGTCAAGCTCCGCCACAACGCCGCCGTCCTCGACGAGCTCGACGTCCTGGCCGCCTCCTTCGCCCGCCTCGCCTCCAAGCAGGACCTCGTCCGCCCCGTCCTCAGCGACGACGCCGCCGGCACCGCGTCGCACGTCATCATCGGCGGCCGCCACCCCACTGTCGAGAGCGGGCTGCGCCAGCAGGGCCGCAGCTTCACCAAGAACGACTGTGTCTTTGGCGGCGTCGCAACCACCGACGACGCCAATCCCAAGAACGTCCAGTCCCGCGGACGTCTCCACCTCATAACGGGCCCCAACATGGCTGGGAAGAGCACCTACCTTCGGCAGAACGCGCTCATCGCCATCCTCGCGCAGGTGGGCTGCTACGTGCCAGCGGACCACGCCGCCCTGCCGCTCGCCGACGCCGTCTTCTCGCGGGTCGGCTCTGCCGACAACCTCTACGCCGACCAGAGCACCTTCATGGTCGAGATGCTCGAGACGGCTGCCATCCTGCGTGCTGCCACGCCGCGCTCCTTGGTCATCATGGACGAGGTCGGCCGCGGCACCACCCCCAGCGACGGCACTGCCGTCGCCTTCGCCGCCCTCCACTACCTCGTCACCGTCAACCGCTGCCGCACCCTCTTCGCCACCCACTTCCACGGCCTCGCGGACCTAGCCGTAGAGCGCGGCCTCGCGGACGCCGGCGATACCCAGGGGGGCAGGCCTGTCGAGATGTACTGCACCGACATCGAGGAGACGAGCAACGGCAAGGGCTTCATCTACGTCCACAGGCTACGGAAGGGGGTCAACCGAAACAGTCACGCCCTCAGGGTCGCGCGCCTAGCCAACCTACCCGAAGCGGCTATCGCGGTTGCGCAGGAGGTTTTGGAGAAGCGTGGCAGGGATGGCGGCGCTATTTAAAAGGCGGCCACCGGTGTTCGGGTGGCGATACGACTCTATGCCTACGATCTCGAATGATACCCATATGCGAAGCAGCAGCAGCAGCAGCTTGCCACCTTCGCGCGATAGGCTGTTAGGTCTTGAGGAATTGTTATGGTCTCCTTGCTTCGCTCCGTCTGTACGAAAATCACTACCTAAACCAGGCCATTTAGTTAGCATGCGATTCTGTGCGCGGGGCGTACCGATTGAATTGCTCGTCGAAAAAGAGTGTCTCATAGGGTGTTGAAAATGGTTCATCAAATCAAAAAGATCAGGGTTAAAAAGCTCTGTATGTTTCATGTATAATCATCGAACACTTGTGTTGATCAAGCTGTGGAAGAAAGGAATCTAACTCACCATTTAAGAAGGTTTGCTCGAGGGATCGACGGGTTTAACTAACATATCACAATCGAGAGAACTCTCAACTCCCTGGTATTCTTTTGCAACCTGCCTGAATCGACCGGCAAAAAAAAAAGACCTGTGAAACGTGAATTCCGGTTTTCCCGCATGTCTAGATCTCGTAAACCTAACCGTAGCCCTGTTTCATGCCAGTCCGACAACACCGTGATCATGCTACGAAATTTAGTCACTGTGAACAGCATGTTAGCGATGCTCAACCTTTCGCGGGGGGGTTCGAAGGCAAAGGGAAGGAAGCGAGCATACAAGAGACCACCGAAGCCCTCGTCACCAGATTCTTCTTCCTCCTCGTCCTTCTTCGCCTCCTCCTCCGCGGGGGCGGCACCGGCTCCCGTGTCGGCGGCGGCGGCAGCGGCTGGGGCGGCAGCGGCATAGGCGTCAGGATTGGCAATGCGGTCCTTCAGTTGCTCGATCTCAGGCCAGCTGTAATCCGTCTCGACCGCGACAGCCAGAACCTTCTTGTAGCCGTTCAATAGGGAGTGGATGATCGAGGGAAGGGTGGGGAAGTTCAGAGCGAGGGACAGGGCGGTAATGGTGGCGACGGCACTAGTGAATGCCTTGAGAAGCTGGTCCTCGCCGATGTCGAGGACGTTGGGCGGGAAGGTATTGCCCTGGTCGTACACTTGCGCCACACCCAGGCCATAGGTGAAGGGAGAAATGTTGAGCATGTTGAGCAGGGTGGCCTCAGAAGGGCCGACCTTGCTGCCGGACTCGACGAGCTTCAGATCGGTCGTGATTTCGATGGTACCACGGGCGATCTTGGTGGGAACACCGAGAGCCTGGAAGAAGGAGGTCTTGCCGGGTTCCATGCCGGTGTTGCCGGCAGGAACCCAGACGTCGGCTGGAGCAACCGCGCCAGCACGGGCAGGGGCGGCGACCTTGTTGGCGAGAATCTTGTCACGGATGACCTTCAGGTCGCCGTTGGTAAAGACGAAGCCTATGTTCCCCTTGACGTGGGGAAGGAGTCGCTCATACTCGGGCGTATCGGCGATGAAGGTCCTGAGGGCGCGGCGAACCTAGAGGGGAACAAAAAAAATAACATGATGAGCGGCCGACTTTCCCCAGAAGGCACCGGAATATGCGCATTAGCTTCTGCGTACCATGGTGTTCTTGCCCATCAGGACGACGGCATCCCCGCGGAGAGATTGTCGGATCTCATGCATCTGCTGCGAGCTGACATTGTCGACGGTGACGAGGAATACGGATCGGTATTCCTCGAGCAAGCCTTTCAGCTTGGGGAACTGTTCGCGGAGGTATTCCCTATCAGCAACTGGTCCCCGCTAGACCGTTCGTGTGAGGTCACGGGCGACTTACGTATTCTGCCTTCTTTTGCCTGCTGGCTCCCATGTCTTCTTATTTCTGAAGTTAGGATTTTTAAAGCCGATGTTGTGTAGGGAATGGAGACTGGGTAAGTCGGTTCTGGAGTTCGCAAACGAGACCGAATAAGTGGAGGTTAGCTGCTGGATAAATCTCGGCTGATTAATTTATTTCATCTTGCGTAGGAGTTTTTCTGTCCCGTGCCCAAATGTGTGTTCGACCCGCCTTAGGGTTTGCTTGTACTAGGTACGTACCCCTTCCCCTCCCCTCTAAATAACGACCATGCAACCCCTTTCGAGGTGTCTGATCGTTGAGGCGGTTCAAGAAGTCGGCCATTTTGAGCAAGAAGCATATTTTTGCGAGTCTGGTTTGGATTGAGCTTCGTTACCATAGGCATAGATAGTAGGCGGGTATTTTATCTGTAACCCCTTCTTTTTATCATCTACGATATCCATCCACTCGCACTTCTAGGTAGGTACGTCAAAGAACCTCCCGCCTCAACTAGATCTCGCCATCTCCACGAGATAAGCCTACCCAAGATTTATCTACCTCCCACATACCCACCTAGATAGTAGTAGGTCCGTGCTATATATATGGATAGCACATACCTAGGTAGACACTGGTCCTAGTTAACTAGGTCGCAGCCTCGACCCATGATCCATCTCGGGCGATAGGTGAACTCCTCTTAAGCGCATTTTCATTTGAGCCTATGGTGAGTACCATCTCTGACTGCCCATGAATCCGAGGGGGGGCAATTGTCGGATATTATGTGCGGTCCATCAGCTTCGACACTAAGGGTTCGAAGGAACCTCGGCACCTAATCACAAACCCGGAAGGATTGGCAGTATTTGCCAGTTGGTACGAACGGGACGACCAGCAGCCAGCATGAGCGGCGGGGGAGAGACACCTAGTTAGCAACTTGCTTCCGCTAGATGCTACAAACGAAACACGATCCTACAAACATCTTTCTCTGCAGCCTCAGGTACCGGGTGTGCTGGTCTTGGTCTCCGGCTCATCGCCACCAAATCCCATTTCCATGGCGGTTTCTCTTAGTAAGGCTTGTATGTCTCCACCATCGGGAACCGTGATTTGATTTTCGAGGAAGCGTTCGAGGATGTTTCCTAATTCTTCCGTCCTCGCATCCAGGGGTAACTCCTCCCCTGCCTTAAGCTGTCCCGAAGCGATAAGTTCCTGGTGCCTCTGCCTAAGACTGCTTTCGACCTGCTGCCCGGCATGCATTAATCGGAGGCCTCTTCTACCCTTTGCCGTCCGCAGCAAATCCATAGACCCCACCTGCAACTCCATGACAACAAGGTCTGAAGGTATGAATTTGAATATATGTCGTAGTGCTCGGTATGCCAAAAGCAACCCAGTTGTGTCTTCCAATTTGCGGAAGGAGTGCAGAATGCTTCTTGATAAATAGAGGTCAATGCCATTCTCGAAAATATGGGCAGACCTAACCATCTCCGCGAATAACGACCGGGCCTGGGCCGTCTCCGCGGGAAGCTCCTGTGGAGATATCTCGACGAGGCGATTTACCGCCAAAGCCTGCCAGAGAACCGTGAAAGTCCACGGGTCGGGTTCCACTCGGTAGTGGTTGGTCAAGTCACGGGAGAGCGTTCCAATGTGTTTACCCTGTCCGCTCTGGAGGTAAGAAGAGAGCAACTGGTTCAGCATGAACGAGTTGGGGGGGATTTCGGCGTCTCGGAAAGCTATCCACAGCCTCTCCATCTTGGCGTGTAATCCGCGATCTTTGTAGTTCTCGGCAAGCAACGAGAAAGTCTCCAGGTTGGCCCTCGGCCAGACCTCGTTGGTTGGCCGCAACCTGATAAATGCGGCTAGATTTTTCATGTCTTTTCTAATGCCCAGGAATTGCATGCGCGCGTTAATCATGGCCCAAGCGACATCCTCGGCTTTTTGTATGTTGTCAGCTGTCCCCGACCTCAGCCATGCGCCGATCAAGCCATTCACGTGGATGGCTTGAGGCAGAACACCTTTAGACATGCTGAGAAGTAAGACGTTGTGGGCGCCCTGCAGATTACCGTCCGATATTAACCGCCTTAGCCATTTGCCGAAGAAAAAGGGGTTTCCCACGCTCGGAGGCAGTTTGTGAACGCCTCTCAGGTCGACGGTCTCGGAGACCATCATATCAACAAAGATAAAAAGCGCGAATTCCGTCTCGTTCGCCTTTAGAAAGTACAATATGATTGTATCGTAGTCGTCGATGGTAATCGAGTCGCCTAGATCCGACCGTAGTTGTTGATAGACTTTGTACCCTTTCTCTACTGTTTCGGGTTTACTGGCATACATCCGAATGAGAGGAAACAAAAATCGAGGGTCTTTTTCGTAGGGTGACTCAACGATAGTCTTAACTACCTGTTCCGCTCGGTCAACGTCGTCCATTAAGCAGTACATGCGGAGGCCAAGCTCCCAGAATTCTGCAAAGGTCTCCGGATTGGTTCCAAGCGTAAGAACAAATCTCTTATGAGCGGCAACTGCTTCCTTCCTGAAGCCAGAGACGAAGTCTGCCTCGATGGCAAGTAGTTGCTGGTCGTCGTGTAGGGCCACTCCAACCTTCCGCATGTCCTGGGCCAGGATATGGACATGATACATCCGATTTGGGTTGTTGTCGTGATCGACGGCGAGATGCCTCCAGAGAAAATCCCAAAATTCCCTATAAACAGCATCCGGTCTTCCCCTCAGGGCATCGCGTGCCAGCGAGTAATATTTCCATAACGCGTTGATCCGCCCTCGGCGTAAAGCACCGCCGCCGGTTTTCCTTCCCACGGTACGTATCATGTTATTGAGATGGGTGATGCATTGAGTACCTTTTGCCCGCGGCCAGCCGTGCTCGGGCAGCAGGACAGAAGGATGGTTATCTGGGTCGGATTCGGCGGCTCGTTTTACCAACTCCTCAGCGCCTCGCTTCCCGTAAATGCTTTCAACGATTTTGGTGAAACGGGTCGCTTGCTCCAGCTGTTCCTCCAGCTGTTGAAGACGAGCTTCGGTTTCGGCGTCAAGATCCATTACCGACCGATTGAATTCATCCACGTCCCGCAGAGGGCGCATCTTTCCATCCGTCTTCTTCTCGAAATATTTCACGGAAAATTTGTCGCCCCGGCGCTCTTTCGACAGGCCTAACAATTCTAGGGTTCTCTGGCGCTCTGCTTCTTTCTCGGGAGAGAAACCGGATCGGCGCGCCGAGGAAATAGTCCGCGAGGAGGGGTGGCGGGTGAGCCATTGTGCCGAGGGCTTTCGTTTCTGTAAAGCAACTAGGCATGATCTGCAGATGAAGCTGTGGCCATGGGATGTCCTTGGTGGCATTATCGTAGAAGTTGGTCGGAGTATCGCATTCTGGTGAGCTCTAAGGTCCCAACTGCTCCGCGTATGGGTGTCGTCTGGACCGGTAGCATTATCGATAGATCGCGCGAGCCCTCGATTGAAGAAAAAAAAAAAGGATCGCAGAAGCCGATTAGATGGGATTAGATGGGCGATAAGGCGATGCGAGGGGCAATGTCATTTGGAACCTGGGGGTACCTTACCTAGGTAAGTAGGTACACATAGGAGGTACCTCAGGTCTATATCAGGTGTAGAGGTACCTACCTGGGTACCTGCTACCTAGGTAGGTAGGTAGGTACCCAGGCAGCTTCACACCCATACCGCGTCCCACTAAGAGCCCTGACCACCTCTTTTCGGGGACCTGCGTCACAGCCTGTTAAGAACGCGGTCTGCACGCGACATGGACCTGGACCCGGACCCGGACCTGTCGTCTCACTCTTCCGATCACGGCGGCGACTCTGCGATCAGAGGTTGAGATCGGGCCAATAATAAGATACTAGTGCCACCGCATCTGACTATGGCCGTCGATGAATTGCTCAAGGAGACGTACGAGGAGAAGCAGCACCAGGTAGTAACGCTCATCTCCAAGGCGATAGCCGAAGACCGCTGACGACCGCCCCTAGGCTGCTTATGTCTTCGATCCGTTAGACGGCGTCGATGGCGCAAGCCGGCCGGCGAAGCGGAGGAAGGTGTCCAAGAGGACAGACAAGTCCCACGCTTCACGGGCAGATCAGAGTCCGACCTTCCAACCTCTTCTCGGCGGCTGCGAAGGTGAGCGCTCTGTGCGCCTTCGCCAGCAGCTATTCGAGAGATCGTGGTCACAGATCGACAAGCGGATACAGGAAGTCCTCCGAAAGGCCAACATGTCCACTCGGCAGGAAGTTGCAGACTTCTTGCAGGCCAACCCAGAGCCTGCCTCCACAGGCAAGCTCACATCTGCCTTCATCGTCACCGGTCCGAACTTGGCCTCGCAAGACCTCCTCTTTGAGCAGCTGTCGAAGACTCTCGAGGATAATATAGACTCGAGGGTGGTACGGCTGAGATCCGGCGACGCGTCCAATCTGAAAGCCGTACTAAGAAAGATCATACGAGATGTTACGGCGAGAGACACGGACGATGAGAATGACCTGGAATTGGTCACAGGCAAAGAGGTAAGTTGAACTGCCGAATCGACTCCGTGTTCTTTATTCACCGACAATGTAGGGGCGCAAATACCTAGGCTACGATCTGGAGGCCCTCCACGTCCATCTCAAATCCAACCCGTGTTGGCGCGTCGTTGTCGTTTTTCAGGACAGCGAAGCATTTGACAGTGGCCTCCTGTCGGATTTAATCTCATTATTCAGGTCAGTTTTCTTGGCAGGTACATTCATATCTTGCGACTCACTCTGTCGGCAGCTCGTGGCTCAACCGAATCCCCTTCGCCCTGATATTTGGCATAGCCACATCACTAGAGCTATTTCAGGCCCGGCTTCTGAAGTCTACTTGCCAATCTCTCTACGGCCAGCAGTTTGACGTCGAGCAATCGACATCAATCGTTGACAAGATTTTCACGATGGCTGCCGCGCATGTAGAAGCGCCCTTGCGATTGGGTTCTTCCCTGCTTTGCAGCTTATTAGATCGTCAGCGGGACCAGATGTCAAGCATCCCCGTGTTCGTGAGCTACTTAAAAGTGAGCCGTACCCACGCCTGAAAGAGGGGCTCACCAGCTAATATTCCTAGTATGCCTACATGTGTCACTTCTATGCGAACCCATTGACTGTCTTCTTATCTAACGACGCAGGCGACGAGATACTTCGGCAAGAACATTTCGAAGCCGTGCGGTGCCTGCCATCTTTTCGTCAATATGTGGAAAACGCCATCGATCGGGGTCAGGTAGAACAGGCAAGACTGGTCCTGGAAGAGAACCAGTACCTCAAAACGCTTCTGCAAGGTCGGCTTCGAGACTCGCGTCAATGGTTATTACACCTCCTGCGTACTCTCAAAATCCTGACTGCTGGCAAGGTGCTATCTACCGACTTCACTGGGCTCTATTTGGATACCCTCTCTTGCGGACTTGACTCTGATCAAATCGCCGAGTTTGCGGGGTCCATAAAGCGAATGCAACCCGCCGATACAGTGACGTTTCTGGCCCAAGCGCTAGATGCTATGGAAAACGGCGACTCTAGTCTTGGCCTGAGTCCATGGGCTAGTGAAACCGAGGAGTCGTTTGTGCTATTCTCCAGCATGCTGGCTAGTATCAAACGGTTGCAAGCCGCTGCCGAAGAACAAGGCAATATTCTCCGTAGCAAATATAGCGGACAAACCAAAGTACTGAGAACCACCGTCGTTGCTCAGAAGGTCCAGCTCAGCCAGGACACGGCGACGCTAACTAAAGAGGATAAGGCCTACACCGACTTGGTAGACGAGCTTTCTGAGCACTTCAAAGCGGCATTTGGCTGCGATGGTGCAAAGGACATATGCTTTAACGAACTCTGGCTCTTCGACTCGAAAACACCCTCCCGAGATGTATTTGTTCCTCGGCCCAGGGGGGTTGTGGAGCGCGCATTGTCGCGTCCGCATGATTATCTCAATTGTTCCTGTTGCGAGGAGACGGAGGACCACATTGCCCCATCTCTACCAACAATATCCGTCCTATATCAGCTTTATCTCGAGACTGGCTCTCTTATCAACGTTGCCGATCTTTGGTCGGCGTACTATGCGATTGTCGGCGAAGAAAAGGGGGGAGGATTGGACGAGCGGGCTGCCCTTGCGTTGTTCTATCGCGCAATGGCCGAGATGAGAGCCATGGGCTTTGTCAAACAGACCAGAAAAAAGGCAGACCACATCGCAAAACTTGCTTGGAAGGGGCTATAAAGACACAAGGGCCATTAGAGGAGTCACCTTGGTGGTAGTAAGGAGGTTGGTTTGGTTTGATTAGGTGTATTCAAGGGGACTCGTTGGCACAAGGATGATTCTCGTCGGCAAGAAAACAATGGTGTTTTTGTGTCCAAAACCCACTTGAGAACCCACTGGCTTGTACGCTAATCTACTACGTCTTTGGAAAGGGTCTAGATAAAAAGAAGCCTCGAAGGTCTCAACAAAGACTCGCCCAACCCATAACAGCGCTGAAAGAAAGAGCCAGCAGGCCGGTTCACGACGGTCAGACACATCGAGCACATGACAAAGGATACCGCGACGAGCCTCATACCTACAAGAAGAAACGGTGGCCGCCCTCGAATCTATAAGCCATCTCTCACGCCTTCAGTCCCACAGCAGCGTGGTTGGTTATATACACATATATATACATATCTAAGCGCTTATTTCTCTGCTACCGTCCCGTCATATAATTCTGCCATTCCACCCAAGCTGCTGGCGGCTAGACTCCATCGTCGAAGGCCGACTACAAAACAAGAAGACTTCCAAGGGCGAGAAGTTCCGTACGAGTCCTATATTGCCACATATTCTCCTTTGCATCATCTCATTACTCGTCGCTCATTCTACACAAATTAGTTAGTTCGTCCCGCGGTATTTTCCGTCGACTACCGCACTTCACCGTCCCAAAGAACCCTGAAATCTAGCCCCCCAAAAGGATTAAAATAAGAACCAGTCAGCTCAAGCTCTCCTCCTTCAAACCTAAACAACCTCCTCGGCGCCAGAGAGAGGGCCCAAACAAAAAAAGTCTACCCGAAAAAAGATCAGAATAGACACCCCCTTCGACTTCTCGACCCCACCTACCAAAGCCCACGGCACAAGCACCGCGATGCAGAACCCGACGCACGACCAGGGCGCGCAGCAGGAAGCGGCGGCGGCGAGGGCGCTCGGCCCGCGGCGGGCGGCGCAGGACGTGGCGTTCCGGGAGAAGCTGCGGCAGATGGCGCTGCCGCTGGCGCCGCTGGTGCAGCTGACGACGGGGGAGGTGCACCCGGCGTTCCCGGGGACGCTGCTGCACTTCTGGCTGCTGACGGACTCGCAGCTGGAGGCGCTGGCGCACTTCTACCACCAGCGCACGCCGTGCCCGTGGACGCGCCACTACCCGTGCCCGGTGCGCTGGGCGTCGGACGCGCCGCTCGAGGAGAAGCGGCGCCGCCTCGGCCGCTTCATCGGCCTGCGCGGCTGCGAGTCCCCCCTCGTCCTCCTCCCTTCTTCCCCCACCGCCGCCGCTCCCGCCGACAGCGCCGCCCCCGCCCTCCTCTCCGAGGACGACATCCTCGAGGAGGCCCGCGCCGCCCGCCTCGCCGAGGAGGAGCGCATCTGGCGCGGCAAGCACCCCTGGTTCCGCGGCTAGCTGCAGCCGTCCCCGACGGGCTTGGTGGTCTAGAGAGCGGGAGAGCGTGGAAAACCGCGTAGGTATATTGCGGTTCTGAACACTTAGCGGCACGGGGCGTTGCGGGGGGCATCCATCTTTCGTTCGATTCTAGACACTCCTTAGACTAATATTTTACCTTGAACATGTATATTTCACCCCGATGGCTCTTCCTTCTCGGCTGGATGTGACTAGGCGCGTAGAGTAGAACAGGCTTCGGGGCTTAGACGTGTCTCCCTTTATTGCCGATCTAGTCTGTAACCCCCTTCTCGAATCAACTGCCGTGGCCGCGTGTGTTCGGCGCCGGCCATAATCCCAAGTTGTGGTGTAACGATAGTGTTTCCTTTTAGATTGAGGCTTAATTCGTGTTCTAGGAACTTCCAGCTAGGTCGACGACCAGGGACACAATGGCGAAACGGCTCGCTCCAGCAGCGTTGAAAAGGCGAGACACTTCGCGGGTAAGAGAACCGCGGATGCAGAGGACATTGAAGCATCATCTACTACCGCTCCCCAGCCACCCTCGTCATCACGCGAAGATAGAGTATTCCAAAGAACGCGTGCTTCGGGGCGCCCACGTTCGAATGTGTCATTTATATAGGCACATATATATGTGTGTGTGCCTTTTGAGTCTATCTATGGACTTCCAATTGATGGACTTAGCAATGGATTCTAGCGCATCTACTTTTTCTGAACACTTTTCTTGACTCCTTCCACGAAGGCCTCCACGGCATCCCCGCCGCCGAGAGGCACCTGGCTGCCTCTTATGTAACCTCCGTTCTCGACCTTGATGGACAGCGCGTCCGCGATGCTGGGCAAACCGCCGTCCCGAATCGCCATGGACAGGCTTGTCAGGCTCTGGTGGAACAGCGGGCTCCGGAGAACCTTCTCCAACAGCGCTTTCTTCTGGCCGAGACTCATCGCTTCCTTCGCAGCCTGCACTGCCGCGGCGGTGGGTTCTGCGGTATCCTCCTCCTGGTCCACCTGTTGCGAAAAAACGAGGATTGAGGGGGGCAAGAAGCTGAGCAATTCGTCGATCTGCTCTTCTGTTGCTTCTCGGGCCACGGGTACGGTGATAGGGGGTGTGAGGAGGTCTGAAAGGAGTGGATAAAAATTCCCTTCGCCCTGGCTGGTCCCGGCATTTCCTCTCAATGAATCGAGAAAATTCCTGACTGCAGCTGCAGCATCGGGGGGGCCCGAGGCGGCACTATCCTCATGTTAGCGCACAACCCCAGCTCCGAGACCGCGCCGAGGTGTTTTGGCAGAGAAACAATACATCTCTCATTCGAGGGCGTCTAACGGTACATGACAGCCCGATGGGCTGAAAAGGCTATAGACATTGCGTCTAGTATTTGCGCATAGAATGCATGTGATATTCTCATGTCCAGTCCTCTTCCAGAAAAACGTTACAAAAGAGTATGGGATAACCTACGCTCTGGCGCCGTCGGCACCGCCCTCTCTCGCGCTCTCTCCTTCTTGCCGCACATCGCCACCGGTAGCGCCCGGACCAGCACCTCCATCGCCCTCGTGGGGCTCGTCGGGGTTGCCATGACCTTCGACATCCTCCATAGGCTCGTCGTCATCGCCTCCACGTCGGTCATCGTTGTCGGTGTTGTTGATCGCAGCTAGCTCGTGTGCGACGTCGACCTCTTCGCCCTGGAGCAGCCTGTGCACGATGTCGCCGATTTTCCGGTCGCGAGGGCTGAACCAAGTGGGGTCGCCGTTCCGACCTTGAGGCTTCGACTGTAACCAGAACAGGTGTCGCTGGGAAGAGGAGAGGAACTTGAGCACGAAGAGACGTCCGTTCGTCTTGGCGGATACGTGAGGTTGGTTGTTGGCATCGTAGGGAACAAATTGGCCGTCTGTCGGGATCATAACAAGGTCTAACTCGGGCTGGTCGAGGGGGACGCTTCGCTCACGCCAGCAGAAATGAAGTAACTCTAGAGACGATTAGCAACGATAGCAACAGCGGCATCCCCGAAGCGGTGGTCAAGTGCCTACCATCCTCGGTGAAGAGGTAGATGTAGCCTGGTCGGGGCGACGCCTTCACTTTGTAGGGCCGCGAGGAGGTCTAGTATTGCTGTCAGCATCATTTTGTCTACAACTCAAATGGACGGCTATTAGAGGCACATGGAAGAGCAGAGAGAAGGGGGGGGGGAGGGAAAGGGAGAAGGGGACGACGCACATCAACTTCGCATATGCCCGCCTTAAACGTTATGATAGGTGTTATCGACATGGCTGGCTGACGATGTCCTAACAAGAAGAAGGAGGAAGAGGGCGGGGACTGTTGCAGGCGACCTTGCGACGAAAATAACGTCACAGACAAGGGCGAGAGAGGGCGACGTTCGTATAGATCGGTTGTCAAGCCGGATTGGAAATGCAAGGCTGCCAGAGCTTCGTTACGATGAGAACACTCTGAAGCTCGGAGTCCTCCCCAGATTACCTAAGGATAGGTACTTACCCGCAGGTACTTTTAGCAAGGAGGTACCTAGGTAGGCAAGGCAGGTACGCGTCTCCCCACCACCTCTATAGGAGGACAGGAAGTGGGACCAGTACATTAAGTTCCTTAAGGTACCGTACCCAAGGTACCTCCAGGTTACATAGCACAATTCCTATCGATACTCGAGGGTCCCAAGATGAACATTTCTGCTTATATAAGCAGCAAACCTCAGATTGCCATCTAGGTAAGTACACATAATGTGGCGGAACAAGCCACAGTCACGGCCCACAAAATTAGAAGGCTCCGCCGGATTTCCAGTGGCACCCAGGGCTTCGCCTAAGCCCACAACCGCAATTGATCTTTTTGCGCAAAGTGGAATTTCTGACTTCGCATCACCAAACCAACGAGGAAACCTGCCAACTCCCTTTCACCACCACACACCCAGCGACAACGCCCCCCCCCCCCCCAGTCGACAGCCCTCGTCATGTCGCAGCCGAGCACACAGAAGACGTTCGGAAAGTCGACCCGGGAGGTCCCTCATCCCTCCCAGAGGGCCCAGAAATGGTACCCTGTCGACGATGAGCCCAAGCCGAAGAGTGTGAGTTGCAACAAGAAGAATTCCAAATTCCGGAGACTTTGGCGGGGTCTCGCCGCTTGAGCTGGTGGTTTTATGGGTGTTTTGGCTACAGGAAGAGCGGGAAAAGGTCGTGGCCGTGGCAAGGCAGAAACCATCTCAGACACGGAGGCGTAGTGATATTTGCATATCTAGCCCTCCAATTCTTGCACGCAGACATGCAGAGGGACGGCGAGCACCCAGCCATACCCGCGAGCTCACGGATTGACCCCATTCGCATTTTCCCATCTGCCCACCTACCTTCCTTCGGCGCGCGTTTGCTGACGATGTTGTGTCCCCTCTCGCAGGTCCGCAAGGCGATCCGTCCCTGGACGCCGCGCAAGTCCCTGCAGCCCGGCACGGTGCTCATCCTACTCGCCGGGCGCTTCCGCGGCAAGCGCGTGATCCTCCTCAAGACCCTTGACCAGGGCGTCCTCCTCGTCACCGGCCCCTTCAAGATCAACGGCGTGCCCATCCGGAGGGTCAACTCGCGATACGTCATCGCCACCTCCTACAAGATTGACCTCGACGGTCTAGAGCAGAGCAAGGTCGACGAGGTCGCGCAGGTCCAGTACTTCGCCCGGGACAAGGCCAAGGAGAAGGCTAGCGAGGACGCCTTCTTCAAGCAGGGCGACAAGGCACAGGTATGCTCAAGCGCGACGGATGCCGTGCGAGATGAGGGGACGGCGAGGGTTCTGCTTGAGCGCGGGCTAACGTGGGATGCTACAGAAGAAGGAGATCAGCACCAGCCGAGCGGCGGACCAGAAGACCATCGACAAGCCCCTGATCGCCAACATCAAGAAGGTAGACCTCCTCGCCAGCTACCTCGCCAGCTCCTTCAGCCTCCGAAAGGGCGACAAGCCCCACGAGATGAAGTGGTAGATAGGTACCGCGGGGCTTCTTGGGGGATTTGTTACTTTATAGGGAAAAAATCACACGAAATGACTTTGCGGACGGCGGATCGCGGAGCTGGGCTGGCTTTGCCAATTGCATCTGGACGTTGAGGCATCGGTCACATTGATTCTGGCGTCTGTAATCGAGGTTCTAGTCAATAAAGACTATCAAGACAAATCGCATGGGGGTTTTTTTTTTTGCCTCGGCTAGGTCCTACGTCTCCTAAGTGCTTGAATCCGGGGAGGGGGAGATCCGAATGCGTCGTGATCTACGAACCGTTAGTTACAACGCACCAGGATATATGCCCAGTACATGCGAAGTCATCTACACAATGACAACGAAGGATGCGGGGAGCCGATCAATTGTATTGAGAACCCGAGGCTCCTCCAGCCACATAGGTATCATCAGCTCGCTGTTCCACGCCAGAGTTGCGATTGGCTTGGTCGGCCCCTATTTTATTTACGTTATTGGAGCTGCCAACGGGGGCCCGGTATTCGTTCACAAGACAGAGGGAGCCGTTTCAGCGGCCACTGCTCGTTGATACTACAGATAGCTCCCCCCCCCCCCGGGTAGCTCACGCTTTTACCGCACCTTACGGCTACGGATTTAGCCTCAGATCTGCCGCTCCGCCCAGCTCTGGATCATGCCCTCGAGCGTCGCGTCGTAGTGCTTCAGCGTGACTGTTCCCGTCGCCTCGTCGAGGTACGTGTTGGCCTGGACGAACACCTTCCGCGGCTGCTTGTTCCGCAGGACCTCGTCCCTCACCTTCTTGCCCCAGAACTCCGGGTCCACGTGCGTCATGTCGCCGTAGAACTTTACGCCGGCCTCGACGTCAGCGGTGGCCTTGTAGATGTGCAGCTTCTGGAGGTAGTCGCCCACCGCTTTCCGGCCCGCCGTCAGGATCTTCGAGCGGTCTAGGCTTATCTTCAGGTCGGTCAAGTCGTCGCCGTTGTATTCCAGTTTGCAGAAGTCGTCCCCAGCAGCTAGGAAGCACTGGAGGATGGAGAACCGGGCTTGCGAGTGAGGCTGGCCCCATTTTTGGCTCTTGGGATCCCACATTTCTAGCGACGTGAGACCGGCCCGGGCCATAGAGAGATAGGAGGCGTAGAGCACATCTCCCGCTTCACCATCTATGTTAACTGAGCCGTCGCCGAATCCGAAGATTTGCAAGACGGGGAATTCGCAGCTCAGATACATCGCGACGAGCTCCGCTCGACACTCCTCGTAAGAACCTGCCCAGCTGCCGAAAACGGACCCCCAGGTTTGGCCAGGCTTATACCATGTGGCAACGGGCTTTTCGGTCAAGGGAGAGATGGGGGGGTTTTCCCTATCGAAATTGAACACTCCCGGGGACGTCTCTTGTAATAGCTTGCCACAGCCATGACCCGTAAGCTCGTGGAGCCCAACTTGCACTTCGAAAGAGCCGTCACGGTAGCGTTGATATATACCCAGATCCTTGTCGGCGATAAACGGAATCTTCTCGTCGGGTGCCTTCGCGCTCAGCACATTGCCGAGGGATACGTTCTTGAAACCCTCGGTCTGTCTGATGTCGTCGTAATTAGGGATATTGATCCCAGCTGGTATACCCGAGCCAGAAAATGTTAGGACCTCGAGAGACGTGAAATCCGGGGACAAGAATTTGTCCTTCTCGAAGTCCTTACTCCACGGCAGAAGCGGTATCAGAGAGGGCGCAGCGTCCACAAGGGCCCCGAAGGCTCGCGTACGCTCCAGATTGACCATAGAAGCAAAACCTTCCCATTCGCCACGGATGCCAGCGGGGTCGCGGTACGTTTCGATGAAGCCGATGTTAGACTCGACCATCGGGCCCTTGTCTCGAATCCAGAATCTCTGAGAATCTTTGAAGGCCAGCAGCGAACCGCTCTGGAAAGATTTGGCGTAGGCATCGTGCATCTTCTTCTGGTTCTCGTTAGCGGAATTCTCTGCCGCGCCTCTGATGCTGGCCGCAATGAGGGCCATCTCCTTGGAGTAATCGCCATATACAAGGGTGATGGTCTTCCCCGCCAACGTGCCATCCTCGATTTTGAACTCGGTCTCGTTCCCAATGTCGCCGCCTTCGCCGGGAAGCGTCCGATCTGCCGACGCGATCCAAATTTCGAACGAGCCATCCTTGGTCCTGGCTAGACGAGTGTTCTCGGGGAGCAGTCCCTTCTTCTCCATCCACGCCGAGACAGCGTCGATCTCGGCTTTGGTGATGTCCGGCGATCCCGGATAGTAAGTAGTCATATGGCCCTGCTCTGGATAGCCGAGATGCATGAGAGCAGGCTTATCCGTGGAAAAGATAGCGCCGGTAGTGGCGTCGTAGAATTTCTGGGCGTCTGGGGACGTCGCTGCGAGCGCAGCAAAGGCGGACTCGGGGCAGCGCGGGATGAACTTAGCGTCACCAAAGCTCTTGTAATTGCCGTTGTTCCCCAGGAACTGCGCGGCATACTGCAGAAAGTGATCCAAGTCCTGGTCCGAAATGGCGGCCTTGGCCTGCAGCGCCTTCCAGTCGCCACCGCTGCTCTTGTGAAGTGCCAGTATGAAATCGAGCTGCGTCTAGGTAAGCATCGGGGCGCGAAGCGAGACAACAGCGGACTGACTATAGGCTCCGATTCGGGCGAGATCTGCCTAGCCACGATCCTACTGCCTCCGAACGACGCTCTAGGGGAAGGCTGTTAGTCTTGGCACGCGGATCGTGCTTCGGTGCGGGATCCCCGGGGGAGCGGCAGGTACCTGCTAATGAAGTGGGCGTATCGCTTCTGGCGGTCGGTCAAAGCATCGAAATGCTTCTCGATCTCGAGCCTCACGACACTGGGGGGCGCGTCAGCCAGATACTGCTTGAGCTCTTGGGCATCCATGGTGGAGACGAAGGATCGGGCGGGGATTCGGCGAGGCAGAGCTGGCGCGAGCACCAGGTTGGGCGAATTGCGAGGGGCGGGAAGTAGGGGAAGAGGTCTAGGAAGAGGCAGCAAGGTCGATGTCCTGAGTATCGAAGAGACACGTCGAGACAGCGGATGGCGCGGGATCATGGGAAGGCGAGGAGGCGACTATGTGTCCTCTTGACAGCTTCGCGAGTCGACCTCAGAAGGGCGCCCCAATTACCGTCTCCCCGGATGCAGCGCCTCCTCAATCTGCTGGGATGTCTAGCGTTTCCGTCGCGGAGCTGCCGATTTGTCTCCTTACATAAGTGATTGCCTCGTGTGTGGTGAAGAGAGGGTTTTGCAGGTGGCAGGCCCGGTTGTCTTCATGGACCCGCGCGCCTTCATTGGACGAGCGCCCGGCTATGGGGTCCGAGTCGGCTCCGGTCTGCAAGGCGCCCCCGCACCTCTCTTTGCTGGTAGCCATGCGCCACAATCTGTCTCGACGTTCTGGGCTGGGCGTCATAAACCTGGGGCTAAAACGCACGATGCCCTAGCCACAGCAACGCCTGTCCGAGACGTTGCCTAGGCACTTGGGAGGCGGCCGTGTGGGGATCATATTTGGTTATGTAGATGTGTATTTGTATTTGTCACCCACAACATGGACGTTCCGGCCGGCGTGACTGCGTGCGATGCATTATATGTATGTAGGGCCTTCGCCTCAGGGTCGAATGGAAGAGCGCCCTTACCGAGCGAGACGCCTGTTTACGTGTATAAGCATGCGCATATACTCATACATACCTCTGCCTAACACCCATACTACGGTAGCAGTACGGAGCGACTCGCCGACCCAGGGTCTGTCGATCGGATCAGCGAGATATTGCACGAGAATCCCGGCAACGCAGACCCAGATATCGGTCGCTATTTATAGGTATATACAGATGTGGGCAGGTGGCTCTGAGACATGTCCTACACGTATATGTATAGTAGGGACCTACCTTTGAGAACAAAGAGAAAAACGGAAGAACCGCGAAAAGGGGCGAGACTAACTAGGTAATGATGTAGCTGCGAACTGCCCCCCCCCGAATCCGGCCATTATCGGCGCATTTGATGCTTTGACCCCCTGGAGGAGCGCGAGTCTCGTCCCACTGCGCTCAGACAGTAGGTACGTCATATCGCCATACGTGGGAAACGGCGGACAACCGAGAAGAGCTCGACAGGTCCCCGAACTTCTAAATATACCTGCCTCTCAATGGCAAACACGCGAATTAATATTCGGTAGAGGCGCCTCGGCAGAAACACAGAGTGGTCTCGGTTCCCATCGAGGGATTTGTGCAATAGGACCGGGCGCGTTGCCTATGGCACCCGCATTGGGTGCCTTGCTGGCGTTCCTATCACCCATCACGTGTGCCACCGGCGATAGCCATAATACGAACGAGGCTCGGAAGACCGAACCGAACAGCTCGGCTCGTGCCTTGGATTGATGTTACCTACCTCCTACATGATCGGAGGCCTACGTACCTGTAAGGCAGCGCGCCTGTGCAAGTACCCGACCGACCCAAAGTACGCAGCATCTACATCGGGAAACGCACGCAAAAGCACACGCCCGGTCGTGTAGCTGCGGAGTACCGCGGTACGTTGGCGGGTACGTGTCCCGTCGGTGCGTGTAGTGTAAGGCGCAGTAACACATTGTAGCGAGTTGTAGCACAGCGTTAGCCCGAACCAGAAACGACGGGAGGCTGGAGAAGTGCCCAGCTGCTCGATCCGCAGGCAGCGCAAAAGCTTGGCCGTGCTGCGTTGGTAAAGGGCCCTCTCCTCGATGGACAAACCGGGCCTCATGACCTTGCCTGCATAATTGCGCCTCGGATTGGTCCTGGTTCCGTACCATTCACCACCTGGCTGGCTGGCTTGCTGGCCCGCCTCTCCTCCTCCCACCGTTGCTATTCCCAGAAACAGCCCCAAGAGGCAAAGGTCCCTCCCCGTCCCGGACTCTATGCCCGTTCTGGCTTACTGCTATCTCCGCGACCAGAGCACGGTAAAGGGTGGTACGAGTTTGGCGGCGGCGGGACAGCAACCTCGACCTCCTGCTACGTGCCCGTCGAGAGGCAGAGTAGGATTGGTGAAGTCAGGCGGTCGACATGGCTCCGGCATGTCTGGTCTGTCACCTGCAGGCTGCAGAAAGCTATTCAAGAAAGGTGCAGGTTCCGGCCTTGGCATTCCCAGTCGTTTTCACCTTGGTAACCGACGCGAGAACCCGACGACAGCGGTGTATGGTATCGTGTGATTGGCAAGAAGCCTCCCTGAGCGGTGAGGGCCAAGCCAGCCCCTACCGTCCTCTCCGTCTTCCCCGGGCCCCACCAACACCGACACCATCGTCATCGCAATCGGGTTTTCTTCTGTTTTCCTTCTCTTTGTCGCCGTCACGGTGTATTTCCCCCTCTCCCTTGTCTGCCTGTCGACGCCTGCAGCCAAGCCTCGACGGGGGAGGAATCGCTGGTTGTCGACATAGCGACCCAGGAGCTTAGCCCGCGTGTTGCCAGATTGCCAATGCCGGTGCAAGAGACAGGTAGGATAAGCTACCTACCTACCTAAGGTGTGAGAAGGCCGTCGCGGTATGTGCATCAGACAGGTATGCACGAGTAATACAACGTGCTTACCGTATGCATGTAGGGAGCATATACACGCACGTAGAATCCCCAATCTGTATGTACGCATAGCCCAGCTTCGTCCAGAAGCGACAATATGACAAGTCCATGCGTGTAGGACTGACCGGTCACCAGGCCGTCTACGGCAGATCCACCGTGTGCATCGGCCTGAAGTGACACCAAGGGACGAAGGGGCAGTAGTTGGCCCTGAGGCCGACACCTACAACCCTCCGGACGGCTGGGCAATATATTGCGAAAGGAGATGATCCTCACCGTTGCCCGTTCGCTTCTTCTTGGACGGAAGCCATTGGTTGCTATATAGAATGGTGTCAACCATCCGGTCTAATGCGGTGGCACTCGAAGTCCTGGCCGATATACGCCTGAATGGGGGTTGAGAATCGAATCCCGACGGAGCCGTCGTCACCGGGGCCAGTCTGTCACTAACTTCAACGACGATGGAGAGTCCTTCCCGAGAAGCACACCACCCGCCGGGGTCGGTAGCCTCGCAGGGTGACATTTGAGGCATTTGAGGTTGCCGTCATCACGGCCCAGGATCGCCGCGGTCCACACCGCAGCCGGTCGCGATACTCTCTCGACATCCCCATATCTGCTACAGAGCCAGCGAAACCACCACAGAAGCGCATACTCGCCCGCCTTGTGGGTGCCATGTAGGGAGATGTGCGCGTGCATGTACGTACATGTGTACGTATATGTGATGTGTAGGCAGGTATCTGTGCCAAGTACATCATCAGGAGAGAGAGGAGGGAGGGCGAGATCAACTTGTGACCCACACCCTGCGTTCCCCCGTCCCGACCACGTTTTCCTCCACAAATTTCCATTTCCGAGCTAGGATGAATGGGTGGGTCGCTGGGTTAGCTCAGGCTTCGATGCTTCTTCGCTCGACCGAAATTCCCATCAGCCTAATGTGCATCGGTGACCGGTACGTACCTCGCACCCCCACGCTACGCACTCGAGGGCTTTTCCACCGAGATCCTGGGTATTCTCGATCGATTTCTCGGTTTCTCGGTACAAGGCTTGCAGCCGGCGACGTCAACGACGCCGGCGACTCGCATGCGTACAGTAATACACAGGTATGCACGGAGGTTCCCAACGTATACGTGCCGTTGAGGGCTTACACGAAACCGGGCTCGGCGCATGATAGAAAAGCAAAGAAATAGGACGGGCCGAAACAATGATGAATGACAGGAGATCGTGAGGAGGTAGATGGGGGGTGTGAACAGAAAAGGCACGGAGGAGAGAGAGAGGGAGAGAGAAAAGACGCCTAGGGAAAAAAAGGGGGACATCTTAGTGGTGGAACGCGGGGGTCAATATACCGTCAGTCACGCAGCCCGGGTCCTTTCCCTAAACCCCGCTGACAAAAAAAAAACAAGGTACTTGGATACCCTCATACCAGGAGGCGCCACGCTAGAGGAATGAAGCCCCGTCCGCACCTACGGTACCTCTTGAGAGAGCGCATAACATTAGGAGGTAGGTACTTAACCAACATCATAGACCGGTCCTCCAATTCTACCTCCAACAGGCCCGTGTATGAGTGTAACTATAAGTTTCCCACGGGCCAGAGGCCATGAAAATGGACGCCTCCCCCGGGCAGGGACATGGCAGGTTCGTCAGGTGTGCCATCCGTGGTTGTAGGTAGGTACCTACGTGTACACTAGAGGCAGGTAGGTACCTGGAGGTACCTACCTCTAGGTACCTAGGTAGGTAGATACCGACTTCAACGTATTCCGCTAAGGCGCCCTAGGCTGCTCGATACCCCGTGCATGCACCTGCCTCCTTCCCGTGGCCGTCAACCATAGGAGGGGCCTCCCTACCTAGGTTAGGACGGCAGGTACCTAGACAGGCGGGAGGTGGGAAGGTGCTGGCTGTAAGTGGGATACAGTAACGCCTGCTGTAGAGGAGGCAGGTACTTGAGGGAGGTACACACCTACCTCCTTGGCTCCTACCCGTCCATCCCACCACACCACAGGGCATTGTTCCGTCTATTCGGCGATTGGCCGGGTCCATTCCCATCCCCTGCCAACCTCCCAGTTCAGCCTATTCTTGAACACCCATTCTCGACGATGGCAACTCGACGGGCCCGCAATCTTATACTCTTGTTTTCGTCAGCTCCCCGGATCCAACTTGAACTTGCCTGCACCGCTGTTGGCAGCGCTACCGTGCCGTTGGCTTCCCATCGTCGGTTTTCCGCTCCTAGTTACGCTCTGCCCGCCCGGTCCCCCGTCTCTCCCTTCGTCGTCCTCCTCCTCGCCAGCATCCCAGTAGCATTTCTCTCCTCTAGATTGTCGTGCCTCTCGCCTCGGCCCTGCTTGTCTATCAGCCCTAGCCATCCTGCTCCTCCGCACCTTGGGTTGGGTTGGGTTGCCTCGAAGCCGTCGCATGAGACAACAAAGAAAGCATCGAGATGTACACGACGCAAATTGCGCCCATGGACAATTCGTGACGTCGGCCTGGGACGGCACGCGAGGCTGCTCGGTTTAGTAGATGTCGCCGCCCGCCGCTTCTATTTTATTGTAGTGTATCTATTGATTTGTTCTGTGCCCTTCAGTCTCTCGCGACTCTCTCGCCTACGCCAACTCGGCCCTATTCATCGGCTCTCGCGCTGACGATGGGCTCCCCCCACTCTAGTCTCGCAGGATGTGGGCGTACTCCTGTTGCTTTTATTACTACTCTTATTATTATCATTTCCTTGTCTTTCATTTGGCCTTTTTCCGATGGAGAAATACGAAATACTTACGAGTGACCTTCAGTCGACAAGGCCCAAGTAGGTACTCTTGGCCTTTGCCCGCACCCCTCCTCCCTGACGTCGAGCGAGTCTGGAGTCCCAGGGAAGACCGGGACGCGGCCGTCCTGATTGGACCGTTCCCGCTAGGAATTGCCTTCTTCGATGTTCTCTCGAGCTTCTTTTAGCGTCTGGCCCAGGCATCCTGGACCCGTCTCGAGGAGGGAGAAGGGGGAGGGGGGGTTTGGTGGGTGGTCTCAGGTACTATTAGAGGTTCTCGTTCTCGTTGGGTTGCCCTTTTCTCCTCCTTCTTTTTTTTTCTTTTTCTTTTCCTTTGCATAGGTACTTCGTCATCCATCCGGACCTCCCAGATGTGAGGGCCGGAGCGTGCTACGAAAAGGTGCTGACGCCCACTTATAAAGTCAACGCTGCGCCGGCTGCCCCTGGGCGGGATCCATGACCATCTGCCCCAGCGGCTTGGTCTACCACATGACTCCGTTTTAAGAACCCCGGATCTCCTCGATTCGAAATCCCAGTACTTCACCCTCCCCAAAAAGAATCCCGTTGGGGAGTTTCGTCGCCCGCTAGTATCATATAATTCAACGTCCGTGCAGGCTCGGCTCTGTATTCACCGGCATCCTGATCTCGACCTGCACTAAAGAAGCGAATAGACTACTTCCGCCCAATCGGCGGCTTCCATCTCCGAATTACCTTTACTTAACATTCCCTTGTCCTTGTGGCAAAAGTAGAGGGAAAGGAATATCTACTTCACAAATGTTATCTTACGACAGCCCCGTTCCAGTCAACGGAACGCATCCGTCCCCAGCTAGCACGGCCGCCGCAATCAATGCCGTGGCCGCCGATTCGAACCCAGCCGGTACGAGTATTATGCCAGGAGCGTCAAGTAATACTATCCCAAGAGCCAATGGCCAGTCCGTGCCCAGGCACCATCATATTTGGCTAGTGACGGGCCCAGCTGGCTGCGGCAAGACAACTGTCGCTAAGCACCTGGCAACAGCTCTCAATCTGCCTTATATCGAGGGCGACGAGGTACGACTGAGGTCTCCGTTTTTCGTTCTTTTTTTATCTCGCCCCGGAGGCCGTAAGATCGCTTACTGACAACGCTTCAGTACCACCCAAAGGCAAATATTGAAAAGATGGGCAATGGAATACCGTTGACGGATGCTGATCGATGGGACTGGCTCACGGCCCTACGCGAGGAATCTCTCCGACGATTCGCATTTGGTGCCCAAGGAGTCGTGCTTACATGCTCGGCTCTCAAGCGCAAATATCGGGATGTCATAAGGGTGGCTCCTTACTATCTGCACGACGTCATTTGCCATTTCATCTATCTTCATGCTCCAGAAGCGGTTCTCCTCGAGCGCGTTGGGTTGAGACAGGGCCACTATATGGGGCCCGACATGGTTCATAGCCAGTTCTCCATTCTGGAGCCACCAACCGAGGAGGAGACGGACGTGATCAGCATCGATGTGAGCGGATCAGCGGAAAGTGTTTTGAGAGATGCTCTTGAAAGAGTCCTTGCGAAGATCGACGAAGCTCCATGAAGCTAGTTTCGCATGCTGTGGTTGTAACATGGCATGATCCGGCGAGGGCCGACATAATACGAATCGAAAGCAAAGGACAGGAGAGCGAAAAGGCGAGGGCACCCTCGGCTTCAGGATTAACGTCGTGCTTTTTTTTTTTTCACCCACGCGATTGCTTAGGAGTAATGGTTCCGTTATTCACTTTGGCGCAATAAGAGAGAGGCATTGGGACGATCGAATCGCCTTTCGAGTATAAGCAGCGTAAGCTACCACGCAGAGGTTTCAGACATTTACGTTATTGGGTGATAGAGCAATTAGACAGTTCATCGAGGCCTGTAAGCTGTAAGGGGGGGCAGGAGGATCTGCAAGTAAGGTCGAGCTATACCCGGGGTTGAAGATCGAGACGGGCAACCTCAGTCAAGCGGTGTTGAACATCCTATCAAATTCCAGCGCCAAGAGGCCTCCCTGAAGGGTAGTGGTCTAGGGGCCATCAACAAAGCTGCCATCACCGTCACGCCTCCTCGCATTCTCCAGCGAGGACCCAAATGATCGGCACGTTTTTATACGGTGTTGCGCTACTCTTTTTAGAAGTCCCCGTCCTTCTCTACGCCACATATCTGAGTAGTAGGGAGGGAAGGGGATTCTCACAACGCTTGGCCTGGGCCGCCCCGACCTATCCCTACGCATGTACGTGCATACCTATACGTAGTCCCGGTCCAGGTCTGGGGCACCTCTTCCTGGTAGAGGCACGCAGCCTAGGCTGTTCCCCGTCCGGGTCCCACTGCGGGACGACGTACAGCATGTATGTACGCAAGCCAGGTAGGTAAGGTGGACCGAGCAGGCGAGATGGATTACCCATCTTTCTCACACTCTGCAGCACCCGAGACCCGCCGGACCCAGCAGCGGCGGCGACGACAGAGACGGCAGGGAGACGGCGGGAGCCGCAGCAGATATGACTCGAAGAGGGAGGAAGATTCCACAATGTCGCCGACGGGCTGGGATAGAGGGGAACACGACACACATCTGAAGTAGGTAGACAGAGCGCACCCTGGACTCTCACCTACCTACCGTGCCACCTCTGTACTACCACCATTACCACCACCACTACCCAGGGTAACCCCGTCTGGTTCCATGCTACTTGCGTATTACCTCGAGTACGCATGGGTTAGGTGCGTCGTCCATCACCTCCACATGCGTGCCCTGCTGGTGGTAAGCGAGGAAATACTTGCCTATCTACCTGGAGGTCGGTTGAGGGAGCCCATGCTACGTGGGAAAGAAAGGATAGGGCGGGACGGGACGGGCGGCCAGGGAGGGGAGGGAGGGAGGGAAAGGGGGTGACAGTAATCAAGGTCTCGGCCAGGATGGGTAACATAGGTCAGCCCGTCGGCCTTTCTCCCTTTCTCCCTCTCCTCTCTTCGTCTCTATGCATACCTACCTGCCTACCTACCTTACCTATCCTCCAGACTTACCTACGTACATACATACAACGGCGATGCATTTCAGGCATGAAGGAAAAGAAAAATCACGGATGGGCCAGGTCGTCCGATCGGGTCAGGGAAGCTGCCCATGTATATGGGTTTTCTGCTTACCCGTAGGTGGGATTTTACCACATCCAGCCTTATGCATCACCTACCACACGTCGTTGGGAGGTACGTGGCTGTTTCTGGTTTCTTCCTCGCATGATTCATCGCTCACGCACCCACGGACGGTAGGGGAGGGGACGGGGGACGGGGATTGTTTCTCACTCTCGTCCTCATTCTCCTCCCTCCCTCCTCCATTTCCACGAGTCCTGAATCTCAAGAGACCAGACCAGACCAGACCAGGCCCGGCCAGGCCAAGGGAGGGTTTTTTTCCCCCTTCTCTTTCCTTTCGTCTTTTCCTCCTCCTCCCGTCTCCCCCCCCCCCCCCTCCCCCCCCAGTCCTCCCGCTCCCTCCTTTGTTCCTCCCCGAGGCACCCGCCCCCTCTCCCTCCACCGCAGGACGCACATACGTCGAGGGTCCTAGCATCACATAACATGCCACGACATGGTGTGGCGTGGGCTAGGGGCATGACGACGTTGTGTGTAGGGTAGGATAGTAGGGGCATGGGACGGCGCGAGGTGGCGTGTACACGAGCCTGTATGCGTCATTCCCTTGCCGCACCCGATGTGTGTAAGTAAATGCCGAGTTTAGCCAAAGCCCGCCACTTTCTGGATGCATGAGTAAATATGACGACGACTGCGTGCTCTTACTTTACCGGGAACGGTGCGACGATCAGAGGCCAAAAGGGACGAGGCTGTCGACAGGGGGCCGTTTGGGGAGGGGAACCCCCAGGAACTGATAGGTATCTTCTTCGAGCGCAGCTATCGGGATTATGGTATTCTATTCTATGCCACCAAAAAAGGTTGCCCATGGGGTCTTGAGGGTATGTTACAATGGCACTGTAGGCGACAGATCATTGTGTCCAAATCATATCATCCGCCGAATCCTCCGCGCGCCTTCAGCAGAGCCGGGTTACGTAGGTGGCTCTCCCACTCGGACTCGCCGCCGGGCCTCCTCGACTGAGAGCATGTGACGAGCATCTTGGGCACCAAAGGGGCTATCGCAGGTGGTGCACGACCAACACGTCTGGCTCCTCTACGATTTTCCGGACGACGTCTGCGGCACGCGCCATGGTAGCGCCGTCTACGACTCGGTGATCTGCGCTCCAGCTGAAGTTGCACATGTACTTCTTGACGACCTTGTCCTGCCCGTCGAAGGCGGGAACCGCCCGCACACGACCGATACCCAGGATCGCCACCTCCTTCTCGACGATGACTGGCGACAGGTAGGTCCCGCCAATGTTACCTATGTTGGACACGGTGATCGTCCCGCCGGCCAAATCCTGAGGCGACAGCTTCCCGGCCGCGGCCTGCGACTGCAGACGTACCAGCTCTACCGCGATCTCTCCCAGCTTCTTCGCTCCCACGTTCTTGATCACGGGCACGAGCAACCCCGAGGGCGTGTCCATAGCGACGCCGATATTGTGTTGGCTACGATGGACGAGCGTCGGCTTCGAGGTATTGACGTCTACATCGACACGTGCGTTCAGTATGGGATACTGATACAGCGCTAGGGATACAGCTTTAATGACAAAAGGTAGGAAGGTCAACTTGGATACATCTCCTTCCTTGGCCGATCGCGAAAAAATCTTGTTGAGCCGCCGCCGCAGCTCGAGGAGTGCAGAGAAGTCGACTTCGTCGGCGTAAAGGAAATGTGGTATGCTAAGGGATCGGGTCATAGCCTTGAACATTTGGTGTTGGGTATTCGTCAGTCGGACGGTGGTCTCGACCTGCCTTTCCGTGTCTGCTGGTAGTTTGGCGGACAGGGGGTCCGCCACCGGCTGGTCGACAGGCGGGCTGGGTGCATCTCTGCTTTGGACAAATCTGTAGATATCTTCCTTCAGGACTCTGCCACCCTTCCCCGTCCCGTCGATCTGCGTTATGTCCACTTTTAATTCCTTGGAGAGATGTCGGACTGCTGGGGTAGCCAAGGACGCGTACTTGCTCTTCGGCTGCGGTTGGGGTATCGGCTCTTCGTTCTCGGAAGATGCGGCAGGTTCCGTGATAGGGTCTCGCTATTGTATACGTTAACTCGTTGATTCCGTTTGAGGGTTACGTGGTGCCGTCTACCGTCAGCTCGGGGAGCGTCAGAGCCTCGAAATCCTTGTCACTGGCGCCCCCTTGTATGTCGATATCTACAAATGGCCGGCCTACTTTGGCCATCTCGCCGGCCTCATAATACAGCTTCTTGACAACGCCGGAAAACCGACTCGTAATCTCCACCGAGGCCTTGTCGCTCTGGACCTCGCACAGCCGCGAGAACTCCTCGACTCGGGCATTGGGCTCAACGAACCATTGTATGACCTCGCACTCTACAATGCCTACATCGCGTGTTAGTCGGACACCCAACGCACACAACGCAACGGGCACACCAAACGTGGGGCGATCGATGCTCACCTTCTCCTATGTCAGCAAGTAGGACGGGCTTCACCACTTGCAGGGTTCCGGTGGCATGGAAAGCCCGGCGATATAGGGGAGCCCGGGGCTGGGCGATGCGTGCTAGACCTTGGGGCTGCGATGACCGCCGGACCACACGGGCGGTTCGCTGGAGAAACATTGGCACCTATGTTCGGACGAAGTAGGCGGCGGATCAGCGGGCGTCGAGGTCAGAATATATAGGTACCTAGGTATGCACCTTCACACACCGGATAGATTCGTCAATTGCTACCTAGGCAGAGAGAAGAGGAGAGGACAGAAGCAGGAATACCTCAGCTCGCGGGAGAAGAGGAGCTGGGACTTTAGGGGGCGGATCTGGTTGAACTCGACTGCCTAGGTCAACCGCGCTGACGACTTGAGGATGTTCCCCCACATTAGGCCGCTGGTACCCGGAATCTGGGGAAGCCGGCGATGGCCGTCGAGAGGAGGGAGCGTTGTCTTAGGCACCTACCTATCTAGGTAGGTACAATAGGTACATTGGTGCTTGTATTAGGTACCTAAGGTACCTCTCACCTTCCCCTCATGCCCCACTACAGTCGGGGATCCAATCCGGCGGGTTTGCCGATGTCATGACGGGCAGGTACATGGTAGATACCCAAGGTACCTACCTCTCTCTCTATACACCTAAGTACCGTGAGTGCCAGACGCTGCGTCCGCTATACCCATGTGTACGTCTAGGTACCAGTAAGGTACCAACCTCAGGTACGTGACATGGGCTAGCCAGGTTCCATCGACGCCGCGTTCCTGCAGCTGCCGGAAGCCATCGCAGCGTCGTGACTTTTTTTTTCCCCCTCGTCTCTGCGACGTCAGAACCTGCGACGCAAAAAGGTCACGGCAGCGCAGCCGCACCCGCCCAAAACTATTCGGCACATAGCATTCTAGCTATCTGCGACAGACGATGGTTCTTCTGGTTATTTATTAGCTTGCCGCGTCCTCTCCCTCTCGAACCATGTCGTTTGCGTGTCGGCCTAGATTCTCCTGTCTGCGGTGCCAGTCGAGGGCTTTTAGTTCATCCTACCGCCTCCAAGCCGAGCAGCGCCCGTCGCCGGCGGCGCAAGCGGCGGCGAAGACCGCCGCCACAAGCCCGCCGCCGCCGGGGAAGAGCCCGACCACGCCGCCCCCCAAGACGATACCCCCCTCCCCGCTGGCGGATGTGCCGAGGGCGGACGGAGAGCGGGTCGAGTCCTTCACGCCCAAGCCGCTGCTTCGTCCGATAGGCATGCCGAACCCCCCGCGGCCGGGTGAGAACACGGGAGTCGATCTCCGGACGCTCAAGCAGCGTCGCGACGACTTCGTCAACTACGAGAAGCACCTCGAGAAGCGCGAGGAACTGTATGATGCACCCACGCCCCCCCGGTCGGGCTTGCGTCCCCGATGCTCCGCGGAGCTAGTTACGAGCAGGCAGAGGCTAACGGATGCGCGGGCGCCCAACAGGAAGAAGAAGCTGCTGCGCCCGTACTTCCGCGACTGGGGCAACCTGAGCTTCCACAAGGGCAAGACGTTCATCGCGCCGCCGCGGCCGTTCAAGCGGGAGCTGTCGCTCTTCTTCCCGAACCTGCGGGGGGCGACGCCGCTCGCGGGCGACCGGGGCCCGCGCGACACGACGCCGGCGCTGCGGGGGCGGGTGTCGGTGGTCAGCGTGTTCAGCGGCGCGTGGGCGGAGCGGCAGGCGGGCAGCTTCGCGGCGGCGGAGAGCAACCCGGAGCTGGAGCGGGCGCTGGAGCGCGGCGGCGGCCGCGCCCGCCGCGCCTGGGTCAACGTCGAGGAGAACGCGCTCAAGCGCGCGCTCGTCCGCCTCTTCGCCGGCGCCGCCCGCCGCCGCGTCGGCGAGCCCGACCGCGACCGCTACTTCCTCGTCGCCCGCGGCGTCACCGACGACATCCGCGAGCGCCTCGGCCTCCTCAACCGCAGCGTCGGCTACGTCTACCTCCTCGACGCCGACTGCAGGATCCGCTGGGCCGGCAGCGGCCCCAGCGAGGACCACGAGCGCCGCGGCCTCGCCAACGCCGTCCTCCACCTGCTCGAAGAGGAGGAGAGCCTGAAGAAGGCGTCGGGATGAAGGCGCCGCGATGTCGCCGCCACGCACATGTATCATCACTATTTTATGACTCGAGGTGGAAGACGATACCCGCATTTCTGTGAAAGAAGCTGCCGATAGTCCGAGTACGTAGATCGGGTGCACACCCTGAGATGAGGAATGTCGCCCGGAGCCTGTCTAGTATCGCCGAATTGAGGCGATTCAATTGTGCTTGCACAAGAGCTGGCGACCCTACATTAAGCCGTGTTTCAAAATAGACAAGAGATCATCGTCATCTTTAGGAATAGATGTTTTTTTTTCGATTCGTCCCCATGGCGAAAGGGAGCATATCGTCCAATCGGGGTGTAGTGATTATTTGAGCCCTCCCCCCCCCCCCCCCCCGGCTCTTCCACTCATATTGTACAATATACGATTAGGTCGCTGCCCCCCCTCCCTTTCGAAAATCCCACCGGAACGCCTCGCAGGCCTTAATGATGCGACGTAGAGAAGCCGAGATATATCCTCACCACCATGTGCCATAACGCCCAGGTTGCCAGGTAAAAGGAAAAGAGAGAGAGAGAGACGAAAAGTGGCGACAAAGGAAACAAATCGACGTTCCGCCGCCGCTCACAGGAAGAACCAAAAGACGACGAAGCAGAACGCGATGAAGCCCCCCATGATGAAGCCGTCCCGCCGCTTGCGCGTCGAGATCTTGCCGATGAGGCTGTTGAGGCCGGGGACCTGGCTGGCGGCCAGGGTGATGCGCCGGTTGATGTTGGCGAGGGTCTCGCGCTGGACGGCGAAGCTCTCGTTGGTGGCGTAGGCCTGGCTGAGGACGCTGTCGACCATGTTGTGGCTGTTGTCGATGCGGCCGCGCTCCTCGAGCATGTAGTCGGCCTCGGCGGCCTCGGGGTTGTTGGCGCGGTACGTCTGGATGTCGTCGCGGACGTTGGACAGCAGGTTCGCGCGGTCGCGCGCCTCCCGCAGCCCGGACCGCAGCCGCGCGAGGTCGCGCCGGTGCTCCGCCAGCTTCTCCCGCAGCAGCGCCAGGTTGTTCTGCTTCAGCGCCGACGACGTCAGGCTCGCCTCCGAGTCCAGCAGCCGCCCCAGCTGGCTGACCACGCTGTCCCGCTGCAGGCCGCGGTTAGCCCAGAGAATCGCCGTAAAACGGCCGGTGGTGAGGACGGGCAAGATCTAACCTTGTCTAGTACTTCCTCGAGCTTGGCCTCCGTTTCTTGCTCCTCCTTAGTGGGCTTTGCCGGGATGTTCGAAACGGTGGAGAATTGCGAGTACGTGTGGAATAGCGTTTCCGTCTGCCGCCCATGGAGATCAGTACGCCTGCTCTTCCCCCGTCCTTTACGCATAATGGGATGCCCATAGTACCTGAGACTCTAGGCTTCGAGCCTGCTGCCGCAACTGAGCCCAACCTTGGTTTCCCGTCGACGCCGCCATGCTCGAATTTAGAGGCTGAAGTGCAAGCGTAAAGTCGGAGTGCGGCAGCCACTGATCACGCCTAGGGGGGGGGCGGTTCGCGATGGGAGGTTGCGCGTCGACTCTCGTCTAATAGGGACGTCCCATGTAAGTGGTTCGTAACGTCGAGAGGCTCGCGAAATCCGGAGTCGTCACGGGTATCACCCCATTCAACAGAAAAAAGCGATGGTGGGTGGCCGAATGGCGGGCGTCTTGATCGGGAGAAGTATCGATTGCGTTGTGGGAATGCGAGACTGCTGGTCGGTCGAGTCGGCACGATGTGACGATGATGGTTGCAAGTTGGTTAGTATGGAAATACGAGAAAGAAGTCCAGGGTAATTGTCTTTGGAAGGAATCGGTACGCAGGTACTTCAACGTTCTCTTCAAACTGGAGGGTTACGTGAGACGAGGGCCCCTCTTGACGCAGATACCTTAGGTACATAAGTACTTAAGTACCCCGACTACCTTAAGGTATGTATTACATAAGCTAAACGATCGATCAATCACATGACCGCATATTTCCGCCCACAACCCTACAGCGAGGAAATCAATTCTTTTTAGCAGCCTGTCGAAAACGGCCCGCGGAAATTTCACGACAACCTCAAGCAAGCACCCTTACCGGAGACCCTTCCTCGCCCGCCCTACTTACTCGTCGCCGCCACCCAACACCCATTTCACGATGGTATGTTTTTCTCCGACCGACTGAATTGGCCGTCTGCGGCCGCAGACTCTCGCGGGCGAACCGACAGCGCTAATTTCGTTCCGGGTGTGTTGTGTGGTGTAGTCGACTTCCAAGGTCAAGACCGGGCAGCTCTGGAACAAGAACAAGGATGACCTGCTGAAGACGCTGGGCGAGCTCAAGACCGAACTCGGCCAGCTTCGCATCCAGAAGATCATCTCCTCCAGCGGCAAGCTCAACAAGATGTACGTCGGACCGCCGCTCCCTCCATCGCGACGCCCCCTCTTCGCCCTACCCGAGTCCCTCCCGCTTCTATGTTCTGCTTTTCGCGCGCGGGTGGGTAGTTGCTATCGTGGATACGCGCGGAGAATTTCGCGATGGGCGATTTTTTTTCCTTTCGAAGCAGAAGCGCGAAGAGACGGGAAAGAAAGCAAGAAGAAGAAGAAGAACCCCCCCAAAAAACTGACGCATATATAACCCCCTAGCCACGACCTCCGCAAGTCTATCGCCCGCGTCCTTACCGTCATCAACCTCAAGCAGCGGTCGCAGCTGCGTCTATTTTACAAGAACAAGAAGTACCTGCCGCTGGACCTCCGACCGAAGCAGACCCGCGCCATCCGCCGCCGCCTGTCGCCCGGCGAGAAGTCGAAAACGCTCGACAAGACGCGCAAGCGGGCCACGCATTTCCCGCAGCGGAAGTACGCCGTCAAGGTACGCCGAGAGCCGGCTCCTCGATCCACCCCGAAATTTCCCCTTCCGCTCCCTCCCCTTGCACCCCTCCCCGCGAACGGAGTGCCCGGTTCTTGGCTAACTATCGGGGCTCCTCCCCACACGCGCGCAGGCTGAATAGAGGGTGTTTTTGGTTTCCGGCTATGGTAACGTAACGAGGGGGGCAAGGGAAAGCGTAGACGCTTCGGCACGGCCTGCCCTTCCCCCCCCCACAACAAACAAACTAAAAGGAGGAATATCCTGATATTTGCATGGCATCACACGGCTTTCTCGGTTCATAGGTGTTTACGAGGTTACACTTTTGCAGTCAATGTCGCTGCCGAATGCAAACAAAGACTTTGCCTTCGGGCGTTGAACAAATCCCCCAAGCTCCGCCTTCCTATACTGCGCACGTGATATGTCGTCGGAGTATACGAAGAGCGTTGCTCGCATCTTGCCCCGGCACGGCTTTGAGGACGAGGACCGATCGGAATTGACCAGATGCGAGCCACGCAGTTCCTAATGAATGCGTAAGTAACGTAGCGTGTAAATGGGTAACATATGCCTATATACTACTAGAATTGGTATCTAGACTAGATTGGGACCGACAGGTTGGCTAGCGCGTATTGGCTTAAACGTTAGGTATATACAGGTATTTTTTTCGGTGGTGGCTACACCTAGGTGTAAATCGGTATCTGCAGCACTTCTGCGTCGTTGGCTCGTAAAGCTCTCGGGTCGTGTATCCGCCATTCCCTTGTGCACTTATCTCGCTCCCTTTTTTTTCTCTTTCCATACGATCACGCATCTATACTAGGATCGTTCTAGCGTGGTTCGACGCCCCTCGCCCCTCGGCCACTCCCCCCCGGAACTCCTTCGACCTCCTCCTCGGGTAGGTACTAAGTCCGCTAGCCTCAGCTCCCGATTCGCCGCCCGTCTTAAATATTTCAAAAGGCGGACCAAGCATAGGATTGAAGACCGGGAAAAAAAAAACACAAGAGGCGAGGCAATGTGGTATTGGTTGTCCAGATATATATATCGAGACGCGGGCCTCTATCTCACTCCTCGTCCACGTCGTCCAGCAAGACGGACGCTCCGGGCGTCCCCAGGGAATCAGGCGATACAGCGCTCGGCCCCTGTGTCTTCCGGGCCTTCTGCTTTTTCCTGTGTCTTTCGTGCCTCACTTGGTGCCTTCGTAACTGGTCGATGCGGATAAACTGGGCAGTACAGCCCGGCTCGTCACACTTGAATTTGAAATCGGGGTTGTGAGTCTTGCGGTGTTTCGACAGGTTGGACGACTCGCAAAAGCATTTGCCGCATATCTCGCATTTGAGCGGCTTCTCGCCCGTATGCGTGCGCTTGTGCATCGCTACCCCGGGTTAGTCCTCCGTCTTCGTAGTACGCGTTCGACGGTCCTATACGTACTCAGAGCACTCTTCTGCTTAAACGATTTGTCGCAACCCTCCACGTCGCACTGGTACGGTTTTTCCCCCGTGTGGGTCCTGACGTGCTGGTCGAGGGCCTGCTGCGCCGAGAAGCCCTCGCTGCATATGTCGCATTTATGTGGTTTGTCTTCGGTCGCTGTTAGCAGCATACCCTAGCGAGACATCATTTGATCTAACTCACAGGCAGTATGGGTCGCGATGTGACGCCGAAGCTTGTTCCGGGAAGCGAATGCTTGATCGTGACGTCGCGGGCAGCCCTTCCACAGGCAGAGGTATTTGGTCTTGCTCGAGAGGAGGGCTATGTGCTGGCCGCAGAGGTGTTCTTGGAGAGAGGAACTGTCGCTGCAGACGTGCCCACAGACCCCCTCCGTCCCCGACGCGGCATCGCCGGTAATCCACTGGCACACATGCTTGCCCGCCTTGGTCAGCGTCTCTGAGAAGGTGCCTAGATGATTCGACGTCGAGACGGTCTCGTGAGCGCGCGACAGGCTCGAATGAGCCCGTCCGGGTGGGGGGAGCATCTGAGTCGTATCCGCCGAGGGGCCAAGCGTGTCAACGAGCTGGCACCCAAGTTGCGGAAAACCGTGCTGCTGTTGCGGGATGGTGGGAGCGTCCGGCGCGCTCAGGTCTCGTAACGTGATGGCAACGTCATGCTCCGTGTTGGTATGGTTGCAAGGCTGGTTGTGCAGCATCGAGCTTATGTCCGGCTGCATGTCGCTGTGCCAGTTGTGGTCCATGGGCCAGAGGTGACCGAGAGGCTGCGAAACCTGGTCGAAGCAATCCAAGTCGTCGCAGGGCGTGCCATCCCCGGAGCACGACTCGTCTTGGCAGACCTGGGTGGAGCAGCAGTCGCTCGAGCACGAGAATTTGCTGCAGTTGACCGACACACAATCGTCAGGAACGGCGCGCCGCAAAGGGCCGCCCAGGTCGGCAACATTGAAGTGGTTCCCTATGTGGGATTCGCTGCTAGAGGCGTGGTGGCTCGGCCGGAGGTCGTTGTTTAAGCCGTACCGGTTGAGGTTCACGTCCGAGAAGAGGTCCGGGTACGAAGGGGGGAACTGCGGCCCCATCTCGGGGTTTGATGGTTGGAAGGCATTGCTTTCTACGAGGTGATGGGGATAGGCCAACGAGGACTGGGGATACCGTGCTCTCAGGGGCAACAGCGGCGCGTAGGCGCTCCGGTGCACTCCCTGGGGGCTGTAGGTCACTAGGCATTTGTCGATGCAGGAATCGTCATGGGAGGTGTGGTAGAGTTGCAGATACGAGGGCTCTATCGTATCCGAGAAGGGCGGAGGGTAGGGGAAGTGGTTCTCGAAGTCGTGAGCCTCGGCGGGCGACGAGACGAGAGAGGGCAGGCCGGGGTTGGAGTCATTCGGATCGACGGACTCGTCCATCCCGGGGTAAACGGGCATCGTGATCCCGCCTCAACATGACCTGGAGCGAGGGAGTCCCGGACAGGATTGGTCGAGGCTGATCCGCGATCGAGACCGGAGAGGAAACTCGAGCTGTCGGCAGCGAATAAATACCGGCCAGCGAACGGGGCAAGAGGGGTCGGAGGGGGGGGGGAATAGTCGAGCGACAGCCAGGCGAAAGGCTGGGATTTTTGAGGCTCCGGCTAAGGCTTCGTCTGGTTTGTGGGAAAAGGGGGGGCTGTGTGTGATATAGGAAGGGGGTGTGTGGTGTGGGCAGAGAGGGCGGGAATCCAGAGGTGCGGTTGAGAACCTTGATGGTCGGCCGTCGCAGTTGATGTACAGTACTTTGCTGCAGCAGCAAGCCTAGCTTTGCAACCAGAGACAGCAACGACCGACTGAGGCAGCTCGGCCGTTGCCTGCCCCGTCTCCCACCTATAATAACAGCGGGCAGGTAGGCAACTTGCTGTTTCCTCCGGCTCTCCCTCGTTCCTGCTCTGGCCTGCTCTGCTCTGCTCTCTGGGCTTCCTTCGCGCCTTCCTGGCTCGCATGCAGCCCACACCGAGTGGACCGCGCCTGCGAACTGCGGAGCTGCCCACGGCGAACGGCACCGCAGTCGCCTCCCTGGCCCCGACTTCCTCCTGCTTCCTCTCTCCTTTGACTCTCTGTCTTTTTTTCCCCTCTTCTCTTTTTCGTTTTTTTTCCCCAAAATTTATTTTACTTTTTTTTTCCTTTCAACTCTCCGCCCTCTCGCTCCCTTGCCCGGAAGGAAAGCAGACAGGCCAGGTGTTCGCGCCGCGACGATCGATAGCCGTGGTGGTGGCGGCGCCAGCAAGCAGAGGCAGCCCTTGGCCGATTGCTCCCCCCGAAATGCCCCCCGTGCCTGGTGACAGCATGCTGCCTAGGCGTAAGAAGCGGATGTGCGCATTCCCTTGACCCTGACGTCGCTGCTCGCCAATGAATGGCCGCGGATTTGTTAGAAAGGCCTGTGTGGGGGGTTTGGGGCTTCCCAGCTCCTGCGGACGTCCAAGGAAAAAAAAAAAAAAGCCAGAGCACACACAATTGTCAAGTCGCGAGTCGGCGGTGTTATTTGTGGCCATCAAGGTTCTCGCTTCATGCTGCGGGTCCCGGCGGGCACGGGCGGTACTCGTTAGTGACTTGGGTAGGGACCTTAGGTACCTGGGTAACGTAGCGAGCGCAGCACGGCGTCGATGTCACATAGTGTGTACACAGTACAGGTGCCCGCCTCTCACATCAGCCCGTGCTCCCCTCCCCTCTCCATCCATAACACCCATACCAATATGCAGTATATTACAGGTTTAAGTAATGGCAGATTTCAGATGCGAAGGATACCCTCTCTCCTTGTAGGCAGGCTGGGACGGGCTCGCGTAAAAAACAGATACACCCATCCTATGCAAGCTGTCTCCTGACCAGCCCGTACAGCCCATGTACTGTACCTCTACCATTTTCCCTTTCAGGGTCTGTCTGAAGCTCACACAGCCCGACCTGCCTTCCTGTCCCTGGGGTACCTGGGTAGGTAGATAGGTACTTCCTAACATTAGGTACCTCCCAATCTTAGGTAGATACCTACCTAGATAGGGACCTACGAAGGCACCTAGGTAGGCAATACCTAGCTCGACCAGAAACCAGGGCAGGTATGTACCTGGGTACAGCACCGGACCTGTCAGTTCCCCTCCGCCCAGCCAGCGCTCGCTTTCTCCGCTTATGAGTAGGTATTACCTAGACGCTACGCATTGTCCGTCTTGAGCCTCATCGCCGGCCTATCACTTGGCTTATATCCTCTAGCATCTTCTCGCCTTCGTAGGCGTCCATAATATTTCTCTGAGCACGCCCCGGCCTCTAGGGGGAACTTAGTACACGGAATAATTCTCACGTGAACCTACGACAATATCGCAAGTAAAAGGACACGTATGCGCCGGTTCACTCTTCTCTTCTCTCCTCACGCGTAGCCTTGCTCTCTCATCTCGGCTGCCTCCCCCCCCCCCCCCCCCCCCGGCGGTGATACTGCGCAGCCACACAGCCTTGACCTCCACCGAGCCGCTCGATCTAGTCCGCGGCATCGCCGAAAACGACACCGCCAAAATACCAAAGGTGAAAAAAAAATTTTGAAAAAAAAAAACCCCCTCGAACCGACACCCCTCCCCGTCACCCGTAGGCGCAGAAGTGCCGCTTAGCCGAGACCACCGCAGGAGCGCGCAGCGGCCAGAGCGACGGAAGATGGGCAACATCTGCGGCAAGGCGGACAGCGACCACTTCGCCCAGCCCGGGCGCGTCCTCGGGGCCACGCCGCCGCAGCCCGAGCGCGCCGCCGTCCCTGCGAGGGTCGTCGGCGGCCCGCCCCGGACCCTCGGCGGCACCAGAGCGCCCTCGTCCCGCCCCAACCCCGCGCCGCCGCAGGGTGGCGGCGCCAACGCCGACGAGGCTAGGAGGCGAGCCGCGGAAGCGGCAGAGGTACGAACTCCCCCGCCCTTCTCCCCCACTCAAAACATGTAGAGGTATATGTATAATATATATGTATGTATAATATATATGTATGTATAATATATATGTGTATATATATATGCATGCCTATACCTACATATACGCGCATTTTATATCTCGTTGGGCGCAGGCGAGCAAGCACCGCGTCCGTCCTGACCACCACGCGCGACAGAGACGAGCCCAGGCCTCGATGTCGAAGCCCGTCGGCAAGCTCGGCACCCAGCTGGCGGCGCAGAAGAAGCAGACGCGCAACGAGACCCTCAACGAGCTCAGCCGCGACGAGACGCGCCGCCGAGACGCCGACGAGGCGGCCGAGGCGAGGAACCACAATTAGTCGCGACCGGCGCGGCAGGATAGGGGCGGGGGACGAGGACGAGGAGAGAAGCAGGAGCGCGTCGACGATTGGCAGATATTTTTGCATTGCATTCTAGTTTGGGCTCCTGAGCCATGGTCGCCCCCCGTCTTCATTTCTTTCGGCACACATAGCCTCTCGTCATGGACGTCTGCGCTCATCTGTATATTTCTTATCTAGTGTCACATCTCAGCCCGTCTCCGGTACCCGTTGCTAGAACCGAGGTACTAGCTCACCCTGTCCCGGCTGACCCCGACTTATATTTGCCCTCCCATATGCTCTCCCCTGTACCATTACGTGACAGTGTACCTGCCACCTATAGGTGCTCTACTGTCGGCGTCCGCTGCGGCCAGAGTGCCCTCCTTAAGCAGGCGTGTAAGCTCGGCCATAGCGTTTGCCACCATAAGCTCCGTGTCTCCCTCCACCAGCACGTAGAGTTTGGGCTCGCCGCCGGCCGGCACCTCCTTCCCGGCCGGGTAAAAGGTGCCCTTGTTGGTGATGGAGGTCCCGGTGGCGTCCAGAATCTTGGCGACATTGGTGCGATTCGTAACGGCCCAACGAGCTTTCTGCGGGAAGTCGTTGATCTCGAGCGTCGCGTGGAACGCGCCGGCGTCCGGCCCTTTGTTGTCGATGGGCTGGCCTGGCCGCAACTGGCCGGCACGACCCAGACGAGCATTGATGGCATTGATAGCAGACGACACCTTGTCCAGTGGGTTGTTGCCGTTCGAGGATGGCGCCGGGTCTTCTCTCTTGTGGATGGTGTATTTTGGTTCAGGATCAACTTTCGGAGCAGCGTCGCGAGACATGATGCCTGAAGCTGCCGTCTGGATGGCCGATAGGGCTTTGTCGCCTTTCTTTTCTTCTCCAGATTTCTCATCCTTCTTCTCCTCGTCCTCCTCTCCTTCTGTCCTATGACTTTTTCGTTCTCGCAGACGGGCCGCTTCCCTCTCTTGGTCGAGGCGTTCCAACCCTTTGCCACCAAAGCCCGATTGGTCCTTGGCCTTGCCCGACTTCACCTTGTCCCTAAAGGCTTTGCGCATTTCGTCCAACTGTGACGGGACCGGCTGACCGCTCTGCTCTAAGGCCTTCGCGATTCCCGGGGCACAGTTCTCCTGATCTCCGGTTACGAACGTGACTGCCGTTCCCTTGTTTCCAGCACGTCCCGTGCGACCAGCACGATGTACGTAATCCTCGAGGTGATTCGGCGCATCGTAGTTGACCACTAGCTTCAGCTGCTTGACATCGAGACCGCGGGCCGCCACCGAAGTTGCGATGAGGATTGGAACAATACCGTGCTTGAAATCTTCAATGGTCGAGTCTCGATCGATCTGGTCTTTCCCACCGTGAATCGACATGCAAGGGTAGCCTTTTCGCATCAATTCTTTCAACAAATCATCGGCCTTCTCTTGGCGTTCTACGAACACTAGAGTTCGAGCGTCCTCATCCTTGTCGTAGAGCTCGCCTAGAAGCTCGAGCAAGCGAACAAACTTGCTGCTTTCCTCGCGGATCTCGACAACCTGAGTGATCTCGGGAGCAACCACACTCCTCCCCCCTACGGTAATCTCTACAGCGCTGTTCAGAACTTTCTTGGCCAAGGCGTCCATGATACGAGGCATCGTGGCCGAGAAGAGGATTGTCTGGCGGTCTGGTCGCATATTCGCGAAGATTTTCATCACTTGCGGCTCGAAGCCCATATCGAACATCCGGTCCGCCTCGTCGAGGACGACGTACGTAACCCTCTTCAAATTGGTGACGCGGCCTTGATTAGCTGCCAGCAAATCGATCATGCGGCCCGGCGTGCAAACTACAATCTCCGCTCCCCGCTTCAACTCGGCGATGTGGTCCTTGATGGGCGCACCACCGTATGCGCAAACCGCACGAAGATTCATAGACTTCAAGAATGGTTTGCAGTCTCGGTGTATCTGGGTAGCCAACTCACGTGTCGGGGTCATAATCAGGCTGATGGGGCCTTCGTTCTCCTTGAGGGGCCGTTGATCTTTTATGTGCCGAAACATGGGTAAGAGAAACGCCAGCGTTTTTCCCGAGCCAGTCTTCGCGACGCCGATAACGTCTCGGCCGGACATGATGGCAGGAAACGCTTGCATCTGAATCGGCGTAGGCTTTTCGTACCCCAACCCGCTGATGATATCCAGAGTTTTCCGGGACAGTGCGCATTGCGACCACTTCTGGACCGGCTTCGGTACATCCTTCCCGGACACCTTGATACCGTCCAATTCAATACGCAGGTCTACCAATTCGGCATCAGTCATCTCCGATAATTCGGCTGGTTCGACCCAGAAATTCTTCCGGATGGGTTCTAGATCGAGTTTGCTGTAGTCGACCGACGGTATATCCTTCTTCTTGCGCGCCTTTGCCGCAAGGGCCAAGAATGAATCAGGGTCCACATTCTCCCTGCGATAATCGTACTCGTCGTCGCTAAAGTATGCCTCGGGTTCCTGCGCGTTCTTTTGGCTCACGCCGGTCCTGGCGGGTTTCATCACGACGGGCTTGATCTCGAGGTCGTTCATGAAAGCGTCCAGGGGGTCAACATCCTCCTCATCAATTTCCATCTCCTCGCTGGGTTGTGCCTCGCTAGGTTGCGCCTCCCGCGTGGCGTCGTCTATTTCCGGAACTGGCCCTTCCTCGCCTTGGTCGACCTGCATTTCGGCTTCCTGTTGAGCGTTCCCCTGCGCGATACGTTCTTCGCGTCTTTCCTGGGCTGCTCGAGCGGCGGCAGCCTCTTCCTCTTCGTCCCCGGCAAAATGAGCTGTATCGTCATCGTCCTCCTCATCCTGATTATCGTAGGGCGTATCGTCAACGTCGCCGAGGGGTAAGGAGGGCAGCTTAGCGAGTTTCCTATCCGACGTCTCATCTTCGTCAAGCATCAGCTTGCGCTTTTGTGAGACTTTGTCGGCTTCCGCGTTCTGCTTGTGGAAGCCGAAACCGCTTGCTTTAGCTCTGCTTTGTGGTAGGGCGGAGACTTGAGTGTCCGTATTAGTAGTTTGAATAGACGGAGACGCGAGGACACGGGGACTTACCGCTTGGAGCTTTTGCTGTCGGAGCGACATTTGCGGACGGCTGACCCGCAATCACGCCCAGTTTAGGGGCTGCGCCAGGGGAATGGGCCTTGGGAGCGGACTTCTTTGCGATAGCCTTGGGGTCGAATTTTCCAGCGTACGGGGCAACCGGTGACAGAATTTGCTGATCGGCTGGGGGTGTCGACACGGGCAAGGCGTCCGTAGACGGAGCCAAAGAAGGCGTAGCGTTAGCCTTTTGGTCCATTTCAGCCAGTAGTTTCCGAGTTCCGCCTGGAGTTGGCTCCTTTTGCCGTTCTTTCTCCTCCTGTTTCTTCTTCCATGCTGCTAACTTCGCGAGCCGCTCGGCCTTCTTGTCGGACTCGGACTGGGCAGACGAAAACTTGGGCAAGTCGGCCTATAAACGCGCGTTAACCTGGTTCCGAAACGATGCTACAGAGGGGTCAATGCAACATACGTCGGCAGCCTTGGGTTTGCTGGAATCGCTGGGCGCCGGGGCACGGTCGCGACTATCGCCTCGCCTACTGCGTGGATTGGAGTCAGCAGTACCTTCGCGCCGTCCTCTGCCTCGATCACGGGACTCGTCTCGCCTGCTTCGGTGATCCCTGTCACTATCACGGTCACGGCTTCTCCGCCGACGAGGATCGGGAGATCGGTCCCTTTCCCTGTCTAGAATGCGATCACGCGACCGCCTACGGTCTCTCCCGCCTCGATAATAGTCGTCGTCTCGACGGTCTGTGGAACGGTCACGTCGGCGGAAGTCATGGTCCCTGTCACGATCGCGGTCGCGGTTCCGGCGCTGTGGAGTCGGATTGTTAGGCGGTGGGATGATGCCAGATATTGGTCGTCTTACATCGAGTGGGCTCCGAGAACGACTCCGGCGTCGTGGGTCTCGGCCAAAGTCTCGACGGTCCCGGTCCCGATGCCGGTCTCGGTCCCTTCTATTCTCATCTCTGCGTTGTCTTCTTGAGGATTGCTGGCTTCCTGCAGGAGTTGGTGAGCGTGAGTCTCTGAGCCGAGCCATTTTCTTCTTTTCTTTTGCAGTAAGATAGTACGGCTCGGTCGCACTGTAATGGTGAGAGCTACCAGAGGACTCGAAGAGGAAGCTTCAGTCAGACGACCAGGCTCTGTGGGAAGATCGTCGATGAGACAGAAGCTCAGACGATAGCCGCGTCTCAAATGACGCCGGCGGATTGATTGGGCTGCCGAAGAAACTCCCCAACTCGGGGGTAAAGAGTGAGCAAGAGGACAGGTAGGTAGGTGGGCAAAATGCGTAGGTACATAGGTAGGCACTAGTAGAAGTGGATGGCGTTGAGTATTTACACCTACGTCGGTCCAAGGTGGAAGTTTAGTCAGAGCAGAGTTGTTCCGACCGGAGGGCTCCAGATAATAGGTCTGTAAAAAGGACAATATTACTCATATACGTACACTGGAAGGTATGTGCAAGGCTTGCCTGAGGCCGCAAGAGGTACATACCCACCGCCTGAAGTTCTACTAAAGTTCTTACTACCTACCTAAGTACCTCCCTGCTCACCTCCTGCAGGAGGCCAACATGAGTACCTCTCCACTTTAAGGTACTATAGGCTCTATCCTCCTTGCCCCTGTACCTGCTGTGGCTGAAGAGAGGTGCTTGAAACCTTAGGTAGTTATAGGAACTTGACACTAAGAGGGTCTATCTATCTACAGTATGTCTACAATAGTGTTAAGATATCAATACTATAAATAAGATTACAAGAAGGCTAACGAAGTTATAATAAGAATTACTATATTATTCCTTTAAATGTTTTAATGTTTTAATGTTTTAATATTTTAATGTTTTAATGTTTTAATGTTTTAATGTTTTAATGTTTTAATGTTTTAATGTTTTAATGTTTTAATGTTTTAATGTTTTAATGTTTTAATGTTTTAATGTTTTAATGTTTTAATGTTTTAATGTTTTAATGTTTTAATGTTTTAATGTTTTTATAATTTTTATGGTAAACGAGAATGCGCCGTCGGACCCGCCGGATTTAGCGGCCCCTTTCCATTGACCGCGCGCTCCCGCCGCTTTTCGTCCGCGTCGTGCGCCGCGCTGCAAGGCTCTAGCTGCAGCATAGGTATACATAGCTCTCCTCCCCCGAGGATCGATCGCAGGTCTCGCGGAGTCGTCCCCAGGCGCTTGCTCACGGCCGTGGTGTTGCTTTCTTCCCCGCGTGGTCTCCCCATGTATAGTTCAGGCAGATATAGTCACCCCAGATCTCGCGCTCGGCCGTGAATTCGAGTTACTCGATCCGGGCTTCGCATAGTGGGAGCCGCTCAAGATTGACGTGTTCGTAACTCCACGAGATGGATCATGAGCTGTTGGCTACGTAAGCGGCAGACGAGATAACCCACTACGGAGAGCATGTTTAGGAACACCAAAGCTGAAACACCAAACAATCACGACTCCCTCATTATGGATATCTCTAAGTATGCTGCAGATGCGGGTAGTTATGACAATTTGTCTGCCTTCCAGATATCTCAGTTTTTCGAACGGCATAGACCTGCCACAATCGACGGCTGCGATCGCCTTGCCGCCGACATTTTGAGCTGTCCCGTCTCCCCCACGCCCATACAAGGTGGGAGCAGCTATACTGTGGCGGCAGCCGACCACAATCAGGCGTCTAAGGTGGTCCAATTTCGGTCTAGAAAGTTGGACATGGAGCTCATCGAGCTTGCAAGACAATCATATGGCGCTTTCGTCCCCTACTGCAAGCCCCATAGCACGATGCTAGGGGACGTCCACGTCTACGTATGGGATCTTGTCCCCGGGCTTGCGTTTTGCCGAGTCCGCCGTCAGTTTCTCGCCCTTGATGTTGGGATGGAACAGCGTCTGTATCGAACTACAGATGACTTTGCAAGGTCTGTCTGTTGACACATATCCTTATTGAGATTCTCGTTGACAAAAGACTCTAGGTTCTTTGCTTCGGCGTGGAACAATAGGCCCGCCATTGAACGGCCTCCCGGCTTACTCGACGAGTATTATGGGATCCTCGACCAAGTTTCCCAGGGCCTGCCTGAACAGTTGCAAACCAGGTTGGACGAAGTCCGACAGGGGCTTCCACTTCTCTTCCGGCCCGACTATCCCATGGCTTTCCAACACGATGACCTCTTAGAGAACAACATCCATGTGGATGAGACCACAGGCCGTATTACGGGTATCGTTGATTGGGCTGATGCTATAATTGCCCCATTTGGCGTTTCTCTCAGCGGCATTGAAACTATACTCGGCGTCCAGACTCTAACTGATTGGCACTTCCATCCCAGCCATCTTAACCTCCGAGAGCGTTTCTGGGAGATTTTCTACGGGGAGATCGGGAATATCTCGGAAGAGGATCGGCGTTCAATCGAAGTCGCAAGACTGTTTGGGCTGTTTCGGGCCCATGGCTTTGAAGAAAAGGACAAGGCAATCATATATCTCGAAGCGTTATGTTCGCCGTTTCGCCGCCTCCCGCTTATAGCTCAGGGCGGTCATAAGCTCGGCGGACCGGATGCGCAACCGGAGGAGCCCCTCGTCGTCTAGGCAGTCCGGTTGGTTGACGAGGATCTCGGCCAGCTCGGCGCGTTCCGGGATGTGGAGCTCAATGGCTGGCGCGACGTATTCTACCTCGGTCTCTGCCTCTTCTGCCTCCCCGCTGAACTGTCTCTCGATGTCCCAAGTCAGGTGGCTTTGGAAGTAGTACTTGCGATATCCAGTCTTTACGTTCTTCTTGCACTGCTCCTCTTTATTCCTAATCTGCCGGCCGAGGTCTCGGATCTCTCTTTCGTTGTCGTGGCCTTGGATTCGGGACTGACCGCCCTTGAGCTCTGCCCGCCGACGCCCCAGATCCTCGATTTCCGGATCGGGTAGCATTTCCTGCTAGACCTCGTCGGGCGCCATGTCGCTAGATGTGCGGGGGTCGCTCACCAAGCTCATGTGCGACCAGAACTTGATCAGACCATCTTCAGTTGGCTTGTCCAAGACGACGTTTTGGACGTGGAATTGGATCATCTCGTTAATGCATGCCGCGTTGAGTGTGGCCCACTTTAGATTATGGCGCATCGCCTAGTCGCGGACGGTATCCAGTGCGTTACCTATAGGCAGACTCTTCCGTTAGCATCAGGGTGAGGTCACTCTTACGAACTCGGCTTCAACCTACCACTTACAGCGTTGGCGGCCATCCTATGGAAAGTCTCAGGCCCAATAGCCGCTTCTTCTCCAGCGTCGAGCGACTGCTGGGCCATATCGTCTCCGAGTTTGTGGTATTGTAAGGGTAGGTCACGGGAGAGGACGGCGTCGTCGAATCGGCGGAAGAGTGGGATCATAAGTACGGATTCCTTCCACCGGATAGGGGTACACTTGATCGGTCCGAGGTTCTTGGTCTGAAAGACCCGTGCCGCGTAGGTTAGGCTCCGCGCATCGAACGCATTGTCTCGCAGCGGCTGGCTGATGACAATGGTGATAGGACAGAGAGCCACCCTCCGGGTCATTGTAAAGAAGAAAATCGTCCCAGCTAGTTCTTAAAACGTCCCAGTTGTTAAAAATCCATTCGCAACTATCAGACAAGACTACAAGACCACTTACGGCTTCGGTTTGTTATCGGCTCCCTTGTGATGGATAAACTTCACTGCCATAGTCAGAACGTTCTTCCCTCGTAACCGAGCGCCTTGGGGCGCCCTTGAGGCCGTCTCTTGACAGAGCAGGTCCTCGAGCAGTCTGGAGTGTTCGTCTGGTGCCTTGTCGTCGCCGTTTTCATCATCCTGCCTGATAGCTTTTTGGCCATAGAGCTCGTCCCAGGTTCCGTCTTTGGGCTTGCCCGGCTCGTTGTCGACAATCTCCGCAGGTCGTGCTCCGGTGGATGCAAGAAAGATGTAACAACCCGCTAGTACTGGCGAAAATATTCCCAGGACGTGCCCTCCGACGTGGTATTGTGGTCGTCATATATGGAGTCGACAAAATCTGTTGTCGTGCTCATATCTGCTTTCTTGATCGCGTCGTCCCAGGCCCCCAGCTTGCTGAAGTCGCAATACCTTTTGCAAATTCTGTCAGCAGAATCTGTGATAGGAAGGGGGGGGTGGAGAGAATCCAAGAACTTGACTACCTCTTCCATTTCCGTAGGATACCAGTCGTATTACGCTTGGTAGCCTTCGCGCGAGGGGGCTTAAAGAAGCGTTTGCGTGTCACTTGGGCACGGAGCGCCGCACGCTGCTCTGTCCTGAGAGGCTGCGGCTGATTCCTCTTCGCTTTCCGGTCTCTGGTCTCTTGCTCGGCGAAGCGCTGGACGAAATCGGCACGGTGTGTCCCGTATCCATGAAGAGCGGTTGGGCGCGGCTTTGCTACTTCCTCCGTCTCCGCGGACGAGAGTCATGTTTGGTGGAAGGAAACGAGACGGGAGACGGTGGCGTGACGACGAGAGCCAAGCCCCGAGAGAGGACGGCAGCGGGTGCGAAGGGCTCCATTTCAGCTTGTTGGCTCTTTTGGATTCAGGCCCTCGCAGAATTCGAGGAGTTGAAAATGGGAACCAGGCAAGCCGCTCAGCCCCTATCGACGGCAGACAGCCAAATCCCCGGCGGCCACAACAGCGCTTTCTCGTTTTAATCTGTATTTGTAGGTACCTACTGTAGGTACCTCTAGGTTGGCAGGAGGTACCTACCTACCTAGGAGGCAGGTACCATAGGCATTATGCACCCACCACAGTAGGAGGGGGAGGGGTTATCGACAGTATGTCTACGTAGTAATACTAACTTAATATTAATATAAGCTTTATATAATATAATACTAATAAACTCTTTATAAAGTATAATACTAATATAATAAAGATTATTATATAGATTTTACTATAATTTAATGTAAATATTATAATATAATTATTCTAATGAAGTATATATTAATTATTTATCCTTAATTAAATTAAAATTTAATATTATTTGAATTTTAGTATTATCTTTAATTACAAATAAATCTTTGAGATGAATTTTTATATAAATATATTATCTATATAGTAACTATATTATAGCTTAAGGTTAATTTACTTTAATATAATCATAAATATACTTTTAATAAATAGTAACTATTTCTAAAGCTAGAAACGGTCTCTGACATACTGTCGACAGACCCCCATCCCCCCGTGTAGTAGGTACCTGCGTATCTTCATAACCTAATGGCCCAAGGTCACGTCGCCATGACCGTTTGCGTGCTAACTTTTAGTCCAGTTATGCATAACACAAACCAGGGCAACAGATAGGTACCCTTAAGTACCTTGCTCTAATTTTCATTCAAACAGACGGCACCATATCAGCCTTGGAGGGGAAGGTGCATAATGTCGCGTGTGGCATAAACATGGGCACATACCTTCATTTTACCCACCCCCAAAAAAAAACCTCCTCGATTTTCTCGAGATCCACCCCTCCTCCCAATTCCCATCACAGCCGCATCGACGAGTTGCAATAGGGCTTCTCGTCCCTTTCAATTCAATCCGAACGTTTCGTCAATTGCCAATTGCCCATCATGCTGTTTTCTATTGGACGCACCGCCATCGGACGCCTGGCCGCGACGGCGTCTGCTACGACATTCCGTCGTGTGGTGGCCTCTGGTGCTCTAGCTCAGAAGAAGCTCGGTATCTCACCATTGGGTGACGGAGTCCTCGTTCGAGGCTTCGCCGCCGCCACCACGCGGACCAAAGCAGCTCCCAAGGCCAAGGCAAAGGCCGCTACGGCCAAGAAGACAACGGCCGCCAAGAAGAAGGCGACGGCCACCAAGAAGAAGGCGACAGGCACCAAGAAGGCAACGGTTAAGGGCGCAAGGAAGAAGACCGCAGCTCGCAAGACACGCAAGACAGCGAAATCAACCCGAGGCAGAGCTAAAGGCAGAGCTAAAGCTACCAAGGCTAAGCCTCGCAGGCGAAAGGCATTGACCGATGAGCAGAAGGCGGTTCTGGAGAGAAAGACACTCAAGGAGGCAGCTCTCACCAGCGAACCGAAGATTGCCGCCGAGAGTGGATGGAGCCAGTTCGTTACCGAGCAGACCAAGGGCAAGCCCGAAACTGCGACCGACCTTCGAGCCAAGATGGGGGAACTCTCAGCCGCCTTTAAGCAACTTCCAGACTCGGAAACTCAGGTGAGTGCCTCGATATCGTGTTGATTCTATTATGCCAGATATATTGACACATTTTAGCGACTCCAAGCTATAGTTGAGCAGAACAAAGCTGCCAACCGAGCAGCATACAAGAAATGGGTCAATTCCTTCACTCCCGCACAGATTCACGATGCCAACAAGGCTCGTAAGCGGTTGAAGAGGAAGTATGACATCCCTAAGGGCTTCGCGAAGCTCATTCACGATGACCGGCAGCCCAAGAGGCCAGCCTCGAGCTTCGTCCTCTTCACCAAGGCCAGATGGGCAAGTGGAGATTATGCCAACAAGCCCATCACTGAGAGCGCCAAGCTCATCGGCCAGGAGTGGAAGAACCTTTCTGCCGAGGATCGTCGGGTAAGCAAAGGCGAGAACCTCGATGACCGCTATTGCAAAGCTAATTGGTTTTCAGGTTTACGAGGATCCTGCAAAGAAAGATTTGGACCGATATGAGAAAGAGGTCAAATCGGTTCTGAATCTCTCTGTGAAGCGGGCGGACACAGCATCGTGATTGTGTCGCCCGTAGCTTTCTGTTCAAGTCTGTCAAGGATCACTACTTGCTCGGGGGTCGATAATGTGGCTCGCAGATGCGCGGGTCATGGATTCGGTTGAGAAATAGGCCGGGCAGTCTCAATATTTCATTACACCCCCCTAGTTATGGATGACCTGTTATGAAACCCCAGTGAGGCTTGAACGCTTGATTATCTCTTGTACTTGTAGTTCCCCTGTCGTGCAATGCTTAGTCACATTTCCTTGCCGACCAGGTCCGCCGAGGTTGGAGGCCAGGTGCAGAGCCTACAACGCAGGGGCTGGTAACCAACAAACGCTGGTTCTTCTTCGAGATGGTCGTGTCGATCACGTATCGACTGCACGCGGCGCGGCGTTCATCGAAGTAATAATACCCCACTCTCCAATGTCGATATACCTGCCGAGCTCGCACGTAACACCTCCTTCTAGTGCCGCTAGGCCCTGGCCTCCGTGATGACGACAGCCACTCCTTCCCCATCCACCCACGTGCCACCGGTGAGCAGGATCCTGCGCTGGCTCGCCAGGTAGAGCAGCAGGTAGATGTGGGCCGCCACGGCGCCCCAGCAGTAGACCCGGAGCGAGCTGAACGCGGGGTCCCGCGCGCACCAGACGCCCCACCCGGCGGTGCCGGCGGCGACGTAGTTGGCGAGGTAGGCCCAGGCATCGCGCTTGAGCTGGGGCTCCCAGGCGGAGCAGTCGAGGCGCCAGTGGCCGCGCTCGAACGGGCGCAGCGCCCTGCACTGGCGGGCGGGCCGGTACCGCCTCGCGACGTCCAGGTCCCTCGCCAGTTTCGCCAGCGCCGGCGTGACGAAGCTGTCCGCGCCCAGCTCCGCGGCCGACGTCGGCGGCGGCGGCGCGTGGAGCTCGAGGCTGTCGTACGTGTACCCGTGGGCGCTCAGGAAGCTGACGGTGATGGCGGACTGCTGGTGGAAGGACACCCTCGACCCGGCGTCGCTCGCCGCCCTGCTCAGGGCCCGCGGGCTCGTGGCCGCCGCCGGACCGGGCTCCTGCTGTCCGGCCGGGGGCGGCTCCGAGCTGGCCTCGGCGGCGGCGGAGGCTGGGTCCGACGAATCTACTAATATAGTTTCTTCGACGACATTATCACTCGTTACTTCACCCTGAGATTGGGGGATCTGCAGGGGTTCCGGTGCGGACTCCCCTGGTGGCTCCCCCGCAAGGTCTGTCTCAACCGGCCTGCCTAGTTCGGGGGAGGGATCGCGCTGCGGCGTGCACGGCACGACTGACAGCGGCGGTGTGCCGACGACTGCCGGAGTGGGTCTGCGTATCGGGTTACGATGGTTGGGATTCTCGGTAGGGTTGCCCGGAGCAGGACGATGGGCCTCGGGTTGGGAAGGGCCCTTGGAAGACTCGGAGGGCGAGCCGAAGGATTGGAGGTAGTGCTCCAGAACTCTGGTAGGCGTGGACAAAACAGCCAAATTGATTCTATTTCCCAGGCACGAGTCCTCTACTAGACTCGAGGGCGTTTGCCACGACGACTGTGTCATTGTCGGCATCGGGGCGCTCCCAACACCGACGGAATCGGCTCCAGGGATGCGACCAGTGGGGACGCGGGGTGAGCCTGCATTGTCAATGGCACTCCGGAACGAAGCCTGCGGTGATGTTAGCGAACCCAGGGGTCCGGTTAGCTGCTGGCTGGAAAAAGTGCTCCCCTGACTCTGGGTGTGCAGACTTGGTTGGCCTATGGGGCGGTTCTGTAGGTCGCTGATACTGAGTTGATCCAGATCAAGCCGGGCCGTCGACTCGAAGTCTCGGTATGATGTGGCGAGGGACCGGTACCAAACATCGTCAGCTGCCCTGCTTGGCGCTTCAATATGGACTAAGATTTCCACCTCTGGCTGTTGGTCCATCTATCACGATCATATCCCCGAGACCATTTCAACGGGGTGGATGCCTCGGGGTGGGTTAAGGATGGATGCTAGTGCTAGATGGAAAGCCTATGTTCTGTGGGTTATGTACACGGGTCAGGTGTCTAGGGTGGTAGTGGGTGTGCGGTATGTTTGAAGGGACGTGGTGTTGAAACAGGAACGCTATTGCGACGCGGTATCAGGGAGAAAGAGAGAAGAGAGAGGGGGCTTGGAGGGCATCTAGTGATCTAGCTTACTTGGCGGGGCGACGTTGAGCCTTGAGAGCTGTCATTGTTGTTGGTGAGAGAACCCAAGTCAGTCAGTTGGCAAGACGTAGGTACTTATTATACTATGGATCCGTGCATGAACAAATCATAGGAGGTTAGATAGGAGGTAGGTACCTACCTAGGTAAGTACCTGTCTACTACGTACCCAAGGTACCGCTGTATCTGCCCCTTGCTTCGGCTGTGCCAGGTACCCGACTTACTGAAATCCGCCTGTGCCTTGTATCACTCTGTGTAGGAAAGGTTGACCTACATGCAGACGACTTTATTTACAAGCCAACCCGAATCTGTAGTATAGGACGGATTACACGTACACATACCTGCAGTTAAGGCATAAAATACGGCAGTAACATTAAAGAATAGGTATCTACCTACCTAACTCCCTGCTAGCTACCTACCTTTCCCTCCGAGGTAGGTACAGGCAGGTATGCGTGAGCCTAAGTTAGGTACCTAAGGTAGATACCTAACGTAACAGTTACTGCTCTATATCTGGTACCCAACAAAAATGACTCCCCCCCCCCTTTTTTTATAACTGTGTGCGTATTAGGTACTTAGCAGTATGTCTGATACCTGATTCACCCGGTGTATGGTGGATGGTAGCAGGCCTAGCAGGACCTCGGACATTATATACTGCCTGCCTACATGTCAGATGCATATGTGCGTAGATACTGGAAAGGGTATGTGTATATCCGTGAGGGAGGAAATAACATGTTGGTGAAGTACGAGGCCGGGTGCCTCTGCGGTTTAATTTAGCAATGTCCGTTGTGTTGACGATTTAATACCTTTTCGTCGTAGCATGGAACTCCGGTCGGTGCTTGGCGCCAACATCACATGGGTTAGAGGCAGAGGGCAGTAACTGTATTATGCAGGCATATAATATGTGTAAGTATGAGTGCGCGTACCTACCGTAGATAGGTAAATACCTACCTGCCTGTAGGTAGGTACCTAGGAGGTAGGTAGGTAGGTTGGTAGGTACCTACCTATGATGTGGGATACCGGACCCGACTCACGTGACGGTGCTAGATTACGAATTGGCCAACGCCCGCACCCAGAGACCCCACCAGACAGCACTACTAATAGGTACGTAGCAGGTACCTTCCAAGGTGCTGCAGGCGCATGCAGAGCCAGAGGACAGTGCTGGGTACCTGAGGTACCTACACGATGATCGCATCCAGTATCACCATGTGGGCTCAATGAGCTTGGCACCCGCAACTGCTTGATATATTGAGATTGCAGCCGATCCATTTATTGTCCACAAGCCGGAGAGGGGAGGTACTACCTCATATCCCATCCCAGGTATACATTTAGTAGTGTATTATTCCCCGTCTCCTGGCCTGGCTGGATTGTCCCGCCCCGAGCAGAACCTCCATCCCTCCCTCCCTCTCAATCACCTTGCCTGCCTTCGCCTCTCTGTGTTGCTTCTCCGTGCCCTCTAGTCCATCCGCCTGTCTGTCCGTCTGTCCGTCTGTCCATCTGTCTGCCCGTCGTCTGTCCGTCCGTCGTCCCGTCCGCCGATCCTAACGCCTGAGCGCGGGAAGAGCATTACGGGGAGGAAGAAGACGACACGACGCTCCCTCATTCGCGTTCGACTCCCGACTGGCTGTTGCTGCTGGGGTTGCTGATGGTTGTTGGCTGCCGATTGTTACTTGTCGGCTGCCCACCATCTCTTTTGAGAAGCACATCAACCAGGCCCCGCAGGACTGCAAGTTGTTGAACCCCCTCGGACTCGGTCCGCCCTCGAAGATTATATACCATACCTACACCTCGCCCAATGCCTGCGTATCTCTACCCCCTACTCACTAATGACATACAAGGGATTGGGCCCTTATACTAGCTGGTCTACCTGACCTAGCTGCATCTATCCTACCTGCACCCTGCCATCGTGCCCACCAACGCATAAGGCAGAGGCGGGAGGAAGTAAACGAGTAGGAGAGGCAGAGGAAAGAAGAAAGAGGGGGAGAAAAACAGAGAGGACACGCGAGGGTAAAAGAGGACTAGAGTAGGGACAGAAGAGGACAGGAGACGGAGAGATACCTATGCTGATCCCTTTGTCCTGCATCACATCCAATTCCCGCCTTCCCCTGGTTCATCGTCGGTCCTCCACTAGTACATATTCACCTACATACATACACTGCATACAATACATATCCCCCCCCCCCCCTTCTACTTACCACAGCTCCCCGTTCGCGCTGCGCTTCCACCCCAGCTTGGCTTCCCTGAGGGTTACACTTCGTCGGCAACAAGCATCCTTCCATCCCCCCCCCCCCCCAATTCTCTCGCCCCCTTCTTCCTCACTGGAACTAAAACGTTAATTACTGCTGTATACGCACCACATGCCGTGCTATCTCGTCTCCCACGATCATTATCCTTCTGAGCGCACGTTTCGGTATTATTGACGCTCTCGATGCCTTTGAGTCTGGGCTCTAACAAGCACTCAGACACCTAGCGACACCATCGCCGTACGCAACCATCTAATAGACAGCCCCCTGAGAGTAATAGAAAAAGCCGGCCGTCGTCATTGTCAGATCCTCCCACCGACCAGTCAGCCAGCCCAGTCAGTCAATCGAGTCCGTCCAGTCCAGCAGCCACCAGTCTCGCAATCAATCAGTCCAGCTCTGCCCGCTGTAGACTTCTCCAACGCGGCCAACCAGCCAACTATTCGCCCTCTTTCCACCGTCCCGCATCGTCCCGCATCGTCCCATCGTTGAAAAATATCCGACACCACACTTGCACATACTAAATGCTAGCTGTAGTACACGCCATCACCACCCTCGTTCATCGCTCGACTCTGGTTTCCCCTTGACCTCTAGGCCGCTGAACTGCACTTCCTACACAAGCCCAAATTCTTCGCTCGTTCCTGCGTCAATCCCAGTCCCACATGCTGTTGGAGCAACAACCAGGTCTGTCATCTCCTGCCAATGCCTGACGGTGAATCACGCTCTCGCAACGCCGACCGTATAATTGCTGCTCCACTCTGTCCCCCCAACAATCAATTCATATTCATACGTCCTACTTGGCCAACGAGTACTGCCCATCCAACTCCTGCCGGGTCGAGATAGGGCCCTATTTTGGTCACCATGATGGGCCCCGACCACGGAGGCGGTCTGCCTGGTGACCGAGCTCAAGGACGCCCACCACTGCTGCCCAACGAGAATAGCTACCAGCTCGACCGCGATCGAGCTAATATGACGCCGAGCCCATCCTATCCTAATGGGGCTTTTCCACCTCCCAGCCGACCTTCTGCGTCGCCCGCCCACAGCGACCCGCGGCCGAGTGTTGAGCGTAATCGATCCCGGGGGCGAGCCCCTGGGAGGACCGCCAGTGGACAGCTCCGTATATGCGCCAAGTGTGGCGAGCCTCTGACGGGGCAATTCGTGCGAGCCCTGGATGGGACATACCACCTCGACTGCTTCAGGTGTCGTGTAAGTCTTGCTACGTCTAGCAGCGCTTGTGTCCAATATCTGACGTAGGTTGCGACATCTAGGATTGCGGTCAGATCGTGGCCTCCAAGTTCTTCCCTGCAGACGACGAGGAAACGGGCGGCCAATATCCGCTCTGCGAGACAGATTACTTCCGACGCCTCGGTCTTCTATGTCACCAATGCGGCGGTGCTTTGCGCGGGTCTTATATCACAGCCCTCGACCGGAAGTACCACGTTGACCACTTTACTTGCTCGCTTTGCTCGACGGTTTTCGGGGCCCAGGACAGCTACTACGAACACGATGGGAATGTGTACTGTCATTATCACTACTCGACACAATTTGCCCAACGGTGCAACGGCTGCCAAACCGCCATCCTCAAGCAATTCGTCGAGATATTTCGCAACGGACAAAATCAACACTGGCATCCCGAGTGTTACATGATTCACAAGTTCTGGAACGTCCGTCTGACGCCTCCCCAAGAATCGAACGAACCTCGTCCGGAACAGGCTGACGAGGAGAGTCGCGAACGGGTCCGGCAAGAAGAAGAAGACATGGAGAACAAGGTTTATCGGATCTGGAGCGTCTTGTCGACATTCGAGGAGTCTTCGGCGGCATGTATCTCAGATATGCTCCTTCACGTCAGCAACGGGGCCTACATGGACGGAGTTTTCGTCGCCAAAAAATTCATCATCCACGTCGATATCCTGTTCCACGGCGCGGACAGGCTGGACCAGACCATGAAGCGACTCGAGATGAATGGTACGAGGCTTCGCACTCCTGGTTCGATCTATATGCTGACGAGCGAGATTTGTAGATTTGTCTTATGCGCGGGAGGCGAAACTCCTCTGCAAGAAGATCGTGTCTTTCTTTTCCCTATTATCCAAGACGCAAGACACGGGCGTGCGGAAACTGGGTGTGACCCAAGAACTACTTACCTTGGTGACGGGTCTAGCGCATTACCTGAAGCTCCTCATCAGGATCTGCCTCCAGGGGACGCTCAAAGTTGAAAAGGAGCACCATTCCCCCGAGGCGTTGTACCAGTTTCTCGAAGATCTCAGCGTTCTCGAGTCGGTCAAGAGCGACGAGGAGTCCCTGCAAAACACGCTAGGCATGTCGAAGCTTTCCGCCAACGACTCAGACCAATGCACCTTGTGCCGGAAGCCGATCGAGGATGAATGCGCCTTGAGCGGGGATAAGAGATGGCATCTGGCATGTGTCTCATGTGTACGATGCGGCGCCGAATTAAACAAGAATCTAGATAAGGCTCGTCTGCACAGGGACTTCAAGATTTACTGCACGGACTGCGAGACCCAGATTGGAGGAGAATGGGGCGAAACTCTGGAGCGGATCACGAAGCTGCAACAGTATGTATTCCTGTTGAAGGTTGCTTTGGCTAGGCTGCTAGAGATTCTTCGCACTAGCGGCGCTCTTCCGCCCTCTGGAGACGGCCAAAGCGTCGGTGGCCACGAATCCGCGGCTTCTCAGGACGGGGGCTCCGCCATACATAGGTCTAGCTCTCGTTCCAAACCTTATGGCGGCGAGAGAGAGCGGCATCAAAGAGAGTCATCTTATGAGAATACCCTCAATGATGTGCGAAGACTCAGGAGTACGCGCCTCGACAAGCATCTGTCGTCTAGTCTGAGGAAGGCTCGGACGTCGAGAATTATGGATGGGCCCGAGGGACGTAGCGTCCGACCAGGATCTGCTGGTGCCGACACGTCTTTGCAAAGCAAGGCGATGCAAATCGAAGAGGATCGAGAACCAGGCGGCGGCGGCACAACCGAGCAGTACTTCGGACACCAGGATGCGCTGACCCTGGACGATATTCCGCGGATCGTTGCTGCGGAACAGGCCCGAGAACAGCAGCCTCGCTCTTACAGGGCCTCGCGTCAAGATTTGTTCCAGTCTGCTGGTGCGGACGCCGCCTACGGTTCTAGTAACGAGAGGAGCCTTTCGACGGGACGGGATGCCGATCAGAAGCTACTTGGGGATCGATCCCTTCAGAGGGACGGGAGGAAGTTTTTCTCCGAACTCTCCGGCCTCGAGTACTTTATCGTGCGACATGTCGCAGTTCTTACTATGCAACCTATGCTCGAACCGGAGTTCACTCTGGAGGAGCTTTTGAGCCTCATCGAGGCCAGAAAAGCCCCAACTTTCTGGAATAAGTTCGGCAAGGCCTTCGGCAAAAATGACCCCCGCAAGGGCGCGAAAAAGAAAGGAATATTCGGAGTTCCACTCGAAGTGATTGTAGATCGAGACGGCGCCGACTCCACGGACGGTGTTGGACCTGGTGCTCTGCGTATACCCGCCATCATTGAGGACACTATCACCGCGCTGAAGAATAAGGACCTCTCCGTCGAAGGTGTTTTCCGGAAGAACGGAAACATCAAGAAGCTTACCGAGCAGGTTGCTGCTGCGGACAGAGATGGCTGTGATGCTATCAAGTGGAACGACGAAACTCCGCATCAGCTTGCGGCACTCCTGAAGCGGTACCTTCGTGAATTACCAGATCCTTTGATGGCGCAGAAGCTTTACGCGGTCTGGATAGCGGCGACTAAGATCAATGACACCGACAAGAGACGGCACTGCCTCCACTTAGCTTGCTGTCTCCTCCCACAGACCCATCGAGACACTCTCGAGGTCTTGTTCAACTTCTTGAAGTGGGTGGCGACCTTCCACCAAATTGACGAGGATACCGGATCGAGGATGGATGTACACAATCTTGCCCGTGTAATTGCTCCGAACATACTCTATACAAACAACAAGAGTCCGAGCTTCTCGGACGAGCCCATGGTCGCGGTGTCTTGCGTCGAAGAGTTGATACAATTCAACGAGGAAATGTGCATGGTAAGTAGAAAGGCAAACGCCTCTCCGCACCGCACCGAAGCTAATACGTTATGCCAGGTCCCTGTCGAGCTCATGGATATCCTCGGCGACTCATCTTTATTCAATAGTAACGGGGATATTACAACTAAGGAGATCCTGAAACGGATCGAAAGCCGTGCCGTCAATGGCCTCCCCAGACAGTACGACCAAACTGAGTTCGTCAAGCAGCACGAGAACAAGAGGCCCTTAGCTACCAGGGTCGCCACCGACCCTGCCGCCTGGCCGCAGGAGAGCAGTGCACGCCCGATGCAAGAGCCGACGATTCCGTTCACAGCAACGCCAGGCGGGGGCACGCCACCGACAAAATGGCGGAATCCTGACGGTGGGCAACCACCTAACCCAAACCCGCCGGAGCGGACGGAGGATCAGCCTGAGCAAACACCCGAGAATGGCCAGCGGCGGGAGTGGCGAAACTCGGCTTGGGGCAGGCAGAACAATCCTGTCACAACCAGCACCGGTTAAGTTAATAGGGCCCCGAGTACATACCTCGCAATATCCGTGCCGCGAACCCCTCAGAGCGGGAGGGGAAGGGATTCCGTTCATATTTACAAGCCTCGAATTTCCCCAGGACATAGCATGAATCGGGTGTAGAGATAAAAAAACAGCATTTCGGCCGGCGTTGCGAATATTTCATTTCCCTTAAGGATACTTTACGTCTTTCGATTGACCCCTGTTTATTTCGCCTTACCACCGAACCGAGTTCACCTAACGAGGCGGTCTCGTCGCATCTTTGCTCCGCGGACTATTGTATTCACTCGTAAGTGGCTTAAAAGCAGAGTTTGGAGTAGTGGAGAGGTGTCTTTCGCCTTCTTGGTTCGCTCGGCATTTCAACTCACGTTGGGACGGGAAGATTAAGCTTGACTGTCCCCGGAGGTGTAGGAGAAGAAGGGAGGTTCCTCAGAGGGTGAAGGGGCCGAGCTCGAGTCGAGCGTCCTCAGTCGGGGGCTTGATTCCAGCATCCAACCAGACCAGGCTAATAATACGCCTTCGGCTTTTCTTTTGTGAGGAGTGTCCGCTAATCGATGGATAAAACTGACGGCGAGGAGGTGGGTGGGGACGAGGGGGCCGAAATTACATAGGGCAAAGTCCAACCCAAGGTCAATAAAGCACCGACGCGTTGGGGAGCAGAAAAGAAAAAAGGATTGGCATTTGCAAGTCAATTCTCTTCTGCCGACGGATCTGAATGCAGCCGTATAATCTTGATTTATTTTCTGCCTCGCTATCCTGGGGTAATCCTGCACTACATGCCCAAATCCGTGTCGTATTCATCTATAGTTTGACCGGTAAATTATATATTATTACTTGCCAGCGGCTGGCTGCCTACAATGTTTGCTATTAAAACAGACCCTCCCATGGAGTCGGGAATTACCACGATGCCGATCCTGTATATTTCGACCCCCCCTTCTCATAATGGCGTAGAACACGAAACTTCCCAGTGACACGGTTCGATATGTGCATTTCGTGCGAGGTAAGCACACGCGACGTGAGGTGCGTCACGACTTCGTAGGAGGCGCGTTATTCTCCTGCTCCAGCGACCACCTCACCGTCCTCTTGACGCCCTCGCTCAAGCTCACCAGAGGCCGGTAGCCGAGACGCCTCTTCGCTTTTGAGATATCGTAATACCTTGTCATGCAGCTATACACGATGCGTTGACGGTTGAAGGTCGGCGTCTTCCGCATGATGCCGAAGGCGACTTCGCTCAGAAGCCCCAACAGGAGGCCGACGTCCCGGCTCATGGCCCAGACGTGGCTGGTCCCCCTCTGCGACCCGGCCTCGCGCCATATAGCCCGCATCAGATCCCAGAAGTAGACGGGGCTGTCGTTGGTGATGAGGAAGGCTTCGCCGTCGACCTTCTCGTAATCGAGGGGTTCGGTGGACGCCGTATGCGTTACGAGCAGGGCCCGGGCCGCTAGGAGGTGCGCGTGCGCGACGTTCTGGACATAGGTGAAGTCGAACAAGTTCTCGTTCGGTCCGACTTGCACCATATCCTTCCCGCCGCGATAGATATTGATGGTATGGTAGACTAGCTGCATGTCGCCCTCCCCAAAGATGCCCGAGGGTCGGATGGACGCGGTCAGTAGGTCGGTACCGTCGGCTCGGTTCGCGGCGAGCACGATACTCTCGGCGTCGGCCTTGGGAAGCACATCAGCAAGGCGCGGTGCGAGCAAGGCGCGTCAGGGGAAACTAGAGGGCGCACCTTGGTCTCGGAATAGTACTCGGACTGCATCTTGCCCCGGATGACGGGGTACTCCTCGTTCGCGTTGATCAGGTCGCTCTTGTTGTCGCTCAGTATGCTGGCAGAACTCGTGTACACCAAGGCCTTGACCCCGTTCTGCTGGCAGGCCGCGACGACGGCGCGGGTGCCGTCGACGTTGACCTTCCGGAACAGGTCGTTGGCGACGTCGCCGGTGCCTTGGGCGGGCGGCGAGGCCGTGTGGATGACGACGTCGGGCTTGAGCTTCCCAAAGATCTTAGTCAGACCATCGACATCGGTGATGTCGGCTTCCACGTACGTGACGCCGTCGGAATCCGGTCGACGGTTGCGCTGGCACCTGAGGTCGACGACGGACACGGTGGACCTCCAGTCGCGCAGGAGCAGGTCCACGACGTGGTGGCCGAGAAAGCCGCAGCCGCCGACGACGAGGACCTTGCCCAGAAGGGGCTGCGCTATGTCTCCGGGCATGTTCGGTGGTGGCGATGATGGCGGTGGTGCCGACGAGGTAAAGGGCACTGGATTGGGAAGAAACCGTGTCTTCACCGCTCGGGGATGGCCAGCTAGGAAATGCTATAGGTAGAGGAGCTGGCTGGTGAGAGCTTCAAGGGAAGCCGGGCTCGAGGAAACCAGGTTGTTACCGACATATCCTGGTAGCAAAGGTAGAGGTACATGCACACACAACCTGCTGGAGGCCTGCGCAGGTTGTACTTTCAGGAACTCAGCTCAGGGGGGGCTCCTATATGGAAAAAGATGGATCCGCATCCCATTCCCCCGTGCTCACTGGTCCGATGCCACATGGAGTGGAGGGAGGAGGGAGGAAAAGATTAAAATTTTTTAATATGTATCTAGGTACCTAAGGTACCTCCTAGAGGTTACGTTTGCCTCGTACCACGTACAAGTACCCGATAGCTGCCTCGAGTAATCAGAGGTACCTTGGGTAACCTACCCTCCCTCTCGCTGGCCCGTGCAGTTCATCTCGGGGATAGATGTACCTAAGGTAGTAACAACGACATATACCTGCCAGCCAACCCACTTTACCTTGGGTATCTCAGGTGCGGAGGGAACGGGAACTGCGAGCCCCGCCATGCCGGCCTTGTAGTTAACTATACGTACCTACCTACGCGCAGTACCTTCGAGAGAGTCCCCCCCCCACCTGCCCGCATGCACCGCCAGGGCTACCGCAGCAAAGTGCTACACTGCTCTCCCCTAGGTGCCAGATGCCTGTCAGGCTGGCCATATAAGCCTTGTCAGCGTAAGGAGGTTACCTACCTACACGCAGTTGCCTCCCTCCCACCTGCCCTGCCCCCTGTGCACCTACCTGTCCTCGCCTCCTACTGCAAAGCGCTTTACGTGACGAGGATAAGGCTAACGTACCCCACTAAGTAATCCCTAACATCCGCTCTCTCTCTACCCTCTGCCTTCTGCCTTCTCACCGGCATGTGGCCTGCGAACCTGACTTGACATCTTCACTCTTACCTCCTCTCCGTCTCTCCGTCTCTGCATTCCCCCGACTCTGTCTGCGTCCGATAATAACCAACAGCTCCTTCGCCTCGGGTGCAACGCAAAAAATACCCTTTCTTACCAGACGAGCCGGAAACCCTCAACGCTTGACCTCCCCAATCACTCTTCAGTTCTCGTCCCCTCCCAACCCGTCCCGTCCCGTCCTGTCCTGTCCTGTCCTGTCCTGTCCTGCGTTGTTACGAAGCCGTCCATTTCTGACCACCCGCTCCAACCACTCGGCATCCCTTGCCCACGCGTGTGCGCGCTGCTCTATGAGTAGCTGGTAGAAGCCATGGCGGACCAGTCAATCATCCGCATCACCAAGGTACATCGCCGTTTTCTGCCGTCCAGGAGGGGCAACGAGGCTGATGGGCTTTCCGTCCCCAACAGGAAATCGGCGAGCTTCAGAAGAGTTCAGACCTTTGTATGCTAGATACTGACCCGCTCACCTCCCTCCCTCTCTATGCTCATTGCTAACTTCTCCTCTTCCTCTCCCCCCTCCGCTCCCCCTCTCTTAGCTCTCGCTGTAGCCTTTCGTGATCGCGATGTCCGAAATGTCAGAGCCTTGATTATCGGCCCTCACGAGACCCCATATGAGTTTGGCTTCTTCGAGGTCAGTTCCCGCTAGAATCCCCACGATATCTTGTATATACGTAACCTTGTGTGCTAACTCCGCTCTCCAGTTCTCTGTCAAGTTTAACAAAGGTTAGCTGCGAGGACAAATCGAGGTGTTCACTTAGCTAACATGCTACATCTCTTAACAGACTATCCCCGCAAGTCTCCCAGCGTCACCGGAATAACCACGAACAGCGGACGTTGCCGATTCAATCCCAACATCTATTCCTCAGGAAAGGTGTGCTTGTAAGCAATATAATCACCACCTCGAATTACTTTGTAGGCTCTGCTGACTACTGCATCAGGTCCATCCTGGGGTATGGCCTCCTATCCCCCCCACCCCCCTCTTCCGATCGCGTATTCGTTGTCGAGTCTAACCGGTACTTAGAACATGGAGGGGAGAGCGAGGAGAGGAGTGGTCTGCTGCTCAGGGTTTGGAATCAATTCTTCTCTCGATACAAAGCCTCATGTCGTCGAACCCGTACGAGAACGAGCCCGGGTTTGAGGATGCGAATGAGTTGCAAGACAAAAAGAACCAGAAGGATTATGTTGCAAAGGTAATGTATATCCGCAAGATTTGACCCCGGCAAGGGTGTTCTAACTGGGGATGTTGGATACAGATCCGCCATGAGTCACTGCGCATCTCCGTCATCCAGCGGCTAGAGGAATACTTAGGGATTAACAACACAAGCGCCATATCGCAGCAATCGCCAGAGCAACGAGATTACGACCTCGACATAGATGATGACGTCGAGGTTGATGATGCTAGTATTCCCTGGGAGCCGTTCAAGGACCTTTGCAAGCGTCGTTTCCTCTGGTACTACGATACGTACTTGGAGTCTATCAAAAAAGCGAAAGAAGAAGTTAAAGATGACCAAGCCTTTGTGCGCATGCCATTCGAAGGCGCATCAAACTCGATGGAAGGGAAATTTAACTACACGGAACTCGAGCAGAGAATACGTCGAATCAAGAAAGCGATAGATGCGGAGTCGGATCGGTGGGCGGTAGAAGGAGGCTCGGCCAGGACGAAGGATGCAACAGTAGCCGTCAACCTCGCGCGGCAATTTGAGCAGATCAAGGAATCCTTCAAGCGCAGCGAGGTCCCCCACAATATTGAGCTGGTGGATGGAAACCCCTTCGTGTGGAGCTTCACTCACTTTGGCAGACCCATGACGAACCTGGACGGGGGCATGTTTCGCATTCAGCTGAACTTCAGCCCCCGTTTCCCTGAAGAGCAGCCGAGAGTCAAGTTCCTAACGCCGATATTCCATCACCGAATCGCAGCAGACGGCACGCCGTGCTACTTTCCGAATCCTAGCCGTCGAGAAGATGTTAGGCAGCACATTGATGCCATCATTGAGGCACTAGAAGAGGAGCAGCCTCCTTACGACCCGAGAACGCTAGTTCACCCCGAAGCTCACAGGCTATACTGGGGCAACGCGGACCAGCGGAAGGTGTACAACAGACAGCTACGTCGATCTGTGCAGCGAAGTATGGAGGAGATCTAACATGGCGCAATCGATGGCCCGGGCTCCCGACCAACCTGAACGGTCCCCGACGACTTTTGAATGCTCTTCCGCGAGGGGTTCTGGGTGTTAGATGGCAATCGTGTCCTTCGGTAATGGTAGGTAGTACTTGATATTCGAGGAGACTTCAGAGTCCGCATTCTCGTCACGTTTCTGAGAAGGCGGGGACACGTGTAGTCGGATGATGGCATCTCCCGGCATACATTTTGGGGCGCTGTCAAGTTCGCTGGCTTCTAGACTGGGATTGATACCTTTGTTCCCATGGGCTATATCACGACTTCGGGATTTTCGGTCAGTCGGGGGCCTCGTTAAGGGATTTTGACGCTACATACAAGTTGCTGATGTGTTACGTATCCGTCTGTTGCAACGACATTGCGTGGAATAACGCGCTACAGTGCGTTGCGTGAGGGTTGTGGAAGCATAAGTGTCATGATAAGAATGACGATAAATTAGGTGATATACAAATGTGCGCGTACGTACGTGGGAATGTGTTCATTTATGCGAGTTACGTATGTAAGTACGTAGGTAGTCGCGCGCTAATTTATGCAAGCTACGCATGTACGTACGTCCAACCTCTCCCTCTCTTCTCCGGCTCAGCGTCTCGAGGCTTTGGGCTTCTTATCGAGCTTGTCCCTGCCCGGGAGGTAGGGGGCGGCGATGCCGATGAGCTTCTCCTGCCTGCCCCCACGGACGCCCACGTTGCCGGCGCCGGCGCTGAAGTCGTACTGGCCGTCGGGGGTGAGGACGGCGGGGCCGCCCTGCGAGGGGCTCGACAGCTGCTCGGCGTGCAGCCGGTCGAGGGACTCGCCGACGACGGCGTACTGCGACCAGTTGATGGGCGGGCAGCGCACGACGTTCTGCGGCTTGGGCAGCGTGGCCCAGGGCGGGGCCGGCTCCGAGTCGGCGGGGCTCCGCCGCTTGGTTCGCTCCTTGCCCTTGCCCTTCGGCTTCTCCGGCTTCCGCTTCCTCGCGGCGCCGCTCGTCTCCGGGCCCCCGGCGACGGGATCCAGGCCCGAAGGGGCGGGTCGCGAGCGGGTCGAGGCTGCGCCGGAGCTGGAGCTGGAGCTGGAGCTGGAGTCAGAATCGCCGTCGCCGTCGCCGCCGCCATCGCCAGGACGGGCAGCGGGGGCGGGGAACAGGCGGTCGCCTTCGGCGCGGACGCGGCCGGCGACCAGGTCCCGGACGAAGGCGTCGGGGCGGGCGAGGGCGGCGGCCTTGACGCGCTGGAGCGCGGCCATGTCGCTCTCGGCCTTGCGGCGCTGCAGCTGCAGGATGGAGATGGCGGACTTGAGGGCGAGCACGTCGGGGTTCGCGGCGAAGTCGAGGGGGGCCGGCGGCGGCGGGGCGGCGGCGGCGGCGTGCTCGGCGCGGCCGGCCGCGTGCGTGTAGGTCGGGCGCGGCGCCCCCGCCCCCGCCGGAAGCGAGGATACCGGGTTCAGCGGCGGGGTGATGGGGCTGTAGGACGGCCGCGCAGGCGACGACGGGCGCGACGGCGTCTGGGCCGACGGCTGCGGAGGCGTAGGCGCGGGCGCTCGCGCGGCTGGGGCGGGCGCAGGCGGGTTCGTGGCTGAGGAGGGGATCGAGGAGGGCTGGGGCGCGGGAGGCCCGTGGGAGGACGACCCGGCCGCCGCCTGCCCCGTGTTAAGGGTGAGGGACGGCATGCCGTACTGCCGTCCGGCCTCGCGGTCGTAGGGTATCGGCGGCGTCGCACGCGGCGGGCGCGCGGCGTTAGGGTAGGGTGGCGGACAAAGCTCCGTCCGTACACCGAGGGTGGCGCGACGCCGCTGTGTGTCGCTCGTAGCGGTCGCCGGCGGGTCAGGGGCGGCGGCTACAGCGTCGCTATGCTCTAGAGGAGGGAGGTGTTGGCTACGCGGCGGGTAGGCAGAACGGGTCTCGACGCGCGACGTCGTCGACTATGGGGTGGGTAATGCTGTGAGCGACGAACAAAGAAGGCCGGGTTGGGGGGGTTGCGTCGTCCCACGCATGCATACATACGTGCCTACATACAGACTTAGGCGGTGCGCTGTTCTGGTTCGCGGCGTTAGGTAATGACCCAAGCACGAACGGAGTCAGCATTGTGGGGAGAGCCGCGCGCTATATGTACCTAAGTAGCTGGCCCGTAGGTATCCAGCCAATAAGAAGGCGAATCCCGGTGGGCGAAGAGACCGGGGAGGGCATCGTCCGTGCGCTCGCGCTACTCCCGGGATCCCCCGGCCAGAATAGCTGGCTTGCTGCATCGTCGATCCGGGCCAAAGCCGAGGCGCGAGCGAGCGATAAAGCGGCTATCTGAAGAAGCTCTGGATACGAGGAGTCGCGGGCTGTCGACGAGAACTTGCTAGAGGTAACCTGGAGGTAGGGTGGACAGGTACCTGGGCAGGTACCCGTAACAGATGAACCTGAGGAGGCTCTGTATATCGACCGGCGAGGTGTGTTACGTGGGTAACCTGCTGGTAACAGAGAGGCAGCTACCTGGAAACCAGTCCGTCCCAGTGCAGTCGGCAGCTGCTCCCTAGCTACCTACCTAGGTATAGAGCTCAGTCGTGACGTCAGTGTACCAGAGACTTGACAAGGCAAGAGCCGTATCAACTCCCACCCTGTCTTCGTTATAGCCTTGTGCACATTTCGTTGTCGTCGCCTGACGTTCCCACATTCTCCCCAGTTGTGACCAACACAGCCGTTGATCGCCAGAGCAGAGATACACGGCACGGTCTGAGTCGCCGATATGACGAGGCCACAGGGAGAGCAGAGAAACGGCGCCAGCGAAGGCGCACCGCACTTGACGGGCCAGGAACGAGAAGGTGGGCCAGACGAGCATACTCACTTGCTGCTGACCCGAGTCGACAGCGCAAACGGCTCGGACCTTAACAGCCTAACGGCAAGGAGCCCCCCGGAAACAGCTTCTGCGTACGGCGCTCACGAACATGCCTAGGTCTCACCGTACAACATCTGGGGTTTGCTATTGGCAGAGGCGGTGATATTGCTATCGGCAGAAAGAACACGCCACGAAGAGGGCTGGGTGGGGATATTTAGTATTTTATGTAAGCCGGCTAGGGACCTCGGGGATGGGAAATTCGCCGAGGGCTAACGGGTCCGGACTAGGGGTGCTTTTAATGACTGCCTGGACCGTTCACACCAACCACCTAGTGGAATGGGGGAAATTCAAGGAGGAAGAACGGTTGACTGGCCGAGCTGACACCCACGGCACCGTACAAGAGAGGGTCGACAGTCTCAAGTACGCCTCACAAATGGTCCTACCTACCCTCGCCTGTCTCCTGATATCTTGTAATCTGGTCCTTCGCGCGCTTGATTCCCGACCAGCACCGCCTGGCCAAATGTTTTGGGTCGATGGAGACAGATACGAGCTACACGTTTACTGTCACGGAAGTAGGGCCGACCCAGAGGGAGCGATATTGCCTGCGGTGCTACTGGAAGGGGAAGGTCCCGTGGAGGATGGTTTGCAGCAGCTCGCCGCCGGCGCGGTTAACAATGGCTCTATCAGCCGGTACTGCTTCGTCGACCGTCCTGGATTTGCTTGGGTAAGAGGGACCTAGTTGATGTGAAACTGCCCTTACTGATTCTCGGAAGAGCGATGCTGCGCCATCGCCTCTCTCTGCCGGAATGGCCGTCGAAGCCGCGAGTGAAGCGCTGGCCAAAGCCGGCGAGGACGGCCCTTGGAGTAAGGCTGTCATCGTAGAACCTAGGTTAGAGATACCTGCTCACGCATTACCCAGTCCTTGCTGGAGCCGACACGGGTTCTATCTACTCTCGAATCTTCTCCGCCCGACACGAGAAAGATATAAAGGGGCTTCTTCTCATCGATCCCTCCCACGAGGAGGATTTTGGTGCCATAGGAGCACCAGGTAAAGGGTTTTGGCTCTGGGTACAGGGTGTGCTCTCCCCACTCGGCGTTGACCGCATCGGAGAGGCCCTTTTCCGCGGTAGGACGAGGGAAGATCGTGTGTGGGGGAAAAGTGCCTATCAGGCCGGCCAATACGCGGCCGCAAAGTTGCAAGAAAATCTGGTGGCTACTACGCTATCAAGGCGCGAAGTGGACGACAACAGAGCCATTCAAAATCCAGATACCCCTCTGGTTTTGATCAGCTCCGGCGTCGAGATCCGGCGCAACAGCGGCTGGGAGGACAAGCAGAGGCATGTCAGCCGTCTCACGCGCAACTTGATGAGCTGGGACGTCGTCGACCAGGCGCCGCATCAAGTCTGGGAGACGTACGTAGGACACGAGGTCATCGAGGACAGGCTCCAACAGTTGGTGTATGGGGTATAAGCAGGGGAAATGATGTAGCGAAACGTCTCCTGTGTTCTCTGTTTCTAATATCTGGCCAGCATGTCTGTCTGTGTGAGATGGTGCCGGCTGTGGGAGGAAGTCTCGAAGTGTGATATATATATAAAGGGTTAAGGTGTATGTTGTAGGTGCGGATTACATGTGTAGGTTAGTGTGTTAGGTAGTAGGTAGAGCATAGGCTAGATACTTACGATATGAGGTCGGCCAGTGGATAGAAATATATATCAAAATAACGAAAACGAGCCCCTTTTATTCTTCCGTATGCCTTCACACTCGTCAGCGTTCAAGATAGGAGGCATTTATCAAGACCACCGGGGGGGGATCTGAGGCGAACGACCAGTCGTGCAATAAGGGGTTGATTGAATTTGAGGGACGTCGAGGGGTACTTCGGTACTTCCTAATGATGGATGGCTTGAAGAGGTACCTAGGTACATATGTGGACACACCACACTTTTTATGTAAGCTACACACCGCCTGCCTCCTGTAAAGTTTAATTGACGGCAGAATGCGGAGAACGCGTCGTCAACGCGTCGATAACAAATCTAGCTCTCCTATGCCGTTCGCTCGCGAAAAACCAAAAGGCCGAGGTCCTGTGTCACACGCCAACCACGACATCGTTCTGGAAACTCTCGCCGTCGAATCTGCACAATTGGGCCATACCAAAGAGTCCGTTCTGAATTCGACCCAAACCCAGATATGGCCAACTTCTTTGACCTCAAGGCGCGCAAGGAGGCTGCGGCAAACGGGACGGCCGCAGCAAAAATAGAAGAATCGAAGCAAAGCGCTCGAAAGCAACCGTGGGTGGAAAAATAGTACGTGATGTTTTCCATAGGGCATATTCATACTCGCACCCCCTGGTAGAGGAGAAAGGAGGTATGAAGGCTAATTCGTTTCCCAAGTCGACCCAAAACCCTTAGCGATGTCACCGCCCAGGATCACACAGTAAACGTCCTCCAACGGACTCTTCAAGCCTCCAACGTGAGCCGTTTCTGTAGTGGTTAATATTAAGGACATGCGGAATTAATACTATCTAGCTACCTCACATGCTATTCTACGGACCGCCGGGGACGGGCAAGACCTCAACGATTCTCGCCCTCGCCAAGGAGCTATACGGGCCGGAGATGATAAAATCACGTGTGCTCGAACTCAACGCCTCCGACGAGCGCGGCATCTCTATCGTGCGAGAAAAGGTCAAGGACTTCGCGCGCATGCAGCTGACGAACCCGCCTGCCGGATATCGATCCCGGTACCCGTGCCCGCCCTTCAAGATCATCATCCTCGACGAGGCCGACAGCATGACGCAGGATGCCCAGAGCGCGCTCCGGCGGACGATGGAAACGTACAGCAAGATCACGCGGTTCTGCCTCATCTGCAACTACGTCACGCGGATCATCGACCCGCTGGCCAGCCGATGCAGCAAGTTCAGGTTCAAGAGCCTGGACCAAGGCAACGCGAAGAGGAGGTTGGAGGAGATCGCCAGCAAGGAAGGCGTCGTCCTCGAGGACGGCGCCGTCGACGCGCTCATCCGGTGCAGCGAGGGCGATCTGCGCAAGGCGATCACCTTCCTGCAGAGCGGCGCGAGGCTCGTGGGCGCCGCCGAGAGGGAGGGCGGGGACGCGGACGCGGACACGGACGCGATGGACGTGGACGGCGACCCCAAGCCCGTCACGGTCAAGATCATCGAGGAGATCGCCGGCGTCATACCGGACTGGACCATCGAGGCGCTGCGGAAAGCCATGCAGCCGCGGTCGGCGGGCGCGACGTACCAGGCCGTCGCCAAGGTCGTGGAGAACATGGTCGCCGACGGATGGAGCGCCGGGCAAGTCCTCTCTCAGGTGGGTTTCCCTCGGCGCCTGCTCGCCCAGCGGCACGGCCGTTGCGGAAAGACTTAACTAACACATGCTTCTTCTTCTGCTTCGCAGTTATACCAAGCCGTAGTGCACGACGAGATGGTCCCCGACGCGGCGAAGAACAAGATCACCCTCGTCTTCTCCGAAGTCGACAAGCGCCTGGTCGACGGCGCCGACGAGCACCTGTCGATCCTCGACCTCGCCCTGCGGATATCCAACATACTGGCCGGCAAGGGCTGAGCGCGCACGGACTACGGAAGGAGGACGACAAGAGAAACGAAGAACTCGGCAAATGTGCAATGTTTTCCGCGGAGAAGTAGATATAGACCTCCGCGTGGGCGAAAGCTGCCTTGTGTGTAATTGGATGGTTGACATAGCGTACGGCGTCGGGTCGAATAAAAGAAACCGCCAACCGCGGATATGCTACTACATACACATGAGGGACGGCGAGGTATAAAAGGTGGCCATATGTATTGATGGGTGTCGGGGTAGTAGTAAGGTCTCTAAGAGCATGTCTGCCTGAGCACTGCGTCCCATGCATTTAGGCTGGTAGGTAGATATACTAGGTAGTTGTGCCAACGGGAGAAGCGGAAGAGAACCTAGAAAGTGAGTTCCGCCCTGTCCGATACGTCGTCCGGAGGCAACGCCCTGGGGCCTACTCGTTGATGAGGCCGAGGTTGCCGTCCAACTGGGCGTAGATGCTCTCGCCGGGCTGGCCGCGGGCCTTGCCCTTCTTGCTGCGGCGGGTGCTCCGCTCGCGGCCGGCCGCGGGCCCGCCGTCCTCGTCCGCGAGCCAGATGTCGCGCTCGGCCGGGGCGGCCGCGCCGGCTTCGCCCTCGCGCCCTTCGTCCTGCTCCCCGCCGCCGTCGCCGCCGTCGACGTTGAGCAGCCGCCGCACCTCGTCCAGCGCCTGCATCGCGTCCTCCACCGCCGCCTGCCCCTCCTCCACCTTCTCGAACACCGCCTCGAGCGTCGCGATCTGCGCCGAGTTCGCCGCCGCGATCCACGGCTCGATCTGCCGCGTCGTGTTAGACTTCCGGATCGAGGTCGCGCCCGCCGCGCCCGCCCCCTTCGTGGCCTCGCCGAAGCTCGGTTGCAGCTTGCTGCGGCCGCTGCCCTCGGCGTCGTCGGGGTGGGAGGAGGCGGGGTTCTTCCTGGTCGGGTATGTCTGTAGTAGGTGGCTCTCCTCCGCCAGGTGGTCGATCATCTGGTTGAACTCGTGCTGCTGCCTCGCCAGCAACGAGTTGATGTAGGACTTCTCCTGGATGAGGCCCTTCTGCTCGCGCGAGATCGCCTGCAGCTTCTCGAGGTACGGCGTCAGCAGGTAGGCCTCGGCGTCCTTGTGGCTGCTGGGCACGGGGCCCCCACGAAGCACTGGCTCCGGCTTCGGGGGTGGCTCGGCGGCTTTGAGCTGCTTCAGCTGCGCCACCAGGGCGAAAATTTCCTTGCGGAGGTCGACGTGGTGCGCGTACTCCTGCTGGATCTCGGCCGCGCGCGCTTCTCGGTCTAAATCTTCCTTCTCCTTCGGCGCCGGCAGCTTGGTGGGGGACCCGGCGCCCGGCGCGTCGTCCTCGTCGCCGCCGGCCTGGGCCAACATGGTCTCGATCCAGCCGATCAGGCTGTCCTTGACGGCGTTGAGCGCGTGCAGCTGGGCCGCCGGGGGGAGGCTGCTGGGGTCGAGCGGGCTCTGGGCCTTCAGCTTCTCGAAGTTCTGCTTCTCGCGCTGCGCGAGTAGCTTGTTGCGCAGGACGGCCTTCTGGAGGCGCGACAGGAGCTCCCGGACCTCGCGGTCCGGCGCGTCGCGGTCCTCGGCGAAGCCGGCGACGACGTCCTTGGGCAGCTCCGGCAGCGGCGCGCAGCCGGCGAACATGACGTCCGGGTCCAGGAAGTCGGGCGCGGCCGCGGGCAGCCGGTCCAGCTCCCCCAGGTACCTGTCGACCACCTCGAGCCTCTCGCGCTCCTGCTCCAGCGCGCCGACCTCGAGCTGCAGCGCGAGGAGCCGCGCGTCGGCGTCGTCCGGCCCGGGCGGCGCGGGAAGCGACGCGATGCTCGCGTCGTGCTCGCCCCGGAGCGCCGCGAACTCGGCCCGGATCTCGAGGTTCCTCCTCGCCGCCTCGGTGTACTCTCGGTAGACGCCCGGCAGCGCGGCGGACGGGGCGACGGCGGCGTCCGGGTCGACGAGCGACAGCGGGCTCCGGAGCTGCTCCGCCCCCAGGCTCCGGGCCAGCTCCCTGGCGAGGTGCTGCCGCACGGCGACGACCTCGTCGCGGGGGCGGATCCGGTGGCGAAGAACGTCGCGAGCCCGGTCGCAGAGAGCCTGGTCGGCAGCATCCATAGGGAGAGAGGGCCGGGGGGAGCCGGGACAACGGTAGATGGATCTCGCTTGAAGTTGTCGATGTGGTCTAGTTTATAGAGCTGCCCACACTTTCGGGGTAAGCGACATGGAAGAGGTAGGTGTGTGTGCCGGGACACGGGGCTCGATATTTACAAAGGTGCCTACGTAGCAGAAAATAGATCGACCGGTTGTTTACATCTCTGTCGGCACGACTTGTCAGGTCGGTTTATACGGATGCATTGCACTGCGGGTATACGGAGTATGCACAGTTACGTGAGGCGCAGAATTGAATACAGTGCCTTAGGCATGATCACCTGCCTATGTATTGGGTTAGGGACACCTGGGTGGAGGCCTGCATTGCCCGCGGGTACCTTTAGGTACTGCCATAAAGCACTGTTGGCTTGGGTACAATCGATACCTTACCGTAACGCATTACGAGGTGACCCAATGTGCCGTTACAGGTAACACCTGCCGCTTGCCTTCGTAACCTAGGGAAATTCTTTACAAGGTTGGCGCAGTACTCTATTGCATTTGGCTTGCTGCAACATCACAACAACCACCACAACCACCCCTCTACTTCGACCACCGCCATTACCTTTGTCCTCTGAGCCGTCGGCCGAAGACGCGTCGCTGTTGACCACCTACCCCAGCGGAACTGCCGAAAATACATTCGAGTCTTTTGTTCTGCCTCTAGTCTTTTCGATGCTGCACCTGTAGACAGAGTACGGCGTCCGTGTCCAGTCGATCAAAATTGGACTCGCCGATAAGTCGTCCTCGTCTCGCCGCCACCTGATACCACCCACCACAACCACACTATCGAGCCTCAATTCTTGTCAAGATGGCCGACCACTATCGAGATGTGTCGCAGTATAAGTACTCGGCCATGTCCAACCTGGTCCTCCAGGCGGACCGGCGATTTGTCACGCGACGAACCGACGAGGCCACCGGCGACCCCGAGTCTCTCGCCGGCCGTTTGAGGATCGCTGACATGGGCTCCCGTGTTGCGCGCGACCAGGTGCCCAAGCCGAAGAAGCCCACCGGCTTACCCGACGTCGAAAGGGGAGATGTGCAAGAGGGTCAAGATATCCTGGCCCGTGAACAACGGAAACGGAGAGGGGACCCGTCACAGAGGCGCGCCACCGGCATTCTGGGGCAGACAGACCTGCTAGTCGAAGGTCTTAGATATCGGCCGCGCATCCCGGCCACCCGTGCCACCTATGACCTGATATTAAATATCGTTGCTAATAGCCTAGGCGATGTGTCCTACGAGATTGTCTTGAGCGCCGCCGACGCCGTTTTGGAATATCTTAAGGACGAGGACATGAAAGATTTCGATAAGAAGAAGGAGATTGACGACCTGTTAGGCGCGACGCTGAACCCTAAGCAGTTCAACGAGCTGGTCAACCTAGGCAAGAAAATCACAGATTATGATACCCAAAATGATGACGAGGAGATGGATGCCGGAGCCGGAGCGGCCGAAGGTGACGAAGAACTCGACGAACGCCAGGGTGTTGCCGTTGTTTTTGATGACGAGGACGAAAACGAAGAGGCGGCTATGGTTAATGAAGTACGAGACGAATCCTCCGATGACGAGGCGGCCCCCGACGATGACGAACAAGATCTGCCTGGCCAGGAGGAGCAGGCCACGGCCGGTGGCGCAGGGGAAGATCGAGATCAGGAGGAGGCCGGCTTAGCTGACGGCGATGATATGCTTATCGACTCGGGGCTGCCCGACGGCAAGGGTACGGAGAGGTCCAAGAAGAGCAACTACATCCCTGCGCGTCAAATAGACGCCTACTGGCTGCAGAGAGAGATCGGTAACATATATACCGATGACCACATCCGGCACGAGAAAACCACCCAAGCGTTGCATATCCTCTCCGGCGAACCGGACGAAGCTGGCGGGGACGAGAAGCAACTCAGGGAGGTCGAAAACGAGCTGATGGAGCTTTTTGACTATGAACATCACGAAGTCGTCCAGAAGCTCATCGAGAACCGGGAGAAGATCGTGTGGCTTACGCGGCTAGCGAAAGCCGAGGGCGACGAAGAGAGGGGTGTTGTCGAACGGGAGATGGCCTCCGAAGGTGTTAAATGGATCTTGGACGAGCTCCGGGGCAAAAAGAGCGCCGAAGGCTCCAAGAAGATGGAGATTAAGATGGACATCGACGTGCCGGCCTCCTTCAATACGGCGGCGCCAAAGGCCGAGCGGGCGGATGGCCAACTGGTCGGCGGCTTGCAGCCACGAAAGTACATCAATCTCGAAAACCTCGTTTTCGACCAAGGCAATCATCTTATGACGAACCCGAGAGTTATACTCCCCGACGGCTCGACGAAGCGAACCTTCAAGGGCTACGAGGAAATCCACGTGCCCCCACCCAAGAAGCGCAGCCAGGCGGACGATAGCAATATCCCCATTACCGACATGCCCGAATGGGCGCGCACGCCTTTCAGCTCGGCTAAATCTCTCAATAAAATTCAGTCCAAGTGCTACCCATCAGCGTTCGAAGATGACGGGAACATGCTCATCTGCGCCCCCACTGGCAGTGGAAAGACGAACGTGGCTATGCTGACTATCTTGAGGGAGCTCGGGAAGCACAGAGATCCGCAGACGGGGGATATCGACTTGGATGCTTTCAAGATCGTCTACATCGCTCCTCTGAAGGCTCTCGTCCAAGAGCAAGTTGGGAATTTCGGTGGCCGCCTAAAGCCGTACGGCATCACGGTGTCCGAATTGACCGGCGACAGGCAGCTTACCAAGCAACAGATTTCCGAGACGCAGATAATTGTCACAACCCCTGAAAAATGGGACGTCATTACGCGAAAGGCCACGGATCTGACCTACACAAACCTCGTGCGATTGATAATCATCGATGAGATTCACCTTCTGCATGACGAGCGAGGCCCCGTCATCGAAAGCATCGTCAGCAGGACGATAAGGAAGACGGAGCAGACTGGAGACCCCGTGAGGCTCATCGGGTTGTCCGCCACACTGCCCAACTATAAGGATGTAGCGAGCTTCCTCCGCGTGGACCCTGCTAAGGGGCTTTTCCATTTTGACGGGTCTTACCGGCCGTGTCCTCTCAGGCAAGAATTCATCGGTGTTACCGACAAGAAGGCTATCAAACAACTGAAGACCATGAATGACATAACTTACAACAAGGTCATCGAGCATGTGGGCACCAACCGGAACCAGATGCTCATCTTCGTGCACTCCCGAAAAGAAACTGCAAAGACGGCGAGGTATATTCGAGATAAAGCTCTGGAGCTGGAGACCATCAACCAAATTTTGAAGCACGACTCGGGTTCTAGGGAAGCTCTCAACGAAATCGTCAACGATATATCGGACGCGGATCTGAAGGATCTTCTTCCCTATGGATTCGGTATCCACCATGCTGGTATGAACCGTGTTGACCGAGATGAGGTCGAGGGACTCTTCGCTGCTGGTTTGATCCAGGTCCTCGTCTGTACGGCCACTCTCGCCTGGGGCGTTAACTTACCAGCACATACTGTCATCATCAAGGGTACTCAGGTTTACTCTCCAGAGAAAGGTAGCTGGGTAGAATTGAGCCCGCAAGATGTCCTGCAGATGTTGGGTCGCGCCGGGCGACCTCAGTATGATACATATGGTGAAGGTATCATAATCACATCTCAAAACGAGATGAAGTATTACCTATCGCTTCTCAACCAGCAATTGCCGATCGAGAGTCAATTTGCTAGCAAACTCGTGGACAACTTGAACGCTGAGATTGTCCTTGGTAATGTTCGAAGTCGCGATGAAGGGGTAGAATGGCTTGGTTACACGTATCTATTCGTCCGGATGCTAAGGTCACCCGGTCTGTATAGCGTCGGAGCCGACTACGAGGACGATGAAGCGTTAGAACAAAAACGGGTTGATCTTATACACTCGGCAGCAAGTGTGCTGAAGAAATCTAACTTGATCACCTATGACGAAAAAACCGGAAAGGTCAAGGCAACCGAACTCGGAAGAATAGCATCTCATTATTATATTACGTATGGATCGATGGACACTTACAACAGGCTCATCCAGCCTTCGATCACGACGATCGAACTCTTCCGCGTTTTCGCCCTCAGCGCCGAGTTCAAGTACATTCCCGTTCGTCAAGATGAGAAATTGGAGCTCGCAAAGCTTCTCGGCCGGGTGCCAATCCCCGTGAAGGAGAGCGTCGAGGAGCCGCATGCCAAAATCAACGTCCTCTTGCAGGCTTACATTTCCCGCCTTAAGCTCGAAGGCCTGGCCCTCATGGCTGACATGGTATACGTTACGCAATCCGCAGGCCGTATTCTCCGGGCCATCTTCGAGATTACCCTCCAGAAAGGATGGGCTCACGTCGCCAAGACAGCGTTAGACTTGTGCAAGATGGCAGAGAAGCGGATGTGGCCGACCATGACACCGCTACGGCAGTTCCCCCGTTGCTCGCGAGATGTCGTATCCAAGGCCGAAAGGATAGATGTCCCATGGAACAGCTATTTCGACCTGGACCCTCCCCGGATGGGGGAGTTGCTTGGGCTTCCGAAAGCAGGCCGCACAGTGTGCGACCTAGTAGCTAAGTTCCCTAGGGTCGAAATCCAGGCTCAGGCTCAGCCGATGACACGCTCTATGCTTCGGGTGGAATTGTCCATCACGCCCAATTTCCAATGGGACGACGAAGTTCACGGGCTGGCGGAGGGTTTCTGGATCATCGTTGAAGATTGCGACGGTGAGGACATTCTGTTCCACGACCAGTTCCTTTTGCGCAAGGACTACGCAATCTCGGAATCCAACGAGCATGTTGTAGACTTCACCGTTCCCATCACGGAACCAATGCCTCCCAATTACTTCATTTCCGTCATTTCCGACAGATGGATGCACTCGGAGACAAAGCTGGCTGTCTCGTTTCAGAAGCTTATCCTCCCCGAGAAGTTCCCACCCCATACTCAGCTTCTTGATCTCCAGCCTCTTCCGGTTGCCGCCCTCAAGGCTAAGGATTATTCAAATCTGTACGAATCTTGGAACTACTTCAACAAGATCCAGACCCAGACCTTCAATTCCCTCTACACTACGGATGACAACGTCTTGATTGGTGCCCCAACCGGCAGCGGGAAGACTGTCTGTGCCGAGTTTGCACTCTTGCGCCTTTGGTCGAAACCAGAAATCGGCCGCGCCGTCTATATCGCGCCGTTCCAAGAGCTCGTTGACACCAAATACCAAGACTGGAAGAAGCGGCTTGGCCATCTCCGCGGCGGCAAAGAGATAGTTAAGCTCACCGGAGAAACGGCGACAGACCTCAAGTTGCTCGAGAAAGGTGATCTTATTTTGGCCACGCCGACGCAATGGGACGTCCTCTCCCGACAATGGCAGAGGCGCAAGAACATCCTTACCGTTGAGTTGTTCATCGCCGACGAGCTCCATCTGCTCGGCGGCCCGCTCGGGTACATATACGAGATAATCGTATCGCGGATGCATTACATTCGTACCACCGCTAGTCTAGCGATGAGGATTATCGGATTAAGCGTCTCGCTTGCGAATGCCCGGGATATTGGCGGATGGATCGACGCCAAAAAGAAGGACATATACAACTTCAGTCCACACGTTCGCCCTGTACCCCTAGAGCTTCGCATCCAATCTTTCTCTATCCCTCATTTCCCGTCGCTTATGCTTGCGATGGCCAAGCCGGCGTACCTGGCAATCACTGAACTGTCTCCCGATCAGCCGGCTCTCATCTTCGTCCCGAGCAGGAAACAAACGAGGTCAAGTGCTCGCGATATTCTCGCAGCTTGCCTAGCGGACGACGACGAAGATCGCTTCCTGCATGCAGACGTCGACCAACTTCGACCGCTTCTAGAACGTATCCACGAGGAAGCTTTGGCTGAGGCACTTTCACATGGCATCGGCTACTACCACGAGGCCCTCAGCCAGAGCGACAAGCGCATTGTTCTCCACCTGTACAACCAGGGTGCCATACAGGTCCTGGTTGCATCTCGCGACGTATGCTGGGAGCTCGATTGTACGGCACACTTAGTAGTGGTGATGGGGACTCAGTATTTTGAGGGCCGTGAACACCGTTACGTCGACTACCAGTTGAGCGAAGTGCTCCAGATGTTTGGAAAATCACTGCGTCCATCGAAGGAAGGCCGAAGCCGAGGGGTTTTGATGGTCCCGGCCGTCAAGAGAGAATACTTCAAGAAGTTCTTGAACGAAGCTCTGCCGGTCGAGTCGCATCTCCACAATTTCGTGCACGACGCCTTCGTCACCGAAGTCAGCACCAAGATGATCGAGTCCGCGGACGATGCAATTAACTGGACGACCTTTACGTACTTTTACCGCCGACTCCTAGCCAACCCTAGCTACTACAGCCTGACAAGTCCGACGCACGACGGCCTAAGCAGCTATCTATCGGACCTCGTCGAGACAACTCTCAAAGAGCTAACAGAATCAAAGATTATCGACTTTGACGAAGACGACGGCTCAGTTGCTCCCCAAAACGCAGCCATGATCGCGGCCTACTACAACATCTCGTACATCACAATGCAGACTTTCCTCCTGTCCTTGAGCGCGAAGACAAAGCTCAAGGGAATACTGGAGATCGTAACGTCGGCGACAGAATTTGAAGCGATACAGATCCGACGCCACGAAGACAATCTTCTCCGTCGCATCTACGACAGGGTTCCGGTTAAAATGACCGACCCAGCGTACGACTCACCGCACTTTAAAGCGTTCGTACTGCTACAAGCACACTTCTCCCGGATGCAGCTCCCTATCGACCTGGCTAAAGATCAAGAACTAGTCGTGTCGAAGGCGTTGAGTCTCCTGAGCGCATTGGTCGATGTTCTTTCCTCCGATGGACATCTCAACGCCATGAACGCCATGGAAATGTCGCAGATGGTTGTCCAGGCCATGTGGGACCGCGACAGTCCCTTGAAGCAAATCCCCCATTTCACGCCCGAAGTCGTGAAGGCGGCTAACGAGTTCGCGTACGTACCCATGCATTACGGTCCCGGTGGTAGGGTAACTAACTGTTTGTGCCCCAGGATCAACGATATCTTTGATTTCATGGAAGCCATGAACCCCGAGGAGAATCCCAATTACGGCAAGCTCGTCAAGCGTCTGGGCCTATCCCAGAGCCAGCTCGCCCAGGCGGCGGCATTCACGAACAACAAGTACCCAGATATCTCTCTCGAATTCGAGCTCCTCGACCAGGATAACATCCGGGCGGGAGAACCAGCGTACATAAGCGTCCAGATCGAGCGTGAGGTGGACGAGGAAGAAGGGGAAATCGATACGACGGTTCATGCTCCATTCTACCCCACCAAGAAAGTGGAGAATTGGTGGCTGGTGGTCGGGGAGGAGAGCACGAAGACCCTGCTCGCAATCAAGAGGGTCACCATCGGGCGGCAGCTCAAGGTCAAGCTGGAGTACACGGTCCCGACGGCCGGAAAGCACGACCTGAAGCTCTTCTTAATGAGTGACAGCTACGTCGGCGTGGACCAGGAGCCGACCTTCTCCGTCACAGTAGCGGAGGGTATGGATGTGGACGACGACGAGGAGGAAGACGAGGAAGACGAGTGATGAGGTGCCCAAAGGCGTCGGGTCCTATGGGGCTCCTTCAGGTGGGAAGACGCCGGGTTGGTGTACGAACAGCTTACTGTACATATAGCGAGAGGCCATCCGGAACGCAATAGAAGCCGCGTGACGAACCACGCAGGGAAAGGGGACAGGTTTAAAAAAAAAGATTGATCGCTAGTTCCGCCTCTATGCCGCGGGCCCGTCCCGTACCGCCGGTGCCAGCCGTGATGATCCTCGTCGATGCGTGCACACACGCGTGTGTTGGACGTGGCATGGGATGCCTGCGTGTAGATATGCCGATGTGTGTCGGTGCCGTTGCCGTTGCTGCGAGGGAGGCGCTCGGCGACGGGGGGCTAGGGGGTTCTCGTTTCCCAGGGTGGGCTGGCGTCCGCTACATTGCCGTGCCTCCTGGCTGAGCACGACTGATAGGCGTGCGTCAGACCCACGCAGCGCGGTCCAGCGATGCCCTACGGAGTTAATGGGATGGTTGTATGGGAAGGGGATGGATGTATCTGTACCAAGGCCAGGAAGACCCAGAGCCCAGGACCAAGACCAAGACCGGAGAGAAGGGCGGGCATTTTTGCCTACCTAGCCCGCCGTACCGACCCCGTCACATTTTTTCTCATTAGCCACCTGTTGGCCTACCTTGCCCGCCTTACCTCCTCTACCCTACCGGAGCTACACACACGGGCTACACACCCCATATCCACGACCCACGCAAACTCCCAGCCAACCTCCAGGCTGAGTAATATGCACCTAGATGTAAATACGTACAGGCAACAATGAATATCGAGCAGAACAAAATACCAGTCGCATTACATAGCCCGCCCGCTCTTCCGCCAGCCAGCCCGCCAGCCAGCCCGGTACTTGACACCACATAGCTGCCATCAGATATATAGGTAAGGCAGGCATCCAAGGCACGATTATTATTGTTGTTATTGTTGTTGTTGTTTGTTGTCTGCCACCTCCTCGCTCTCACCACCACCCTCGCCGGCACCACCCCCTCCTCTTTCTTGTTTTCGCCTCTCTCTTGATATTCCCCTTCAACCCCCCCCCTCTCTTCAACATAGCCATTTCTCGACCGCCTACCCGCCTGCTCCTACTCGCCCACGCACCTCTCTTCTCCCGATCCACCGTGACCACGCGAGAAATCGCCTGCGTGTGGATGCATCCTGCCCGTCATCCTCTACGACACCAAGCCTCGTCCTAAACGGGCCCCGTTAGGTGGCCACAAATCAGGAGGCGATTACCTCATCCCTGCCTGGTTACCGAACCTGGCTACAGAACAGAACCGGCCTTAGGTACGTAACCTGCCTGCCGCCTCGCCCGGTACCTTGATCCCATACCTACCCTACCTAAGCTCGCCTCAGCTTGTCCATTTTAAAGCATAGCGCAAGCTCGTAGTAGGTATACCTACCTAATACTTAGAGCTGCCTATGTATAATTGAGGCGGGTCTGTCACGAGCACGTACACATAGGAGACTCAGCGCCGCCTACTCACCTGGAATAGGTACATCGCATCTACATCCATCACGGATTCCATACCTCGTGCCTGCTTGTAGTGCCTAGGTACCCCGGGTTAACCACTTGATATACCTACCCACCTCTTACCTCCACCAAAAGAGTGTCAAAATAACAAGGATTCTTTTTTTTTCCCCAAAAGAGAGGGGGGAAGATACGTGAGAAGAGCGAGAGTGAGAGTTGAAACCGAGAATAACAGGAGAAGACAAGGCAAAACAAGGCAATAACTGGAGAGAAGAAAAGAGTCTCGACCTAAATCCACTGCAACGACGGGGCACGCCATTTGCAAGGCACCACCACCAACACCAGCACAGCAAGAAAACAGCGCCGACCCTCTCCAAACCAAGTCACGTGATAGAGCTATTGTAGAAGCTACCAAGCCTTCATCGTCCTTGTGAGCACAGGCGCTTCTCATCTCGATCCTAGGGATTTTCACTCGTCCGTACTCTTTCAACTTCCATTACTCTTCCATTCTGCGTTTGCTCGTCCTTCATTTTCCTGTCGCATCCCCTCTCATAATCGCCCTGCCACCCCCTTCACCCCCCAACAGGAACACCACCACCCAAACAGCAACGCATCGCCAACCCGTTCCCTATCGAATCGCGCCTTTTCAATTGCCACCGTCCATTGCTAGTAACACCTGGTCCTGGCTCCGGACAGTCCCGTTGCCTGCTCGAGTTTTTGACCAACTTGGACTGGACGCGTTTTTCTCTACCATCCTTCGCCTGGTCAATAACATACCCACCACCTTATTTTTATTATTTTTTTCCTCAGGTATTCGCGTTATCCTTCCCCCTTCTCTTTTCTTCTTGCCTCTTTTCGTCTCTCTGTTCGGCAAACAACATCCGCCGCCGGCATCGAGACCACGAATACGAGGCAACAAATCCATCAAGCTCTTGTCACGACTTTGCTATTATCAGGATGTCTGACGAGACACCTGCGCAATCTGCCGCCGCGCAGCCTTCCGAAGCTGCCGCCACCACAACTGCTGCTGCTGCTGCTGCTGCTGAGGAGGGAGTCGTCTTGAAGCCTGTCGCGTCCGGCCCCGGGGCGAAGTCAATTGATTCCGACTCTACCACAGAGGCTGCAGAGCTCAAAGGGGATGACTTAGATGAGCCTACGGAGCCAACGGGTAAGTTGTACTCTATGACGGCATCCTGCCACCGACACCTTGCCAACCGCTCCACGCTTCACCGCCGCCTCTTGACCCGTCACCTGCGCAAATGCACCGTGTCCACCCCTTCTCCAGCGCGCTTCACCCGATTCGCCCACTTTCCCCGGCCTATACATATATATACACACGTTTTCCTCTCGTATCTTAGCTTGGGTCGCCTGCTGACACGACGTCTCCCCTAAGAAGAATCAACTTCCACCGAGAAGGCCGTTTCGTCCGACACTAAGCCCACCGAGCCTGACGTCGAGATGGCGAATAAACCAGCTGACGAGACCAACCTTTCTACCGCTGGTGCCGATAACGAGTCTAAGAAGGCTGTGGAGCCTGCGAGCGTCGAAGAGGAAGCAACTACACAAGCCGCCGAGGACGCTGCTGAAGGTACCGCAAATGAAACGGAGTTACCGACCTCCGGAGATAAGTCTAGAGCGCGTCGCAAGTCTGCCGGCGACAGCAAGGCAAAGAAGCTGAACAAGAAGGCATCCCGAGTCAAGATTCTGCACGTCGACGCGAAGCCGGGCGATCATTATTTCGCCAAGCTCAAGGGGTTCCCACCGTGGCCCGTTATCATCGCAGAAGAAGGCATGTTGCCTCAAAGTATGCTGGGCACACGACCCGTCACTGCAGCACGACCCGATGGAACGTACCGCGAGGATTTCGCCGACGGCGGAAAGAGAATCGCCGACCGAACATTCCCCGTCATGTATCTTCACACCAATGAATTGTAAGTCGAATCGACCCCCTTGTGTGTGACCTGATAGCTAGAGACGCTTACCACGTTACCAGTTCGTGGACCACCAATACCGACTTGAGCGAACTCGACCCGACAACGGTTGCCAGCCTCGTCACGACTAAGATGCGCAAAGATCTGCAGAATGCGCATCTTCTGGCCGCGGAACAGAACTCGTTGGAATACTACAAGACCGTGTTGCAGGAGTTCGAAGAGCAGCGGCTCGCGCAGGCTGAGGCTGATGCGGCCAAGAAGGCCAAGGCCAACAAGACACCCAAGAAATCAAGCAAGGCTGCTGAAACCGTCACAGCGGACGAAGACGACGACATCGATATGGCCGATGTGGACGACGGTGATGACGTAGAGCAGCCGGCGGAGAGGAAGTCGAAATCCAAGAAACGCAAGGCGGATGATAACAGCGTACGGGAACTTATATCTGTCTCATCTCCTTCACGAAACTATGACCATCTACTAACTTCCAACACAGGCCCCCCAACGCTCCGAGTCTGTCAAGAAACCTAAGATCAAGTTGACAAACCTGCCGTCGTCTAAGGGAGCGAACGGTGTGAAATCACCCACCAAGGATGCTTCGCCCAAGCCTGTCAAGATCAAGGCGAAGTCCGGGAGGAGTAGCAAGGAGAAAGCGGACAACAAGGAGAAGGAGCCAAAGGAACCAGAACTTAGCCCCGAGGAGCGACACGTACGCAAGGAGGTGAGATCCCCATTCAATAATAATAATAAAATCCTTGTCGCAGTGAGAGGATCGGCTCTTTGCTCATTAGTCTACAGAAGGAAATACTTTTCCTGCGCCACCGCCTGCAAAAGGGTCTACTTCTCCGAGACCAAGAGCCTAAGGAGGAAGAAATGAAATCGATGTCCGAGTTCCTTGCGAAACTCGAAACATTCCCCGATCTAGAAGTCAGCGTCATCCGCGTAACCAAGATCAACAAGGTCTTGAAGGCCATATTGAAGCTGGAGACGATTCCCAAAGAGGGGGAATTTCAATTCAAGCCGCGATCGCAGACTCTATTAGACAAGTGGAACAAGATCCTCGCTACCGACGGGGCCGCTTCTGCACCTACGTCTGCCAACGGCGTGAACGGAGCACCGGCCGGTGTTGCGAAGGACGGGAAGGAGACGACCAACGGTGTAAAGGCGGAGCCAGATAAGGCCGACTCGAAGAATGACGTTGCGGATAAGGAGGCAAAGGAATCCGAAGCTAAAGAAGATTCGGCCAGCGAAGACAAGCCAGACGCGGCGGAGGTACGTTTGGAGGACGGTCTAGCAAGTCGCGAAAATGTCGGGTTGCTAACAAGGGCGGCAGAGTACGAAGGCTCCTACCGATAAGGTGACCGCGGAGGTCGAGTCTACGGCATGAAGTGACAGGTTTCCAGATTGGACGAGACCCAAGGCGGTTTTTTTTTTTTAGGTGCCCGAAGAATGAGGGCAGCAACTATGGGCGTTTGGGGTATAAGATGGGCTTCATCTCGTCGGGTGCGGCTGTGACGCGACATTCCACTACTCCAAAGTGAGGATGCGTACGACATCTGAGGACCTGGACCCCGTAATGTGTCCATTCTATGTACAATTAAGCAGTACTTCATTCCGATCAGCTCCTGCGCGATACCGGAGTCGTTGATGTTTTGGTCAGGAGGGGCCTTTTGGCAAGGGAGAGAGAGAGGGGGATAGAGGTTGGGGGGAGGCAGGGAGGGGGGGGGATTGGACTGCAAAAGAAAAAAAACGAGGCCCAGTTCGACGCAGAGCTGCTGCGACTTGCTTGTTTGGTATCCTAATCGAGATGAAGGACGGGAAGCCATCGGGACCGGTTTTCGTTTCCCTTTTATAAGGAGAAGAGAAGGGCGGGAGGGTTGCGAAGGACCGACCGATGGATTGATTCTCGTTAGGAATCTTGCAATATCAAAAATAGCATTGCGCTGCCGTAGGGTTGAGTAGCCTCGATAGCTGCCTCTCTTATGCCAACAATATACTCTATATTCTTCCACGCAAGCCGTACGAGTCCGTATGAGTAGTGTGCCGGAGGTGTAGGGGGGGGGGGGGGCCTTGTGCGGCGGCCTTCTGCGTCTGCCTCGTTCATTTGACGCGGTATTTTTACGCGAACATCAACCGGTACTCGGTTGCGTGTGGGTACCTACCTACCTAGGTAGGTAGGTACCTATGCTTCGAGGCACCTAGAAGTACCTTCGGTGGGCACATAGTAGGATAGGTGCCTGCCTGCAGTACCTAGGTACCTACATGTACCCGCCTCTGAGCAGCCTCGGAAGGACCTCCTGTAAACAGCTTCACACTCCCACCCCTGCTATTGACACCCGCCCGGTGGGTAGGTACCTGCAAAGTACCTGCCCTTTCCTACAGCAGGCTTACATATAGCTAAGTAGGAGCCCTCCTTATTATGTAATAAGCATTATGTAAGTAGCCCTTGAGAGTTAAAAGAGTGTCGCTTAGTAAGGGTGCCTTAGATAGGAGGTTTGAGAAAAAAAAGTACGTTCTATACTCTATCTAGCTAGTAATCGAACCCAGGTATTAAAGAGGCATTTAGACTACGGGTACGCTTAGTTATTTTCTCGTTATTTTTATCCCGTTTTAACCTCTTCGTATAGAAGGTCTTAGAAAGCTCGTTCCGCTCGTATAAGAGTATCCTTATTTCGTTATTATCTACCGAAAGATAATATTCTAGTTCGTCGTTTTTTATTAAAAAGAGGTATTCTTAGTTCGTTTTCGGGCCTTATTTTAGGGTACGCTAATCCCTTCGTTACCGATATCATTTACCGGCGTAACATACCGAAGGAAGGAGAAGGTAGTTCCCTTTTTCTTATACCCGATAAGCTATATATCGCTACTATTTATAACCGAAACCTAAAGCTTCTTAAAGCTTTAGCCGATTCTTTCCTTACCATAGGGTACCCCTACCTAGCGAGGGTAATTAGGTTTTTACTAAATTCCGGAAGCCCCGAATTAAACGACCTTTTATAGGACCTTAAGAACCTAGGTAAGGTTCCCCGTGGAATATTCCCTTAGTTTTAGTTAACGTTAAAAATAAAGGTATTAGGACCTTCGAATTAGGAATAATTAAATCTAATAATAGATTCATTATAGTTAGAATAATTCCCTTTATCGCTATCTACTTCGTTATCTTCGTTTCCCTTAAAGGAGAACGTATTACTACTTCCTCGTTTGTCGAGTTCGTCGTTCTCTTCGCTATTCTCCGTAGCTTTATTAGTATCCGTAGTAATGGCCGACCCTTAGGAACCGATTCCTCCGTAAGTCCTACCCGACTTAACTATATATAGTCGTTTTAACGGTAGTAAGGCCGCGTCTAGATGGCTTATACTACTTACGTAGGCCTTTAAATTAGCTAGCTACTTAGTTTTATTAGCTTTTAATAAGCTTTAAGCCATAGATACTTTATATAAAGGAGAGGTAGTAGCCTTTCTAGATCGTAATTCTCGTATCCGGCGAGCTCTCGACCTCGCTAGGTAAGGAATAGCTACTTAAAACGATTTACTTATGGTTTAATAGCTCTTAAGGGAAAGATTTCCATTTAAAACGGCTAATTAATCGGACCTACGAAACGAAATCGTTAATATCTCTTAAGGCTTAGAAGAATCCCTCGCCTCTTACTATATTAAGGCATAGGAGCTATTAAGACGTACGGGATCGAGAGATTTCCCCTAAGTTCTACGCCTAAACGGTACCGATAACCTAACCATTCTCGAAACCTATATACTTAAGTCGGTAATTATACGCTTCGTAAACGGTTTAAGGGATCCGGATTTAAAAAGGGAAGCCCTCGAGAAAGCTACTTACGTATTTAGAGCCCTTTAAGAGGCATATAGCATAATATAAGGTTATTAGAAGGTCGTAGACCTTAAGAAAGAATAATTTAAGGAATAATAGCTAAAGGAGCGGGAGAACCTAATCGAACGCTTTATTATGGAAAAGATAGGCTTATTAGTTAAGTAAACTATCACTAACGAGTATTTTAACTAGGTATTAGCTCCTAAGGTTACTACTACGACGTTACCTTAGCCCCTAGCGGCTCCGCCTTTATACGTACGGGTATAGTAAACCATACCCTACCTTATTTCCTAGATCCTAGCTTATTTACTATATTAGCCTTATTATCCGAATTAAGGCCTAATATAATAGCCTTAATAGGTCCCGGGAGCTTTAATAGCTTTACCTTAAACCTTTAATGGTTAATAATAGTAGCCTTGGTAAGGATAATGGTCGTATAGTAACGGTATTAATTAGGGATCCGGTAACGGCTCTGGAAATATATCCCGAGTAGTCCCTAATAAAAGGACGTCGAAGTATCCGATCGTTAACGATTTACGAGTCTTATAACGGAAAGAAAAAGTATACTTTAAGTACGGAAGCCTTAATTACGTATAGCCTTATAAGGCTCCCCGGGGGTAGTAATTAGCTTACTAGGAATAGTTTATTCTTAAATCGTTAACTTACCTAACCCCGAAATAGGTAGCTGAAATAGGTAGGAATCTCGACGTAAAATCGGTATAATTCTTTTATAAGTAATCTTAGGAGTAGGAGATATTAAATTAAAACGCGGTTAAGTATAGATAGGTAGCCGAAGAGATATATTCGACGATTACCTTAGTTACTTCGGATATTATCTCGCTAGGTACTACCTTTTTAAATACCTAGTTATTACTTCTTATAGTTAAGTTAATAGGTATAGTAGAGTTAAAGACTACTAGCGTCGATATTTAAGATAACCTAGCTATAGAGGTGCTAGAGCTCGCCTCCTTCTTAGGTAAGCATAGGTATAACGGTACCGTTATAAGAGAAGACGAGGGCAAGAAGAAGAAGAAGCCTCGCAAGGGCCTTTAAATTATTTATAGAAAGGAAAGGGATCCTTCCTTTGACTTTAATATACTAGCTCGTTAAATCGAAGTAAAGTTAAGCTTAATGGACCTATTTTAGGTATTACCCGAATATGCCCGGTAGTTTAGGTACTTCTCTATTCGTAAGAACGTAAAGGCCGAAGCTAGAGCCGTACGTAAGATCGTAGCCTTTAGACTATCGTTTTAGCCTCGCCTTTATATCCTTCTTAATCCTCTACCTCTAAAGAAAGGAAAGTTAGTATATTTCGCTAAACTAATCGCCGAACCAGTAGTAAAGAAGGAGGATGAACCCGTTAAGATAAGTAATATACCTAAATACCCGTTTAAGTCCCGAAACGCTATACCCCAGGTATTAGATATCGTCCCTTATAATACTTATCTAAATAATATTTAGATAGATATAAACGGCGCTACCCTAGCTTTAAGAGCCGCCCCGGTTCTAATTAACTTATTCCTATTAAAACCGGTTAGATCCTTTTATATAAACGCTATTCTTCGTTTTAAATAAGACAGAGAATTACTTATGTTTTATACCTTACCCGAAAATACTACTCAAGCTAACTAAGGAAGTAACATTAATCTTATATCCGGTAAGCTAATAGATTAGCTCCGTATTAAACGAAGATTCTTATGTTATTTAGGCGCTAGGCGTTTATTTTTATTAACCTTAAACGGTCGTCGTTTAGAGGTAACCGAATTCGTTCTATTTAACGTCGGGATATAAGGTATTTAGAGATCGGTATGGGTTATTATACGACCCGAATCTACGAATAACGATATCCTTTTATTACTTAGTATCCCTTGGTTATAAGACGTTATAGTTAAGTTCGACATTAGGGCTAGCTCCCTTACTATCGGCGATAAAGTAGCTAGTAAAAAGGTAGTATCTCTTTAGGGTTCCCTCTTATAACCTTTTATTATTTATAAGATAGCCCTTAGGGCTGCCGGACTAGTTATTAATCCCGTAGAGCATTTACGGGTACTTATTACTTATAAGTCGCCGATAATAAACGACGATAATAGTAATAATAATTCTTCTAATAAAAGCGACTTAAATAACGACGAAACGGGAAATTAAATCACCGGCTTAGACCCGAGTACGTCCCTAAACTACGAATAATAGGACCCGAGCATGTCCTTAAACTACGAGCGGATCGGACCCTTACCTCCTTTAAAGCTTATATATTAAATACTCCTTAGGAGCTTTTGAACTTGCCTTATCGATCCTCCTTTCCTAGCGTTGACTGGTTAAACTTCCACGCTCTACGAATTATAGTAACGTCGGAGAAACGCCTAGCCTTTCGTTAGATGGCTTATTTCGTATCTATATTATTACTAAAAGACTTATTCCCCTTAGTAATTAACGAATTCTACCCGACGGGTATCTGATTAATTAGAGCCGACGTATTCGGAGATAATTTAGTATTAGGTTTACGCTAGCTAATTAAAATAACTACGTTGAAAGATGATTTAGCATCGGGCCTATAATAGCTAATTAAATTAACCGCGTTTAGAGATAATTTAATAGTTTATTACTTAATTAAAGGCGCCGTAATTAAAGATAATTTAGTATCCTATATTAGTTCCGCCTATCCATTCCTAATTATTAAGCGAGTTAAGCGACTTCTATTGGTTATTAATAACGAATTACCCGAGTAGAAGGCTTTTTATTAGCTTAATAAAGTAGGAGTAAAGTTAGGCCCTCTTATTTCCTATAAGCTAAAGCTAAAGATAGCCTACGGATTATATACTTACCGTAAATTAGTAACTATATCGGTTTTAGATATATTAATAACCGACCTTTATTAATATAGAGTTAGATTACGCCCTAGTACGCCTCCTTAGAATAAGTCTAGAAGGAAGAGTTAGATCCCTCCCTAGAAATATTAGTTAAACCGTCTTATTTAAGAGGAAGTCGAGGTAGGATAGTTTAAATTAACTAAGGTTACTAACGGGCGCCTTTTAAACTAGGTAGCTTAACCCGTATTAGTGCCTAAGAATAGAGATTTACCGGATCTTAATCCCTAGGCCGAGCTACGTCTAACATTTAATTATAGTTAGGTCGAAGAAGAGGTACTAGGAATAAACGTTACCTTATTAATAGATATATATAACTATCTCTCGTATCTAGGTATCGGATCTTATTATAAACTAAACTTAAAATACGGATATTAATACGTTAAAATCTACTTTAAAGATAGGTACGTTTTCGCGTTTATTATTCCTAGCTTTCCATAGCTTTAACCTATTAGGATATCCTAAGGAATATAGACGGTAATATTCTTAATAACGGAGCTTATATACGTAGTTCTCGGCGCTATTCCTAAGCCTTAAGCCGAGCTATCTCTTTTATTCTTATCTTCGCTAGATAAGATTCCTAAAGGCGTATTTTATATGAACGATATCTTCGGTACTTATACTAACGCCGAGGAATAGTAGTAATAGTTAATTTACTACCTTTTACCCCGGATACGGTAGGTAAAACTACGCTTATCCTTTACGAAGATTTATATAGGTTTTACTAAGATTCTAGCCATAGGAGTTATGTATTATATCGGCGGTCGTTTACGTATACGAGAAGATTGAGCCTTTCGTTTTCGTAACTAGCCCGTCCTAATTAATTAATTAGAAGTAAGGTCTTTCCTAGGAGCCGTAGGTCCTTACCGTAAGTAGATAAAGAATTACTTAGAGATCTATCGCCCTTTAATACGGCTACTTAATAAGGATACCGAGTAAAAATAGAGCATAGCTAAATCCTTATCCTTTAAACTAGCTAAATTACTAGTATTAGCCGTAGTTAATACCTATAGCTACGCTTTTGATCTACCCGTATCCCTATATACTAACGCTTCGTAATTCGTAGCGGGTTATATCATTCTCTAGCGGTAAAACGGGATTAATATCCCTATCTTATACGATAGCTTTATATTTTCGAAACCTTAACGTAATTACGGTACCTATAAAAGAGAGCTTTATATAATAGTTAAATTCTATCGTCGGTATAGCTATATATTTCAGGCAAGAGACCGATTTATCCTCTTTATTAATTATAAGCCTTTAACCTAGTTCTTATTTTTATTTATTATTAAAAGCATTTACGTTCGCTAGGCCTTCGAATTTAAATTACTTTATATATAGATTAAATATATATTAGGAGTAAGAAATAAAGCCGCTAACGCCTTCTTTCGTATTATATTCCCGGGTAATACTTATGAAAACGTCGAATACCTAAAGACCCTAGGTAATTAAGATTAAAATAACGGGCTATGGACCTAGAAGAATAACGTAGGCGGATATAAGTAACTATTAGCTTAATTACTTAATCTAGTAGATCTATTATTGGGATTCCGAGGGCGGGATCTTTTGCCTTCCTTTATTAAGGTAGACGTAAACGTAACCGTAATTATAATTATAGCTTTAGTTTCGTTATCGTCGTTACCCGTTATAAAAGGACTTAAGTACGTCCTTAAACTATATCTAGGACCCGAGTACGTCCTTAAACTACGAATAATAGGACCCGAGTACGTCCTTAAACTACGAATAATAGGACCTAGGTATATCTATAAACTATAACTAGCTAATACTAACGATAAAGCCGACGATTACTTACTCCCGCCTTTTAAAGCCTAAATACTTAACTAGGGGGACGTTATATTTCAAGAGTTCGCTTATTTAAATGTAGCGTTTCTATATCTCTTCGCCGACCTTATTATTAGAGCCTCGGAGCTCTTCGTAGGAGGATCTTCTTCCGAATATAATAAATAATTAAATTCTAAATGATATAGAGAAGTAGTCGAATTCCTTATTACCGGAAGAACTAGATTAGATATTTATAATCGGCTTAAGGTACGATCCTTACTTAATAAAGCTAAGGAATATAGGATCGGGGGAACGTAGTTATAGCATTATTATCGTAGGATATGGAATAAGTATTTACTACCAGACGAAGTTATGGACGCCTTCGTTAAAGCTTATAACGAAGCCGGGTATTTCTTTAAGTCGATTACCCTAAAGCGCCTCTTCCGTTTAGTTTTCTAACTAAAGATAGCTAGTAACGTATCCGCGTATATAAATGGATGCCTTCTTTACGCGTATTATAAACTAACTAAACCATTAGGTCCCCCTTTCCTTATAACGGTTTATGCCTCGTTATAGATCCTTTCGTCTAACTTTATCGGTTCCTTTTTATTATTATATTTAGGGTACCGGTATATCCTAGTAATCGTTTATTAATTTAGTAGATACGGCTAAGTAATGCCTACTATTAGTACCTTAGTAAATAACGTACTCGTAGGCTTTAATATATAACTTATTAACTTAGGAATAAGACCCTTAGCCTTTTACTTAGACCCTAGATCCGCCTTTACCTTATAACGGATGTTATAATATCTGGTATTAAAGGAGATACTAGTCGTTAACGCCCCTTTAGGCTCCTACCGATTAATCGGGTTAATTAAAGTATTTAATAAGATCCTATAATAGGTCTTAAAGAAGATAATAAACCTACTACCTTACTAAGAATAAGAACTACTAGACTAGGCTAGCTCTATACCCGAAATAATAACTAAAATTAACGCGCGTTACGTTAAATCTCTGGGATATTTACCGTTCGAGATACTATATAGGAATCTGCCTATTAGTACCTTCGAAGCTAAGTACCCGCTATCCCATTTAGCTAAACTAAGATCTACTCTAGCTAGCGGCTCTTTTAAGCTCCCTAGCGAATAAATATACGCCGATTTAATCGTAAGCTATATGGCTAGGATATAATACTATAAGGAGAACGTTTGGAAGCTATTAAAATAAACTAGGAAGAAGAAAGAGGAAGCCCTTAAGGAAGCTAATAGATCTATCGGAAAAGGGGACCTCGTTATGCTTTATTAGGACGGAAAATCACTTAAGTTACGCGAGAAATAAACTAGCCCTTTTATCGTAGGGTTACCCGTTAAACGTTTAATATATTAGTTACTATTATTAAATAATAAGCCATTAGGACCTTATTATTATTATACGAATTAGTTAAAATTATTTAAGCTACGGGAGGGTTATTTAAGGTTACTAAAAGACCTTTAGTTACCGTACTAGAGGAGGTTAAGAAGGACGAAGAGATAAGCTATTACTAAAACCTATTTTACTATTTATTACTATAATCTTTTGGAAGGCTTTAAAGACGTAACCGGGGGCGGTTACCTTTACCCCCCCCTACTAGCTAAGTAGGAGCCCTCCTTATTATGTAATAAGCATTATATAAGTAGCCCTTAAGAGCTAAAAGAGTATCGCTTAGTAAGGGTGCCTTAGATAGGAGGTTTGAGAAAAAAAAGCACGTTCTATACTCCATCTAGCTCATACCTACCGCGTACCTACCGCGCAGGCAGGTATCTGCCTAGTACCCATGCCGACGGGCTACATATGAGGTAACATATGAGTAATCTGACGAAACCTGCTGTGACCTAGGTAATGATTAGGTAGTTACCTGTTGGCGCGCGTCATCAGCCGTCAGTGCCTGACCGTGGTAACTTCGTAAGTGGAAGCTTCGCCTGCATCCCGCTCGTCTCCCTCGCCCCTCCACTTCATTCTCGAACCTCACTTACCCTTCAGTCTCAGACCGTGACCTCTCTCCCCCTCTCCCTCCCCCATACTCATCCCCCTCCGCTCCCCCGCCTCTTCCCTCTATTCGTTGACCTAGTTCTAGACCCTTCTCAGCATCGCCCGACAACTCAGTTCTAGACCGCCGCCTATGAGCAGCCGGCGCCATCACCTTGTGTTGAGCTCCTCTCCATCCTAACGCCTTTCCCAGCTGGCCCGGCTCCGGCCTGAGAACGCCATCATGCTGTTACGATTACGCGGCCCGGATGGGATGATCCGGGTCAACATGGAGAAGACGGATACTTTCGCCGAGCTAGGCCGCCAGGTATGCGCTTCCCATCGCATCCCACCAGCTCGACATGCCAGCCCTCTCTAACTCTCCGCTGTACAAGCTCGTAACCCATCTGCCACCAACCGTAGATCCGAACAGCATAACCATGTCCCCAGACCCCCAAGCTAAAGACTCGAAGAGACTGAGAGACATCGCCAAGTTCAAGCTGTCGCAGATCGGGTTAAAGTACGCCGACGCTTCCTCATCCCTCCCCCGACTTGCCATTCCAGCTCTGCTGACATACGCAACGCAGCCACGGAGACTTGATCTTCATTACTTACCAACATCAGAGCAGCGGGGCGAATGGCCACGCGAATGGCGCCCCCCCGACGACCACTAACATATCGGCCTCGACGAACCGACTGAATGGGAAACCCATCCTGCCCACCGAGGATCTACCCGTCGACCCTCTGCCGCTGACATCCCCTTCTCAGGTCATCAGAAATCCGTGGGAAGTGGTCAAGCAGTCGGCGCTTGACGATCGATTAGACAAGCAGGACGGTAAGATCCCTCGGGGACAAGATCGCATGTGTAAGCACGGACCCAAGGGCATGTGCGACTATTGCATGCCTCTCGACCCTTTCAACCCGCAATACCTGGCCGAAAAGAAGATCAAGTACCTATCCTTCCACTCCTACCTCAGGAAGATCAACTCGGCAACCAACAAGCCCGAGTTGGGTAGTTCCTACATCCCCCCGCTCAAAGAGCCTTACTTCCGAGTGCAGAGAGACTGCCCTTCGGGACACCCGCAATGGCCGGAAGGCATCTGCTCCAAGTGTCAACCGAGCGCCATCACCCTCCAGCCCCAGACGTTCCGCATGGTTGATCACGTCGAGTTTGCCTCCTTTGAGCTGGTCAATACCTTTATCGACGCTTGGCGGCGGACCGGTTCGCAACGTATAGGCTACCTGTATGGCCGCTACACGGAGTACTCCGAGGTGCCTCTCGGAGTTAAGGCCATTGTCGAAGCCATATACGAGCCTCCGCAAGTAGACGAGGTCGACGGGGTGTCGCTAAATCCCTTTGAGAACGAGGCGGACGTGAATGGCGTCGCAAGGCTCTGCGGGCTCGAGCAGGTCGGCGTCATCTTCACCGACCTGCTCGATGCCGGTACTGGAGACGGGAAGGTCATCTGCAAGCGTCACGCGGATTCGTATTACCTATCCTCCTTAGAGATCGCCTTCGCGGCACGGTTACAGGCCCAACACCCCAAGCCGACAAAGTGGAGCGATACCGGTCGGTTTGGCTCTAACTTTGTCACATGCGTTATAACAGGCGATGAGACGGGCCAGATAGCCATCTCATCTTACCAAGTTTCCAACGACGCCGTGGAAATGGTGCGAGCAGACCTGATCGAGCCATCGGCCGACCCCAACGTCATGCTCGTGCGCGAAGAAGAGGAGGACGACGGCACGGCGAGCCGGACGCGGTACATACCTGAAGTCTTCTACCGAAAAATAAACGAATACGGCGCAAACGTACAGGAGAACGCCAAACCGGCCTTCCCTGTAGAATATCTATTCGTCACTTTAACCCACGGTTTCCCCGCACAGCCCACCCCCTTCTTTAACACGTCCAACTTCCCCATCGAGAATCGCGAAGCGATGGGGGAAGTTCAGCAGCTCAAACAGGCAGCCAAAGCCGTGGATACCAGAAGTGGTAATAAGCTTGGCTCGCTCTCCGACTTCCACTTCCTCATCTTTATCCATGGGATGGATATTCTATCAAAAGTGAGTTCTGACAAGTCGGACCCTGCCGTTATCCCGCCCGCCCTCTTTCTCCCTTGTTTCTTCGAAAGAGACAGTCTGCCTACGATCCGATAAAGTAACAAATAAACTAGGAGGAAGAGGCTCTTCTCTGCCGGGCGGCAACAACACATGACCTTGCCGACACGTACCAGCTGTTTTCCACACCCGGTTGGAAAACTCTGGAGGCCATTCTACAAGAGACTGGTGAGAAACTCCCCAAGAAGCGTCCTCGTCCTACAAGTGATGACGAGGAGCGGGCGGGCGGGGAAGCGTCTCCCGCATCATTCCCTTCCGCCGCCGCTGCTGCCGGCCTCGCCCGCACAAGATCCACTGAACCGCTTACTAAGCGTCTTGCTGCCGTTAGGCTGACCGAACGAAACCCGAACCGACCAGTCTTCGATCGCGCCAAGTTCGAGGAGGTGTAATGGTTTCGTGGCCGGCATTGGGGGTGCGGGGGAGGTGGTTCGGACGCCGGCGAAGGCGTTCGTTATCGTTCGGTGATGGGCTACTAGCCTGACAGAGCGGGGCTCTGGAGGACGGTGATGCGTTTTAATAGGGGCTGAGAGGCATAGCTAGATAGGTTTTTGACCTCATGGAGTCCAGTTCCATCTTAGAGAAGAGAGATCTCTAGGACAAAGCGGGGGAGGAGAGGGAAATGCGGGCGAAGTTTCTATACCACAAACGCCCCCGCGTACGGGGTCTCGCGTCATATCACCAGCTGAAGAGGCAGTGTTGATGAAGGGAGGATATGAAGTCAAAAAGCATCTGACATGATTTCTGGGGCCCCTGTCGCACTTAGTACGCGCGTGATAGTCGCCGACGAATTTATAGGTTTGTCAACGCGTAGCACGACGAGTAGCTTAGGTAGTCTGGCGGGCTACGTGGGAACGATGTGCTGCCTAGCTTCAGTGCACGGCAGAGCGGGCAAATAGTTCGAACTAGTTAACTCGCATCTTTCGCTCCCGTTTCTCGCCCCTTAACCTTTGGGCTGTCCCTCCTACCTCCCAGAGCGACGCGGCCTACCCTCGACGCGCGACCAACGTACCGATAGCGCATCGGGGGGGGGGGTGACCTATGTATGCTAGCCGGCCGACTCGTGTCGCCCACGTCGCCTTGCCGCGCGGGACCCCGAGGGGGGAAACGAGTGCAGGGGACAGACTCTAGTCGCCGCGGGAATGAACTTTCTTACCCCCGCCCTCCCTGCTCGCCTGTCTGCCAATCCGTTTTTTGCGTCCCTTGGTGGCCGGCCGAAGCCGACGCCGCGAGCTTCATCCTGCGCGATGGGACGAGAGCGCGGTCTCCCTTCCTACTGCTTGGCACTTCACCTAAACGAAAGAGAGGGCACATTGTTTGATGTATTTTTATATCTGGTATTTTCATTTCGACTTCCTCTACTCTGGCGGAACGCTTGCGCGGAGGAGAAAAAGGGTTGCGGGGGGGTTGTGCTTGGTTAGGTTGGTGATGGCGAGGCGGGCGGACGGGACGGATGGATTGGGCAGATGGCCCTGAGTAAACAAATACGAAAGGGGGAAGTCGGAAAAGAAGAAAAGGAGCTATATAGTGCCAGCACGCGAAAACTTTTCCCGAATCCCTAAAACTCCGCCACCTCCCCTGACCTGAACGAACCCCTATTCCATATTCCACTCCCTCCTCCCTACTTTTTAATTGGTTTTTTTTTTTGCTTCTCTTTTTGGTTTCGTATCTCGGGGGTATCTAGTCTACAACGGCTTGCCACCGAGGAACTCGGACCACCGGCGGACCTCGGGCGGGACGCCTTCTTTTCGCGGCAGCTTCTCGCTCATGCACTGGGCGAACAGTATTGCTGTCTAGAGAGAGAGGAAGGGGGGGGGAGAAGGCAAGGTTAGCACATTGTATAAGGCATATTAGGTACGACGGCGGGCAGGGCTCTTGCTTACCTGGGGCTCCATGAAGAGCGGGACGCCAAAGTCGACGGCGTTGCGGCGCATCACGTAGTCGACGTCGGTGACGGTCTTGGCCCGGGCCAGGGCCAGGTTGAAGACGCCGCGGATGTCGTGCTTCTGGAAGACCTCGCGCAGCGCGCGCTTGTCCTCGCGGGGGAACGCGATCACCTCGACCGCCGTCTTGTCCCGCGTGGTCGCCTCGAGGAACCGCTTCACGTCCTCCTCCGCGGCGTAGAACCGGTAGCCCAGCGGCGCGAGGTAGTCGGCCACCTGTGTGAGCCACGGCTTGCTCGTCTCCCCGCCGAACAGGATGCCCTCGCCCGGCTCCGGCACGCGAAAGTTCATGGCCGACTGCAGCGACGTCCAGTAGGCCTCGACCAGGTCCTTGCCGAAACACGCCATCTCTCCCGTGCTGGCCATCTCCACGCCCAGGAACGGGTCCGCGCCCGCGAGACGGGTCCACGAGAATTGGGGCACCTTGGTCGCGAGGTAGTCCCGCTTCACCGCCATGGGATCGGTGGGCTTGGGCACATCCTTGCCGACGAGGGCCTTGGTCGCGACGTCGATGAAGTTGGTGCCGAGGACTTTGCTGACGAAGGGGAAAGACCGAGACGCTCGGAGATTGCATTCGATGACTTTGAGAGCCGGCTCTCCGCCTTCGGGGTCCTCGGCCTTGATGACCTGCATATTGAACGGGCCCGTGATATTCCACGCCTTCGCCACCTTCTGGGCGATTTCCTTCAGTCGCGCCATGGTCCGGTCGTCCAAGCTCACGGGAGGGAGGACTAACGTAGCGTCGCCAGAGTGGACGCCGGCCTGCTCGACGTGTTCGCTCACAGCGTGGAGGATCAAGTTTCCTTGGTGGGCGACGCCGTCGATATCAACCTCCTGCGCGCCTTCGATGAACTTGGTGATTACCACGGGATGGTCCGGAGAGACGTCGCTGGCGGCCTCCAGCTTGTCTTTAAGATCTTCTTGGCTTCGTATGACAGTCATAGCGGCACCCGAGAGAACGTAACTCGGACGAACTAGAACGGGGTAGCCGACCTGTTGGGCAAATTTCTCCGCTTCGGCTACAGAGGTTAATTCCTTCCAAGCAGGCTGGTCGACTCCAATGCTGTCCAAGATCTCCGAAAACTTCTGCCGATCTTCGGCCTTGTCGATATTCTTGGGGTCTGTCCCCAAAACATTCGCCTTGCCCGTCTCTTGGAGACGCAGGGCAATATTTTGCGGGAGTTGACCGCCAACGGAGACAACGACACCAGATGCGTTTTCGAGTTCATAGATATCCATAACTCTCTCGTAGCTAAGTTCTTCGAAGTAGAGCTTATCCGCCGTATCGAAATCGGTCGAGTAGGTCTCGGGGTTGTAGTTTATCATGACGGTCTTCTCGCCTATGTTCCTTAAAGCAAGGGTGGCGCTCACAGCACACCAGTCGAATTCGACCGAACTGCCAATTCTATACACGCCGCTGCCGAGAATGATGGTGCCCTTATCCTCGAACGTAACGTCGTGGGAACTGGCGTTGTACGTGGTATACAGGTAGTTCGTATCAGCCGGGAACTCGGCAGCCAAGGTGTCGATCTTCTTCACCCAAGGCCGAATGCCCATGCTCGAGCGGTGAGCGCGAACGGCGTCCTCGTTACTTTTCACGGCATTTGCGATCTGCTTGTCGGAGAACCCCATCTTCTTGGCCTTGAGAACGAGATCCCGCTTCAGACCACCTAAACTGCCAACGGCCTCCATTTCCTTGATGCAGTCCACAATGTTCTGAAGCTTGTACAAGAACCACTTGTCGATTCTACTCAGCTCGTGAATCTTCTCAACCGAGTAGCCTTCGTGAAGCATGGCCTGGCCGACCGCGAGCCATCGACGGTCGGTTGGATGCGAGAGTTCATAATCGAGATCGTCGAATTTATCACCTTGGAAGCCGAGGAACTTGGGGTCAACTTGGCGAATGGCTTTCTGAAATGATTCTTCGAAGGTGCGACCGATAGCCATCACCTCTCCAACGGATTTCATAGCACTGCCGATGTCGCGCTTGACGTGCTGAAATTTGGACAGATCCCAGCGAGGTATCTTCGTCACGATATAGTCGAGCGACGGTTCGAAGTTGGCTGTCGTTGTTTTTGTGACGGCGTTTGGCAGCTCAGGCAGGCTGTGTCCAAGTCCTATCTTCGCTGCAGTGTAGGCTAAGGGGTATCCGGTGGCTTTCGAGGCTAGAGCTGACGAACGGGAAAGACGAGCATTGACCTCGATTACCCTGTAGTCGAGGCCGTCCGGCTGAAGAGCGTACTGGACGTTGCACTCGCCGACGACCCCTAGGTGCCGAACAATTTTGATGGCGGCAGACCGGAGCATGTGGTATTCTTCATCGCTAAGAGTTTGGCTAGGCGCGACGACGATGGAGTCGCCCGTATGCGTTCCCAAAGGATCAAAATTCTCCATGTTACAGACGGTGATGCAGTTGTTATTAGCGTCACGAACTACTTCATACTCGACTTCTTTCCAGCCTTTCAACGATTTCTCGACCAAGATTTGCGGCGAGAGAGTCAGAGACCGAGCGGCCATGTTGCGCAGCTCCTCCTCGTTGTTGGCGAAGCCGGAACCGAGACCGCCTAACGCGTAGGCGGCGCGAACGATGATAGGATATCCGACTTTCGAGGCCGCATCCAGAGCATCATCGACGGTGCCGACGGCAATCGATTTGGCGATAGGAATATCGATCTCGTTGAGCGCCTTGGCAAACAGATCTCTATCCTCGCTCAGCTCCAGGGTGTGTACGCTGGTGCCGAGGACCTTGACGCCATATCTCTCTAATATGCCCATGCGCTGCATCTGCACGCCTAGGTTCAGCGCCGTCTGCCCGCCGAAGGACAGGAAAATGCCGTCAGGGCGTTCCCTCTCGATAACGTAGGTCACATACTCCGGGGTGACGGGGAGGTAGTACACTTCGTCGGCGAGGACATGGTTGGTCTGGATGGTGGCAATGTTCGGATTTATGAGCACAGAAGCTACGCCAGCCTCCTTGAGGGCTTTGAGCGCTTGCGAACCTAAGGTATTCTGAGAATTAGTCTCACTTGGGTTCTGACCGATTATGAGTCACCCCTGGCCTCTCTCTATCTAGGCTTGTGAGGGCGGCTTCGAGGTACTAACCTGAGTAGTCAAACTCTCCAGCCTGTCCAATTGCCAGGCCACCACTGCCGATAACCAACACCTTCTTGACATTCACCACATCTATGGGCCGGATGACGCCGCTCTCCAGGTACGCTTTCGGGTTCGGCGCCTCTTGAGCGGCAGCTACACCGGCAGCGGAGCGAGCGCTGGTGGTGGAGAAGCGTCTCTCGTAGGCAAATCCGAACTTGCTAGAAGAGGCGAGGAGCTGAGAGGGAGATCGCAGGCTCGCGGTAGTGAGCTGCCTTCGCGTGATGGGCAATCGTCGAAATTGTCGCAGGAGAACAGGCGCTCGACCGACAAGCCGGGCGGAGAAGGCCATGACAAGCTCGGGAGCGGGCGTACTGGGGAGATAAGGGAGGGACAGAGGCCTTTCAAGACCGAGATTTGGGGCGCCCAGCTCCCAACTGCAGTCAATTGGGTTCCTCCGCGAGGTGTCTCGGACGCTGGCGAGTAACGGATGGTATAGACGTGTGCAGAGTTGACGATGGACAGGTTTTAGCCAGGTCCGGACCGGTATCTAGGGGGACAAATTTAAGCACATGCGACTCACAGCTGTAGGGCTGATAAGACCGATAAGGAATAAAAAAATCAGCCAGGGTTCCGCTAACAAGCTGGCCTGCGATATCCGGAGGAGGGGAGCAGGTGGGGCACGTCTTGGCAGACCCGATCTGATGGAGCTGGACGATGTAGGTAGGTAGGTGAGGACCTGAAAAGAGAAATACAGAGGCGCCAGGGAATCGTCTTCTTTCGGGTCGTTTCAGAACACGGCAATACACGCCTCAGGCCGGCACCTAGGTATGTACTATACAGTGTCCAGGCGCCATGCGCAAGCTATATATACGTCTAGGTAGGTATGCTAGGCACTTATAGTAGTGATAGACGAAGAAAGGTATGCATAAGTTATCTTCCGTCTAAACCACCAGCAGACTTGGATTTGTCCCAGCTACCCCGCTATTAACCGCCCCTACTAGGTACCTCTTTCGCGTCATAAACAAATGAAGGTATACATATTCTCGTCACCCAAGCACACAACCTCCAAGGCTAGGCCTATAGGTAGCCATACTACCATGACCAACTAGGCTGCAATGCCGGCAATCATTGGTTTAGCATCCAAGGTGAGATGGGATGATGGCATGGATCGGCCGCCAATGAAGGAACAACTAACTTACCTCGCTACTTAAACTACCTAACTTAACACACGGATCTACCCACCTAGATAGAATTTTCAATTACAACGTTAGATGCCTAGGTACCTAATCTAACTGGAAGGTCGTTTCTCAGGTTCTAGTACATTGATTATGTGCCTATGTATTGTAACTGCACTGCTATATAGGAGGTAAGTACCTAAGGTAGGTAGGTCAAGGCTTAGGGTATGCGTTAAGCTTGCATAGAACATTCCCGGTATATTGCTCAGGTTTAAGGTCAATGCTTCTTAAAGTTGTCAACGGAAGCTGGGGGGGAGCTCTGGTTTTATTTTGACTTCCTACCGCGAGTTGCCAGCAGTACCCATGTGTAGTACAAGGGCAGGTACTATAACAGGTACCTGCCTACCTCCTCTAGGGTACATCCCAGCTACCTACCAGCCTGTGGGCAGGCATCGTCAAGGGCAGGTTAGGTAGGTACCTACCTACGTAGTACGCTTCGGTTCATGTACAATTATGGATGGCATTAATTGGTCAGCAAAGCAACGCGGCACACCGTATCTTCCGCCGTATCAATCAGGCATGCATACGGTAGTGCAGCGCCCTCGCCTGGCTTAACATCATCAGCTCCGCAATCCCTTCTCCCCTCGTCGCATGAGAAATCCAACGCCGCAAGCTGTACGCGACCTTTCTTACCTTGTCGGCCCATCCTACCTGCTACAAGGCGACCGCACGGTGGACGACATCTCTGAAACCTGTATGACCGTCTCACAGCATGTAAAGACGCCCACGCATCCGGTGGCTTCCCCCCCGTCGACTGAGGTGGAGCTATGAACAATGTTCCCACCCCGACCTCGCCGGCCGACCCTCATCGCGCATCTCACGACCGTCGAGAGGAGGACGCCGACGGCCCTGCACCGTCCCCTGGCCCTGCGCCTGACCAAGACCACGATGGCAGCACTACCGCCGCTCAGAACCCTTCTCTCTCGCCGGCGGCGAAGGAGGGCCTTACCAAGAAGCTGCAATTCGTCGTACACCTCAGTATAAGCTTGGATTCTCTGGTCTATGCCGAGCTATGTGCGTTATATTACATGGAGTATGCCAGAACCTGCGTCCCTCGTCCGCAGTTGGTCCGCCGTTGGGAACACGCGTCGGTTATTATATCGCTAACCGGTACAGTTGTTCCTTCTTCCGGTTGGTGATCCGCTGGATCGCCCAATCGCTGTTTATAAGCCCCAAGGCCGACGATACCATCCTGATCATCCCCAACTACCACGTTTCCGCGATCGTCGGCCCGAACCTTATCTGTGTACTGCTGCACCTACTGACCTCATTACCCCACGCCGGCGAGGCCTCCCGGGGCTACCTCCACGGCGGTATACTCTTCGACTTTATCGGGCAGAAGGCGCCTTCGTCCAAGTTGACGCTTGTTCTGTTAGACCTCGTGGTATTCGGGTTACAGAGCCTCATGTTGGCCGTGAACATGGAGAGGGATAGGATACGCAAGGTAGTAAATCCGGTGAGGCAGATCGATGGTGCTGAAGATACCACGGTGGCAGCGGCGACCACCCAGGATTACGACGCAGAAGAGCGTGGGGTTTTACGCGATGCGCCCGTAACGGACGGGACGGGGGATATCGAAATGCAGCCGCTGGGCCGCACACATGATAATGGCGACCTACCCGATACGGAGAGAGCAGGGCTACTGGGACAACCAGCGGGCCCCGCACGCGATCTCGAGGGCCTAGCTGATACGTTGAGATCGGGGAACGCTCTGCTGGCCAGCTTTCACATCCGGCAAACGCTTCGGACGGCTTGGAATACTCGGACGAACACGCCGGAAAGCACAGCTGCTTATGCTATACAAAATGTTGGTTACAACGCGACGCTCGCGGCCTTGGCGGCGCAGAGGAGAGCGAGATTAGCTGCCGCACAACCTAGGTAGCCGCAGGATAGCTAGGAGACAGGCTGCTGTACGGTTTGAATGGATATCATTACTATGCAATCTTTCTACCTACGTTCCCGACCCCAGTCCCTTTTACCGAGACGATGATGTCGCCTGTATCGTCGTCTTCGACGTCGCGCAGTCCCCAGCTGCTAGCCCCGAACTTTCTAAGATCCCGCGCCAGTCCTATCACTTCCTCCGTGCCCATGACATCTCTCCCGAGCCGTAAACGCCCAACATCCTCGGAACCCATCGCCATCAAGGTTAGGACTGTCCCCGTCGCTGCTGTGCTGACGCAACCTCCCAGGCTTATGGCTTCCAAAAGCTGGTATGCACATCGCTTCCCGATATCTTCGGGCACGACGCCTCCCTTTGGGGGCGTTACGACGTCTGCCGAGAAGAGCACGCCCACCGCGCTTGACTCTGCGACCAGGCTGAGCCCGAAGCCAATGCCCATCCGTTTTTTGCTCCCAGGCTTGTCCGCGGCATCGGGGACCAAGGGCGCCTGGTCGTATTGCGCCGCGACGTGGATATCCGACACGAACGGGTTGAGGACCTCGCGCGCCGAGTGTATCATGCGCGCATTGTTCGACGCCGACACGCCCGTCGCGTACGCGACGCCCCGTATCCTCTTTATCCTGCCCGGGTGTCGGTTCAGGTGCAAGGTCTTGGGTAGCCGCACCTGGCTCGCAAATCTGAGCTCGACGATGCCGGCGCCGCCGGCGCCGTGCGGGCCGACGCACGATCGCTGAAGCACCCTCAGCTCTATGCGCGCGGCGGGGATGCCGAAGAGGTTGTACAGCGGCAGGATAGCGGTGCGGAAGGAGTCGACCGACAGGTCGCCGGTCTCAGTGGCGGACGTGATGACGCCCGGCCCCGAAAAGCGGACATTCATGTGGGATTTCGCGAAAGGCGCCAGGAGGCAGAGCGGCAGGAGGAAGTAGGTGACGCCCCGGGAGCAGGTCGCGGGGAGTTGGTGCTCGAGGACATCGTCGGAGGCGCCAAATCCCGGCACGGCTCCTGTTATCAGGCCAGGGTGGTATGTGATGGCCGTGCCGGTGTAGGATATTTGCATGGAGCTGCCGTTGGTGACGGATTCGAGGAGGCGAAGAAACGAGACTTCATGAGGGGCGAGCCCAGGGTTGGTGGGGGAATTGGAACGGATCTTGGATATGTGTAGAGGACGACCAGTCAGGGTCGCGAGCACTAGACGCTGCGTAAATGATTTATGGCCTGTGAATTTCAGGAACTCAGGCTTCGGGGCCGACATGGTGAGTCTGGTGGGCGGTTTGGAGGCATGTAATGAACAACCCGTCCGTAGACTCGGTCTTAATACCTACCTCTCACGATGGTCGAAGGCGGAATCGATTCTGCTGGCCATGGCAGAAAAAATAAAAATAGCTACTTCCCCAACCAGGCAAAGGCGGTGAGAGGAGTCGGGAACGCGCCTAGGTTACGTAACTTGACTTAGCATGCGGTCCGCTTAGTGGTCTGCAGGTTTTCTGTGCTTAGGTACCGTGTATAATTAGTATAATGGAGTGAGTTGCATATACCTACACAGCCGCGGATGGCCTAGTGCCGGTGGCGCGCCGGGAGCGAAGCCCCAAGCTACAGGTACCTAAGGCACCTAGGTACTTAGGTACATTAAGTACCTGCGGGTATCTCACCTAGTGTACCTAATCTATGTACATTAGGTGCGTTAGGTACCTACCTCCTGACCTACCTCTACCCTGAACTGACCCGACCGAGGGCGAAAAAGTGTCACTGTGTCAAGATCCTCGAGTTCTAAAAAAGGGCGGCACATCACAATTCCCATCTGCCTACCCTACTCGGTACATACTCTTTTATCGCCATATTCTCCCCTCGCCTCCCCGTCGCCGATTTCTCTACTCTGTCTGCGAGCCTCTGTTTCCCAAGATGTTCGACGTAGACTGGCTGAGCCTCGCGCTCCCATTTGCGTACATCACCGTTCTCGGTGGCTCGCTCTACACCTTTTCCACCATCTACAGAAAGCGAAAGGCTTGTACGGTCCCCCTGTCCCGCCATCTCCTGGGAGACCCTGGGACAACCACTGACAGCTCTGCAGCGCAAAACGCCAACCTCGAGCCATGGTTTCCGACGCATCTCCAACGAAATATTTATCTGACACTACTTCACATGGAACCCGAAGCTGGCCAAGAGAAGGCACCCAAAGTCCCCGATAGCGTCATCCGGGCGGCCCTGCTGCGGAGGGCCGTCGAGGACATCCACCGCATCATCCAGATCCGCACGTCGAAGCAAGCACTGAACACACTGCTGCAGAGGGGCAGCGTGGGCGACGATCTGAACCAGCGATTCCTAAGAGCCGAGAAGGAGATCGAGGAGGAGCTTCGAGACGTGGTCTCAGAGGTGAGCATGGCCGCCCCCGAGTAAACAAAGGCGGCCCCACGTACTAAGAGAGCTGTGTACCTAGGCGAATGCACTCGCTCCCGGCTGGGGACAGATCATCTTCCAATCCGCCAACGAGATTGCCGCCAACACGATGCTGCGCGGCCGGCTCGACGAGATCGAGCAGCGAGCTGCCACGGATAAGGAGTGGTGGGAGAAGCGGCGCGCGGCCATCCAGAAGGACTTCATGCGGGAACTCGACGAGGAATCGTCCACCAAGGACTCTACGAAGAACACTAGCGACGACGACGGAGTGCTGGTCGACTCGGGCACGCCTGCATCCACACCGAGGGGCTCCAAGAAGAAGGGGGCGAAGAAATGAGCGGCCCGCTGTCCCTCCCTGGTCACGCGCTAGGGCGGTGGGAGGCGGGTTATTTGCGGCCGGTTTTACCATCTTGTACTACTGCTATAAAGTCGACGGCATTCCACATCCGGCGTTCAGGTGTATGGGTCAAAAAGGGTCGAGGTGCAAGAGCACACCCGTATTTACGTAGACTACGCAGGCCGCGCGGTGGCTTGCACAGGTTATAGGTGGTGTTGTATTGTAGTGATTTGCGTCAGGGTTCCAAGAATCAGACAGACCCGGATGGCGGTGGCTCGGCCTGATTATTGATTCGGCCGAAGTGCGCCGTATGTACGTGTATACACGTACGCCCATGACTCCCGTGTCCCTGCGACCGACCTCGGAAACTCCCCTTATCGAGGTGATGTCGAGTCCTGTCCTGTTGGTTTGCAGTATTGCCATACAGGCTTGCGTGTTCCAGCCGTGCTACCTGCAGTATGTTACCTACGTGTATATTGGCTATGCATGTACGTTAGGTACGATGACCTAATGTTATGCCCGGGCTGGATGCGGTTAGCTCGACCTCGAGCGCCGGGAAACCCGTCTAGTCCCCATCGGGCCACGTGGGAATATTCGATGTATTATTCCATGGCCCGATGTAGTCGGCATAACTCTTGCCAAGATTCCGCTGCTGTGACGTTGCTGTTGATGCACCAGGTACCTAAGGTATTTCCATGTGCCATAAACAAGTAGGTACCTGCGTCGCGACAAGCTGAGACGGAGGAGGTACTTCACGTGGGAGCTGGACGCCTTCTTCCGCTTCGAATTGCAGCTCCGGCCGCCCGTCAAGTCAGCCGTCACAGCCTGCCACCTACCACCCGTCGCCGAACACGCACGCCATAACCTCTACCAGCCGCTGCTTACTTTACGCTGCTTACTTGGCGATATTGGTCCCGGGACGCAAGGGCATCCGTACGCAAATTGCCCAAAATTTTTCCAGCGAATACCCGGGTACTATGGCGGATTCACAGCCGCCACCTGGCCTTTCCTTCCCGACCAATCCCCGAGAATTCGACCTCGATGATCGCATCTCCTTCTCCAAGCTCGACAACAAGCACATAGCTGTACAGGACGACGGGAGCGAATTCGAGTGGGACGCCCAGCTCCGGCGATGGATCCCCGTCATCGACGAGGAGCTGCTCGCGCAGCAGCAATCGGCCTACGGCATCGGCACCGACCCGGATGACGTGGGCGGCCACCTACCGAACAAGAAGCGCAAGAAGGGCCAGGGCGGCGGATCGGGGGCGGGATACCCGGGCGGCAATTCCGGACGAGAGCAGGCGCCGCCGCAGCGGCCGCAGAAGAGGCAGAAGGCGCCGGCGGCACCGCGCCAGAACACGGCCATCTACGTCACGGGGCTGCCGCTGGACGTGACGGTGGACGAAGTGCACGAGGTGTTCTCGCGCAAGTGCGGCGTCATCGCGGAGGAGATCGACAGCGGGCGGCCGCGCATCAAGCTGTACACGGACGACAAGGGCAGCTTCAAGGGCGACGCGCTGGTAGTCTTCTTCAAGCCGCAGAGCGTCGAGATGGCCATCATGCTGCTCGACGACACCGACTTCCGCTTCTCGCCCTCGGGGCTCGCCAGCGGCCGCATGCGCGTCCAGGCCGCCGACGCGAGCTACAAGAAGACCAACTACGAGCGCGAGGGCGCCAACCACCACGACGAGGAAGGCGGCGGCGGCGGCGGCAGCAACGAAAACGGGAACGGCCACAACCCCATCACGAAGCCGCGGGACCGCGCCCGTGAGCAGGACAAGCAGAAGATCATCAAGCGGACGCAGAAGCTGGACGCGAAGCTGGCGGACTGGGACGACGACGACCCGTACGGCGCAGCAGGCGAGGCGGCGGCGGCGGCGGCGGCCGGGGGGGCACAGCGGGGGCAGGACCGGGTGGTGATCCTGCGGCACATGTTCACGCTGCAGGAGCTGGAGGAGGACCCGGCGGCGATGCTGGAGATCAAGGAGGACATCCGGGACGAGTGCGCGAAGCTGGGGGCGGTGACGAACGTGGTGCTGTTCGACCTCGAGCCCGAGGGCGTGGCGAGCGTGCGGTTCCGCGAGCCGGCGGCGGCGGCGGCCTGCGTCGCCCGCATGGACGGCCGCGCCTTCGACGGCCGCACCGTCCGCGCCGCCGTGGCCACCGGCCGCGAGCGCTTCCGCAAGTCGGGCCCCGGCGGCGCCGGCAAGCCGCAGCTGGGGGAGGAGGACGACGACGACGACGAAGACAGCGGCGGCGACGGCCGAGACGCGAAGCCCCGCGGCGACAGCGAGGGCTGAGCGAGCCCGGCGCCGCCGCGGCTAGGCGTTCGGAGGCAGATTGCGCGAGAGCGAGGAGGAAAGATGAGGGGAGAGGAGGCGAGGGCTCTACGTCCTTTTCTAAAGCTAGCCCGTGTATTACGTCCATCGCGCGCGCGGAGAGTTTTCCTTTTTAGGGGGGGTGTACGAGTATCAGGGAGAGGGAGGGGCCGCGCGACGGCGGCAACGTCTCTGCTCTGCCCTTACCCTTCTCGTCGAGAGAAGACATGCGATCACGTTCACGTTCTCCCGCTGCTGGGACGGGGGCATCTTGAGGGAGATGTCGTGGTGTCGTCCCCCTGTGCGGCACATGCAGCAGGTTGAAGAACCTCAATTTGGAAGGGGGGGCTGAGAGGGAGACGTAGGGGATATGGGATTTACACTAACCGAGACGAATTTGTTGGTGGTGAGGCTTGCTGAGGTGCTCGGCAGCCTGCTGCTGCTGGCGAGGACAAAGGCTAGAAAGAGAGAGAGCGGGTGTATTCTACTAGCACAGTCCCCGACTAGGCATTGCCCCCTCCCCCGAGTATTATCACGGCGTCGCTTTACAGACAACATTGTCAATCTACGAAATGATAATTAATACAACTATGCCATGTCTCGGAGCTACATTTTGCTCTTGTCACCAAGGGCGGTTTATGGGCTGCCTGGGAGCCGGATGGGTTGGCTAAACGTAGTTGGTAAGGTGGTCTAGATGGTCAGTGCTACCTAATAGAAGCTAACTAACTAGGAGAAGAAGAGGAGGAGGAATGAGTGTGTCCGCAGCTCAGCTCCGTGTACGCCTGGGCTACTTAGTAGGTGGTGTATTGTTCCCTGTTCGGTTCGATCCCTGCCCCGGAGGTGCGGCTCCACCCCCGGGGCCGCTTGAGGCTGGCTCGCTCTCCTACGCGACAAGATTCTAGTTATCCTGTTTTTGTCTTTGTTCCGTTTCATTTTCCCGTTCCGTTTTCCGTCCCGTTGTCCTTTGGTGTTTTGTTTTTTTTGGCTTAGGGGGAATGGCTGGCAAGGCTAGCTAGGCCGATTGCGGATTTTCTAAGTCTAGTTCTGTTCTTGACGACGACCATCAGAACTACGATAACACTAGAGGCCAGGATCCCACCTCCTCCCAAAACTACCCCTAGCATATAGTGTGTAGTTGCAATCTTTTTCTTCTGTTTTCAACGTGCTAGGGCTCTAAGCAGGACTTATACCGTGTCTGGCATGTTTGGGATGTTTATCATGTCCAGCTTCATCTCCTTCGCCCTCACCCACCAGCCGGCCGCCTCGATAATCTGGCACACGACTCTCAGCTCCTCGAAGGTGCGCGGAGCGTAAACCATGGTGAACTGCTTGGGGACGGGCATTGTGAGCAGGCACTGGCTGGTCAAGGGGTGGCGCTGCCCCCAGCCCTTCTCGATGACCTCCTTGACGTCGTCCGGGTGCAGGCTCAGGTGCATAGAGTAGTCGGAGTCGTGCACGTGGCAGATCTCGCCCTGGCAAGTCTTGTTGAAGGGGTAGCGGGCGAAGAGGCTGAGGCCGTGCTTCTCGAAGCAGGAGGTGCCGACGCCGACCTCGCTCGTGTTGCGCTCGCCGTGAAGCTCGAGGGTGCGCCGCAGTGCGAGGTAGCACTCCCGAGACCCGGGCTGGTTGACCTGTCGCTGGGGTGCGATCCCGACGACGTCGGGGCGGAGGCCGCCGCGGCACGGGAGGGGCTTCCTGTGGAGGATGCCTGCGGTGGGCTGGACGTCGGGGTCGGCGGGGAGGGGGTGGAAGGGATCCCGGCAGGCCCAGAGCTTGAGCCAGCTGATACGGACGTAGCCCGAGAAGGTTGCCGGGGTACCGCCGGGGCCGAGTTTCAAGTAGTTCTGGTAGTCATTCTGGATGAAGAGCAGGCCAGTGATCAAGCCAATGGTCAAGGCTACCGAGGGCGGCTGCATCAGGTAGGTGCCGACGATGAGCAGGGCGGATACAGCAAAGATGGCGGAGCCATCCAAGGTCACCGAGAGGGGGTCCTGTCGAATAGCCACAGTGGTATGCATGGGAACAGGATCGGGGCTGAGGCTGTTGCAGACATCGACAGGAAACACCCGCGGCGGCGTACTCGTCCGCGTGAACGTCCCAGCCATGGTGCCGGAGGAGAAGGGTAGGTAGCTAGGGAGGACTAGGCCAGACCGTGCAAGTGGGCACGTGACTAGGTTGGAGGACAGGGGCGACGCTTCTTGGGAGCGAAAGCATGGGAGAGGGAGGGGATAGGGCAGGGACGGAGCGAGAGGCCAGACACGTGAGCAGCAACCCGGGATTATTTATACTCGGTGGTAATAAGCGGTTTGGCAAAGCACGGTCATGTACAGTCTGGAGCTGGAGGAGAGAGAGCGCCAGAGGAGGAAGACGGGATCAACCATGTATCATGTGACGGCGTTGACCTGGCACAGACTGGCGCAACAGGACACCAGCATAAATCGGTATTAATGGAAACGTGCTTCCATCTGGTTGCAACGCTCTTCCGCGACTGGGTCTTCGGCGGACGGCTCCAATCGCAGGGGTCTCACGTTCCTCCTCGCGCTCTCTCTAGCCTGTATAGAGCTGGCGGTGCCAGGTTGGCAGTGGCCGGAAGACCACGTCATCTTCCGGGAAACGCGTGATGAAGGGTCGAGAGGACGGAAAGGCGAACGAACTGGAAGCTCGGAGCGGGTCAGTATTTTTAGGAGGGGGTTGTTCAAATGAGCAGAGTCGCCTTTGGTGCTGGCGGTACCTAAGTTAGGTGCCTTAGGTACCTAGCCCATAGGCGGGACACGCTAAACGGGCAGGATGGCCTTGCACCTAATAGGTACTTAAGGGTACATCCGTCTACAATGCATACCTATCTTCCCCACCCGGTTGCCAGGCCAGCCTGTCGCTAAGTAGGCACGTATTGTATGATATATCACCATGTGCCTGGGTGGGTATTACTTACCTATGAGAAGGTGCTTGTATTCAAGTGGCACCTAGAAGACCTGCCCCGAATCTCAGCCTCCCCTCTCCCACCATACACAATCACCTAAACACGCATCTAGAAATACGCCTACAACTTGCTTGCATCTCAATTGTGCCTCCATCACTCCCGCATAGCCCGTCTCTGGTTCTTTTTTTTTTTTTTCCTCCTGCGGCCCGATCCTGACTCGCATGACTCGCATTCTCGCCACCCACCACGAACCACGAACCTGTCCGATCGCTTCCTGGTGTAGCCACCTCTATCCCTGTGAAGACGGGCATAACCGAGTCGAGCCAGCAATCGGGACAAGCTAGTGCATGAGTTCGTGGTCCCCGATACGTGACATCGTCAATGTTGCCAGCATTGCTAACAACAACCACACCAGCACCAGCACCAGCACCACCAGTTGCCCTTGCGCGGCCCGCCCAAGATGGTAACATTTCCCTGGAACCCCTTGCACCTCGGTCGTAGTCGACAACCCAAGCTCCCCGTCTACGAGAACCTCAACGCCCCGAGCAAGGAACGAGACTCGAACGACTCCTATGACGACTCCGACGACGATGACTACTCCGTCGCCTCCTCCTCCTCTCCCGGCACTGCCAACTCCAGGGTGACAAATATTTCTGCTGCTCCCATCATGCCTAAGAGGAACTTCGCCGTCCCCCGTGGCCCGCGTCGGCCCTTCGCCTACCGGCTGCCCAACAAGGTCGTCCGCTACCTGTGCTTCGGTCTCATATCCTTCATGGTCCTGCTGATTCTCACCCTCGTCCGGGCTAGCCACAACGAAAATAAAATGATCATGGAGGGCAAGGTCGACAGGCCCCCCGCCGCCCCCCACGTCTGGGAGTCCTATCGCTTCCTGTCGAGGTATTATGGTGGCATCAGGAATTTAGCCCCTTTCTCCCAGAGCATACCCGAATATCCGCGCTCAAAAGGGGAGCCGCCCGTGGACCTGCTATCCTACGTCAACAACACCAACCGGACTCCCCAGGTTCAGTCACGGGGCATTCCCGCGAGCAAAGAGTACATCCGTTACCCTCAGAGCGTCTTCCAGACCGCCCCCGAGAAATTTAACGAGTGTTTTCTCGACAAGGCCAAGAAGGTGCGCGTGCCCCCGATTCGCTACTATGAAGGGCGCCCCAACGGTTTCCCAGAACCTGTACTCGGCTCCTACGAGCTATTGGGGCTGCCCGAGGACATCTGCTTTGAACGCTACGGCCGGTACGGGCCGTACGGGTTCGGCTACTCTGCCAGGTCCGGCGGCCTGGGCACCGGGGAACACGGCGATAAAGAAGGCTTCGAGTCGACCTGGGACAAGGTCCCTCAGGTCGACTGGAAAGGGATGGACTGGGCGGAAACCCAGAGACGATGCTACCAGGATAATGCCGCCCGCTACCAGGCTGTGGCCCCTAGGGTCCCTTCCCCCCACGGATTCTACATCAGCGAAGGAACTCCCATCGCGGACCTCCACGCGCGGGCGGACGTACCCGAGCCGTCCAAACCCTCTCCCCATGCACCGAGCGGAGATAAAGGTGTGCCGCCAAAGACAGAATCTGTGGCGAAGTTACTACCGAGGACCGCCGTTGTCATCCGATGTTGGGACGAGTACCTCTGGAGGGAGGAGGATGTCATGAATGTCCGCTCCCTAATTAGCGAATTGGTCCTAGCATCGGGTGGCCGGTACGATGTCCACCTGCTCGTTCAGGTCAAGAATGACGCTGCGCACCCCATCTGGGCCGACGCGGCGACGTATCAGCGGCGTATCGAGGAAACCATCCCGCAAGAGTTTCGCGGTCTCGTCACATTCTGGACCGAGACTCAAATGTTGTCGCTGTACCAGGGCATTTTCGACCTTTTCGCCCGAGGTCCAGACCTTCCCGTACACGGTGTTTATCGTGGCTTGCAGATGGCTATGCAGCACTTTGCCTACCTGCACCCGGAGTACGAGTACTACTGGCAGTGGGAGATGGATATCCGCTACATCGGCCATTACTACGATCTATTCACCAAATTAGAGGCCTGGGCCAAGGAGCAGCCGAGAAAAGGGCTCTGGGAGCGAAACGCTCGGTTCTACCTACCCTCAGTACACGGCACGTGGGAAGACTTTAAGCAGATGACCCGGGTGCAGAGCGAGATGGGCACCACCGGCGCCGACAACATCTGGGACGGCATTCCCGGGGCCGAAAAACACCCGCACGCCAGCCGTGGCGGTAAGCCTATCTGGGGCCCCGAGAGACCCAAGGACCCCAAAGATTGGTTCGAGCCGGACGACGACCCAGTACCCGAGACAACTTACGAAAAGGATAAATACGTCTGGGGAGTCGGCGAGGAGGCCGACTACATTACTTTCAATCCCATGTTCGACCCTGAAGGCACCACCTGGGGTCTCGCCGACGACATCACGGGTTACAACACGTCCGAAGGCAACGAAATGCCGCCTCGCCGAGCCCAGATCATCACAGCCTCACGCATGTCTCGCCGCCTGCTCATGAAGATGCACCGAGAGACCGCTTTCCTGAAGCACCACGCCTTTCCGGAGATGTGGCCGGGCACGGTCGCGCTGCAACACGGGTATAAGGCCGTCTTCGCGCCGCACCCCTTGTACGTGGATCGCGAGTGGCCTACGGAGGTCTTCGCGCACACGCTCAACAATGGCAGGAACGGGGCCAGCGGCGGCTCGCGCACGTCGGTGTTCGGCCAGCGCGAGCACAACCTCGTGGGACTCACGTGGTTCTACAACTCGGGCTTCGCGCCGAACCTGTACCGGAGATGGCTCGGCCTCAAGGTGAACAACGACGGCGGCGAGGAGTTCGAAGAGGTCGTAGACGAGAGCAAGAACGGCACGAACGTCAACGAGATGCGCGGTGGCGAGGGCAGGATGTGCCTGCCGCCGATGCTGCTTCACCCAGTCAAAGGCGTCGAGTTGCCCGTCGAGGCCGACCCGGAGGAGGCCCAGATCCCTGAATCGGACCCGGGGGCCTGAACGAGATAGGGGGAGGCTTTTTTTTTTCTCTCAGAGGGCGGGCTACTCCTGCCATACGTACGGGCTCTAGCACTTCGTTCACGGGGGCGTTTTCAGGAACCTGCCATGGCCGGTCTTTTTTTTTGCCGCTGGGTCTTTTGGAACAAGCAGGATGAACGAAGGAATGCGGAGCGAGTGCTTGCGCGTCATCTGGAAACACGATATTGGCATATTGTATACATGTATATAGAGACGAACGGGCACGACTAATTATAACGAACGGGCGACCTACTCGGAGGGTAGGGTTATACTATGGCGGGTTAGTCAATGATATTCCATGAATCCAGTGTAACCAATCTCGAAACCCCCCCTGTTTTCTCAACATTTCGAAACGCGCCGTAGAATATCGCGGGGATTACGCTACTGTTGGACATAGACTGCCGGGAGGTCTTAGGAACGAAGAAAATAATAATCCTAGCCGCTGACCTGGAAGCAAGTCCAGCCCGGAAGTCTCCAATCATCACTGCCCTGTTCTGATTCGGGGACACAGAGCAGGCTGTATAAGACTACATACAAGCTGTACCACAAGTCGAAGACGATACGAACACACCTTGGATAAGTTGCCCATGTCTACCGCTAGAGCATGGCTATGGCTAGAAACAGGGGCCAGAACGACAAGACCCAGATGTCAGGTATCGTATTACCCCCAACTGCTTCGCCCAGGAGCGATCCTCGGCCGCGTCTTCCCGGCTCATGGGTCTAATGGCGGGTGGGCCTGTCGATTGTGCTCTCCGACGAAGGGCCGGAAGTCGAGGGAGAGCGCGTAAGTGCGCAGGTATGTCCTGGCGTCCTCTAGACCACGCGGACCCAGGCTTCGCCGCCGAGGGACGGGACATTGCCTCGTTGGGGCCGCGATCGGGTGGGACGCAGGCAGCCCTCCCTGACGCGGAGCGGAAGCCCCCACGACGGCGCGTGTGGGTAGAAGTGACGTCTATTGCGACGGGGTATCCGGGACTATAATGAGCGGCCTGTAGAACCAACCTGCCGTCGGGGCCGAGTACGGGCCACGACAGCGGGATGAGAACATATGATTTCTCTCTGTGCCACCGCCGCCACCACGCAGCATCTCCAGGCGTTCAGCCTCCCCCGCAATGCCTCCTCCTCTGTGCCACCCTCCACCGAGCGCCCAAACAGCCTTCCGCCGCCCTGCCCCCTGCCGCTCCTCGGAGGCTGAAGGGGGAAGAGTGGGGAGGGGCGTGAGGCAAGCAACCCTGCGAGACCCCCCGTTGTAGCAGGGGCCACGTGTGCGGCGGTGGTGTGGAACGCGGGTTCACGCACACGCGCGCGCGCGGACGGTCACTAGACGTTGCATACGGCAGAACGCACGGAGAACAACGCGGGGCGAAGCGAGAATCTACATCCGTCGAAAGGCTGAAGGACAATTCTAGGATCGGCACAGGGCGGGACGATCACACGCAGGACAGAGAGCCCAGGCCGCGAAGCGACGGCGCCACAGACGACGACGGGTGGGGAGTGGCAAGCAACGAGACGCGAAAGACACAAATAGATTACCGCATTATGAACTAAGTACTACCGGCACGGACACCTCTTAAAATTTACTCCCTCTTCCCGCTTCTCACCCGGCACGAAGGTGTATCCGCTCGGTACGAGCCTCAGACACGTGTACATCAATTCCGCCTCCCATGCTTGCGCTTCCTTCTCTGGTCGCTAGTACAATAAAATATATGACAACGCTGTTTGGGACACAAAGGGAACTACGGAGCATGCAACACACCAACATCCAACCCTCTACCAACAGCAACAACCCCCCGCGCTCAGCCACGCCTTCATGTTCATCCACAACGGACACGCGCACACATACACGAGGGCAACTGTTGAATTAAGACGTGGCAATATACAAAAGTTTGGCGCTCTTTATAATTCACGAGCGCGCGTGTGTACATTGAGGGGGGGGGGAGGCAAGGTAGTTGCACTACTATTTTTTTTAGATGTTGATGCCCAGGACCTTGGCCAGGCCGAAGTTCTGCTCACAGGCGCAGGCCGTGTTGGGATCCTTCCACTTGTCATTGGTCAAGCTGAACATGACGGCCCGATCACCGCACTCCTTCACGATGCTGGAGACGGCAATCCGTTGCTGGCTCTCACCGGGGACGGCCAGACCCATCGCATTGCCGGCCGACGGCCAGCCGGTCTCGAGAATAATACCGGGGACGTTGCCATTGCCGCAGATGGAGCTGACGAGGTCGAGCTGGCCCTTGACGAACTGGCCGGCCTGCGACGCGTCGGTCTCGGTGTTGAAGTAGGCGTGAGCATTGGCACCAGCAACGTCGACGACACCGCAGACGGCCGAGGAGAAATTGGGCTGCTGCCAGATGTTGATCGTCTCAGCAGTGGTGTACCTTCCGGTGTAGCCGCTGAATTCACCCTTGCATTGGTTGATGAGACCAGCAAGCTGCGAGGGCTCGCAGTATCCGTGGAACACAGCCTCGTTTCCGATGGAGATGAGATCGACAATATCCCACTGGGCCCAGCTCTTGATGGCGCCAATCTGCTCAGCGACGCTGGGGTTGCGGGCAGTGCAACCAGGCGCGTCAATGAAGACGCCGAGGATGATACGCAGGCCGTACTTGCGAACAGCATCACCGACATTCGGGAGGGTGTCGCAATCGGTCGAGTAGACGCGGACAGTCTTGACACCAGCGCTGGCAATAGCGGCAATGTCCTTGTCAACCTCCTCCCGGGTCTTACACCCACCATCCTCGCCGGTCCCGTAGGGAGTGTAGGAGATACCCCATGGCTTACCAGGCTCGCCACCCAGGGAACCGGTGGCCTTCGGCTTGGAGGGAGAAGTAGGGGAGGTCGGAACGGCCGGGGTATTCGGGGCTTTCAGAGAAGACGGAGCATCGGGGTAAGACGGAGCGGTTGGGACAATCACTGCCGTGGTCTTGGGAGTCTCCGCCGGGTACGTGAGGACGTGTGGGGTGGTCTTGGCGGTAGGGGTGGGGATGTCAAAGGGGCAGAAGATGACGGTGTTGGTCTCGGTGACAGTCGTCACGACCTCGGGTTGGGTGTAGGTGCCAGGGGGGTACTCGGTGACAACTGGTACGGTCAAGACGGTAGACTTGTCAACCGAAGTCGTGGTGGGAGCGATGGTGTAAGTGCCAGCGGACGGGCAGACGTAAGTAGTTGTCGCGACGACGCTGGTGACCACACCCTCGCTCGTCGAGACCGTAGCGTACGGGCAGGTGATGGTGGTGGCAGTCGTAACAATAGTCGTGACACCGCCGATTACGTGGCTACCGCTGGGAACAGCAGTAGTTGAGGGGACCAAGACGGTGGTAGACTCGGTCAAGGTGACGGTGTGAGGCGGGAACGTGTACACACCCGTCGTCGAGCAAGTCTGAGCGATCGGGGTCGGGACCACGACAGCAGTCTCCGTGGCGGTGGTCACTGGCGGAGGCGGAGGCGCTGCCGTGGTGGCCGGAACAGGAGGGAATAAGACTGTATATACCGTTAGGACCCAACACTAGCAGGCGCGGAGGACATCTTCACGTACGAGTAGGTTCACCATAGAAGGTCTTGTAGATGGTGGTGCAGCCGCAGGTCTCGTTGTTGTAGTCCTTCTTCTCGAGGGCGACGCGCACGGCATTGTGTGCGTGCCTGTGGTGGACGCTGCCGGCGTTGACGCCGCCAGCAAGGGCGGCAGCCGCAGCCACAGCAAGGGTGGCCTTCATGATTCCCGTCTCTTTAGAATTAACTCCCTAGAATCGAGCTCGAATGGACTGCCGGTAGCTGCGAATTCAAAATACGGACGGCTATTTTGATTTTCGTGATGTCGTCAGGAAAACGAATGCCCGCTAAATGAGTGAAGCGGTGGGTGGGATATGCAGAAAACAAGGACGAAAGCTCGGAGGGAAGATGCTTTCACACCAACGGCATCGACATTAAGAGCGTCGTTTCGTAAGGAGGGAAAGAAAGGAAGGAAAAGGAGGGCATTCGTGGGAGCGGCCGACTCGGTTGTTTTATTAATAAGACACCAATTGGCTTCTCGGCTTGAGCCAACACCAATTTTACCCAGCTGGTTCATTTTTTCTCCCCCGGCCACTATTCGGACTCCACGGGGCCTGGGCTCCCCCCTGCTCACCCATTTCGGGTTATCCTGTCGTAGGCGTTCCTATGTAGGGATGTGTGTACACACATACATCCCCGTGTACAGGTACCCATCCTGTAGGCTGTATGCAGGTATGCTGGCATGTATTGTCTGTAGATGGGTTCCTCTGAGATGCGACAGGGGAAGGGCGAACGCCCAGTCCCCGGCCGATTTGCACAGACGAGTTGGCTCTTCGCGGAATCCTCCACGCTCGGGATGGCATGGGATAGGAGGAGAGGGGACGGGCGGCCGTGGCGTCTCGCTGGTCGATCGACTACCGATGCCAACACCGCGGAGGCGAGTGACAACAACAACAACAACAATAATCAATCAACAGTGACATCCCTCTCTCTGTCCAAGGTCAAATATGAGGGTGACTAGGCTCAGTCGAACGTGGCGGCCCATCGCTCCGGGTTGGGAAGAGGCGCGTCGAGCGCGTTGTGTCTCGTGCGGAGAAGAAGAAAATAGTAATCGCAATAATAATAATAATAATAATACTGCTGAGGATAAAAAGGGGGTAAAATTAGGGGGGGGGGGAGGGCGCTTACCTCGATCGAGAAGATGTTCACGGCCCGCCTCCAATCACCACGCCGCATGTAGGGCAGACCTTCCGTGCCATGCATTTTCTTAGGTACCTACACCTCCTTGAGAACTAAAGAGCGCCTACCTATGAGTAGACAAATGGACACGTACGTACGTAGGTACCTCTTGCCTTAAGCAAATCTTACCTAGGAGGCAGGTACCTACCCAGACGGGTATCTCAGGTACCTACCTGTAAGCAAGTAGAAAGTACCTAACCGAACGGTACTGACGTAGCGCGCTTGCTGCGCATGCTTGCCTAAGGTAGGTACCTAATCTTACGTAGGGGGTACCTGCGTGGGCACGATCGAGTAGCCTTCCTCGAGCCAGCCGACCCATATCTCCCCTCCCAGTCGGGACTGGCGGTCTTGCCTCTGTCGCCCAGGGAAATTGCCCGACTGTCAAGCGAAATTGCCTGTCGGCCCTGACTAGACCTATTCGGTGCTAGGCCTGCAGTAAGCCCATGCACGTCCAACCTTGTTTTGTCGTATAGTATACGAAGTACCTCCCCCCGGGTACTCTCCATTCTCTCCAATGCATCTCTCTTATCTTCCCTTATTACGGCCTTCCCAGCGCGTCAAAGGAGGCATGTAGAAGACGGTGAGAGGTCTCTTCCCTCCCCCTTCTTCCACCCCTTTTTAATTGCTCTTTTTCTTTTCCTTTTTGGCCCTTCCTACTATCCCCCCCCAGCCAGCCACGACCTGGTTGCTTGGGCCATACCTTTTGGTTTTTTCTCCCTATGTGCCTACCCATCGGGTACCTTGCTCAGGTCCCCTGTCACTTCAACCCCGAAGGAGTACATAATGACCGCTGTTATTAGAGCTTCCTTGTTGACCATCCCCGGCCACATCGAGCACACTAGGGCTAGGTAGGAACGAGGCAAGCAGGTACTGTTGCGGAACTGGGCATGTTATGTGCCGACAGTCGCTACACGATCTCGGATGCTAGCCAGTTATGCCCTCGTTGATCGATCATCGAGTCGTGTATCTCTGTTCGGCTCCTCACAACTGCACCCGTACCACCGCGGATGCGAGTCACATATAGCCGGACCTTCAGCTGAGCCCGACGGGAGACACACTAGGCTGACTACCCTCCGGTTTTCTAGAACGTTTGCTGATAACGACCATAGCACGTCCAGTAGCGGAGTGTCCTCCATCGGCGCACGATGCGCTGGCTTAGAGAACAGGGCACATGATGGCCTCTAGCACCGAGTTAGATTGTCACGAGCCTGCCGGTAGGTATCCTGTGTTCTTGTGTGGGTATCTGTACATATGAATATCCATACATGCGGAAATAGGCATGTACGACGCCGTCCCGCCCGCCTTATTAGCAACCCCTTCCCAGGCGTGGGTAGTTGCTTGGGCTACGCGCCTGGGGACGCCCCTTAATGTAGCGATAGTTCAGCTGTGGATGTGGGCAAGATTGAACTGAGTCCAATACGAAGAGTGGTGGGAGCCGACGGCATAATACGCATGTACTACGTGGTATGGCTACTGACGACTATTAGAACCCGGGTTCGGCCATGGCCTTGCCCAACGACGAGCTAGCTTTCAGGCCCCGAAACGACGAGAACTTGGTATACGCGCAGGTGGATGCCGCATCGCTATTGGGCAGTCCGAGCTGCTACGTAGCCGACACTAAACCCTTTCACGATCCCAAGAGCAAAACCACCAGGCGCTAGACTGTTGTCAGCTCCGTGGTTCTCTAACAAGCCTGGATTTCCTGTTGCTAACTGGTTGACCAGCTCTCACCGATACGGCAGAGATCATGCTAATAATCCTCACCAAATCCTCCACATCTCCGTTATTCAAGCTTTCAATGACACATTGTTTCGGGCAGGTCGAATGCCCATCTCGTCGTCCCTTGCACGATGCCATTCCCAACCCGACTTCCGTTCATCATTCCACCTCCCTCTCTCATCCTTCCCGTCCCTTCTCTCCTTCCGGAAGGAATTCGCCGTGAGCTTCGTAATGGAGTTGGCATCAGCCAGCGTTACGCTACAGAGGCTTATGATGGCTGGATATCCGCTATTGCTTCATTCACTATCCAAAAGAAAAGAGTACCTAGGTATTGCCTGAATTTCATTACTTAGGTAGGTAGGTAGGTAGGGGGTAGGTTGTCTAGGTACCTATCTCTCTACTACAGCCAATGCGGTCACGTGATATATAAGTGCCCGGTCATTTGGGGCAGCAGCCATTGCTAGTGTCACGTCCGTCATCCTTCCAGAGTTATCCACATAGGTCAAGTTAAGTTCACGATGGGCTCGTGTCTGACGAGTAGGCCGAAATCCCAATCCTCTATTTTTTACCCTCTTAGCTAACATTCTGCATTTGATTTCCTAGCCGCGCGACCCGAGTCCAGTCCATAGACATAAGGAAAAGCTCGTCGATAATAGTGTGTTGTTATTACTCCCGGTTCCCGGTGGGGTCTTCTCAGAGTTGGACCAGAGCTGCAAGCACAGCAGAAACGACGATCAACCCGAGCTAAACCACATATCAGTCATCGGGCGTTAGGATTCATATGGGGGCTGGTAACTAACCGAAATGCCTGGGGTGGAGGCAGCTGCGGGCACCGCGGTTTGCCCGGTGCCTGCGGCACTTGACACAACTCCGCTGGTACTCATCGGCATGGTCATCGATCCGGAGTGGGACATCGATCCGGAGTGGGACATCGACCCGGAGTGGGACATCGATCCCATCGACATCGAGGTCATTTCGCTGGGGCCGGAAGCCAAAGCCGAAGTCGATGCCGGCGCGGTCGTCGCTTCCAGAGCAGATGTCACCACACTGCTGCCCAGAGTCGACGTCAAGGCGCTGGCGACGGCGCCGGAGGAGCCGGTCGGCAGCGAGGCGCTGCTCGACATGTTGTCCATGCTAGACATCTGGGCGAAGGCGCAGCCGGCCAGCGCGATAGTTGCGGCGATCTTGGAGAGCATATTCATGTGTTCCTGTGTAGTCCAATCCGTAGGAGTAGGCACTTGCAACAAGAAGTGTGCTAGAGGTGGTGGAATAGGCTCGATAGGAAGAGACGGGCGAGAAGATGGGTAGAAACCCCCAGCCGGAGAACAAAGATGACAGTAAGTCTTTCAGGGCGTGGCATATTTTGCGCTCATCGTGGTCACGATGACTGCTTTTAGAAGTTCTTTCATGCCTCGTTGATGTATTAGTCGAAAGCGGGAGGGAGACAGGAGAGGATCGACCGTCTCGAAAGCCGCTGCTTTGCTAACTATTCGGATGCAACACTCTCGTAGGCAACTCGGTCAACGTGATCGTAGGAGCAGCCTCTAGATTACGTCACAGATGTTGTGTTTTATTTCCATTGTCCCCTTTTCAGTCTTAGTCCCGCTCGTATTATTGCTATGCTCTTCTAGAAGACCATGGAGAAAAAGAAGAAATACCATTATAGCGAATAACATCACACATCGCCCCCTTTCCTGTCTTCCCTGCTCCCCCTCCCTCTCTATTCATTCTGGTGGCATGAATTGACGGACCGACAGCGGTCGCATTTCGAGCCACTCAGCTGGTAGGGGGGAGAAGAGGCTTACATAACTACTGGAAGTGGAAGGGGAAAAGAGGAGAGAAGGACCCACTCTCAAGTTTCTGCTAGACGCGACCTGCGAAAATCGAAAATTTGCCACAACACAATCGGGAAGGGAGACTGAAGTTTTTTTTTTCTTCCCCTCTACTAGAGGTATCCCGGCAGGTAGATAGAGGTAGGCAGGTACCTAAGGTAGGTCCTTATGTACCCCTACCTAATCTCAGGTATCTCCTAGCCGTTGACAATACTTTTCATATCTACCTTATCGGTCTTATCAGCTTCACGTTCTTCTTCCCACAGCGTCGATCCTCCCCCTCACCCTTCCTTTCCTCCCTCTACCCGTCATCTCACCACCCATCCCATCCTCTAACGCGCCGGCAATAATGTGGCGAGTGCCGAACCGGTCCTATATATGTTGGAGATGCGCTTCTCGGAGCGTCGCACCGGACCCCGTCGTTTCGGGGTCGGGTGCGAGGCTTCTGCCGAGAGCAACACAACCCCTCCAAATACGGGTATGTGATAAATGCTGCTTTGCGAATGCCTCTCGGTCCCGTCTTAGGCCTGCTCATTCTAACATATATATTCTCATCGCAGGCGCTAGCGACTGTGCGCGATCGCGTAGCGAGGGGTGCCAATTCAAACCAGAAGCAACATGCGCAAAACCGCAAGGAGAAGCTCAATATCCGAGAGCGCCTGCGGATATGGGATGAGGAGAACCAGGATGAGGCGAAACTCATCATTTCTGATTTCGCCGACATGGGCGAGGTGTCCAACAGCTTCACTCGCCCCCAGAACCTATCCATGGGGCAGTTTGAAATCACGCCACCGCTGTTTGACGGCGATGAACTCAGCGACCTACGTTCCGACAGCGCCAATCTAGGACCGGGCGATATGGTGGAGTTGAGGTATGTCCACCAGCTCTTGTCGTGTCGTGCCGAAATTAATTCGCGTACAGCTCCGAAGGCTCGAGGCGACCGATGCTGGCGATATATCTTGGTCGCTTGAATAGCTATGCCCATTTCTACACAAGCACTGGGAAATGGTTCACCGGCCTAGGTGTCAGGTCGCTTTTTGTTGTCCGAAGATTCATCGAACCGGCCGAGCTCGAGCCCGTCATCAAGGAATTGCCGTCTTCCTCAGCGCCTCTAGCGGCCATTAATACCCTACACGACCTCGGCCACAATCCGTCGAGGACGGCTGGATCCCGTCTACTGCGTAAGATGGTTGCTTTTGACCAAGAAGCCCAGTATGTGTACCAGGCAAACGCCGCTACCTTGGACGTATCTAGCAGCTTCATCGGCGACCCGGTAAAGCACCGTTATCTTACCCTGCACGAAATTGCCGAAATATTGCTTCCAGCGTCTTACCAGAGGGAAGGAAAATTTGATCCACATGCCCTATATGCGGTGCATAGAGCTCTACTACAAGACGAGGTTTTTTTTAGACCACTTAGACACACTGGTCACAAGAGCTCATATCTCTTCGAGATCAGCCCGTTGTCCGAAGTTCGCATAATAAAGAACGTGGAAAAAATGATCAGAGCGCATCTAACAAGAAAACCATATTCCCGAAAGGGTGCACAGGAGGAGCCATCTCCTCTGGATGAATTTGTCTACCGTGCTCGTATGAGGATCGACCAGAGTCGACAATCGCGGCGGTGGACAAATGCCGGCATTATTGGATCGCCCATTCGGCCGAATTCGATGCCACCAGCGGAGTCTCATCAATGGTCGGGTACAGATTTGGAGGTATTGAAATTCATCGAGCTGTGGGCTGGGTATCGGAAATTTCCAAGCTACTCGCGGCTCCAGTGCTTCGGCTCTACCCTATTACGACTCGTCAAAAGGTACGAGGAGGCAGAAAATCTCACGGCATCCACCGGCTGGACCTTCTTGCAAGAAATTGGTTGGATACCCCCCTGGGAAATCCCGGCGCGTTATAGCATACGCTTTCCAGACGTTGAGATCCAGAGGGGAGGAGGCTATATCCGACCTTACGACGGTAATTTAGATGAACATTTGCGGGAAGACATATTGTCGCCCATGAGGAAAGTCTGGGACGGTATCACCGCCTACTGCATTGACGCCGAAACTACGACGGATATCGATGATGGGGTATCGCTTGAGCGAACATCTGACCCTCATCAGTTTTGGATTCACGTTCACGTAGCCGACCCGGCTTCCTCTGTCCTGCCCGAAACCGTGATTGCGGGCTATGCCGAGCTGATCCCCCAGACGATATACTTGCCTGGCCACTTTGAGCGGATGCTACCCGACACCTTTGGTCAGGACAAATTTTCCCTGGCCCCGAATCGGCGCTGCCTGACTTTTAGCGCATTGGTGGACAAGGATGGTGTGGTTCTGGACCGGAAGATCACCCCTGGGATTTTGAAGGATGTCGTATACATCACAAGCGAGGATGTCGCTACCGCGATAGGAGAGACCCGAGCACTGCCTACTTATCGAGGGCCGGAGCTAACTCTCGGTCGTATTCCTGAGGCTCAACCAGCAGAAAGGCCGATGATGCGACATGACAATCTGAGCAGTGATCAAAAGAAGGAACTTGCATTGCTTTCGGAACTCGGAAACGCCCTTCATGCTTTAAGGCTGAGTAGGGGGGCCACGCCTTACTACCCACCGCAACCCCAAGCTCAGGTTTACTTCGACGACGAGATCAAGAGGAGAGAAGAGGACCATTTCGGGTTTGGTATTAGCCATCCCTCTATCCACCTCTCGTACACATCCGACTCCGGTACAGATTTAGTCGGAAACATCATGCGATTGGCAGGCGAGGTCGCCGCCGAGTGGTGTCACGAACGTGGAATACCAATCCCGTACCGCACGCAGCCTCACGCCGCTCAGAATATTGCTGCCGTTCAGCAATACATACGCGACGTATTCAACCCTCTTCTAAATGCAGGGGCGCGGCCAGATGATAATATCTGGCGTCAGATGTGGTCTCTCATAGGTAATGATGAGTTAAGCACCACCCCCGGGCCACATGTCACTATGGGCGTCTCCATGTACACTAAAGCTACTTCACCGCTACGTCGATTTTCAGACCTGCTTGTACACTGGCAGGTCGAGGCCGCCCTTATCGAAGAAAACCGCCGTGGCACGAGCCTTGTCGGAAACAAGGACGACACCTTCCTGCCATTTACCCGGGCGCAACTCGATCGTATGCTACCTTTGATCCGGGTACGTGAGAAGCAGGCACGCGCTCTCATGAACGGTGACGGCAAAGATCAGTGGATTTTGCAGGCTCTTGCCCGGGCATGGGAATTCAAAGAGGCTAAAATCCCCAAGACATTCCAATTTCACGTCACACACGTCAATGGCCGGCGTTCGATCCTCGGGCGACTCAACTGGTTCGAGCGGCCGGCCACCTTGCGCTCCGAAACACTGAACGATATCTTGAAGATGGCACACGCGCGGATCGGTGACGTGTACGAGGTTAAGATAAAGAATGTCAATGTGCACGGGACTCAGATTATCGTAGAAGCCATTAGGGTTATCAAGAAGATGGAGGTGGATATCTTCCCAGCAACCCCCAAGGGCGCTGGGGAGAAGATGCTAGAAGTTTAGCGCGGTAAACCATAGTCGGGAATGTGTATGATGAAGGATGTAACATACTGTCACTACAAACAGACAAGACAAGATTCTAATGTACATAGACACGCTGTAGCTATGCGGAGACGGTGCCGGGGAGATACAGAGTCTTCTCTCTATTTCTCCTTCTCCTCCTTCTCCGTCTCTTCGTCCCTACCTACCCTCATATCCCACTATCTAGTCCACCCCAGAGTAAAATGACGGACCGCATAGCGTAGCCAGGAGTCCCCCGCGCCGCTGCCCCCCTTCCCCTTTCCTCCCCCCACGCATTCTCCCTCCTCGCGCCGGTTTCGTTTCGCCGCGGCGCGCGACTTGGGCGGGGAGGGCTCTCATGTCTCAAAGCCGCCGCCGCCATCGCCATTACGGGAAAGGGGAATGGCGGACTGAGCTGACTCTGCTGCTTACTGGTGCACGTACCTATGTAGGTAACCTATCCGGTATACGCGCGCACGTAGGCGTGCGCCGTCGCATTCCCAGTTGCAGGGCCACTCGCGCGCGAGCCCCCGGGAGCCCCGGGGCGCACCTGGTTGGCCGCGCTTGTTACCTACGTCGGCGGGGGGGAGGGAGGGGGGACGAAGGGGGTGTGGGATGTCCTACCTACATACCTAGGTATGCCCTCTCCCCCCGTCCCTCCCTCTCTCCCTCCCCCCCCTCTTCCTCGCGTTTCGCCGCTGCTGCTGCGGGATGCGGCATGAGGCTGCGAACGCGTCCGGTTCAAGGTCGGCGAAGGAGTCTAGACCCGACCGACCACCGCCCGCCCGCGACGCACTGCGTAGCTGTTGGTGGTGGTGGTGGTGGTGGCGGCTCGCCGCTGCGTAGCTAGCCTGTACGTAGGTAGGTAAGGTAGGTAGTGGCTCTCCGCTGTGTAGCTGTGGTGCGCTCTCCGCCGCGTCCGTGCTCGCGCCCGGTCTAACCCAATCTGCCCTATCTTTCGACACAACCCGTCTGGGTCTGTCTATCTGTCCGTCTGCGTATCTGCCCACTAGGCCGCGAACTATATGCAGACCTATGCGGCGACGGAGACGGCGGCGTCGGTGGGGCGAAGGCTGGGAGCGAAGAGGCGGCTTAGTCTCCCGGTCGGGTAGGTATTTTCGAGCGAGCGAGCGACGCGACGGGGAGCCGCTGTTTGTTCCCACTCGACTCGTCCCGGTCTTCTTCTTATCTCGCTCGTTAGGGCCGCGGTCGCTCGTATAGAGGGAGGGAGGAAGGGGGGGGGGGGAGCACTCATGGATTATCGTGATATGCCCCCCCTTTGGGTCCCCGTCCCCCTTTTTCTTGGTTTTCTACGTATGAGTTGTTTCGTGGGTAAGCTGGGTAGGTAGGTAGGTGGCTAGGTAGGATCCGCGCGGAACTCGGTGGATAGCAGGGCGGGCAAAGAACAAGAGAGAATACCAAAGATCATGAGCAGCGCGGTAAACCCCGGTTGATGGAATAAACTACCCTACCTGTTGTAAGCTATCCTTCGGTTCGGTATAGTACCTGCTTCCAGGCATGCGGAAGCATCGTAAAAACGCACACAACGCCGCGAAATAAAATCAAGACTACGCCGCCCCTCAGATAAGCAGAGCCTCTTACTAGTTGTCCTCCTTCTCTGGGTTAATGGGGTCCTCACGATGCGTTTTCCTAACATTGCTTTTCCCTTTTCTATATATAGAACCTCCCACCGCCTTCGGACTACCGACGGCCTATTCCGTATAACGCCCCGTTAAAATCGATGTTCGAGACCACACTCGTAGGTGACGTGATCCAGTTCCGTGGAGATCCCATTCCGTGCTCTAGTTCCACCTGGCTCGAATCCCTCGGTATGATAATGGTAGTTCTTAGTCAAGGCAAGACATTAACGCATGAGTTGTTGCTCTGCTAGACGCTCGAAACTGTCGAATTCTCAACGATAACGCCGGAACGATGTGTTGGCAGGTTGAAATCCCACCAAGCTGGGCCCGGGTGGGACGGGCTGGGGGGGCACATGCCCGCACCGCAGATCATCCACATTATGTATCTCCCCAAATAATCGTGTTTGCATTGGTTCATTGCTGCCGTGTACTTGACAAGCATGTTTTTGAGGCGGTGAAACAGCCTTCAACGTCTCCAACCAACATTCCAAATGACATGGGCAATGTCGCGGGCTGTATTGACTGTATCAATTACGCGACTAATGATTCCGTTATTTTGTTGGACGTCGCCGTCTTCGTATGGCATAAGCATACCGCTCTCCGTTCGGCGCATGCCAGCCGGCTCTTGGGTAGGACTGTTCGCAGACGTCGGGCGTTGAGGATTCGTCTGCTTGAAGAACGATATGGAATCAATCGGGCTGGATATCGGGGTTGCGTTGGTCTCCTCGTCCAAATCATCATCCTCGGCGTCGCCCCCTAAAAAAGAGTCCGACGCTTTAGAAGGTCTGAGCGTCTCCCGCGAGGAGGAAGATGATAAAAGTGAACCCCTTAGACTGCCAGTACTATGCTTCATCGCGGTGTCTGGCGCGGGGGAGTCTTCTCTGTATTTCAATGTTGTGGAGGGGAGCATCGCAATGGTCTTACTCTCGGTAGGTGTGTTAACCGGAGACCTACGGCGTGGAACGACGGGCTGCTTCGATGTTTTGGTTCTCTTCATCATGATAGCGCCGTCGTCAGAGTCGCTATCATCCCCGTATCCCCAGAAGCTATGGTCCGCTTCGTCTTCATCTTCGTCGTCCCCTTTGATTTCAACCGCGATGCACTGCTGGACCTGCTCGTCGAAATGGATGTGTTTTCGCTCTGACGAAGGCGACACGATGCCCGATGTGGATTCAGAAGGTAGAATGGTATTGCCACGACTTCTCCGGGATGAAAAGGGGAAAGTGACGAAGTCGGTGGTGGCACGACGTAACGCGGGACGACCGATACGAGCGCCATCTTTCTGCTGGGCCTGAACCGCAGCTGTAGCCTGCTTAAGTAGGGACGACGTAGAGAGTGACCTCTGGAGCATAATCTCCGACATGCTCCTCTTCTTGAGAATAGGTTTCTTGACGAACGAGCCGCATCTCGAGAGCGTTGGGCTGCCCTCCTGCTCGGCTTCGTTGCCTAACAGTTCCCCGTGGCGGGTCTGTAGAGGCCCGTATAACCAAGTAACGTCGCAATCCTTGAGCCTGCGAATCGGTCAGTTTATTTACGACTCGAGGAGACGGAAATCCAGCGTAAAGCACGTACCAATTGAGGGTCTCTGGGGATACCGTTTGCAACTTGTACTTGGACTTCATCCATGTTCGCCACGAGGCATTCTCAAGTCGTGGGCCGTTGCTATACTCACTCCTCTTAGACACTATATAGCGCCACGACGACCAGATGTCCTCCTCTCTCCAATTATGCGACAAGTAGTCGACATGCTGAGTCGGGTGATGAGCAACCGCCGTATCGTCTTCGGCGCGCTCTAGAGCATTCGGGGACCCTGGACGCGACGTAGTTGCCGAGGTATCGTGGTCAGTCGGCGATACAGTATACGAGTCACCCGTCCGGGGACTCGGAGGAGGCTCTAGGTCTTCGAGAGGCCCAAAGTACGGATTGTGGTAATAGTCTGGCACGTAAAAATTATCATCGGACGGTACGCGAATGTCCTCGCACGGTTCGTCTAACGATAAATTGGTTGCCGGCGTCGACGAGTACGACTGATCCGCCGACTCGGGCTGAAGCGCGCGAGGAGAAGACGGCGCCGAGGACGGGCTCGAAGTGGGAACTATACGAGCAGGTTGGCGGGTATACGCCTCGTGATAGGCATCGTGAAACGATTCGCTTATTCTGGATGTCGAAGCCGAGGCGTGAAAGCCTTGAGTGGACTTCGGCATGAATTTCGACTGGGAATGAGACCTTCTCAGCGGCGACGACGAGAAGAAATCAAGGTCTTCCGAAGAGAGAGCCACGGCCATCTTGAAGTGTTCTGCTCCTCTCTCTTGGTATGTGCGGTACTATGACGTTTGCAGCTCAAGGAAAGACGACGGCTCCAGAGATAGCGTTCATAGGGATAGGATCATCGTCTTGCCGACGATTCGACGCCCGGGCAGTGTTGCTCAACTCGGCACGCCAATGGATCAGTATCGTCCGTGGACGTTCCCGTCCGATCGAGGGGCAAGGGACGGCTGCCTGAGAATGCTGCCTCTCCGGGCCAATGCTGGCAGGTATACCTCCTCACCTCCTGCTCCTGGCGACGTGTTGAGAACCGGGGGGATAGCGTGATTGCTCGGCCGCGGACTCGCTGACTTGGGACGGAAAAGGTCAGGGAAATTTCATATGTAGAAGGTGGCCGTCGGTAGCTTCGAGCTCAGATATTGCGTGTGGGAGGCGGAGGGTTGTCTGGCAGAGATGGAGGAGAGGCCGGGTTGACGACGGGTCATGGTACTGGGTGGAAAATAATCCGCGACGAAACGCTGAAGAAGTGATCCTGGACTAGCCCCAAGTCCAAGAAGGTGGAATTCCGGGAGATCGGAAGGGTGCAAGGATGGATGAGGGAGGATCTGAGGGGTGGACAGTCGGCAGGGCCAGCCAGTCACGAAGTGACGCTGAGGATAAGTCGCATGGATGACTCGACCTGGAAGACCTGGACAGACTACATACCTAGTATGGGAGGAGGGGAGGAGGGGGTCTGTATGGGGTAGGCTTCTCGAGCCTTATTCCCTTTTCTTGCCGCGCCCTTCCTATAAGAGGGGTTTTCGTGTAGGGCCTATGATGTAGGGTAGACGAATATTGACTACAAAGGTGGAAATAGAAGATGGGGACGGGGGGAATGAATGGGCGGAGCGACGGATAAGTACATACCTGAGCGCGGCATGTATGAGTATGCACATAGCCACACAGGTAGATAAGTAGACGGGACGGGCGATGGACGTCTTCCCCCCCTTGCCCTTCCCCTTCCCCCCTCTCCTCTCCTCTCCCCTCCCAACGGTGCTTTCCCACGACGAAGCTGATAGCAATAGCAGACCTTCGGCACCCCCTAACTAGGGAGGTGGGTTGGGTGCGTGTATGTAATCATCAATGTCATTGGGTGCTGGCAAGAGAGGTCAGTAAGGTTCCAATCTGCACAGGTCCATCACAGTAGCACAGATACCCTCCGTCCAAGTACCTCATACTTCATCGTACGCGGGATACGCACAGCAGTAGGCAGGTACCTATCTACTCCCCCCCCTACGTACCCACGCACCTGTTGCAACTCATACCTTAGGTACATATACTTTTTAGGTAATAATCTTCAAGAGCACCCCGGATTTTACGATGGGTTGGACCGGTAGGTGAGGTTTGATACATGGCCTACGTGCCTCCCACCTCGACGCGATGTCATAGAAATGTTTCCCGAGACGTCTCACCCGGGTATGTTATATGTGCCGCCTATTAAGCGCTGGCAATTTCATCTCTCGAAGGCGTGCCTATGTATGCATGTATAGGTGTACATTCCGGTGGATACCTCTGCCCGCATGCATGTAGGTATGTATGTATGTATGTATGTACCTGGTAGGCACATACCTGGTATGTGTGCATCATGTGGATGCAGCATAAGTCAGGGTTTCCCTGATGCGCGACCTCACGGGGTCCGCATTCCATGTACCTACTAAGGTACCTAACGGGGCAGATGGTGTGTCCATATTGATGCTTGTCTGGACGAAGCAAAACTCTTATACGGTGTTATGGCATGCCGGCGAGGTGGGCGATGTACCGTAGCTAAGGTGGCCAAAGTGGCTCCTTAGCATGCAGGATCCTTGGGGCGACGCATGCAAAGTCTCTACTCAGTACGATGCATACGCCGCGCTGCACTGCAGCGTAGTTGGCACCACGGATTGTTTCTACATAGGTACATATATGCATCGGGCGAGGGGCGGGGGAAGGTCTTCTTCAGCTTCCTCGTGGGTGGGCGGTCAGACTCGCTTATCCGTCTTATTAGTCGCAAAAATTCGCCGTACGTGCTAAAATGACAGACAAGGGACAGAGAGATGAAGAAAAAAAAAAGGGAAAATTCCCACCGAATCAGAGCCGGCGGAAGGGCGGGTTCTCTTTGGCAGCGTGGGACCCGGATCTAGAGTGTCTCACTCTACGGTGCGGTAAGACATAACAGACAGACAGACAGGGACGAGGAAAAGGATTTCAAAGAAATGGAACTCGGGCTAGACTCTAAACCGTGCCGTTGCCAAAACATCCTTGATTTCTTTTCCGAGTCTCCTCCCTCCCTCCTGGCACAATCCGGCGGAGGCTCGAGGAGGGGAAGAAAGAATTCTCGTATCGGCCTATCTGGCCAGACCTGCCCGTTTCGTGTCGAGTCTGCCCTGCGCGGGACTGACCAAAAACATCAAAAACACCCATTACCTACACCTCGAGCTAGCTAGGTTTAGGTGCATCGGTTGGAAACATACTACCCCCCCCCCCCTAGGTACCCTGGGTGCCTTTAGCACTCCCGCCGGTCGTCCAGCCGCCTGTCCCCTTTATCAGTCGGCGCGGTACGGAAACGATATCTCCATGTTATCCAACGCAGCTATCTGTCTAGCCTCGACACTGACCACTGACGTGGCTGGATTTCGGGAATCGCACGAGACGGAGAGATGATCAGCAACTTTAGCACTCTGATGGGCGCATAAGCCCTCTTCCCCAGATGGTCTGGAAAAGCCTTCCCTGTTCCGCCGACGTTACCTAATGGGTACCGCCCTGTGCGTACTGGCGAACGGCGGCTGTAGCGCAAGAAGCGATCCAGTCAGTCGAGAGGCCGGAGCGGACTGCCTACTAGCTAATAATAATGTATAGTGCATATTGCTGTCTGCTACTCGAGCAACGTGTGCGCATAAGGGTGCACTCGGTGCGTTTTCCTCTGCCCAGATCCACACGTAGGTATATCTATCTATTTACGTCCGCCCTCGTTTCAGTTTATTTCTATTTTTTTTTCTTTTCTTTTCAGAATCCCTGCTGGAACTCTTACTCCTGAGCTTAGTAACAAAACTAACGAGCAAAGCCGAAAAAAATGAACGAACCCCAAAAGAACATTGTGGACCACCTGCTCGGCCTGCCTTCCTTTTTTTTTTCTTTCACAATGGGTCTGGTAAGCCCCCGGGATTGGCAACCTTCCCAGGCCGAAGCCATCTACGATCGGTCTCCGCATGGCTCCGCATGGCTCCAGGACAAGCAGCCCGCCAGACTAGGCGATGAGCAACTACATTATTCATAGCAACCAGTTCTGAAGCTAATACCTAGCAACCACGTAAATAAATACTGGTAGAGTCGGAATCTGGGGAACGGCCACCGTAAGGACGAAAAAAGAGAGCAGCCTCAATCCTCGACTGCCAGGGGGGGGGGGATTCGCAGAATTAAGCGGTATTGTTATCACCAAGGATTAGATGTTCCTCCTTACTTAGGCCCTACCTTCCCGGCCTTTGGCCCTTTACCCTTGCTGCCGCCTAGCTGCCCGGAATAACGGAATAACGCCGGCCATTCTTCTACTACCTCTCTTCGCCGTGGACGTGTCGTCCTCATCGTCACGACCATCTAAGAGCGGGCCTCTGGTCCTTGCCGCTCTGTTCGCTGCGCCCGAAATCTGAACATCACTCAAGGCCTCCTCCCCTACCGCCCCTCGCGGAGCTGGGGGTCTCAGGCAAGCTCTACGGAGGGGGTGCCCTGCTTCGGGAAGCGAAGTCATATGGCGAGTGAGTCCGGACTGCCCCGGTTTCCTCTGTCTGGGTCGGTCTCGCGCTTTAGAGTGGCCGTCGAGACGCCTCCGCCATGTCCTATGCGCCGGCGGGCGAGTGTCTCGTTTGTCTACCTACTGGTTCGCCTCTTCGCATTGGCGGCCCCCGACACCTTCAGGAGCCTAGACACGGCCACAGCCAGAGCAACGGTCACCGATGGCTCCAAGGATCGGCGTCCCCTCGAGACGGCTGAGATATCAGGTCCCGAGGGACTGCTGTCCATACGACCTACCTATGGACAAAAGACAATCGTTGACCTGGGCGCAGGCGAGACCCATCATCCTAATATAACGCAACGTCAGAGGCATAAGAGGTGACCTAGTGTTTTGATGCAACCTAAGGCTGACGTCTACACGGTAGGCAAGGGTGCGATGTGCCTAGTACCGTCGATCGAGGTCTAGGAGGTATGAGATCAGTAGGTTACTTAACGAAGGATAGGTTCGATTCCTAACAGCGCTACTTGGTAGTCTTCGCTACTTAGCTCATCTGTATGTAGCAGACACAGGCCGATTACGGCCGATGCCTTCTCTGCGACTTCTACCTGCCTCCTTGGGTAGGTGCGAGAGACATATAAGGGGGTGCTTCATGTAGGTACCTAGGTAGGTTAGGTTAGGTAGGTATCGCAGTATTGCATAAGACGTCTACCTACGTGTGGGAGGTTCCTGTCTCCTTGGTGCAGAACCTGCCTCCCACGCGTTGATATCGTGGGACTAGGTGCGTCAACCCCCCCTTCCTAGGTATATACAATAGGGGCCATCCGGCCTGCAGCGGGCGCTACGTCTACTCCCGCACACGCTGTACCTGCCCCAGTATGTACTTCCAGCGAGGGATGTAGCGCCCTGCTGCAAGTACCTAACGAACGTCCCGAATCGTCGCCCCCACGGGTGGCGTGCGGCGGCGGTTCGGCCTTTTGTATGACGTTGCCTGCCGCGAATGAGGGGCGCTTTGTCGATGCTAGGTGCTTCGGGTCCCTTTTCCATTTTGCCTAGAGGTATCCGGCATGCCTCATTCTTACCTACCTACACCATTCCACTCTCCTCCGACGACCCAAGATCTGCCCGAGGCTAGCACGAGACCCGTATCTTGAGATCGGCATAGCCCCTATCTCCTCACACAGTAAGCCTTGTCTCGGTTACGGCATTATTAGGGCTCGATGTAGCAATGTGGTCATCCTGCGCAAGCCGGGTCGATAAGCATCTCAGACCATCGCCGGCCGTACGCAGTTATCTTGTCGGCCGAATTCTGCCGCCCCGACCCCAGTAGCCTTATGCCACTTCTCAGCCTGCAAGTGGCGGCGATCCAGATCCAGATCCTGGTTGTCGATTGGTCTCTCTCCATAATCAGATACCCCACATCGCTCACTCTCTCAGCCTTCTGTTTTATTTTGTCTGATACTATACGGGACGTGGCTTGCAGGCCGACGAACTACCTAGGTATCTAGCATACCGAATCTGCACAGAATCAGCAGGGGGGGCGTTGTGACAGGGAGAGGCTACCGTTTGCTTCCCCTCTCCCCTCCCCGAAACCGAGCACAACATGTACTTTGACCAAGGTGTGCAATTAAAAATCAGCGACCACTTATCGAAGGTCGACAAGGACAAGCCAATCCGTCCCCGCGGGTCTTCTTGGCACGCACTGTTGCCATGCGGGCCTCAACAGCGCTGGCCTGCGCTGTGGCGTTCCGAGCCTGACCAGTTCCCCAGTCCTCCCATACCGAGTTGGGTAGAATGTCGATAACGACATCCCTTTCGTAGTCGGGACTGAAAGAAGAAGCATGTGTGGAAAAGAGGAGGGAGGGGGATGAAGGAGGACACGCAGACACATAGATCAAGAACCCGATCTTCGATCCTCTCTACCTACCTATTCCGCCTATCGAGTCGTTACCTACTGGACAAATGTCGTGTAAGTGGTTAGGACGGGTTTGAAAGGGACGTCGACTTCTCCTCATACGAATACTGCTCGCCGATGATCTCGATCATCCTGCCGAATTACTACACTTCATGGACTCATGGTATCCGGAGTGGCCTGTAACAAAGGAAAGCGTATACGCACACCTACGTGTGAGTAGGTATCTGGGAACCCTTTCGAGTCGACTAATAGCACACGGCCTTGCAGAATACTTATATGTGCTCGTATCTACGGCAGGACCACCATGTGTAATTCTCATCGGGTCAGGATGACTCCCGCTGGCCACCATTCGTTCAGATAACCATCACGCATCGATATAACGCTCGCACAACATGCATACCTACGTATGAGCAAGCTTCGGCGGCAGCCATCTATCTGCTTACCTGGTGTCTCCGATGGATCTCTCGATCCCTGAGACCCAAGGAGGGGGTTTATTCGCCATACACCCTCAAATATAAGTAAGTACCTGGCAGGCAGGCATCGACTCCTTCCTGGGTCTCAAATCTCAAACTGGTCGACCGACTGGGGACCAAATTTCGAGCCGTCCCGGACTATGGCCGTTTGGATGATGACGAGCTAGGCCTCTTCTCTATCTATTGTCTCCTACTCGACGAACAGCTACTAGTAACATGCCCGTTTCGCCCACCCCCCGCCAGTTTCCTTAGCGCTCGTCATCTCCTTCGCCTCGAGGTCCAAGTCGAAAGAAATCAACGGGTCTCGCGTAGCGTTGTCTTACGTATGCATGCGTGTATATCCTCCGCATCGAGCGCCACTGGCTCCCTAAACGAAAACATTAAACGTCTACTCATACGTAGACGTGTAACCTAGCTTGCAAACCGGCGCGATATGCCTACCCACCGCCCACACAGCGGAGACAGGAAACCGTCTAGGTAAAATTTTGGGGGGCAGAAACAGGGTGGGCGTGCTGTGACGAGTCTTGCTCAGGTTGCCTCACCTAGAGGTTTAAACCACGACACACACACACACTCACTCACGCACGCACGCACGCACACGGGTATACATACTACCTGACTGATCATCTACATTATCTACCTGCCTAATAAGAGCCCGACGCGTTCGGTCTACTCCCGCGACGTCGGCGTGCCGTCATGACATCGCTGTCTGCACCCGTAGCCGCCCCATAACCTCGCACCTACGCGTCCCACCACGCTGTAGCTGTATGCGAGCGCACGAGTCGTATGAGTTGTGTCTCCTCGGAGGCTTGTGACGGAGCCTTTTATTGACTCCCCGGCCCCACACTCCAGGTAAGAGACAGAAAACAAATCGAAACCAGGAGTAAAAGAGGGGGAGGTGGATAGAAAAAACAATAGATATTATGAGTTGCTTACTACCGTAGGTTCAGCAGCGAACGCCAGCGAGGCCCGCAAAGGCTGCGGCCACGAAGTCGCACGCCGGTCTCGCCTCACAGAAACTAACTCGCTCTGCCTCGATTTCCCTCCTTCTCAGCCGCCGCCGCCGCCTCCTCCATCTCGAATGGGACCGTGATATGAGACTAGCGTCTACGTAGATCATGAGGTGGGCCATCCATCTATCTATACGCCTATGTATGCATGTAGGCGTATCCCTAGGTATGTACATATCTACGCAGAGGCGTCCGCGCGCAGGCATGCGGTCCGGTCTTGTATGTTCGTTCCCTGTTCCCCACTCTTGCCTGCACGTTCGAGCCGGGCATAGCATCCTCTTATCTGTCTCCCTTCCCTCCACCCCCGAAGCGAGAGGCGACACCCTTGTGCGATGACGGGGGGGGAGAGGAGGAGGGGGAGGCGAAGGGAGTAGGAGGGGGGAACGAGGTTGGGAGCTGGGACCACCCGGCCGGCACCTCTGCCTACTCGTATGTACCTACATACACATGTCTGCCTATCTTAGGTACCTACGCATACAGGCGAGCCCGCGGCCCTTTCGCTGGCGGGGCGCGGGAAGAATGGGAAGGACGAGGCCGACAAGGCTCACCGGCGGGCTTACCCGGGCACATACACCTACCTACATGCGTATTAGGGGAGGGAGAGGGTGGCCTCCGGTCTGGTATCTATCAATCTGCCTGCCTGCCCACCTTGCCAGACTGTCTATTCATAGGGACCCGCCGCAAGCCCGGCGCGTTTATCGAGAGGCAAGAAGAAGGGCTCTGTTCGGATGTGCCTATAGCTATCGGTGTGCCTACATACCTGCCTACGCATGTAAGGGGAGCCATGTAGCCGGGCGGGCGGGCGGCGGTAAGACGGACGAGATAGGTGGGCTGGGTAGGTGTGGGTTCCGATCCCCATCATCCACGCCATTGCGTCTCGTCATCCAGTCTCTGTATCGCGAACGCTCGGTTGACGAGAGAGGCGTTACGAGTAGGTACCTAGGGAGGTAGGTAGGTAAGGCATGTAGGTCTGGGGCTGCTGAAGTAGGTAGGGCACGGCCCGGGATCGACGCGAAAAAGAGGGTCACAAAAGTGCGGCGCTGCGGGTCACGTTGAGATATTTCCCATTTCTTATCTTTTGCTAGGGGAGGGGCCAACTACGACTCCGTAGCGAGAGCGGCCTGTCTATCTGTCTGGCTGGCTGTCTAGCTGGCTGGCTATCTGGCTGGCTATCTGGCTGTCTGGCTGGCTGCCCGTCCGTCTGTCGGCAACGTCGGCGAGAGCCAGGTATTAAGCGCCCAGCCAGCTTCCGCAAACGACGCCGGGTGGTTGGCTGATGGGGCCCGTCAATCCGTCACAGACAAAGAGAGAAGGCAAGGCAAAGAGACAAACCTCGACGAGTTCCCATGCGGGCTTATCTGCAGAGCCAATTTTTTTCTTCGGCTATCGCACCATCCCTCCCTCCCTTCCTATCCACCCTTCCCTCCCCCCCCCGTCTGTACCGCGGCTGCATGGTAGGACGGCCCGCTCCCAGGGAGGCATATTCGACCGGGGGGGGGTGCGTAGACCGAGCAGATTGGGTATGTCGAGCGAGCCCCGTCGCTGGCTGGCGCGTTTCCCTCCCCCCCCCCCTCCTCGCCCCCCCTGCCTCCGAGGCAGCGCACGCCGTCGAGCGTCACGGTCGCGAGTGCGTCGCACGCGATGTGGGCCATACGTAGGCAATATCCAGCGCCAGGTGGGTTGATGCTCGATGCGCGGGAGACGATCCACGGCGTCGCCGCGATCGTCGCTCGCGCGTCGGGGCCCGCGAGCAAATATGCCCATGTACAGGCAGGTGTACACAGGTAGGTAGTACGCAGGGAGGTGGGTAGGTAGGTATGTGCAGAGTATGGCATGCGGGCGATCCACCACCGCGATCGCTTCCGCCGGCAGGCTGAATCACATGGGTTTTCCCAGTCCCCTCCGCCCTCGACTGCGACGCTCCCGCGGCCATCTTCACATGCTTTTTTCTTCTTCTTGTCTCGAGGAACGGCAAGAGAGCCCGCGCGCGTATTCTTGCCCAGCAGGCTCTCCGGCGCCCGGGAAGTGGCCACTTTAGACAGGCCCCATCTGGTCGTCGACCGAGACGAAGCTGCCGGGGGGTGGGCTCGAGCTGGGGCCCCGTCACGAGCGGGCGGCGAAGGCTACCTCGCCGGGCAACCTGAAGGACGCGCAAAACATGCATTTGTTGGGAGCCACGGCCCTGACCTCTAGGACGGACACCTCGCGGGGGCTTTCGGCGTCGCCCGGCTTCATCTCGACGCCGAGCTCTGCCGAGATGCGGTCGCAGATGTCTACGACGGACGTGTCGTCCTCTGCCTTGGCCGCGAAGCAGTGGACGTGGATCAGGGGCAGTTTCGTGCCCGTGTGCGGGGCGAAGAGCCGCTGCCGCTCGGCGTACAAGCCGCGGAAGTGCGGCAGAAAAGTGATGGCCGAGGCGGGGAGGTTCATGACGAAGTGGGAGATCGTCGGCGGGATAGGGGTGCGCTTGGGTTCAGGGGGCGCCGTCGCCGCCGCCGCCGCCGCCTGCGTGGTTTTCGAGCCCGGATGCTGGTGCCACGACTCTCTTCTGGTCTTCACCTCTACGACGGCGCACTCCCCGTTCGTCGACGCTGCGTACACTAGGTCGGCTGCTTCGGTTATGAACGTCCGGCCGTCTCTGTTGAACGGCCGCACGTACTGCCCAACCTGAGAGCGCCCTGTCAGCCCAACGTGACCATGCCAAATGCGCACTGCCCCCCCATGCCATCTGCCTACCTTGTTCCGCTGGATGTTCTCGCCGAGGTAGCGGTAGCTCTCCGGGTTGTAGTCGTTCGCCCAGACGAACACGCCTTTCTTCCCCGCCGGCACCGCGAAGGGGCCGATGCCGGTCATCACGTCGCACACGGCCTCGCCGGGCTGGAAAAGGTCGACCAGCCGCCGATGCTCGTTCTCCAGCTTGCTGTTCCAGTACACCTTGGCGTAGTTGAACCGGAAGGTGCAGCCGTTCTCGCGCACCACGACGTTCAGGTCGTCGGGCCCGGCGAGGACCTCGTACGCGAAGGTGCGGAACTCGGACTCGGTCCCCACGTGGGCGACCTTGTTGATGACCGTCCGGAACGACGGGTTCTTGTCCAGGAGCACCTCGGCTAGCAGCCTCCGGTAGGGCAGGAAGGTCTCCCGCAGGTTCATGTGCGCGACGTGCCCGGCGTGGTTGAAGCCGCCCGGGATGCCGTCGTTCTCCTCCCGCACGTCGGGCGGGAGCACGCTTCTCATCACATCGTCTGCCGCACACAACGGCGGGTCAGCGGGGCACATTTCCAGAAACGGGCATAGCATCGTGTGTTTGGGAAGGTGGTGGTGATTACCGTAGGACCAGTAGTCGTAGGCTAGGAGTAAGTCGTACGGCACTATGCCGATTTCCTCGCTGGTCACGCCGTCGCGGAGGGCGGGGGTCCACGTCTCGGGCACTACACGCGACATGGTTAGCCAACCGCGGGTCTGGGCGGGCGGGCGGGCGCATCGTCGATGTGCTCTCAGCCTTACCTTGGGCCTTGACCTTGGGGTCCAGGAGCAGGCACTTGGTGCCCTGCGAGGCGAGAGCCGGGTCGGGATGGGGCACGACGCTGGAAATCCTGTCGACGGACAGGAGGGTCTGCTCCCGTGCCAGCTTCTGGCGCCAGGCCGCGATCTTCTTCTTGTCGGCGACGGCGGCGGCGGCCAGGCCGACGGTCTTGGAAAAGAGCGACCGGTCCAAGACGCCGACGGCGGCCGGGGGGATCGCGGGCGGCCGGAACAGACCCATGCTCGTGTCGTCGTCTCCGGCCGCCGCAGCCGCAGTAGCAGCGGCGGCGGCGTCGGCGGCGGCGGCGGCGCTGCCAGTAGTAGAGATGCCCTTCGGCGCGGTGACGGCGAAAGAGGTTAGCTCAGCATCCTGATTCCGGCACCGGCTGAGAGGCAGGCAAAAGGGGATTCCGGCGTACCGCCATCGTATGGAGACGTGCGCTCCCTGGCGCGAGAGTGGGAGCGATCGCTCGCGCGGCTGCGCGCAAGTGGTGATGCTTCGGTGCGAGGATACGTAACGTCTGCATCTACAACCGCACTCCAGAATTGCGCGGGAAGGCTTTTTATGTATTTATTTGTTTATTATTATTTATTTTTTTCGCAGGAAGAAGAGGGTACTTGGAGTAAGTATATATCACTTTGATAGGTACGTAGAGGGAAAAAAAAAAAGCTGCATGCCGACCGGGGTCGGGCCGCGCTAAATTCATAGGGCTGGCCGCGGTACCTCCGTGCAACGGGGCAATGCGTCATCCTCTCGGATCCTGACGGTGTGCCACCGCCGCAGCAAGGCTGGCGTGTAAAGGCTGCGACGTGGGACGACGGAACGCCAGCGACCCCTGAAACCGAGCAGGTCAACAAGCTAGCACCTTTATCAACGGCCGTGGTAACCGAATAGCCGTCTCGGCGCGGCGCAGTGGAGAGAGGGGAAAGGAGAGGACGGGGAGGAGAACGAAGTCGCGGTGGGAGAGAAACAGCGGCGGTGGTCTATTACGGGCAACGCTTTGGTATCTGGTAAGATCCGGCCCTCTTCCTGCTTGTAGAAACAAAGAAACAAACCCGGCGAAAGCTACGATGAGACGTCGCTCTATTTATTGTACATGACCCGGCCAAACCCGCCCCGTCTATTTGCCTAGCTTGAAGGTGGCCTCGGTATATTTGCGCAGGCCCCGGAGAAACACTTGGTAGCCGACGCCGTCGTTGTCGGGGGCGCAGTATATCTCGGTCAGCCGGATCGGCCAGGGCGGATATCCCTGCAGGTCGACGTACGGCTTGAAGGAGATGAGCAGGTCGGGCTCGGGCATGACAGCCTCGGACAGCTCGCTGTCGAGCACGTCGACGGTGATGTCGCCGGTCGATATCTTCTCCTTCTGCACCATCTGCACGAGAACCCGGGTGAGGTCCACCATCGCCTCCCGGCCGTCGTCCTGGGAGATGAGCACGACTTCCAGGGGCAGCTGGCTCTGCAGCGAGAGCTCCCAATTCGGCGAGCGGATGGCGGACGCCCCGCGGGTGGAGAGCGAGAGAGGCGGGGTTTGGTGCTTTCCGAACCAGGCTTTCAGCTTGTGCCCCAACGCGCGGTGTGTCTGGGGCATAAAGCGTTTTAAGATGCCTGGCGAGAGCAACGACAACAGAATGATAAGATTAGTTTGTTTCTCTCTTCTCCTCTCCTCCCATTCTTCCGATGACCGGTATACATATATATATATATATATATATATATGTGTGTGTGTGTGTGTGTGTGTGTGTATGGATATAGATATAGATATATAGATATGCGCGCACGTGTATATGCATGTGTAAGGAAAATGGGGGCTCCTTCACTTACCTGTCCTCTCGTATATGGACAACCGGGGAATGCCGGCCGAGGCGCACCAGGCCGCTACCTCGGAGGCTTCGCGGATCAATTTCTCCAGGGCATCTCCGGCCCTGCCGCCGTCCTCGAGGGTTAGTATGACGCTGAGGTGTTTCGGCAGCCGCTTGAGGGTGCTGACGTCTCGGCGAACATAGTCCGGGGTGGTGTGGTGGTACTTGAGGATGGAGTAGACTCGCAGGTGTACGGCGTGGTAGACCCCGCGGATGCGGATGTAGACGGAGAAGACGGCGTGGACGAGGATGTACAGCACCAGATACAGCTGCGACTTGAGGAATTTCCTCACACCGAAGTACGACTCCTCGGACTCCTTCTTACGGCTACGGCTCTTCCGTCGCTTAATAGGCGCAGCGGGCAGATAGGCCTGCGAGGGTGGCACATGCTAAGTCAATGACGGATGCAACAGCAATAGACTTAAAGCCGGAAGGGGAAAAGCCCCGAGGGATCGGCGCGTATAGCCGGGTCCTGCGACATACCTCGACAAGCTTCTCGCGCTCTCTTACGCTGAGGTTTTTGTGTCCGACCTTTTCGTCGTCTCGATACGCCTCGGTGTCCTTGGCGGAAAAAGACATAGTGGTGGGTAATGGTAGGGGCAACCTGGGAGAAGAAGACACGTAGGCACGAGAGAGGGAGAGAGAGTTGTGGGGGGGGGGGGAGCTGCAGGGTCTCAAGATATACTTGTTGGCGGCATTACCCAGCGAGCTTCGTATGCTCTTACGCTCTTCCGCGCAACACGGCCTAGGTATGAACGGTGTGTATGAGTATGTGTATGCGTGTGCGTAGGTATGTGTATGTGTGCGCGTGTGTTAGTGGCGTTACGATATTGGAAGATTGGCCTAGCGAGATCCTGTAACCGCCGAGGCAGGCCAGCTCCGGCAAGCACTTGGGTATAAGTAGCAGCAGGGTGTCGCCATCCGACGTAACTCGGTTCCTGCTCAGCCACGTGCGAGACGTGTACTATGGAAGTACGAGGCGGCGGTGCAGCACCGTTAGCACTAATACTCCGTAAGTACCTAACGCGTGTGACGTTGGGCATAGCATATGTACCGTAGGTACCTAGTATTATTACCTAGGTAGGTAGTTACATAATGGGCTAATGACGAGGGGTCCGTGTGCCGAAGTGTAGCAGCCTGTTACCTACATGTTACACGCAAGTGTCCGGATCCTGACCTAACGTAACCTTCTTCTATGAGGTAAGGCGGGACCTCCTCAGGCACGACGGGTACGTTCTAATGTATGCCCCATGCCCAGTAGGATAGAGGTAGGTGGGCAGGTACATAGCCGCGAAGGTAGCTGGCACGTATAGAAACTGGGTAACTCAGCCGCGAAGGTCACAAGGAATATGGAGTCGGTACACGGGCTATACTTCCTGACCACCACGCTATCCAGGTATTCCCCATCCATCTCTGTCCCCTTGACCACCACCGTCATGGCTTCACTCGACCCGACCCTTTCAATCCCCTCCCGTCACATCCCACCGCCAACTCCATCGCAACCACATACATACCGACAACGCTTCATTGCCCTCCCTCCCTCGTGCATGACGCCGCTGCTGTCCCACGCCACAGCTCCCTATGCCGCAATACCGACATCAACGCTCCATCGTGTCTTGACCCAATGGAGCGGGTCAGCTCCGGATCGCGAGCTCTGTTCCCCAAGGGGCCCAGCTTCACCATCGAAGACTTCTCTAATAAGGACTTCATCGTGCGCGACTTCGTCGACAGCCTCGCCGAGAATGCTATATCCCTTAACCGTCGCTCCGGGCCCACCCAACAAGCCTTCGATCCCAAACCTCTAATCCGCACCTTCGAAAGTATGCCCGAGCGGTCGCCCCCGGTACCGGTGCAAGTCCGTTCCGTGCTAACCCCCCATGTCTTCTATGTAGATGCGCTGCAAGGCCTCGGTAACCTGTCCGAGGAACTTCAAGCTAAGGAGTCAGACCTGCTTTCGCAAGTCCGCCGAGCCGAAGCCCAGCATGACCAGACCCTCGATACCCTTGGCCGCAAGCTGGACCAGTCCATCAACCAATTCGAGGCTCTAGACCTTACCCTGAACAACCCCAACGGGAACGACCGAGGTAGCCGTGAAGCAGGAGGCAATATCGCTGTGCAGATTGGAGAGAAGTTGGAAGAGCTGGATAGGAAACGCAGGCGGGCCCTGGATGCCAATTTTCTCATACAGTGCTGGCTCCAAGTCAGCGAAACCGGCGAGCTCACCTCGTTGCAAGATATCCGACGCCAAGGCGGATCGGAGAACAAAGTGAAATGCGCCATAATCGCCCACCAGCTGATGCGCATCAGCCAGAGGCTAGATCCCATCTCTTGGGGGCAGACAAATGGCTTCCACCGCAACAGTGTCGCGAACGGCGACAGCGACATCGGCAGGAGACACAACACGCGCGAAATACTAGAAAAGTTTTGCGAGACGCTGGAACAAGACCTGCTGAAGCAGTTTAACAACAGCTACCGGAAACAAAACTTTGAAGACATGAGGGAGTGCGCCAAGGTCCTACACGACTTCAACGGAGGCGCCAGCGTGATCGCTGTCTTTGTGAACCAGCATCAATTCTTCATCGATAGGGACCAGCTTATCACTGACGAGGTGACGACAGACGGAGAGACCTGGGATCAGCTAGCCGACCCGGACTCAGACCCGCCCGGCGTCGAACCGAGTCTCCAATCTCTCATCGACGAGGTCAAAATTGTCATGCAGGAGGAGTCCTTCATCATCAAGAGGGCCTTTCCATATTACGAGACTGTCCTGATCAAGTTTATACAGAGAGTGTTCCAGCAGTCGATACAGCAACGGTTAGAGATGGTCCTCGAGAAGGCCAACACCATATCGTCACTGGCCTTTCTCCGGTCCCTACATTCGTCGAGAAGCTACATTGGTGCTCTCGTAGAGGATCTCAAGTCCCATGGGCTTACGGAACATCCAGAACCCTGCTCTCCCCAAATATCTCAGACATTAGACCAGCAGATGGAAGAATTGTTCGTCCCGTATATGATGAGCAACTCTTACATCGATCGTGAGAAGAAGAGCCTAGAGGAATTGTTTAATTCGCTGCTCTTCAAGTATAACATGTATCACTCTAGAAGGAAGAAGGCGCCTACTGGTTTCATGGCATCGCTAGCCCAGCAGACTAACCAGCTCATGGCATCCGCTAAGGACGCATATCTAGAGCGGCTGGAGTCGTCTGACCTCACACCGACTCAGAAAGCTATGATGCTGAGGGTCGCCCGCGTCCAGGAAACCGACAAGAACAAGAACGAGATCGAAGTCTCTGAAGAAGACGGCGTCCTGAGCACCGCCAACGCCAAGCGGATGATGAAGTGGCTCGCCGAGAGCGTCAGGCGCACACTGGAACTAGGGAGCCAAAATGAGACCCCCAAGGACGTCGCTATCCTCCTAAATCTCCTGATGACGAATATGGGCCAGGTCTACGTGGAGACGGCGTTGGAAGCCGCGCTCGAGAAGGCGACGTCGCAAGAAAACGTGAAGACGGAACCGGACCTCAGCTACCTACCCTACCTACGGCCGGCGGTGACGATTATCAACATCATGTCCCGCTTCATAAACATCGTGCTGATCCGTCTCGCCGAGTCCAACACGACGGTGCGGAGGAGCATGGAGGCGCAGGCCAAGACCGGGATCGAGAACATCGAGAAGAAGGCGGGCAGCATAATGAAGAGCACGGTGGACGTGATCATCAACTGGGTGACCAAGTCGCTGGCGCAGCAGAAGAAGCTCGACTTCCTGCCCAAGGACGAGTTCGACATGATGGAGTCGCTGCAGACGCCGACGTGCACGTCGATCTGCGTGTTCCTGTCGCGGTGCACGAAGCTGCTGGCGCAGGCGGTGGACGGGGCGAATCTGGAGGTGTTCAGCAGCGAGCTGGCGCTGGCGATCCAGCGGCTGCTCTTCGACCACTTCAAGAAGTTCAAGGTGAACGCGACGGGCGGGCTCATGGTGACGAAGGACATCGCTGGGTACGTGGGCGCGCTCAAGGAGTGGCCGCTGTCGCGCGACGTCGGCCTCGCCGTCGAGATGCTCACCGAGATCGGCTACCTCTTCATCATCGGGCCCGAGGCCCTCCGCGAGCGCTCCCGCAACCTCGCCGCCGGCGCCGCCGGCTCCACCAGGCGCCTCGTCAAGGCCGACTTCAAGGCCTTCGTCCAGAGCCGCGACGACGCCAAGACTGCCGGCGTCCAGAGCGTCCTCTCGGGCTTGTGAAAAAAAAAAAATTTTTTTTGCCTTCTCCCCTTACCCCGGAAGGGGAATAGATGGGGCGGTGGGAGGGGGTCGATATACCTACTAGCTATAGGGAGAAAAGGGGGAGAGAAAAGTCTTAAGAGTACTTACTGCTGCTGCTGCTGTCGCACTGCTGCTTACTTTGTGTGTACGGACCTCAGACGGGAAATAGGAGTCGGGAAATAGGAGTCGGGAAACGAACGGACAGACGGACGGACGGGGGCGGCACGTGTCGGGCAACGGAGCGCTGCTACCGCCGATCTCGCTCCCCAGAGGGAGGGGGCTACCCGCCTCGTTAGATCGCGCGCGGAGCCATTCGTGGTGCTGTTGTATATTACGAGACGAGAGAGAAAAACAGAGAGAGAGAGATACCACCATGATCTGAGGAACCCCCGGAAGAAGAGAGTGCAAGTGCCTTTGACCCAATGGCCGTCCGCCACCCTCCGCCCGCTGCTGTCTACACCACCCCACGTATATATATATATATATATACACATACATATATACCCTGTTGGATAGGGACCACGATAGAGTGTTGTCTCTCTTTAGGGACACCGATCACCTAATAGTCGGCGATACTGCGTTGCGCCGGGAGAAAGGGAGGAAGGGCTGGTGCTACTAGCTAGCTTTTGCCGGTCAAAGTCGTAGCGCGTAGTTCGACCTGGCATCTGACCATCTTTCCTCACATAGAAACTATAACTCCCAAATCGTCCCCCGTCCTGGTCGCACATACGCAAAAGGGAACGCGGGTGTGAAAAAACGTTCAGCTAAGCAAGCTACGGGAGCTATCGAAAGGGGAGAGGGGCTCGGCCAAGCCCAACAGCCCGAGTTTCCTACCCGACAACAAGCAAAGGTGAAGAGATGGTACAAACAAAGGGAACCGAAATACAAAATTAAATATAAAAAAAACCCTCTGCCCGCCGACTCCTTTTCCCGGAACGTGTCCGGCGAATAGCTCCAACAGGTTATGTATCACCAACCGCCTCGAGCAATGGAGGAACTAGGTTGGTTTTTGTTTTTTTTTTCCTCTTTTCTTGCTTCAACATCTTGGCTGGCCGTCAAGTTCGTAAGACTAGGGGTTATGCGTGTGTGTGTGTGTGTGTGTGTGTGTGTGTGTGCGCGCGCGCGCGAGAGCGCACACACCCTTTTCCATCCGTCTCTCCCGCCTTTCCGCCCCGCCGCCGTCGCCCCGGCCCATTCCCTTTTCCCTCATTACCCTAAAACGCCGACCCGGGTCAAAGCCAACCCCTCGAGGAGCATACATGCCCAAGTCTCTACCGGATATGAAACTCGAACCAGTAAAGAAAAACGTCGTCGCGTCATATTAACACGATACACCGCCAGGGGAACTAGCACTTTAATCTCGGCAGTGGAGTCCCAAGTAGCTCCGTATTACGATTCGCCCTGCTTCTCCGATGACGGGAAGGAGTCCGGGCACAAATTCCTCCTCGAAGAGGGAACTAGAATCACGGATTGCGCTGTGCCTATGGCTTCTTAGCGCCAATTCCCCTGGCTTAGAGACAACAGCCCGGCAACACAGTCCATATCGCCGCGCTTGCTAGGGCTGACCTCGCCTCGCATAAAACGCTCGACTTCCTCGTCGCTTTTCCCGCTCTTAATGGTTTCCTTATCCTCGAATATCATCAGATCTCGCATCTGCCGTGGCACCGGCGCCGTGTTCGCTCGAGTTCCGAAAAGCGGTCGTTTGCCCAAGCCACCCTGTTCTCCGAAAATGCGACCGATGCGGCGGGGATTGCTCTTGCCCTCCAGAACCTGCGGTGGCATTTTGGGGGAAGGTAGCGGCCGTCGGCGGTGAGTGTTGCCCTCCTCATCCGGGCTCCAGTTCTCCTTATCCGAGTCACCGCCTAGTGGGCTCGGGATAATGGAGATGCCCCCTTTCGCCGGCTTCTTTTCAGCACCCAGTCCTTCCACCGGGCCTTCGCCGGCGCGCTTGTCCAAAAGCGACACGGGCGGCAGATTTTGCATGCGAGCGACGCTGCTGCTCGCCCGAGCCAGCTTGGGTTTCTTCGTCACTCCACGCTGCGAAGACTTGTTGGAAGGCGCATTACGCTTGCCGGGGTTAGACTGCAGAACATTCGTGGAACTCTGGCCATGAATTAGGTTGCTGAGGCTTGCCGAGCTGCTACTCGAACGCAAAAGGCTAATGGCAGCGAGGGCGGAACCCGAGGACTCATTCTCTGCCTGTTTTGTTAGCTCATCGCGGGTATCAGCCTCGCAGCAGGATTCCCAGGCATGGACATCCCGTGACCGACCGCGGCTCAGTTGGGGAGGCAGGTGGGCGGTAAGAGTAGAGATTGGTGGAAGCGTGACTCCGGACAGAGCGCTCCGGCTTCTGTGAAGAGTCCGGCTGATGCGGACCGGCGGCAAGGTATCCGTATCGGCCGGCAGCTGCGAGCGGGTTGGACGCGGAGGGGAGGGTTGAGCAGACACCAGTTCAGCTTTTCCTTCCAAGGAGAGCGACAGCCGAATCTTGGAAGACGAGGACGAGAGCGGCGGTAGGATAGAGGCAGGAGAACTCCTGGTCGAGCTAAGAGATGACGAAAATGATTCCACCCTATTGAGAAGATTAACACCCATGCCTACACCAGGGGGGGACATGACAAACCTGAGAGAGTCATCCCCGCGTTGTCCTAAAGTAGAGGGGGTGGAGAAGGAGCTCGCCAGGCTCCGTCTGTTGGCCAAATAGGTGGCTGGGGCCGGGGAGGTCTGAGAGAACATGCGGCCCTCGGGCTCGGATTTTCGCGACGGCGGTGTGCCCACCTCAGGGCGTCCGGCGTCCGGCTTCGCTACCTTTTCAGCAACACCGTGCTCCACATCACCAGGTCTCGGGGAAGACTGAAGAGAACGTTGAGGTGGGATATCATGCGGGCCCGCGAGCAAATTTTCAGCATCAGGACCTCTCTCATCCCCAACGCATGCGATACCCAGTTGCTCAGGCGAATTGGGCGCGACAATGGACGTGGACGTTGATTCAGCTGACAAGATTTGCACATTGCCGCCGTATCGGAGCGCTGCTATCTCCTGCGGGGTCAGTGGGCGCGATTTTCGTCGATCATTCTGACGGCGATTCTGAAACCAGATCTATACAAAAGCGACGGGTCAGAACCAGTTCAGAAACACGTAACCCCCCTAGCTGGATTCGCAGCGCGCCTCTGCCACCAACGGCCACTTCACTAACCTGGACCTCTTTCTCGTTAAGCGAGACGCGACTCACGATATCGAGACGCGCCGCCTTGTCGGGTTTGGCGTTGGCGTTGTACGCGGCTTCGAGAATAGCTTTATCTTGGGTCCTACGCGATAGCAAGCAACACTTAGCACACAGGTCATCGAAGTGCCCCCCGCCTCTGGATAGGTACGCACGTGGTTCGCTTCCGCTTGCCCTTGGGGTGCTTCTCCGTGGCAGTATCGTAGGTTGGGTAGCCGGATTCTAGGCGGAAGGAGGATTCGAAGGATAGGGCAGAGGCGTCGGGATTGCTGCCCTGGGAGCTGACGGACAGTCGAGAATCGCAAGTCTCGTTGGTAGCCGCCATGGCGAGGACGGAAGCGGCGGGGGGTGGTGACATAGAAAAACCAATCGTGCAATTCTATTCTAGATCTGCATCATACACGGACGTGTGTAGACCAGGCGAGGGTAGTATGAGAGGACGGAGAGAGAAACGAAAGACAAGCCCCCGGTGGAATACGCGTGTGATTCTCGTTGTGACGTCGAGAACGGGACGGGTGGTTGGTTAGGGGGGAGTAGACGTGTGGTGGTGATGATGGTTGAGAGGCAGGGTTAAGAGGAGAGAGGGAGAGAAGAGGGAGGCGAATGGGTGCGGGAGGAGGAGTTGTAGTGGGAGCGGCACAACGTAGGAAGGTGGGACCTCTGCCGTGGGGAGGCGTGTCGAGGCTTCCTTGTAATCAATCACGACCGCGTCTCGACGAGGGCGACGCAGTGGAGCTCGGGCCACATGCGCCATTGGCCAATCACAGCCCCCATCGCGTACCTGCCCGACCGAAAAGGGTAACTTATTTACTCAGGGCGTGACATCTCCCGGTGGACGGGGGTCGAAGTCGATAAAATTCTTCAGCCCGCGATCAAAACACGGCAAAGAATGCTGTCGACGCAGCAGGCCGACATGATATGAATAGAGTTGCCGGGGCCCTCGCTATGGCTACTCGCGCCGTTGCCCATCGTCATTACTTCGAAGCAGCAACACTGCGGTAAATCGCCAAATTGCATACCGCAACAACCCGCGGCAGGTAGCCAGAACTTCCCTACCTACGTTCCTACCTACCTACCTCTACCTACCTACCTGTAGGTACATACTACCTACGGTACCTAAAGTGCCCGAGGCATACCTGACGCATGTACTTAGATATATATGTGTACATGTAATCTCTCGGCAAAGCAGAGCCAGCATGCGGTACCGAAATTGTCTCAAGTACGCGGCATGCAGCGAAATATATCAGGTACCTAATATAGATCTATTTCATCGATTAGGGTTCGTGTAACGCTGCACCTGTAGACTCCTTAAGCCTGTAATTAGGCAGTTTCCTCCTCGTTTCCTGCCAAGGAATTTACTTCAAAATCGCTAATAGGCAGGTTAGGTAGTAAGTCAACCTACTATTTTCCTACCACCGACTTCCCAACCCTTCTCCTCTTCTCCCATCTCTATGTGTACTATAGTACCTGAGGCCTACGCGATGCGTGGGAACCGAGAACGAAAGATCTCTGCGGGACCGCCCTATTGCATAGTTCTGTCTTCCTGTTGTTGTGCGAGGTACACGCCGCAACGACGTGCTCGCCAGAAAAAAAAAACAAGCAGTGGGCAGCTTTATGTATACATATATTATAGGTATGTGTGTGCGGTCCCATGCCTACCTATAGGTAGCTATGCCACGGCAGGGCCCATTTCGGCTCAAGCATGTCCCGTAGTAATCTCACGGAGAGACAAGCCCTCTCCCGGATTTGCACCTAAGGTCAGCGGAATCTTTATTTGGAACAAGACCTACCTTAGGTACCTCTCATAGACGCGGAACCAGGTATTTCTAGTAGCACCTAATTTCTAAATCCCCTTCGGCACGTTAAAAGTAGGTCAGGTGCCTACGCTCATCTACCTCGTACCGACGAGGTGCATGACGCAGGGGTTAAGTTAGGAGAGACCTAGGTACATTAGGTACCTACATAGGCATGTGCCTGCCTACAGACATAAATCGAAGACCCCCAGAATCAACAAAGTCGCAGCGCCAATGCAGACAGCAATCTCCCGTCCGCCCGTAAGACACGCCAATCCTATAAGGGCATGAGGACAGCCGCATAGCTAGATGTAGCGAAATTATCAACATAGCATGCAGGTGGCCCTTCGAGTTTTCCTCTGTCTTCTACAAGCTGCTAGGTATGTCGTGGGGACGCGTTTTTATCCCACCCGTCTCAAATACTGCATAAGGGGCTAGCACATTAGGTATGCGTCTATGCCATGTTCGACATATTTTCGTACCTTAGGTGGCTTACCTCTAGGTCGGTACCTCAAGCGCCAACGAAAGTGCCTATTAATGTACGCACTTTAATGGTTTAATCCCCTCCAACCTGGATTCGTTCGGTAGGTACATAGGAGGGAGACGCCGATTGTTATGAACCAAGAACGTAGGTGCGCATAGTAAAGTACGGCGAGGGCACTGCTTATGTGAGCACCTAGGGCACCTAACCTCAACCCCCCCCTGTCCCCCCCCTAACTTCCTTACCACAACCACCTACCTTAGGTACCTAGGTACTTACCTTAGGTGTCTCTTCCGCCGGCAGAGGTCTCAGATCAGCCCAACTAGTCCCCTGTACCTCACCCCAACCTCTAACCGGATTAGGCGATTTTGCCGAGCTTTTTCCCTGTCAACCAAACTTTATCCCTGTTTCGTACAAGGGTTATTAAATTCTCCTTTCTAACTACCGTACGAACGTGCACTTGATTTATTCTTTTTCGCGATTAAAAGTTGCCCTAGAAGCATTCGGGTAATAGTTAACTAATCGGTGGTGGTGGTGGTGGTGGTTGTGGTGGTGGTTTGGTGGTGGTGGTTTAGTGGTGTAGTTGACTTGGTGGTGCTAGTTGACTTGGTGGTGCAGTTGACTTGGTGGTGGCGGTGGTAGAGGCTTAAGTAATCAAAAGGATCTTACCCCAACCAACTAGTGGAGTAAGGTCGTAGGAAAGAGCCAATAGAATCTTTAGGAAGCCGCGACCCGCTTTGGGGTGAGGTTCAGGGGACTAGTTGGGCTGATCTGTAGACTCCTTATCTTCCACTCTCTGATGCTTCTAGGATAAGGCGTTGTAGCGCTTATTGGCTCGTATTTACTGGGTACCTACCTAGCTATGGAGTCTTCCTAAGGTAGCCAGCCGCAACCATAATACACTCGGTTGCGCAGCCTTCGTCGAGAACGTTCGTCCGCCGAGCGCCTTTGCCGGTCCGGAGCAACCCCCGTAGTACTGCAATACCGCCTATACCGTGCCTTACCATTTGAGAGTTCGTTCGCGAAGCTAGCCCCCGGCATAGGGCGTGCAAACGCAGATGGGCTCTTGGTGGTTTGGTATTGGCGTGAGAAGAGGGCGTATCTCGTGCGTCGATGATAGAAGAAGACATAGGTGGAGGCGCCTCCCTATTAGGGGAGGATATGTAGGCAAGAAGAGACTGGCCGACGTCCCGGATCGTCCCCTCCATTCTCTCGCTCTCGCTCCACGCCTCGCCTATGTCCCTTCACCACACCGAGACATTGAGGGCGCCGCCCTGCTCGACCGCCGCATCGCACCGTCGGCACGCGCGGTCCACACCTCGGCCCAGAGAGGACCAGGAAATCGCCGCATCCATGCGGTCGGTGGGTAGGTACGTGTATTTGGTTAGCCCAGAAGCGACGCGGTGATCGAAAGCCGCAGCGTGGGAGGAGGGAAAGGCCTCCTCTGGCCTCCTGCAAGCCACGTCTCATCACCTCGCAGGACTAAGGAGGGACCGGGAGAAGCAAGGGGAGTCGAGGGACGAAGTGCCGAATTTGTAATTGTGCGCTTGCCACCGTCATCTTTCTTCTTCTCTTCCCTTCGCTGCGAACCCGAAAAGCCGGATTCGACGAGGAGTCACTCCGGCACTCCGGCGCCACAGCACTCTAGCCAGCGCATCGCTACGTGCATACGCATGCTACCCGCTCGCGTGTCTACCTCCCGAATCTACCTACGTTATAGTAGGTATTTTTGACTAGCATAGCCAGGTAGGTATATCCAGGTCTACCTACCTATGTCTGTCTATCTACCTACGATTAGGCGTGCCCCCACCGAGTAAAGAAGCTGGAGGCCATAAGCAGAGAGTTCATTCATATATACCTAGGTAACTAGGGAGAGGGGTAGGATTGCGTGAGAACCTAGCTGGGGGCAAAGCGTGATGATGGTATCGCCGGTCTCCCACGTACCGTCCACGTTGCCCAATGGGAGTTGGGAGGCGCGTTACCGATCCATGCAAATAAACGTCATGAGATACGCCCTGCCTAGTCTCGAAGCTGATTTGTAGCCAAAGCTACGGTTCCGTCCGTGCCAGCCTGGCACGATTCCTACGGCTTCTATACGATACGCGAGTTCCCTTGGACAGATCGAGAGGATACGGCTAGCGAATTGACCTGCGCTCCTTCGCACTCCTACGAGATCGCTCGAGTTTGAACGTGTATGTGTGCCTCATGATTCTTATTCGTGAGGGGGCTGGCTGGCTAGCCTAGTCTGCCATCATTGCGACTGGCGAAGAAACCGATGTGTAATCACCTGCTCTCCTAACGTAAATGCTGTTCCCCGACAAGGTAAAATCGTGTCCCAAGAAATAATAAACCAAATAGCCACTTCTCTAATGGGACCTGCTGACTTCATGCGTCCCCCGACTTCCCATTCCCTCTGTCAAGCGCCCATGAACTCCCGAGAGGCGTATCGAGACCACCCGAACGTCTTCCTCGCTATATAGGTATATGCAGAAAAAAAATTTGGCTGGATTGGGCGATCATCCCGCCATCTAACTTGGTCCCATCACCCTCTAAGTCTATGCTCTACATGCCCAAGAGGCTCATCTGTCTTCGTAAAGGACTCGCGCTATTGCTGCCGTCTTCGCTCGCGTAGTATGCCGAGTCCGTGTCGATGTCCCATTCTGGTTCGTCTTCCTCGCTGGAGCCACCCTGGGCCGACGACTTGCTGTCAAAGCCCTTTTGGGTCGCGGCTCGCGTGTTCCACTGGAGTGTGCGCGACACGCTGTCGAACCATTCGGTTCCGGTGCGCATGACAGTAGGGAATGGGTACTGGGACGCCGTGATGGTTACGCAGTCACCTTGCTTCAGTTCTACTCGGCCCTTTCCGTCGAAGGCGCAGTAGGCCGTAGCACGCGAGTTGCGCGGGATGGAAACACGAAGAAGCATCGTATCGCTAAGCACCATCGGCCGGAAGGACAAGGTGTGCGGGCAGATTGGGGTAAGAAGAATAGCAGGCAGGTCGGGGCTGACTAAGGACCCGCCCGCGGAAAGCGAGTAAGCCGTCGATCCTATCCGATAAGTTAGCCCTGTTACGCCAATCAGGCAAGCAATGGAGAGGGGCACGAACCGGTGGGAGTGGAGAAGATGCAACCGTCCGCCTGGACAACTGTCAACAGCTCGTTATCGCCGTAGAGCTCCAGGTTAGACACGTAGGGAGACGGGCCGCGGTCGATCACGAGCTCGTTGAGGACCTCGAACTGTTCGCCCTCTTCCATATCTTGGCCTTTGGCGCCGTCACGGTAGACGGTGCACGTGAATCGCATGCGAAGATTGACACGCATGCCCTCGTCGCCCATGATCCTGTTGAGATGCTGCTTGTACTTCTCGAACTCGAAGCTCGTTAGGAAACCCAGACTGCCCAAGCTGAAAGACAGGACGGGCGGGACAATCCTCTGGAAGAGCCAGGACGTAAACAGCACGGTCCCGTCCCCGCCGAGGGTCAAGACTAGATCAAACCTCTCGGGGTGGCTCCAGCAGAGGTCGGGAGACCAGTAGCGGAGCATGGACTCGAAGCGAGGATCCTCGTCGACGATGCTGGAAGCACCGAAGCGCTTCGAGTTGCGCAGCTTCGCGTCGACGTAGACGGTGACTCCAATGTCCGAGCCGTAGCGAGGGGTGCGGAGCAGCCACATGGTCAATTCCCGAGTCAGGTAGACGAGCTCATTGTCGCGGGCCTTAGTGACAATCATGACGCTACGCACGGCGCGGCGGATGGGCCGGCGCTGCAGCTGCTTCGACACCTCGCGCACGCCGGTGGCGGTCTGCACGAGCCTCGAGTGCGACATCCACTCGTCGCTCTTGATTTCCTCGAGCACCTTCTCGATGTCGACGGCGTCGTCGAAGCGGTTGTGGTAGAAGCAGGGCGATTGCAGTGAAGGGAAGGCGGTGGTTGGGGTCAGGTTGCGGGCAGCGAGCTCCGATAGAGCGTCGGAGAGCTGCTGCGACGAGGTAGGGCGCTTGTCAGCCATGCTGTGTGCCGATAACATGCCGTTCAGAGAGAGCGCTTCGGGTTTGTTGCTGCGTGCGACCGAGGCGAGCGCTTTCATGATGGTCTGGCGAGGGACAGATTCCACCGAGGGTGCGTTCTTACGGTGGCCACGCAATTGAGCCTGGGAGAGAGCGTCTGAGGGCTTTAAGGTGAGAGCGACGGGCTCCGCATTGGCGTCGTCGCAATCTGCATTGTGCAGCGGCGGGCGAGAGTGGGAGGGAAGAGACGCTGGGGCGTCGGAGTTTGTGGGAGAGGAGGTGGATATGGACTGTCGCAGGGGGCCTGGAATGCTGGGAGATGCCTTGGTGGTAGCGGACCCGACACCGATCCCGACGCCCCCGTCGCTGTCAGCTGCAGCAGCTACTTCGACCGCACTAGAATCCTGCGCAGCGCTGCTGGTACCGGGCTTGCTCAATGTGGGATGAACCCCCATCCCGGTGCTGGGCGAGGTCATCATGCCTAAATAAGCCATAGCTCCACAGGCTCCTTGTGCGTGGTACCCAAGTACAGACGAGAGAGCGAGAGAGCGAGAATACGTGCGCGACCTACTCGGTACGGTCCAACAGGAAAAGCCGAAGCCGCTGCACACACCTCTTGAATCTCGGGGTGGAGGTGGGTTGCGCTGCGCTGTGCGTGCGTGCTATTTCCGAACCCACGCAGGATTGCGCTGGGATTCAGATTAGGACGGCTTAGGAGGGGCCGGCCGCTTCGTGATTCGACAGCTGTGGCTTTGGTCTGACTAATGAGCCCGAGGATGCGGAGAGAAGGCGGACGACTCGGCACTGCGGGCTAGAATGTGGTCTCTGGTCAGCTCGCCGTCTTCCCCGTCGCAACCTTCATTCTGCCCAGCAACAGCGAGACAGCACGAGACGCGCATACGAGCGCGAGGGGGGCCCGTACCGGCCGGCCTGGAGCCCCCCACACGCGCGCAGCCCAGCATGCACTCGATAACAGGTTCGAGCAGGACTGTTATAAGCGCTGCCCCCGCTTGGGCAAATCACGATCGAGAACACTTACAAGACTATTCCCAAACGGAGCGCTAACCCTGCGATGTCGAGTGACGGTACGTGACTTGTGATGCCGTCGCAGCGGTAATCCCCCGGGAGACGGAATTGGTGGCAACTCGTGGGTGCGGCGTCTTGGCTACCTTTTGTGTCGTCGAGGACAAGGTCCGAATGCTGCGAGATCCCGCTCGATTCGACGAATTGAACTAGGTATGGTATTAAACGGCGGCAGCCACAAGGCCGAGGTCGATGTGTATAGCTGGGACGGCCGGCAGGAGATATGTCGGACAGGGAGAAGGCCGTGAGCGTCTGGGTTAATGGAGGTCCGACGAACGCAACGACTGGATGGAGACGAAAGACGAGATGAGTGCGGAGGTCTATGTGCAGCAAGCCTATTATAAGTAACGACAGAGGAACTCTAGTTCGACTCTACGACGAAGGAAATTATATATATAACGAAGGAGTGGGGAACGAGGGTTAGATGGATGGTTGATTAGGGAGACGAAGCTGCCAGGCTCAGGAATAAGTCCTAGATGCAAAGACTGCGGGAGGTCAGTTTGCAAGAACTTCCAGAGCTCTACCACACGAACAGCTTGAAGGGAAAGGAACGAAAAGGAGAAAAGAGGCTTGGGTCTAGGTGACTGAAGGATTCAGAGACAGGACACCGGAGAAGCTCTCTCTCTCTTATTTCGTGCCAAATCTGGCATCCTTATTAGGACGATTAGATCATAGCTGTGCTCGGGGCGGATAAGGCAATGGAGATGGAGGACCGTCAGGTGGGGATGCTGAGGTTGGTCGAGAGGTTGCTCCAACAGGCTCGGGACTCCGCGCATGGACTGCGGAGTAGCAGCTAGGTGGGGCCTGGTAAGGGTCCCGGACAGGCCAGGTGGGGTCGCCAAGTACGTACCCAGGTACAGACATTTAGCAACGTACATGGGTACGCGGGTACATGAAGGCGTGCTCGTGCAGCGACGGGAACTCGGCTCAAACAGAGGCGAGAGAAGAAAAAAAAAAAGCCACGGATAAATTTGGAAAGAAAAAAAAGAGGCAGGATGAAAGGGGTGGAGGAGGGGAGGGGTGCAGCAGGAAGGAAGAGGGAGGATGCACGCACGAAGCGCTCATAGCCTGGCTACCTATGTAAAAATCGGCCATGGATGGCTTCGTACGCGGTTTGGTAGGTAGGTGGTAGTGAGGGCGCGAGAGATAAGAGTAAGCTGTGCGCCGCGACTCTTCCTTCTGTCTAAAAACACTAGCCAATGTCGAAGCGGGAGGCTGCCCACGATGCAGGTCTTTCGGGAATCATGAACAGGAGCAACTAAAAAGGAGACAATACGTGGCCGCCGGTTTGACCCACCGCATACTGGGCTTCTCCTGTTTTCCTCAACGGATTCCGCGATGCGTCTTCGCGTCAGGTCTCACGTCGCAATCCTCAGACAGGGGAGGGGGAGGTAAGCGAAACGACGCGTCAGGGGGTTCTAGACTCGTCTCATCTTTCCAGCCCGCAACGCAGGGCCCGCAGAAGCTTCTTGCAGGAGCTTGTCGCTATCTCGTATCGCCTCCTCGTCCAACTGGTCAATCGCTGGGATGGCCCGCGGGGATCTTTGAGCCTCCTTGATCTGCACCGCATAATACCGAGTTGTTTTGGGGCCTCACTTGAGAACGAATCCTGCGTCTGGCGCTCCGCCGAGCAAAACGCCCTCCCTGGCGGAGATCACACATCCCGAAGTGATCATTAGCCGCCCGTTCTCCCGGAGCACAGTCCCCGTTGGATCACAGAATACCCCCCCAAAGGCTAGCGAGCTTGTCCCTTTTGTCTCTTCGGCGCGAGTCGGCACTTGGCAACAGTCCTGGCCGACGAACCATCGCTACCAGCTACACACGCGACTACTTGCAAAACACTCGACACTGTTGTTGCTGCCGCTGCTGAAAGAACGCCATGTTTTTTTTTTTTTTGCCTGTGTCTTTTTCGTTGCTACTGCACTCGGACTCGGGGATGTATATAGTGGTGAGCGAGCGGGAGGATGAAACGACGCCCTTATTTTATCGGCGCGGTTCCTAGGCGTAGGTAGCCCTGTAGGAGTCGTTAATAAACCTAGCTCGACCAGTCAAGCCCTCGGCAAGCGTTGGCACAGTGTCCATACCTGATCCAGAGCTGACTAGGAGGAACAGCGCTTATCCACCCGACTGCCAAAAAACTCCATTGGATCAACATCTGCCACAGTAGTACACAGACAAGGACCGACAACCCAGCCGGTTGATCCACCACATCTGGCAGGAGATCCTGAACATCTTCCTCGCATCAATGCATTCCCTTTGGGGGCGCGAGGCGTAACCGAGCGACACAGACCAGCGGTCTGGCGCCCCCGCCATGCAAATCCAGCCAGTCATATTCGCAGGGCGCGCCCCGTGGTACAAAGGTCAACACAGGAGAATAAGGCTCCACAATCGAAAAGGAGGTTGAGGCGAGTTTTGATCACTTCCAATACAAATCTGAGGCTATCTTTTCCTCAAGAACCGATCGGGTGAAATGCTTCAAGTCCGCGCCGGCCGGGCCGTCATCGTCCATCAAAGTATCGCCGTCGTCGACGTTGCCCGTCGGGCAGCATTGACGATGGGCGAGGGTATACCCATCGTCCCACTCCTTCATGGTGAAGATTCCCTCGCTTTGGGCAAGTACTAACTCGTCGTGCGAGGTGAAGGAGAAGACGTGGAACGATTGCGAGGTCTCGATCTCTCGTGGCGAAGGGTCGACGACGATGTTCCTCGATCCGCCGTCGGCGAGGATGGCCAAGGAGGTCGACGTCAGCGTCGCCGTCAGCGGGACGGCGGCGGAGAGCAGGGACAGTACGGCCGTCTGCAGCAGAGCAGGTAGAATAGGCAGATTCTAAAGCATTACGCAGTCAGCATCCTCCCCATCGCCAACGTGTTGCGTTCCCGGGAAGTATGCGACGTACCGAACTGGCCTGGACGACCTTGGTGTTCACATATTCGTTCTCCGGAGCCGTGGTGACTTGCAGGATGACCTGGATCAGAGTGCGCGGGAAGTTGTTGACGAGGATGATCTGGCGCAGGGTCGACTGCACCAGGGACTCCAGGTGCCGCTCTCTTGTACCTAGAGAATAAAAAAAAGGACGTTCAGCGATGTTTAAATAAGCTTCAGTAAATTACTCGAAGGAAGTCGAACCTCCAACCCCTGCAGCTGGTCGTACGATCACGTCGACGACCGCCTCCTCCGGGAGCTCGTCTCGTCTTTGCACCTCGATGGGCCCATTCACTGCCCCGACCACAGTATAGCCAGCATAGGCGAATGTAGCAGATCCGTCTGCATTGGGGAGGTGGGATAGCGAGGCTTCGGGCGCAGTTCCAGCAGCCATCTCGACCGAGTTCACGATAGCCCGCCTTAGTTACGGATTTGGTGTAGGCGTGGAGGTGAGGTGATGCTTGAACTTTTTTTTTTCTGGAGCCACCAACTGCTTACTGGGCTGCTGGACATAGCCTACCTACCTGTGTACCTACCTAAGGTATGCGCTACCTACCTCTACCTAGAGGTACCCTAGGAGGTACCTACCTAATGGTACGTATCGTGCGTGCCTACAGACAGGTACCATAGAACCTATCCGTAGGTACCTAGGTACCTAAGAGGAGGTATGCAAGGTACCTAAGAATAAACTGAAATGTGCCTGCTACCTAATGTGCCTGTATGCATTCAAGCATGTACCTACATACTTACCTCTAGGAGGAGGAGGTACCCAGGTATTTCAACCCCCTCCTTCTTGTACCTTGTACAGGCAAGCACTTTGTGTGATGCTATTATTCAATGTACCTACCTAGGTAGGTATCTATGCAATTCTAGTGGCGATACGATGGAGGCAGGTACACGTCCACCCAACCTTACTAATCGGTGATCAACCCATTTTGGCACTCATGGTATGCCTTTGAACTTCCTACTCGCAATCCTTCCATACATATTTTACACTACGACCTCCGTAGACATCGCCATCATCGTCACCCAGGACTGACAGACCATGGCCACGCAACACCTTCCGTCGACGATACCCAACCTCAAGGATAAGATACCCAGGCTGGAACCACGCCGGCGGCGGCCGGTGCCTTCGAACCCTATCCCACTTCCAGACACGCCCTCCCTACCGCCGCCACCAGATACATCATCTCAGACGTTCCAGGTTCCTACTCGGCGAATCCTTTCCGCTCGTGACCACCAGCTCTTCCTCTCCTCCCCTACGTACAACCTCATCACAGCGTTCGTCTTTGGCCTCTCGGATGCTGTAGTGGACACCCCGGTCTCTGCTGTGAAGGATGACGATTGCAGCCCCGTCATCAAGTCGATTCTGAGCATCCTCGACGAGGCGGAGGCTCTGGTCCAGGCCACCCCCCCGGACGACGCGGAAGGATCGAGGTTTGGCAACAAGACTTTCCGCACCTTTCTCGACAAGGTCAAAACCGCCAGTCATGCTTGGCACCAGAAGCTTGGTATATCATCCCAGGATACGATCTCCGAGGTGGAAACCTATCTCAACCAGTCGTTCGGCAATCGTACCCGGATAGACTACGGCTCCGGCCACGAACTGAATTTCATCGTATGGCTGCTATGCTTATATCAGCTACGGATCGTGGCCAGGGCCGATTTCAAGTCGTTAGTCTTAAAAGTCTTCCTCCGCTATCTGGAGCTCATGAGAGCGATCCAGTCGACGTACTACCTTGAGCCAGCTGGCTCGCATGGTGTTTGGGGTCTGGACGACTACCAGTTCCTCCCCTTCCTGTTTGGCGCCAGCCAACTCCTCCACCACCCCTTCATCACACCCCTGGCGATACACCAGGAACTGACGCTCGAAGAATTTGGCGACGACTATATGTATCTCGGACAAGTGAGTTTCGTCAACAGCACAAAGACGGTCAGGGGCCTGCGATGGCACAGTCCTATGCTGGATGATATCTCTTCGGCCAAGAGTTGGAGCAAGGTGGAGGGCGGTATGCGGAAAATGTTTGTCGCGGAGGTTCTCCGAAAGTTGCCGGTCATGCAACATTTTCTGTTCGGTTCGCTCGTCCCTGCGGTAGAGGGAATGAGCACCGAGGCCGAGATAGGCGCGTCAAACGACGAAGACGAGCTCGGAGATGGAACGATAGTTGTTGAGCACAACGGTGTAAAGCACTTACATAACCTTAATAGTTGGGGTGACTGCTGTGGTATTAAAGTGCCTAGTGCTATCGCAGCTGCGCAGGCGACGAGGAAGAATGGCGGAGAGACGCTACGCCGGATACCTTTTGACTAAGATATCGGACGGGCTCCCCTCTCAACGATGACCACTTTCGCGGTTCGGCCAATTATAGAGACTGACAGGGCACGATTAAGTACAACACGACATGACAATAATGTGCAACTGTCCACCTTGAACCAGGAGCCGAACGTTATGAATACCACGGCTTAACTCAAAGTTTCGTAACAACCTAGCGAGTATCCACGGAGCCAAACGAGACTGATACCATTTGCCACAGGATTCCAGCGAAGGGGTATATTTGGCTGGACACAAGCCCTCCGTCTAGTGAACCAAATGCGTTCGTTGCTTTTCAGATGACGGCGGAATACATAGGGCTACGAACGACCGTAGCGCGAGTTGTACACGTGGTCCCAAAAAGCCACTCTCTTCATACACAATTTTAGGTGGCCCGGCCAGTCTGTACCTCTCCGTTTACAGCCGGGACCACGACCCTAATAGACGCCGAACTCTGTTATTTACCTTCAAATAAGGCTTTCTTCCCCCTCCCCCGACCACCCTTGCTCGGTTTAAAAAAAAACCCATAGAACGACAGCTATTAATAGAACATAGTATATACACATGTCGCACGGCCAGTCGCCTTATCTAATGGCGAGGACTTAGTAAGGCCCACGGGAGGGCAGGCCCCGATCGGGCCGGGGTGGTTTGCGAGTCCGAAGGAACGGAGGGTAGAGGAAACGATAATGCGTTCAAAGGGGCAGAGAAGCCCCGGAGGGCACTGGAGTAACCTCATATATTATTCAGACATTTAAGTACTATATACTATCCCTGCCGCGAGAGCTCATCCTCCCTGTACGAGCGGGGCGACGATGTCGGCGGGAACGAGGACCGACATATACACAAGGTCGGGCACCCTCTGGCCAGTGTATTCCGAGTTCGGTCGTACGTGCCCGCCGCATCTGGGCCGGATGCCTACCCCTCCACCGCGGACTTAAGACACACTTGGATAAACAGCGGTGGGCATCGTTCGCATACTTTCCCTGCCCTGCCCTCCGCGGCAGCTCAGCTGTCCTGATACACCTTCATGAGCCCGGACCGCATGCGGCGCCGGGCCTCGGCGTCGAGCTGCCGGCGGTTCTCGAGGTCGGCGACCTGGGCGCGCAGCTCGGCGGCCGTAGCCTCGGCCTGCCGCGCTGCTTCACGCGCCGCGTCGCGCCCGCGCTCGAGCCCGCGCGCCCGCGCCTCGTGCCGCTCGAGCACCGCCCGCAGCGTCCGCGCGTCCGCGGGGGGCCCGGCGCCGCCTGCGAGCAGCGCCAGGATGTCGTGCGTGAGGCCACTTTTCGGCGTCGGCGTGGTGGTGGCCGGCGCCGGGGGCGAGGAGGCGGCCGACGAGAACGAGTCCCCCGCAGGCTTCGGCAGCTTCGCTGCCCCTGCCGCCGCCGCCTCGTCCACGAACAGCACGCGACGCACCGGCTTCTTCGTCAGCGGCGTCGGCATCCCGTCCGAGGCGACGACGTGCGTCCGGGCGGCCGCAGGCGTCGCGAACGCGCCGCGCGGCTCGCCTCCTCCCGAGACCAAAGACGCGGCTACAGTAGGGGGCTTGCTGGAGCTGTCGGCGAGCGTTGCGAGGAACTCCTCTTCGCCCGACGAGAAGTTGCCGTAGTCGTCGTTGTCGTCGTCGAAATCGTCGCGCTTCCTTTTGAGGGACGTCGTCTCCGCCCCCGCGGCGGGGCTCGCGGCGGTAGCGGAGAGGGCGCGGCTCAAGTCGGCGATGCTGGTGACGGGGGTCTTCTCGTACCACGGGCGCTTCTCCTTGCTCGGGGTTATGCTCTCGTGGAGCGTGCGCTGGCGCTGGCGCTTGTGCCCGGGGCCGTTGGTCTCGGTGCGCGAGTTGCTCATGAGCGAGCCCATCTCGCGCCGGCGGGCGTCCTCGGCCCAGAGGAAGAAGCCGCACTTGTTCTTCTTGTTGCGGTCCTTCTGGCAGGTGTAGAACGACCGGCCCTTGTTGGCCGACTCCTTCTTGGCCTGCAGCGACACGGCGGGCAGGCGGGGGATGCAATTACCTGGGGGTTCGCGCGGGAAGGTCGGGTTAGCGGCAGGCCGGTCGCGGCGCGGACGGAGATGGGTCGGGGCTAAGGCGCTCCGGGTCGGTGCTTACTTACAGTGCCAGACGCCGTTTAGGAAGCACCCGTTGAGCGGAACTTTGCCGGACGGCGTGGCGGGAGCATCCGCTGGCGGCATGGCGCGCCACCGGAGAGCTTCCCAACCTAAAGGTGCCTGATCCCGGCCCTGGCGTCCGAGGCAATCTGGATAGGGGGTATGCCTGCACGTAGCTGTCGGCGCAAGGGAGGGAAATAAAGGTAGAGGTATCGAAGAGGTCGCGACCTCGTCGTCGTCTCAGGCTAGTAAGCTTGCGTCGTAGGCTGGGAGATTGCTGGTGCTGCTCTGCTGGTCTCGAGGACGTGTATGTATCGTCAGCCTTCAAGTTGTCTCGTCCCATACGACATCAGATTGGAGAGCGGGGCTGCCCGTCGTTATTATAGGAGAGGTAGGTACTCAGGAAGAAGCCCATCCCCTAAGAGGTACATAGAGAAGTACCCTCATTCCTCCTGGAAAACTGGTTTGATTTATGTACCCATAGATGTACTTCTTGCGGGCACTGACGGGCGCTAGAAGCCACGGGTACCTATGCAGGCTGCATCAACGCGTAGAGTTATATGAAGGCACTACCTTAAGTACCTATAGGTAGTGCACATGTACATGGAATGTGCTCAAGGTACTTGTGGGGGGCTGGGGCTGGACCCGGGGCTGAAGTGGAGCTAAAGGCCAAAAATGCCCAAGGCATACTTGTGCGTGTTGGCGGTTCACTTTCGGGGCCTCGCTGCCTTAATTGTAAGGCATACAAGACGTGTTGAAAGCCGAACCTGTTATTGTTCAATTGAGGAAATAACTACCTAGCTACTGGAAACAGCTTCAATACAGCGTTTTAGGGTTAATTGACAGTTGTGCGTTTTTCGTCAATCTAATCAATCACAGGCCTCCATTCTGGATGCCTGAGGGATCCACACCACGCGGTATTGCTACATATTACTTCTATATTACTTCTACCTCCGCTCTCGTAGTATACGGGTGGTTGCGTGCTAGTATTAATTACCTACCTACCTAGATACCTTATCGTAAGGTGGAGGTCCCGATGTAGTAATGGGACTCTCCCTTTGTAGGTACTCACATAAACCCGCGAGCAAAACACCCAAGAGGCATACGGAAGGAATACACGAAGTTAGCGTCATCGGGTAAGACTGAGAATCAGCCGCTCAGCTGCCACACCTGACGAGCAGATATCTCCCACTAAAGCTGGTTAAAATACTTAATATAAGGACGATAAACTAGGGCGTTCCTTATCCCTGCCAGTGGGCGTCCCGACGATAAAACCGAGTGGATGGTTCCGGCGGAAAGACAGAGGCAGCCAGCGAGGTGTGTAGGCACTAAAGCGAGCCTCTACGGTCCGGGAGCCGCAGGTGGTAAAGCGCCAAGTTCACAGCATAGAGATGGTAGTAATGCTGATGTTGGGCAGTTGGTTGCAGACATAATATTCTTTCTCGTTCTCTCTCTCGTCCACTGCTCACTCTCTCCCTCTGGTTCTCCCAGCATCGTCTCCGTTTCGTCGTGGGTATATTTCCAATGCATAAAACAAACACAACATGGTATCCTATCTTCGGAAAACGCGGACAACTCCCATGCCTCCCCCCCCCCACTAGCAGCCCCCTTCCCGTGCCATACAACTTGGGGACCGATGCAATAGATGCCACTTCAGCCCGCGCCCCCGTAACGCATGTTGTACAAAGAACATGTCGGCTCGCCCCGTCTCCGTTCCGACCGCCACCGTGCCAGATAATGCGTACAACCCACTTCTTCTCCCTTTCCCCACACGCCCTCGCCTGCTCGTACAATCGTACAAAGACGCCGTATCAGATGTCGTACCAGTAGTCGTCGTCGAGCCCTTCCCTGCTCGGCACCACACCGGCATCTTCCGGCGGCCCGGCGTAGGTTGCCTCCATCCGGACGTTGAGGAGCCTGATCTTCAACCCGTAGTCTCCGATCAGCTTTATGAGCTTGTTGGTTTCTGCCGTTATCGGTGCCTGGTTGAGCAGCATCAGCAGGCCGTCGAGCCACTCCGACGCTAGACTGTGAGTTAGAGGATGTAGGGTGAGTAGCGGCTGCTCTTTTGCGTCGGCCGCGTCGCCGTTTTTCTGCGTGTCGTCCGGGTCCGCGAGGCCGTAAATCGTGATCTTGGTGTTATTGCTCGTTTCGCCACCGGCCTCGTTGGATGAGGCGAACACGTTCGACGCGACGGAGCTGACCTGCTGCAGGTCTAACATCTCCCCGAGGGCCTCCAAATTCGGCTCCTGGGCGGTCCGCAAGGCGAAATCGGCATAGTGTAGATGGCGGCGGTTGTGCGATAGCTTGGCGTATCGCCAGAGCGTCCCATTGGCCGCACGACGGCTTTGGAGTGCCGTCCCTTGGCTATCCTTGCGCGGTGGCGGCTTCGAAAACCAAGCACCTTGCAGCAGGCATCGGATACGTTGCTCCTTGATAAACGTGAGGGCTTCTTGGTTGAGGCCTTCCCGCACCTTGTAGAGATACTGACCCCATTGGTCGTCGAATGAGAGCTCCAGGAGCTCCATCTGAAGCTCACGCAGCCTTCCGAAGTCGTACTCCATCAGATCTTCCTCAACCTCCAGGATATCCTTCGATCGTCCGGCCTGCCCTACCACCTGGTCGACGAGGATGCGAACAAGCTCAGCCACCTTTTCGAAATCATCTTGCTCCGCGCCCGTGGACTTCCACAGCTTGAAAAATGCATTGAGACCGCAAGAGTGCACCCTAGACCACTGGAGAAGTAGCGGGCGAAAGAGCTTGTCCTGGTGCTTCCCGTCCGATAGCTGATATCCCCTCAGATCTTCTATCTCGGACCTGTCGCAGTCGAAATGCTCGTACAAGATGAGGGTCACCGCTAGACTGGCCCGAGCGACGGGACAGCGTTCATGCAGCGGTCGGGTGGACTGCTCCAGGAGCAACTTCTGGAACCCGTCCTCGTTCTTTCGCACGTAGTCAGCGAGGTCCATCAGGCCTAAAAAGCCTATGCTCTGAAACTCGCCTGCCGGGCTCTCGGTCTCAAAGCCCAGCCTTCTCCACTTCTCAGGGTTGTGTCTTCGGCTTCCCTTCTTGCCATATTCCTGGAGCTCTTCGATCCTGCCGACTCCATTCACGTGGTCCCGATTTGGCGCGCTTGCGAGGTGGAGTCCCTTTAGTGCCCTTCTGTGCTCCGGGCGTTCGACGTCGACCTGCACCGCGCGCCACTTCTGAAGCAGGACCTTGGTCAGGGACTGAAACTCCAAAAGAGGGTGGGCCAGGTCTTGCAGCGCCGAACCCTGCATGAGGTTGTATACCGCCTTGATCAGACCTAGATCCTGCAGCTTCCGGATGAACTTGGGCCATTCTTCCCCCGTGCCACTCATCCTGCTGTTCTCGGTTTGTTCGCTAGACACGGCATCTCTAATGAGAGCGTTGATGAGCATGAGGGCGTTGGCACAGAGGGCGTGATCTGCCGAATGCAACTGCTGGATGACGAGGTCGAAAAACTGCGGGTAGACGGCCACGGCGGGTTTCAGCGCGCGGAACCCAAAGGTCACGGACGGACGCGCGGGGGACGGGCCCGTGGTAGACTGCGAATGGCTAACGAGCCCGACGAGAATGGACATGGCACCGCGGAGAATATTGACGAGGGGGTTAGTGACGATGAGCTCGACGACGCGCTCGACGAGGTCGCCCGCCGTCGGACCTTCGAAGATATCCCAGCCCATGTCTACCTCGAGTAACCGACTCAGGCTCTGCAGCGAGTATGCGAGCGTATTACCGCCGGTGCTCATGATCAAGCGCCGGAGTATGATGAGACCGCCGGAGGAGATGAAGACGTCGGCGAAGGAGGGGTCGTTGATGGAGGATTGCAGTTTGAAAACGGCCATCTTGCGCGCGGCGTCCTCGTCGCTAGCCAGCCGCGACAGCAGCGCCGGTATGTCGGCCTGGTCCATGGTTGTGGGTTGGGAGCGCGCGAGTTAGGATCGGGAGGGATAGCGAAAGGGACTGCGGAGGGATCGCGGCAAGGGAGATCAGCCGCCGTAGAAGCTAATCGCCCAAGGAATATATCAGCTTGAGCCAACGCGACGTAACCAGCGAGCGAGCAGGGACGGTCTCAGCGGAACACCACGGCGTCGAATCGATGCATAATCCGAAGGGGGCCAGTGCAGCTGCAATCGCCAGCGAACCTACGGGCCGATCAGCGATCGGGATGGACGACGGCGTGGGAGCGAAGAGAAGAGATGAGCGATGCGATGGAGAAGCGGTAGGATGGGTGGATGGGTGAACGGGCATCTGCGTCGGCGCAAGAGGGCAAGGTATGTGGGTGTGTCGAGGTTTCTCCAGCTGCTTACCGCGTTCCTCCCAATTGGAAATGGAAAGGGGAACCCAATGTGGGGGTTGGACCCTGTTCGGGTGTACCTGGGTACGCGCATGTGTAAGTTGCTGTGCCTTCCCGTCGGTTGACCTCATTTCCTGCGCGTGCACCTGCAGAGTCTAACTCTATATGCATATACCCTGCATAGAGGCAGGTGCTGTCTAAGTATTTATAAGGTAGGTAGGTACCTAGGTACGCGTTGTGTGCTATGTACACGTATGGGTATATACAGGTACATTCGGTAGACATGTGCGTTGGATGCAGAGGCCTTTTGTACATGCCTAAACGTAGTTCTACCTAGGTACGGTAGGTATTACCTGCCCAACCTCTAGGCTAACACGCTGGTGCCTCCTGCCAAAATGTATATAATTACATTAATATACTTGCAACGGGCAGGTACCTGTTAGCCTGCCCTATCCTACCTTACGTACCTCCTACCTTACCAAACCCCCCGACCTTAGGTAAGGGCAGGTACCTACCTATCTACTATGGAGGTATGTGCTAGCACTTGAATAACGGCCCGGTTAGGCACATACCTGCCTTACCATACTCATATACCTAGGTACCCATGTACCTACATCGTGTAGCAGGTACTTATGTAAGGGGCGAAGGAGTAAAGTAAGTGCCTGCGTAACATCTGTCACACCCACAACTCTATAACTCTCCCTACATAAGGGTAGCTGCATCTCCTCGACACCCTCTTTCCCTCGAGCCTTCGGACAGTCTGTCACGTCGCCAGCACAGCCGCTCCGCCTGGAGTCCGCCGTCACGGCTCCCTTGTGATAGTAGGTGTGTGGGCTTCTCTGGGACCGTACAACTGATCAAGGAAGAGAGACTTCTTTTCACATCGAGAAACATCGCTAAAGGGTTCATTATGGGTAATTTATACACTCATACCGCTGAGACACCACACGCGGGACACACGCGTGGCTAGTAACAACACGTTCGTAAGCAGATCATATGTAGTTATAGGGCGACTTATACGGTTGACAAGGTATGTAGAAATCCCCACCGACGTGCCCTAGCTGACATCTACACGATGGGAAGAGCCTGGTTAGCTCGGTCCGTCGCGAGAGATATCTTCGTATCTCGGAGGGATCAGCGTTGGAGTAGATTACTATCATGTGCCGCTCTCTGCGTAGAATCTCTGACGTTATATGTCTCCGAAACCCTCCGCTCTCCGCCCTCAAATTCAAGTTATCGGAAAAAGGGGTATCAACTTCCACTAACTCCGTGTCTGCCGCCCCTCCCTCTCGCTCCCTGTCCCTTTACAGAAGGTGGAAACCTTCTTAATTATTAGTGCCGTGACAGAAAGTATCCGGGCCTACGCCGCCTCGCTCGTGGCGGGCGCCTTCTCGAGATCTTCGCTGTGGTGGGCGTCGGCGTGGACGTCCTCGCCGCGGGCCTTGCGGTTGAGCACAGCCTCGATCTCGGCCTCGAGGCGGGAGCCGCCCTTGCGCGTCTTCCAGGCGGCGGGGGCTCCCTTGGCGAAGAGCGGCTCGATCTCCTCGATCGTCTTGCCGCAGGTCTCGGGGTACGTCAGCCAAGCTTGGATGGCGGCGCCGATGCAGAGGACGCCAAAGATGATGAAGACCTTGTACTTGATGTTGAGGAAGGCGGGCGGCGTGAAGAGGCCGAGCGCGAAGTTGAACACCCAGTTGGCCACGGCCGCCAAAGACATACCCGTCGCGCGCGTGCCGAGCGACCACACCTCGGCCGCGTAGATCCACGCCACGGGCGCGAGCGTCAGCGCGTACACGATGATGAGCAGGTAGCTAAACGCGATCACGCCGTGCGCCGGCGAGCCCGTCACCTTGATGACGACGTTGGCGTTGTTGCCCACGCCTTCGGGCACGTCGACGCTGTACGTGCCGAGGAGGCCGCCGACGACGAAGTGGCAGACTGCCATCCCGATCGCGCCATACACGAGCAGCGTCCGGCGCCCCGTGTTGTCGATGAAGAAGAACATGATCGTGGTGAAGCTTGGTGTCAACTATTAGCACTTTCTTTTACAGATACACTATGTCTTGCCCCACCCCTGGCGTAGACTGGTTAGATACTTACATGATGAATAGGGCATACTGGACGCCAGACGAAATCAGGTTGATGTCGCCTTCGAGATCGGCCATCAGAAAAACGTATCCGATGTAGTATACGATGACGTTGGCACCGCTCATTTGCTGCCCACATGTCAGTCTCGTTACAACTATTTGTATACGGTGCAGGGAATTACGGCATCCTGGGAAGACTTACTTGCCACGCCTGCACGCTCATCCCGGCCAAAGTGCGCTTCCACATGCCGTTAACAACGAACTTCCTCCATCCCTTGATCGACTCGCGCTCCGCGGCCAGGACGGTGGAAATCTCCTCCCACTCGGCGATGACGAGCGGGTCATCCCTGTTCCCTCCCGCCTGGATATCCGCTAGGGTCTGGATTGCTTCCTCCGAACGCCCAACCTTGGCAAGCCATCGCGGAGACCGAGGGAGGAAGGGAAGGCCGATCATGAGCAGGACGCATGGGATGAACTGAGTTCCCCATGCGGTACGGAAAGACGCGGTACCCGGGATTTTGGAGCACTGTAGAATACGTATTAGCAGTCATCCACGCGCACTAACCCCTTTTATTCCCCCCCCCCCCCCCCCCTCCCTCCTTTTTTTTTTCTCTCTATCGCTAAGCGCGGACACGAGCGCGCAATGTGATTGTGGAGTGTTACTTACTCCATAACCGATAAAGTACATGATCAGGATACCCCATTCGATGGCGAGCTGCTGGATAATGATGATTCGACCTCGAATATCCTGCTGCGAGTTAGTGCCCAACGTTGTACGTGGCTCGGGCGTGCGTGTAGAGCTCAACCTACTCGTTTAGCGATCTCTGCAAGGTAGACGGGAACCTGGGAGGACGTGATGCCGACGCAGACACCGTTCAGGACGCGACCGGCGATCAGCGAGCCGTAGCCGTTGGTCGCGACCTGGACCGCGGTCCCGGCCAGCCACCAGAAACACGCAAACATGATACTACGCTCGCCCACCCCGCTCGTGTCAGCTCAGCGTTCCGGGCGACGATTGCTATGACAAAACGCAGAGGGCTTCAACACATACCTGTCGCGACGGCCGTACTTGTCGGAGATGGGGCCGGCCATCAGACTGCCAATCACAGACCCAGCAGCGAGAGAAGACCCGATGGCGCCCTGGATGAGGCCCGAGGGGTTGTTGAAGTAGTCGATGTACTGGTCGGTGATGACGATGGCGGACATAGACGAGATATCGAAGCCGAAGAGCATACCTCCCACCGTGGCCACGATGGCCATGAAGTAGGTATTCGCTAGGGAGACGGGTAAGCGTTGCGCGCGCGAGAGTAGCAGGAGCAGGAGCTTAGGCAATGGCCACTCACTAATCTTGGGAAGTCTCGCCATGTTTGATGGCTTTCCTCGATGGAGGGAGGATGCGACTCTCGACGTGGACGCGTATATGCGGCCTGGAGGGCCAAAGGGCAATGGTGTGTGGAATAATTCGGGGAGCAGAGTTGACGGGCTCGGTGTGCAAAGCAGGTGGGCAGGTATGAAAGGGGAGGGAATGCAACCCTTCATATAATCAAGCACGCATGCATGCGTTCGATGGCGCCTCGATGGGTCCTAAGCTGTATACTCGTGGTGCTGACTGCGTGCATGGCCAGCTACGACGCCAATCTTGAACCCATTTGGCGATTTAACGCCGTAATACAGGGGGATTCGAACCCCATCAGATCACCGCCGATTTAGATGGCGGGGAGGGAGGACATACTCACGATGGTGCTAGTTAGACCCGTACAATCAGAGGGCAGAGAATCACGAGCGACGGGCTTCTATAGGTGCGGAAATTCACGGTCGAGAGCTCGAACGATTGGAGTTGATGTTACGTTGTCGACCCGTCTCCAAGATCCTGCAACGGCTCCTTCGCAGCAGGCCTCTCCCCGTTTCTCTGTCCCTCTCTCCCCCATTCTCCGCATCTCGTCTCCCCTGATGTTACGGTGATCCCAGATACCAATCACCGCGTCGCTACGCAACCCCAATCCTCCGGCAGGGCTCGTCCCTCCCGTGAGCGCGGCGGAAGTTGCCGGTTTAGACCAAGCGCCAATGAAGGCCGGGGGAGAGCAGGGGAGAGCAGCTAGGCGTTCGTCGGACCGACTTCCCAGCTGGACCATGATTTGCGCGCTTCTGACGACTGAGATCGTGCAGGGCCACGAGTGTGGGGTCATCCCCGGTCGGCTCCAACGGATTCTGGGGGGGTGGTGTCGTGTGGAGAACGGGTCTCATTCCAGCGAACTGGGTGCCGGAGGTAGGCAGCGAAGCAGGTTGTCTCGTGCGAGGCCTGCCAAGCCGCGCGGTCGAGGACAGATACGGGCATAGGTGCCGCGTCCAGCAAGAAGCTATGAGCAGACGGAAACGTAACCGGAGAGACGCTACACCGACCTGGTTCTCTCGATCTAGCCCTCTAGGCATCGACTGCTCGAGTCGGTAAGGTAGTCAGTCCATCGCGCCGGCTCTCGTTAAGAAGCCAGCTTCATTTGGCTGAGCTGTCCATCTCGGAGACCCAGGTCAGGTAAGTAAAACCCGTAAGCGAGGGTTGCTTGCATGCCCGGTTCGAGAGCAGGCGAGGTTACGAGGACCAGGTTCCGGGACGTAGTGGTGGTGGTGTAGTACACGAGCACCCGGGAAACATCATTGCGTCGGCTTGGGAAGACGGTGGTGTCTATTTTCAATCACATATGACTCTCCGCTCTTCCTCCACACACTCCCCACATCCGATGCAACAGCTGCCCATGAAGTGGTGAAAGACAGAGAAAATAAGAAGATAAGCATCCCCAGCAAGACGAGACAAGCGTCGACATTCTGACTTCTCTAGACACGCACGTCGGACGGGCACACATGTTTACAAACGCATCTTCCGACGAAATGACCTCGGATCGCAAGTAGATCTCAGCATGCGAGCTTCGAGGCCAAGAGAAAAATAAGATAAATCCGTAGGTTAAGCTTTACTGACGTGGCCTAGGCGGCGGGAGGGCGTCGGGGCCAAACGACAAGGGTAGCAACTAGTCGAACGTCGCAACCCCCGCTCGTTAGCACAATCTCTGCACGGCGACGGTATAGAGTCTTTCGATCTCTCTCTCTCTCTCTCTCTCTCTCCGGCATCTCCACGCCCACCTGCACCTAGGTCCACTTACCTCCTCGAGCCGGAACACCGTGTAATCGTCGTCCTTGTCGAACATGATGATCGGGATGCTAGGTTCGGAGAACTCGCGTATGCTTTCGGGCGGGACGGGGGCGACTCGGTTAGATCTCCATCTGGCCAGGACGAGCAAGAAGAAAGAGAAAAGGACAGAGAAAAAGAAAGAAAAAAAAAACACGGGTAAAAGACGTGGTAGGCGAAACCGGAACCGAGAGAACTCACAACTGCCGACACATGCCGCAGGGGCTCGCGGGGGGCGCGATGTCGGTGGCGACGGCGACGGCGCGGAACCGGCGGTGGCCCTGGGTGACGGCGGTGCCGAGGGCGACGCGCTCGGCGCAGGTGCCGACGGGGTACGAGGCGTTCTCGACGTTGGCGCCGGCGAAGTAGACGGGGGCGTCGGCGTCGGCGTCGGCCGAGAGCAGCGCCGCCCCGACGCGGAACTGGCTGTACGGGCAGTACGCCGCCGCCTTGGCCGCCACGCTGCGCCGGTGCAGCTCCGCGAACTCGGCGGCCGTCAGCCCGAACTCGGCACACGTCGCCGCCACCGCGGCGGCCGAACGCGCGCTCTGCTGGCGGTCGGACCGCGGGGGAGGCATCTCTCTCTCTCTCTCTGTCTCGTTCGCTCCCGTTCTTTCGTTTGTTCCCCCTCTAGGCGTAGCTCTTCTTTCTCTCTCGCTCGCGCGTGTCGGGAGAGGCGGTGTCGGAAGGAAAGAAAGCTGGGGGGGGGGGGGGGCGAGGGACCCGTCCGGACAACTTACCGCCGGGTGGTGGGCTGCTTAGGGGAAGTAAACTGGGGACAAGTGTGCCCTGGGGTTGGGAGAGGAAGGCGGGAAGGGGAAGGGGGCGCGTGCGAGCTGTCTTAGTCAGCGGTTGTGTGGATACCTGGATACGGAGACAGGATAGGACGATGACGTAGGGTGCCCGGCAACATCGGCTTATCGACGGCTTCGCTCGCTTCCCGGATGCACTCATAGGTACGTGATTGAGGCCTTGGCTTCCAGCGTGCATCCGTTATGTTATACTAGGTATTACCTGGTGCCATGTACGTTAGGTACCTAAGGTAGGTGTCTTGGGGGTATTTTAGGCGGGGTTAGTGCCTACCTCCTAGGTATAAGACGCCAGACACCTAGAGTATGCACCTATCTCCCATAAACATAGCCATAGGCGTCGCGATAGCTCCCCTCCGCTGGCGCTTTCGTCGAAACCTCGCTCGAATTTCTCCCACGGGCAGCCACGATGCCCTCTTTCTGCGGTGGCAGTTGGCCCCGAACAATACTAGGTAGCCAGCACCGACAGGACTGGCACGAACGACGGCGAACAACTTGAGCTCGGTCAGCGTCCACGATGAAAACAACGGCTGGTCGCGATGGAGGCGACTTGCCATCGAATCTGCCCCCTTTCCCACCTCTACTGCCTCAGCTGCGTAAACCCCGCCGCGCCGGGGTCTAGTAGGTATAGGCATGCAATTGACAGCCATCGACACGTCCATATCCCTCGTACCGGCCCGGTGCCAATTGCTTCTCCTGGCGCAGTAGGCATCGCGCGCAAGTTGCCGCGGTAGCTCGGCGGATTCGCGTGCCTATCGCGGAGAAAGAGAGGGGTTCGCCAACTTTGCAGGTGTACCTGGCGGGGGAGGGGAACGTAGAGGACCCTGATTACCTTCGAGTGTTAGAAGCCTATTACATACTTACTTACCTACACCCCCCTCCCCGCATGATATAGATATATATATATATATACCGACGGCTCTCCTTGCGACATGATCTCTACAAATTACACCACACCCCCCCCCCCCCCGACGAACTACCGTCTCTCCCAGCGGCCCGCATGGCGCGCGCGCCACGAGGCGCCTCACCGGCGCAGTGACGACGCTGTACTACCTACATACGTGCGGGTGGCGGGCAGTCGGTCGATCTCTACCTACGTACCGTGTGCGCACACATAGGTAGGTAAGAGGTAGGTATGCGAAGCGCGAGTGCACCACCACCACTACTACCACCGCCACCACCACCACCACCAAAATTAAGTGCCCCGCGCAGCCCGCCCGAATCGAGATCCGCGCCGTCCGGTGACGCCAACGGCGTCCCCCTCACCCTCCCGCAAAACCGGGAAACCCAGAGCAAGCCCCCCTCGCGAAACCCCAGGGCCCTCATATCGCCGGCGGGGTGCTGCCGTGCTGGGGGGATTGGAAGAGGAGGGGGTGTCAGATCGGGATGCCACGATGACGTCACGCTCACGCGCCCGGAGCCCCCCCCCCCCCCTTGTGTCACCGGGGATCGGTTATCACGGTGGCTTCTGCCAGAGGTCGTGGAGCGTATAGAGGAAGGAAGAAGGGGAGGGAGGGAGCGCAAGGGAGAGCAAGTGTAGTAATATCCAAGTTGCACTCCTCGCCTTGTCAAATGAAAATGAAAATCCCCAAATAAGCCGTGCCTACCTACGTCAAGAGCATCGAGCGAACGAACCCACCCAGGAACGTCTTGTTCCCGCCCTCTTTTTCTATGCTTAGTGTGAAAGCCGTTTATTGAATCTCTCTCGTTACTAGATCTGGTTCTACCTATTCCTGCCCGTACCAAAAGAAAGCGTAGGAAAAGAGAAAAGGTATATTTGAAAAAAAAAGCAGCGCAACCCGACCAACCATGCCTCACCCCTTCCACCCCGACGACTTCCCCATCAACACCACCCGCCGCTTCCAGCCGACCCGCGTCCTCTTCCTCAAGGGCTGCATCCACTTCAAGACGACGGCCCAGATCCTCGAGCTGACCGGCTCCGTCGGCGCCGCGCCCCTGACCGCCGGCGGCGACCTGAGCTCGGCGTTCCTCGACGAGGCCGAGCGCGCCGCCGACCACCTCGTCCGCCGCGACGCCGAGCCCCTGTACCAGATCGCGTCGTCGGGCAACATGATGCGCACGCTCAAGACGCTGACGCGCGGCCGCTCCGGCGCCAAGGTCGCCGACCTCAACATGACCTTCGTCTCCTTCGACTCGTCGTCCGTCCGCTTCCCGCGCGACAGCCCCCACTGCCGCCACGAGGTCGAGATCTGCCCCGTGTCGCCCTCCTCCTTCGCCTCCACCTCCGCCGCCGGCCGCGGCGACAGCAGCAAAGACGGCGCCGACGCCAGGCACGAGGCCTTCGTCCGCCACAGCATCCCCTACTTCTGGGACCTGACGCGCGGGCGCAACGGCGTCCTCTACAAGTGCCTCAACCAGCAGCGCGTCGAGGTCGCCCGCGTCACCGCCGCCGGCCGCGGGTCCGACGACGACGCTATCCTTGTGTTCGACAGCGACGAGCTAGACGACGCCGTCACCGTGTCGACTTGTATCGTGCTGCTGAACGGACGCGACGCCATCGACACTTGAGAGGGGGAGAGAGGGGGGGGAAGAAAGAAAGGAGAGCATCGGGGGCAGAGAAGGAGGGAGGGAGAGGAGATAGGAGAGGTAGCAGTGACGAAATGGGATGGATTAACTTTGGAGAGTGCTGACGATGAAGGAGAAAGGGTTGAGGGCCTGAGAAAACAATGAAAAAGACAGAATGCGGCGCTTATATCTACCTACGTATGGCTATAATTTGTAATGGATGATGGCGATGCTGCTTCTTCACAATGGTCTATTACTATGGCCGTCCAGAAGCAAGCAAGACGGTTGTGGAACCGACCGTGCTAGCAAGAATTGGATGCCTACCTGTTCTGTAACCAGTTGGATGGCGATAGACATGCTCGTCATGTCCGCCTGCTATTGCTCTATGCCCCATAACTTGTATATGTGCTTCAGCGCGTCGGGCCCGTGCGTGAAGGGAAAGTTGTGTGAGCCCGGGACGACCTGCCAGTACACGTTGTCCTTGCCGCCGAGGAGCGGAAGCGCGTCCTCGACGTAGTCGTCCAGCTGTATCAGGGTATCGTCCCGACCCAGCAGCACGGCCGTCGTGCCCGGCTTCCGCCTGGCTAGCTGGCGCCAGTAGTGGTGCTGTTCGAGGAGCGGCGCGTACCGGATCGTCGACATGAAGGCCGGAACGAAGCCGTCGTGAAAGTCGAGCGCCCAGTGCACATAGCCGAGCACCCGCTGCTCAAAGGGCGTCGGGGGCTTCTCGTCGGCCGGGTCGACGGCCTCCTGGATAGCGACGTCGGCGTAGTCCTCCTTGCCTGTTCCGCTCTGGGGCGCGTTGTCGGCGGGAGCCCTGGGCTTCTTCGACACGGCCGTGGCGAGAGGCTGCCGTAGGCGGCGCTTAGTGAGCCAGGCGAGGATGCGCTCGGGTATGATGCCCGACGCGAAGATGAGCCGGCTCGCGCGGCCGAAGTTCTCCGGGCGGATAATCCCGGACGGGGCGAGCAGGACTAGAGACTCAACCATGTGGGGGAAAGTAGCTGCGAAGTTGGCGGCTATGCCGCCGCCGAGCGAGTAGCCGACGATACTGATGGCATTGTCGCCGGTCCACGCTAGCGGCGAGGATGCGAGGACGAGCAGGATCTGGGAGACGAACAACCGGGTGTCGTAGGGCAAATCCCCCGGGGCATCGCTGAAGCCCCGACCGAACAGGTCCTATAAGGAGAGGGTCAGTCAAAAGTGGAGGTATGATAAGCTACGTGGCTACGAGTAGCATTCTGCGAAGGGGCGCTGGCACGTACGAAAAGCATGATTCGGCAACCCTTCTCGAAAAGTGGCATGGCAATGTCCTTCAGAGTCATGCACGAAGTGCTGATCCCGTGGATAAACAGGACTTTACGACCATCTTCGGGCCCGAATTCGTAGACGCGAATATCGCCGTACTAGAGAGCCACGCCGTTAGGTCTGGGATTTCTCGGCTCGTTCACACTATACAGCAGCACGCAGCGGGGCTGGCTGCTCGGCTGGCTGGCTGGCTTACAGGCGTAGACACGTCTCTGGCACCCGGGAAGGCGCCCGGTGGGTACGGGACCTCGTCGATCTCGGCCTTGGAGAGCCTAGGGATGCTAGTCCTGAGCGGCCCGAGGATGACAGCTTGCTTCTTCGGCCAGAGGGCGAGCCGGGCCAGCGAGAGCAGGGCGACGGTAGTCACGACAGTAGTGGCGACGACGGCGGTCGATCGCGACTCGGCCGGGCCGCCGAAGCACCTGGAGACGGTCTCCATCCCCGGCTCGTGCAAGTGTAGGGAGCCTGCCGAGCGTATGTAGGTTACCCCAATATCGCCTGGGCACTCCTCTCTAATCTGCTGGGGCTCCGGCACTCGGGACCAGGGGGAAGAGCTAGTCGAAACGCTCGGCCAACGACCCGATGTTTTCGGTGTCAGGCAACGATTCAACCTCGGGAAATCTGATGTTCAGCAACAAGACGGTAAGAAAAGGTAAGCACAAAACTGAGGTACTACGGTATGGCGGAAGCCGTATGTCTGAGCTGTCAGACACGGCTCGCGAGGTACTACGTACGCGCCGTTGGAGCTGTTGGAGTCGTGGGCGGGATGTAAGGGTAAGTGGCGCGAAATCGACACACAAGCCCAGAATGCCCACCACAACTTGCAACTTGTGAGGGTCGGAGGGTTGCTTGTCGTACCTGTTAGACGGAGTAGATGGGCTCTTCGACCGCCCTTGGCTGCTAACACGTGGCGCACTGCTAGGTATATATTACGAAGAGGTAAACCTACCTGCGCTTATCTGTACCTATGTATAGTTAGGTATGTACCTTCCCGTTGATAAGGCGCATAGTGATGATACAGAGGTACGTAGGTACATGTAGCAGCTGTATTATTTCCGTCTGGTGTGTACCTCAGCAGGACAGAACCAGGGATGGTCTCACGGGCCGGCTTTGCCAAGAAAATACGGTAGGTATGTCTCGTGTCTGTCGGGACGATGGGACCCGGGCATTTTGCCCCCTTTGAGATATGCCTACTAGGTACTCATATATGAGTAGCTTCACTCCTCTCCTCTCCTCCGCCGCCTAACGCACATGCATACTCACATACAGGCATGCATACCTTGCCTGCTACGGATTTACAACCCTCCTCCTGTTACCCCTCCCGCGGTGCCGGGATCCGACCAGATAGCCTACCCCGTATACCCTTGGGACCCGACTCGGTGGAAACCTCTGGCTCGACACGTGGGTTTCATAATCGCAATGCTCGCTCGGCCACGGACCCGGAACAGGGGGATCGCATCCTTCTGGAAGCTCGTCAACCGTGGCGAAGCAGTGCCTCGAATAACTCGGGTTTCTCCCGCATGCATGTCTATGGATTGTGATGGCATATGGTAGAGGCATATGGTAGTAACAAGCATCTCTCCTCTCCACGAACCTACCCTCTTCTTCCACTGCCCTTTGAGCCGCCCATGCGTGCGGGATCGGTACGGCTATGCAGATGTGCATAAGTACCTACATGCTCCTACACCTCGACGCATGCATACCCTGCCCTGCCTCCGTGAGCCCGTGCCGCGAACTCGCCACCACCCCCTTCCCCTGAAGTGGGCCGAAGCTCACAACATGATCCCCCCATCGATCACGACGTTGATGCCCGTCGTGCTCCGGCTCCGCGCCAGCGTCAGCACCTGCTCGGCGACGTCCTCGACTGTGGCCAGGCGCTGCAGCTTCGACCGCTGCCGCGTCGCCTCCTTCAGCTCGTCGGGGAACATGTCGGCCCAGTCCTGAGCGGCCGTCAGATGAGCACGACTTAAGGGGGGGGAAGGGCGGATCTCACCGTGAGGAGCAGCCCCGGGGACACGCTGTTGACCCTGACCTTGGGCGCCGCCATGCCCGCGAGCGCTCTCATGAGGTGCAGCTGCGCTGCCTTGGTGACGGAGTATGCCTGTTTTTTGGGGGGGTTTGTTAGTAATGCCGATCGTCGTCATCTGCCCACCGGCTCAGAACCCTAGCATAGTGGGAATAATATCGGGAGGTTGCTAGGTTGCTTGGTTGGTCTCGCCAACTTACCAGCGAGCTCCCGCCGGGCTTCACGCCGGCGACCGAAGCCGTGCTGATGAAGGCACCCTCGGTCGCGTCGAGGTGTGGCTTTGCGACCTGCATGAGCCATAGGTGCGACTTGACGTTGATGTTGAAGCTCTTGTCCCACTCGTCTTCGTACGCGTTCTTGTCGATGCTGGATAGTCCGCGGCTGTGGGCAAGATATTAAGATGCGCACGTTGGTTAGCGGTGGCAGCCCCCTTCCACAACTTCTACCACTACCCGCGGAACGTGCCTAGCTAGATGCGTCATAGTGTTGGTGGCCACGCATGGCGCCGTCCAGTGACCCCTCCAAACCCTCCGCGCGCCCCTCTTCTCTCTAAGGAAATCCCCCCTCCGCGGGAGAGCACTTACAACTGAGTCCAGCCGCCATTCGAGAAGACGACGTCGAGCCGGCCGAACCGCGCGACGGCGTCGCGCACGAGACGGCCTATCTCGTCGCGGCTGCCGAGGTCCGCCTTAATGGCGACGAAGTTCTTCCCGCCACCCTCACCTCCCTCATCGCCGAGGGGTAGGGGCGATAGCGCCGGCAGCTCGGCGACGAGGGCGAGCGCTCGCGCGTCGTTGTTCGCATAGTTCACGGCGACCCGGTACCCGCTCTTAGCGAAGGCCCGCGCCGCCGCGGCTCCAAGCCCGGCGCTGCCCGCCGTGATGAGCGCCACGGTAGCGGATGATGACATTGCGAGGCGGCTTCGGGGATTGCTGCTTCGCCCGTGTTCCGTACTCTCTCCCTCCTTCTCAATGTCTGTGTGTGGGTGTGCGTGTCGTGCCTCCGAGGTTTGGGCCTTTCCCCCTCTTAAGGATTTCGTGTGGCGTAGGTAATTGAAGCTTCGCCTCAGACGTGGTACGGTGATCCCGACGGAGGAATGGGTTTCCTTTGCTCTTATCTACGTCGAAGGCAAGTCGCCGGAATGCCGTAGCGGATCAGTTCCAGTAGAGTTGAGGAGGGGAAGGGAGGGTCCCGGCCTGTATCCGGGCCGCGCCAGGTCGTCCAACGAATCACGTCACGCTGGTTAGGCCGCTGATACTCCCGAGATAAGGGCGGATGAGAGAATGAGGGGTTCGTCCGCCGGGTAGGGAGTTTGCGGCAGTTGGGTACGGATTCGGTTTTCCCCTTTGTCACGTAGGCATACCAAGTGGAGAGCAACCTAGCTTATCTCATTTGGTTGAGTAGTCATATATACCGAGTCGCTCCGCACTCTTTCGTAGACTTCCTTCTTAGACGGTCAGTCAATACTACGCCATGCCATCCCCGTCTTAACCGCGCAGAGGTATGTACGAGAGAGCCCCGTGATGCCCTCAAACCCCCTCGCTGCACGTGCCTAACGACTGCCACATACCAGATTCGAGGCTACGCGATGCCTTAGCTGACAGCCGTATTATCTCGCTATATACCTAGCCACCCGAGGAATCAGGAGTCGTGTAGGCAGACCTTGGTACCCGATTACACACGCATCCCCGCTACGTAAATATGATCTGCAGGTTTAGAATAGGCTATGCGAATTAGGGGTGAGACAGGGTGCTATGTGGCATAAACACATACCCACCTGCTAACCTACTATGGTTTGTTGCATTAAAACTAACCGCCGGTTATATATTCCGTGGGTTATACTAGGTTACCTAGCTCTGTTCTCGGAAAACTACGCCGGCACTATTCTATAATTGTCCATGCAAGACTGCGTAGGTACGTATATATGTCTACGTAATAAAAGGTAAAAATATTATATTACTATAGCGTATTAACACTACTACTATGTTTATTATACTAATATTATTACTACTATTACTATTACTATTACTATTACTAATATTATAACGGCTACAATATATCAAATTACTTTAAAGTAAGTTTCTAAATAGTGTTTAATTATATGAAAATTTAATATAATATACTTTCCTATAAAAGTTAGAAATATATTTTAGAGGAAACTTCTATACTCTTTATATAAAATATAAATAAAGCTTGGTATAAAGCAATATAGTATAGAAGTTTAAAAGATCGAGAATATATACTTACCCTTTTGTTTCTTAGCATACTATTTAATATTTTTACCTTTTAGCACGTATAGAGGATTAAACTTTAGAATAGTAAAAGTTATTGCTTCTCTCTGCGGCACCAGGAATTGCCCAATGTATACATAATCTTATACACATTCAGACCTCGTGAATCCGCGAATCATGCATTTCCTCGAACCGCCCACAACCCTCGATCCCCGCCCCTTCTCCCTTCCCCTTTTCCTTCACCTCTCTCTCTCTCTCTCTCTCTCTCTCTCTCTCTCTTCGCTTTAGATCCCCAGCGACTCCTCAAGCGTGCACGGCCCGTCGTGCAGGACGGTGTGCGGCGGGGTGACGCCATCCTTGACCGGCACTGAGAAGGCGACCACCGCGTCGCTGCTCGAGAACGTCGTCAGGTGGCCCCGCTCCGAGATGTCCGCGGTGTCGTCTGCGAAGATGAGGCCGTATCGCCCGCCGTACAAGATCACCTCGTCGGTGCTGTCGGGCACGGTCACTGTGCGGGTATGTTAGTTGCAAGTGTTAGTTAGCCTCCACCTCCCCCCCCCCCCCCTGTTTAGCTCGCCGGACCAAATCTTGGCGAGGAGAGGGGATCGTGGACCGAGAAAGGAGAGGAAGGAAGGGGAGAGAAGAGCAATCAATGAGATGTAAGACCTACCGTGCGTGACGCCGCTGATGAACCAGACGAATCTGCAGTACTTGGTTAGGCCCAGCGCCTGCAAAGACTTGAGGGGAGGAGGAGAGAGAGAGAGAGAGAACGACTTACTGTTTGTAGGGCGCGTTGTGAAACGAGCCGCCGAAGCGCGGCGGCACGACGGTGTAGGTGGCGTTGTCGACGGCGCCCAGGTCGAGGACCTGGGAGCCCTGGATGCCGGGCGTGCCCGCGGACGCGAACGGCGTGTCCAGCTGCCAGCACTCGAACACCGAGACCTGGTCCCGGCCCGTTATCGACGTCAGGTTCATGAACAGCTCCGCGGCGGCCGTCGCCGCCGTCCCGAGCACCGCCGCCGCCAGCGAGATGCGGACCATCTTGTCGTCCCCTCTCTCTCTCCCTCGATTCTCCCAGAAGGAACTCACGAGGCTCGCCTCACGCCTGTGCTATTGCTGCCTCGGCTGGTCTAGGCCCCGGAGCGATTCCCCCCCCGATACGGCTATGTGGTGTGTTTTATTTTTCTTCCTCTTGGATGGTAGAGCGCGAGGGATGGAGGGCGGAGAATGGTAGAGGGAAAAAGTCGCGAGAGTAGGGGAACGGTGAGGATAGGCGTCCTCTTATAGACGCGATATACCTAGGAGAGGGTCGTAGTAACTGTCTATGCTGTGTATCCCCAGGAACTTCGCGCGCGTGAGGAAGATAATAGGGCCCGTCGTACGTTTGGTAGTAAGCGAGAATAGGGAGGGGAGGAGGGTTTTGGAAAAAGCGAGATGGCAACTATTGCTTTTTTTCTGATACTAGCCCGGCTTTTATTTCCCTCTCTCTGTCTTAGCCCGAGAGTGACTGACTTGACTCGACTTACTCGAGCAAGCAGGGGGAGCAGCCACCGCCCTCTTTATAGCGACCCGAGGGCGAGGTACGCACCCCATGCACGTACCTATTGTCCGCATGCTGCTTTGCTGCTGGTGAAGCCGCGTGGGTATTATCGTGTGTAGGTATGTACATATGTAGGCTGGCTACCTAGGTAGGCTGGCAGGGTATCTTGCGGAGACCCAGCCGTTGTCGTCTAAACGACCTCGGGAGTAGTATCGTGGGCCTGTACATGCTTATACATATGCGAGCAACAGCGTCTCATTGGTACCGAGTTTGCGACTCCGCCGGGACTCTCCCCTGGACGATCGTCCCATCCCACCTATCCACACGACCACGCAACACATGCCTACCCGTCTCAGCTTCCATCGCCTCCCAATATGTACATCCTATATAACCTCTACTAAGCTTGGGAAGCTATATAATACCACGTTCTACGCCTAGTAAACCACAAATACGCGCAAATCGATGACGATCGTCTCCCTTCTCTATCTCCATCTCTCGACGTCCCTTGTCCCCCCTCCCCCCTCCCCCCCGGTCCCCTTGTCCTCGCTTTCTCTTTCCGTCTCCTCTGGTCTCGGCAAGGTAGCTCCGGCGGTATCTTTCGAGAGGCGGGCGGGTTCGGAGGAGCGACGATGGCCTGTTGGTTGTCACGCGCGCGCCCCCGACGGATAGGGTTGCTTCGTGCCTTCGCCTTCCCCCACCTCTCCCTTCCCTTCTGGGGCTGGTTACGGATAGCGGCCAACGGCGTTTCGCGGTCGATTGCTCTTCACGACGCCGAGGAGGGAGTAAAGGTTGCGCGCGCGCGCGGGGGCAGGCGCCAGAGGGCTGGGCAGACGGGGACATCATCGTGTTGCGCCGGGAGGCCTGGTCCGGGCTGGGGAGACTCTCCTCGAGCGGTCTGGGTCGAGGCGCATAGGTTATGAGCATGGCACGGCCTACGCTACCTCGGTATGTAACCAACCTATAGGCGTACACGCCTACCTGGCGACAAGATCATTACGTAGAGGACGGGCTACTCGTCTGTGTACCACGCCGTTGGGAATTACTGGGCCGAGTAAAGTCGGGATCTGCACACCGGCGGATGCATGTACCTATGTGCGTGCGCGTGCATCCATTGTTATGCGTCGCTGGCGGGACATCCCAACGAGCTCGGTCCGGTCGGACAGTTGAATTCGATCGTCTCATCGGGATGACTCTCGATCGCCGCCCTTCGCCGAACGCGTGGGAGGCAGCAAATGCGAGCCTCCGTCCTCCCCTCCCCTCCTCCCTCCAAGGTCCTCGAGCCCCTCCCCACCGCGGCTAGACCGGGAGCAGTTAAGTGTTAGGTACCGGGGTCCATGTCGCGGCGTGTTTGTGGTTTCGATAGAACCAGATCGATTTGCGTCTCTCCCCCCCGTCTCCCTCTCTCTCGCCTGGCTCTGCTAACACGTGCCTACACTTCCACCTACCTGGTAAGGAGGCCCATTGTCAATAGCTGGAGGTCCCCGGTCGGGGAGCTTCCTTCGTGGCCGAGCTGGGTCGCCTCTAGTGGGCAGAGAGCGGACTCGGCTTCTCCCCCTCGAGGAAAGCGTAGGCCGCGCGCGCGCCGGTGACAGCTTGCGCCGTCCGTGCTAACGACCTGGCAAGATTACTTCCTCGACTTGCTCCCGATAAACCCGCTGTGTGTAGGTATAGCCAGGGTTACCTCTCTCCTTAGATACGATGCCCTGCTATAGAGGAAAGGGGCTGCCGAGGAGGCGATCAGATCCATCGTTCGCACGCGTATACCACGTGGTACATAGGGGAGGTAATATCAGTATGTCCAGGTTGTAGGTGGTAGGGGGACGCGGGCGCGAAACAATCGCATTGGAAGCATTGCATGTGCTTCAGGTACGTACCTAGCGGGGCCGACGAGCAACTTGCTTCGGGACAGAGGTACCTACCTACTTCAGGTCAGTATCCACTAGCTAGGTACACCTACCGCCTATCTCTACCTTCCTCCTATATGTATACCCACCTAGGTACGTATCTAGGTACTTATAGCATACATTAGGTTAGTACCTACCTCTACTACCTTAGGTACCTACCTACCTACCTAGATACCTACCTAACCTACTAGTAGGCCGAGGCAGGTGGCTGGGCACCCGTACTCGTACGCGGCGGGGCGCGCGCCATGCCCTTTGGTACCCTTCCGCCATCCGTCCGCCCGCCCGTCTCCGCGCCACTCGCGCCATTGTTAGGTACCCTATCATGTACATATATGTCTACCCGTGTAATGCATGTCTGCCCATATGTACATACCTGCATAAATACACAACTACCTACCTTAAACCTCCTCGCCTGACGTCGACGGCGCACCACATACCTACCTACCTTCCTACCTGTCGTCGACGCCGCCAAGCTGATAGCCGACAGCGGAATCCATGCTCCCCCATCTGCTCCTGTTTCTTCTCTCTTCTTCTTTCTTCCTTCTTTTCTTCCCGTCGCGTGTTTTACACGCGCCAAGCATCGGTCCTGTCGCGGCATCCTCCCTCAGATCGCCGGTCAGAACGCTTACTACGGTATATTATCTATTATAATACACCTCGTGGGTGATAATGCGCATCACCGCAACCCTGGTTGAAACTTGTCATCGCGTTGGGTGTAAGTGGCTCCTATTGCTGGAACCGCCGGCTTCTGCATACAGCAGTATGTGCATCACCGGCATCTGCCACGGGCTTGGGCACTGCAAGTGTGCATCTCTACATCCTCTCAGGGTCAGAGAGAGACCACGTTGGAGCGAACCACCCCCTCTTCTCCCACTTGGCGGGAAAGGGGACGAGCAAGCCGTGACCGAACGATGGCGTGTTCTCGCTCGAACGGTAATAATAAAATTGCATTCCCTCTGTACACACCTTTATCCATATAACCATGCATAAGGTACATAACCTCAACCCTGGGTGGATATCCACCACCCTCCTACGTACATGTCCTCTCCTTATTCCACCCTCTCTCCCCTCACCGGTGTGCCAGAATCCGCCGGTACTTCCGCTTTCCATACCCCGTACCTAGCCTGGCTTTTTACTATACTATATGTACTTGTGTCTGTCCGCCCCCCAGCCGCGTACTTGTCTGGTCTTCTAGTACGTCCGCTTGAACGGCGGGACGGCCTTGCACTCGTTCTCATCTAACGTTGTGCCGATGACGCGTCTATATGCTATATCTATCGGCCCGTGGGGCTTCTTTTGGAAGGTAAGCGTATGCTTCATCCAGTTCACGTCGTCTCGGTCGGGGTAGTCTTCGCGCGCGTGGGCACCGCGCGACTCCTTCCTGTTGGCGGCGGCCGTGGCGGTTTGGGTGCTAGTCAAGCTGTGTCAGCTATGCTGCCGAATCGTTCGGGCGACGGGATGAGGGTGGGGTAACACTTACGCGCAAGTGAGCAGATTTCGCAATTCCAAGGTCTCCACCAGATCCGAGTTCCAAATCATGCTGCGGTCCTTGATTCCGACCTGGGAGTAGGTCTTGTCGATCTCTGTGACCCTCTTCACGCCTTGGTCTAAGCTCTCCTGCGTGCGGAAAACGCTGACGTCCGTCTGCATCGCCTTCTGCATCGCCAGTCGGATCTCAGCCGTGCTCTTGGGTCCATCCGAGTTGCGAATCTGGTCGAGGAGCTCGATCGATCCCGCACCGGCGTCGGCGCTAACGGGTTTCTGCTTGGCGCCGGGGGTGAAGTTGTCGCGGATGGTGTGGGAAACGGCGCGGCCAAAGACGACTAGATCGAGCAGGGAGTTGGCGCCGAGTCGGTTGGCGCCGTGGACGGAGACGCAGGCAGCCTCGCCGCAGGCGAAAAGACCGGGGACAACCTTGTCGTTTCCTTTGTTATCGATGGTGAGGACCTCGCCCGTGTATCTGGTGGGGATGCCGCCCATGTTGTAGTGGACAGTCGGCAGGACCGGGATCGGCTGCTTGCGCACATCCACGCCCGAAAAGATGGCAGCAGTCTCAGAGATGCCGGGTAGACGCTCGGCGAGGATCTCGGCGGGGAGGTGGCTCAGCTGGAGGTAGATGTGGTCCTTCTCGGGACCGACGCCTCGGCCCTCGCGGATCTCCAGGGTCATGGATCGCGAGACGACGTCACGACTAGCCAAGTCCTTCGCCGTAGGTGCGTACCGCTCCATGAACCGCTCACCCTCGGAGTTCAGGAGGTAGCCGCCCTCGCCTCGGGAGCCCTCAGTAATCAAGCAGCCGGCTCCATAAATACCCGTGGGGTGGAATTGTACGAATTCGAGGTCTTGGTTGGGGAGTCCGGCGCGGGCGACCATGGCCATGCCGTCACCGGTGCAGGTGTGCGCCGACGTGCAGCTGAAATAGGCTCGGCCGTAGCCACCAGTGGCCAGGACGGTATTTTTCGCCAGGAACCTGTGGAGCGTGCCGTCTTCCTGGTTGTAGGCTAGGACGCCGCGGCATTCCCCGCCTTCCATGATTAAATCTAGGGCGAAGAACTCGATGAAATAGTTGGTACTGTGCCGGAGAGATTGACCGTAGAGAGTGTGCAGCAGAGCGTGGCCGGTCCGGTCAGCAGCGGCGCAGCAGCGGTACGCCTGGCCGCCCTTCCCGTACTTCTGCGACTGGCCGCCGAAAGCGCGCTGGTATCTAGCGAGCGAGGGTTAGCAGCGGTGGCAGGGGCTTCGGTGCGGTCGCAGACTTGCATTCGTCCGTCCTCCGTCCGCGAGAACGGGCAGCCGTAGTTCTCTAGCTCGATGATGGACGCCGGGGCCTCTCTCGTCATGTAGTGGATAGCATCCTGATCACCCAGCCAATCCGAGCCCTTCACGGTATCGTACATATGCCACCTCCAGTCGTCCTCGTGCATGTTGCCTAGCGCGGCATTGATGCCGCCCTGCGCGGCGACGGTGTGGCTTCGGGTGGGGAAGAGTTTCGATATGCAGGCCGTGTTGAAGCCGGCCTCGGCCAGGCCGAACGCCGCCCGCAGCCCGGAGCCGCCCGCGCCGACGACGACGGCATCGTATTCGTGGTCCTACGCCCGGGTCAATTGCGTCATTTCTCACCAGGGCTCGCTCGCTCGGTCGCGGTGCGGGCAGGGTGGCGCGTGCGACGTACTATTACGGGATATTTGCTGCTAACATGTACGGGTGCTTCCTTGGCCCGCAACGGGGTATTTGCGATGATTCGAGCTGTGCGCAGGGGAATCCAATTAGACACTCGCAGCCGGAGGGGTTAGAGGAGGGGAAAATACGTACAGACGGGGCGCGTGGAGGAGAATGCTCGAGCCTGGCATCGTGCTACCCGAGAGAACTGTCAAGCGGCGAGCACGCCGTCAGCATCATCCACGCCTCGTGCAGACCCAGCCCAGGCGCGGAGCAGAGAGGGCGAGGCGGGCTGGGGCAGAGAGGGAGAGAGAGAGAGAGAGAGAAGCGGAGGAGGGGTAAGGAAAGGACTAACGGAAGACCCAAAGGCCAACCTCCTCATCGCCATTGACGAAGCCATTGCAGATCAGAAGCTATAGCAGAGCAGGGCGGAGGGGGGAATGGTTGTGCCAGCGAGGGAGGGGGATCTTCTCTTGTCCCGGCGAGTTGGAGAAGAGTGGGAAAAGCACATTAAAAAAAGGTGATGATGCCGGCGAAGTTGTACCGCAGCTTCCTCTAAGACGAGAGTCGAGAGCTGGTCCAATGGCATCAAATCTGATTACCGAGGGAAAATAGCCGGACGGCCTTTGCCGCCAGGAATGCATTGGAGCCACCCAAGTACCCCCCCGGCCAATCTACCTACCAATCTACCTGCTGGTCCTCCTCACGGCAGGCCGGGTAAGGCCATGGCATCGTCACGTGCTAAATACCTACCTACCTACCTACCTACCTACCTACCTTACCTCCCTAATTCACCTACCTCTCTACCTAGCTCCTACCAGGTAGCTCTCACACGCCTGCTCATAGGTACCTCCTCTTCACTGACCTTCGCCGACGCAACCCAGCTAGACCTTACCCGGGTCTAGGCGGGGGGGGGGATCGAGGGGTCGGGGGATTTCACTCGGTTACGCATGAAAGTAGCCCGAATCTACCAGATAATACGTCTGAGACGGACGTCTCGCCTGTCTCTCGTCCAACTTCACCGCATGCTGCTGCTGCTCACGTCGTCCATGCACGCACACATACCACCCTGCCATCTTGAATGCGTCTCAGGGGCAGACCGGGAGCTCGAGCAGCTCCTTCGAGAATGCTCCCTTGTTTGGGCCGAGGTACCTAGAGAGGTAGGTAGGTAGGCCGCCTATACAGGACTGCCCTATACCTATTCGATTGATTGAAATCATCCGTTCCCGCCATATTGCCATATACCTACCCTATTATGCCGTACCGCAACTCGTACCCGAACCCGACTATATAGGTATATAACAGATGCTCGTGGACGCTTCGACTCCTTTTCCCTTCGTAACCCGTCTGCCCATCAATGCAAACCAAACCAGTCACGCCCAGTTGCAACCCGTACCAGAACCCCCTAACCTCTATCGTCGTCTTCCCCGTTTACGCCGGGAGACCGGTCGTCCCTATACCTTACCCCGCTACGGCGCCAACACCTCCCGCAGCATCACGCCGAAATTGTGTTTCAAGTGGTGCACCTCGCTGACCGTCGGTTTCTTCGGCTCCCCGGCATTGCGCCTGAGGTGATCCTGTCTCTTGGCCCGCCTCCGCCTCTCCGCCTCCAAAGGATCTAGCTCGTCCTCTTCCTCCGCTTCCGCCTCGTCGTCAGATTCGTCGTCGTAGCTCATCTCTTCCAGGTCCACATCGTTGAGACCGAAGTCGCTAGCGCGGAAGCTTGCCAGGCCGGGTGCCCCGATATCCATGTCGGCCGTGCCCTCCGCCGCCATCTTCTGCCGAGTTTTGTCGTGATGCCACTTCTTGCGCGCCTCTTGCCAAGAGATAAGCTGGTTGATCTCGTCGATCGCTTTATCCTTATTTATGTTGCCGCTTATAACGCCTCCCTCGAAGAGGGCGTTGATGTCGAGCGCCCCGCCCTCTGGCCCTTTTCGTAAGAACTCGAGGATGTCCTCGATCCACCCCATGAGCTGCGTGAAGAGGCCGTCGTCGTGCGTGTGCACCTCGTGGACGAACTTGTAGAAGTTGTGCTCGTGACGTTGGCAGAGGTCGATGAACGCCTGCACCGTCTGATTCGGATCTGCCGACACATCCTGCTCCCTGCATCTCTCAACGACCTGCCACGGCGTTAGCAATTCCTGAGTCGTCACTCGTCCCACCCTCTCGCACCCTACATACCTGGATCATGTCATCGATAAAAACAGCAAAGTCCGTGATGCTGTTATACACGTTTGCCGACTTGTACACTCTAACGAGGGGTTCGTAGAATATGGTGAAAAGATCGCGGAGGAGCTGTAGCGTAACGGGCTCCTCGATCAGCCTGAGCATCATTTCCTTGTCACGCTGCCGAGTCTGTAATTTCATCAACTGCTTTAGATATGAGAACAGTTGGACACCCTGCTTGAACTCTTCCTCAGTATGCTCCACCGCATTGTTGAAAGCGATATAAGCGTTGAACAACTTTTCCACTTGCTCCGAGGTGAGCTCTGGAGTGAGGAGCTCTGAGCGCAGAATAGCGATGAGGATGTCGCCTTCGGACTCCGCCTCTTGTCGGATCGCAATCTTGACGTGCTCCTCGGCATCAACAAATTGCTTGAGCTTCTGTACGAACACGTCATCGTCGATCTTAACTGATAGGGCATCTATCGACCGCTGAAAGCTTCTGATTCCGTCGTGCAGAGTCAAGGAGAAGATGCGCTGCATGAGGGAGCGAGCCCCAAAAGGTTGCGCTAGGAAGAGATCGAGTACTCCAGACATGACCGCAGCCGGATTCGCAATCCGGATCACGTTCTTCAGGATTGTGTAGGGGATCAGGGAGTGGATTCGCTTCAGTTGCGCGAATAACTCCGGCGAGTTGTCCTCGGCGAGGAAGAGGTGATAGATGGTGGCGGCCACTTCGATACGGAGCCACTCGGCGAACTTCTGGTACTGGAGGCTGAGATCCTGGATGGTTTCCTTATCCCTAATCTCTTGGAAGAGCATCGTCAACCCGTTCCGCTCGACAACGTCTCGCCGAAATTGCTCCATGTACACATCTAATTCCGCGGCTCTTCTCCTGGCTATCTCGTAAAATTGTTTCTGCTCCTCCACGCGTTTCCGGTCAATAGCCCTGCGCCGGAGGATATCGTCGACGTCTTCATCCGTTGGCGTAATCGGATCGTGCGTCAAGAACTGTTGCAGTGACTTGGTCTGCGCAATTTGAGGGTTATGCAACAGAAAGCGTAGGTATGCCCTCAGGGATATGCGCTGGTTCTCCCGCGCGAGAATTGTGTTCTAGAAACATCAGCTCTCGAATTTCCAAGTAACAAAGCCAGGTCGAATTATTCAGGGACAGGCAACTCACCTCAGGTTTGGGGCTTGGGACCGGGCTCGTGGGGAGGTTCACGGACGGGCGCGGCGACGCCCGACTGGAAGCTGTCGACTTATTTCGACGATGATCTCGGACCGTTAGGGTCTTCATCGACTCCGCGAACCCGTTGACCCGAGGCGATGGAGCGATGGACGACATAGACGAGATGGACGATACTTCCGAGTCGTCGCCGCCGTCGGTCGTACGCGGCAACAAGCCAGCCGCGGAGCTGTCCGACTTGTTCTTCTTCGGCAGCGGAGGGAGGACTTTGCCTGGAAGTTCCGTTCTCAGTTGCCTTTGTAACCGGGCGAAATCGCCGTATCGCCTGGCTACGAAAAACTCAAGCTCGCCCTTTCTCTTGATCCGTAATAAGAACTCCTGGAATAGGTCAGCACATCGCCAGACCGGTAGAAGATGATTCTACGGAGCTACGCACCGCATGTTTGTGACGTCTAATATTCCTCTTGACCGATGTAATACGCACGGCAGCTACGTTGACGTCCCACCCGTTAACGTAATTCCCCTCAGGCATGGTATTCAACATGCCCGTGTCGATGGCGTCTCTATCGACAATTTCCATCTCGGCAAATCGTATCCGCTCTTCGAACCCAGACGCGGTAGGAACACCCGACACCATCATCAACTCGACGAGCTTTCGGCATTTCATAGCTAGCTTTCGGCGCTTCGTCTCCTCTAACCTGTCCTCGGAAGACGAAATGTTCTTGCCGGCAAACGACTCGAGAAACTTGAGGGCGCGGCGTCAGCAGAAACGCGGGGCGCGGCCTGGGATTGGGATCACTTACGACTTGTAGCTTGTCTTGCCAGAACTCCTTCTCCCTCGCCCTGTCCAGGAACGGAAACTCTCGGACATGGTGAACGAATATGTATCGGAGGATAGGCAGTTCGGAATCATACGGAGAGACCTCTCCAAACTCCGACTTGAAGGGCGCGCCGAATCTCCGAAGAGCAGTGGGCGAATTCAGTTCGGAGATTTCCCAGTTGACTTGCTCGGCTATGAGCTCTCGTTTGAGGTCTGAGGGACGACGTCGTTAGTCTAAGGGTGTTAGGGAGGGGCTCTGAGAGGGATATGACGAACAATGTTCCTGCTTCCCGGTCAGTGCCTGGTCTGGAGGTCCGCTGCTAGACCCGATGCTTGGATTGCGCGAACCACCCTGGGTGGACTCGGCAGTAGGCATCTCTGGCGCGGCCTGGGCGTCTCGTAGCCCACCCTCAGTCGTATAGCCGGCCAGGTCCTTGTCTCCCTCCTGACGTTGGAAAATAGAGGACGGCGGGGTCGGTACTCTCGCACTCGTTCGCGGGCAGCTTCGAGATTCTGCTCAGCTACCACTAGCTACGCCGGGCGCGAATTGGGGATTATGGCGGGGGGGGATTCCCAAGAACTGGTCGGCGGTTGTTCGCCCAACCTCTAGGTAACTAAAGCGGGCACAGACAAAGCAGGTCCACAACCTCGTACGGCAGAGGCAAAGGGCAGGTTGAGCCAAAGAAGACAGAATTTCACAAGAGGAGAAGAAATGAGAAAGGATAAAGAGAAGTAGAAGTCGAGGGAGAAGGAGGGAGGGATGCTTAAGATTGTCTTAGGTACCTGTCGACCTACCCACCTTAGGTACCTCCCGCTCTTATTCACCCTATGCAGGAGGCAGTACCTATGTACCTTTCTCCTATGCCGGCCGCTGGCAAAAGACATGGGATTCGTAAGAGGTGTAGGTACTTCGCCTACTTGCCAACCTCCTACGCCTCTTGGTCAGGTACGGCGTGCTGCCTCCAGCTGCAAGGTCAGCGTTTAACCTTAAAGGTCCCCTCCCCAGTTGGTTTAGGTAGGTACCTACCTAAGGTACCTACCTAACCTACCACTTACCTGCCCGCTACCTACAGGTAGGTAGTGCATAGGTACATAGCATCTTCCGGTCAACGGCACCTACATGCCTAATGGGTCCGGGTCCGTCCAGTTTGATCTGCCTCTCTACCGAAATGTGTGCGCTATACCTACCTATATACTTACAACATCATATAAGTAGAGGCGCAATAGACTCTGGGGAGAGTTGGCAATATAGCTACGCAAGTAGAACATACATACGCCCTAGTGCTTATTACTCATATACTGTCTCCACGGCCAGATTATACCCATAGATCCCTACGTACCGTTTGCCAAGCCGACATTACCCCCCTTCTACCTACGTAGGTAATACGTCGTAGGCAAGCAGGCGATATACCTTAGGTACCTAGCGATCGGCAAAGACGGCGCCTCGTCGCAACGCTGTCCACTCAGGTGGCTGAGGGATGACGTCGACGAGCCCCGACCACCCAATCAGCACGTTGTCTCCGGTAATACCCTGGGGTTATCGAGAGAGCGACCACCCCCTACCCAGGTACCTAGCGAGCAGGGTCCTGGCGCCAGGCACTGTTTTTATTAAATCCCTAGGTTAGGAGAGGTACCCTGACTGCATGCGGTTTGCCTGTAGTCGACGTGTTGTATCTATTGTATGTGCACGGCGTGAGAGACTTACCTCTAGGTAAGTAAGTAGGTAGGTAGGTAGGTACCTGACATGGGCACGTCTATTGGGTATATGTATATACGCCTATATATATAGATATACATAGATATATTATCTATCTATTCATGCCTGTTATTGTACAGAGAGATAGGTAGGTAGGTATGTGACAGACGTGCAGGCCGAGCGAGCGAAACCAAGGGCCGGGGGTCGACGAGGGTGAACCTGCTAAGCCCACCCGGTGCTAATAGGCGAATGCGTTCGCGGCATAGGAACTGATTGGAGCCGACGAACGTCACGCGCTAGCTCCGCAGCCAGCTCGTCGAACAAACTTAGCCTGGGATCTGCTGGGCTGAGCGCCAAGTTTTCCGTCTCACGCGGCTAACACGGCTCGAGAGAGTCAGCAGCAAGCAGCAAGCGGCAAGCAGCGGCCGGCGGCTTTCGAGGTCCTGGTACCAGTCCAGCTACCCTGGAGCTCTTCCCCGCCTCTGCGCCCATTCCGATTTTCCGGCTGGGTCCCCCCCCAATTGTCGTCGGCCCAGGACAAACCGGGAGGCGCAGAGACGCGCGTCCGTACGCCACCGGAAACTCGGCTTCTGATGGCGGAGCTGGCTGGCAAGACCCGACGACCACCTGTGATGTTGACGACGCTATGCGTGGACGAGACAAAACCCCAGCAGTGACGATAGCTTGACGGCAGCCAATCTCACAGTCGCCAGAGCATCTGGTAGGCAGGGTCGAGATACTACTCACAGCCCTGACCGAGAACATGGATTCTCTCTATCGTCTAACTGCAGATTGTATGTGCGCTCCCGATATTACGTAGTTCGAGCTGCGCCGGCTGCACCAAGCCTGGCTACCACGGGTATTACCTACGTAGTTTCTCTCTATGTACTGCTACCCAACTGGCGCCTTGCGTCATCCTTGCGAGGCCGCGGTTCTCCCCTGTTACAGTTCGTCGAGAACTCGGAGCACATTGTTGTCGACGGGTTTGTCGCCACCTCTCCCGGTGGCCGTCCCCGCCTCGCCCCTGGCGATTGCGGCAGCGACGCGCTCGCTCTGATTTCCTGCTATTTCGTTGTCGTCGAGCCTTCCGAGGTGATGGGTCGGGGCCATGTCTATAAGCGCGGGTGCATCCTCAGACGAAGGGGCGTACTGGGCTCCGATGAGGAGGATCATGACCGAGAAGAACATGATGGATATGGCGATCCAGGTAGCCTTCAGACGCCTCCGAGTCCTCTCCTGCCACTCCTTGTCTGCCCTCTCCCAGCCTTCGATCCGTTCCCGCACCACGTGCACCCGTTTGCTGAGGGCGTCAACCTTCTCGCGGCCGGCGTGTATGCGCCCCTGGAGCTCTTTGATGCGCGTCTGCTGATCGTCGAACTGGCCAAAGGCGCTGGCCTGTTGCTCCAGCTCGCTAATCAATCCTCGGGATTCTTCTCGGAGGCTATCGTTCAACCCCTGCGACACCCCCGCAAGCTTTTTGAGGTCCATCAGTGTGCTCTGGAGCACGCCGAGCTTCTCGAGGACAGCGTAATACGTATCGTCGAGGCGCGTCATGGCCGCGTTCGAAGAGGAGCTGAGCTCCACGAGTGACCTCCGTAGACATCTGTTCCAACGGTTAGCTGCGGCGAACACCATGCGGCTCTTGTCCGCTGCGGCGGAACGGACGCTGTTATGGATTCCGCTCCCTCCTGTCGCTCGCGTAGCAGCAGCGCCTCCTCGCTCGTCAGCGGCTGAGGGGTAGGAGGAATGACGAGGCCACGTGCAGCGTCTTCGGGGGGCGGGGCCAACATGCTGGTTCTGGGGCTGGGTTCGCTGTTCAGGTGCGAGGTCGAAGCTTCGGGTCGCGGCAGGTCGAGAGAGGCCCGAGAGAGGCGGAGAGCCGAGCCGGCGGGCGAGGAGGCGCGGTCGCCATGGTCGCGGTCTTTTCGTAGATGATGCAAGTGGTGATATCGGGGCAGCTTGATTGGCGAGGAGAGGTCGGTTATCGATCGTCGCACCTGGTGACGGGGGCGCGGCGGAGATGTAGCCACAGGTCTAAGGAGCTCGAAATCTGGATTCCTGGACATGCTGCCTGCAGTAGCCGGACACGCCGACGTATGTCTCAGAAAGGGGGGGGGGGAGCCTCTTAAACGGCGGGCGCCTTTGGGGTAGAAGAGGCAATAGAGGTGTACTGCTGGTACCTCGTAACCTACGCCTCTTACACCCAAACGCCCAATCGAGAGCGCGAGGTCGGGAGAATTGGGAGAGAGAAGTTTCTTCTATTGGATCGGTGAGAGCTGGACTTTTAGGGAGGGCCGACGCCCAGAGAGGGAAGGGAGCGGAAGTTGGTGTGTGGAGTGTGCACACTGACGTATCCCCACTACGGGAACTTCCGTTTTTTTCACATGTCACACATTGGGGCTACGCCTCCTGATGTGCCACGTATAGCGTGTCTCCATTCAGCCGGTCACTACGCTCTATCGCAGAAAGAAATAGATGCCCGCGCATGATGGGCACCTATATTGTAGGTAGCCTTAAGCACCTTAGGTAGGTAATGGTAGGGTTGTGCGTCTTCTACACAGACGAAGTAAGGTAGCAGGTATAGAGGACTCCGAGCCCCCCTTCCCATCACGAGCAGCGTCCCTGCATGGCGATAGAACTCGAATGTGCACGCATGGCAGACTGGGGCTGATCCGGTCTCCGACCGTGTTGAATTCTAGTTTGCAATGGTCGCCATCAAAAATCGTTGGCGCATAGTCGGGATCACTCACTCCCTCCTTTCAATGTCTACTCGCTCGTCTCTGCGGGCCTCTAGATGTAACTATTACCATCCTGTCAACCGGCACGGCTGCTACCATGGCCATGTTCGTGCTGAAATTCAGGAGGGGCCGGAGAACCCCACGGGCTGGATATCGTCTCCTATGGACCCCGAATAGCCATATCCCTACCCCGTAAAGCCTCCCAAAATGGACCACGGGGAGGGTAGAATCCTAAAGCCCCTCGAGCTGGTTTTGTTGCTGAGGGACTAGCTACCCCTCGCCGACCGTATGGCCTCGACCTTGATACTCTCCTCCCCCCCTTCTTCGAAGGCACCATATCTAGGGAGGCAGTAGTAGCTGGGGGTATGTCTTGTCGTGTCGTGAGGGCGTTTCGTTAACAGCTCAAGAATTCAGGAGCTTGTTGCGCTTCTCCTTCCGCTTCAGGCGCTCGAGTCGCTTCTTATGCATCTTCTCGGCCAGTTTCGCGTATCGCTCCTTCTCCTCCTTCGCCGCGCGCTTCTCCTTGATAGCCTGTACTCGTTGCTAATGCGCCAAAGAATTAGTTCGGGGTTGGGGACTGCGGGCCTCCCTCTGACGGTGTTCGCTATACCTGTCTTTCGGCCTCTTTCTCCTCTTTCATCTCCTTCTCCTTGGCCTTCATCGCAGCTGTCGCGACGCGCTGTTTGGATCGCTGCTCGTACGACGTCAAGCCGGACCCTGGGCGAAATGCTTTCCGTAGCGGGTGCCATTGCTTGCCTTTAGATCACCCACATCAGCTCCGAATCGGCCGGTAGCGGACGACGGTGGCGACCCCTTACCATTCTTTCGCATGCCCTGGGGGTCAGGCTTGTTCTCAGCGGCGGCTGTTTCAGAAGACATGACGTTTGGTCTGGGCGGCGAGCCTCGAAGGCGTGTAGCGGTTCTCCCGGTGCGCTGTCGTGGAGAAATGCGTGCGCGCGATGCGCCGAAGAACAAGTCGTCAGCCTGCGATTTCAAATTGCGAATGAAAAATTCGGCGTATCCAGTGGAACGGGATCCCCAACGCCCCTCCATGCATCGGACGCCGGTTGGGATTAATAATTTTCCACCTCTCTCAGCCACGCTCTGCCTAGTACCGTGTAGTACGGTGGGTTCCACCGTAAGGCTGGGCGGGCGCCGGGGCCACTTCCAGTAATAGATCAAGTTCCGGGCTAGTCCGTAGGCCGTTCTTCTGCTCTGTTCGCCAGGTCCGGGGGGGGGAGGGGGAGGGGAGGTTCGCCTTCAAAAAGGTACCTGCAGCTAGGCCTTCGCGGATTTAGGTAGGTGTCAGGTATAAGCGCCTTACTATTTGTTGCCAGGGAACAATCCCTGCCATAATCAGACAACTTATGGCCCCAGCGCGATCCATCTCCATTGAACAAGCCATCGGTCAATCTCCTTGTCTAATTGGCTTCATTTCTCTGCTTGGGACGCGAGTCGGATATTTCCATGTAGGTACCTATCTACCTCCGCTATATGTAGAGGTATAGGCGCGCAAGCACGCAATCGGTTACGTATAGCTATAGGGTAAGCCCTGCCCTAGCGAGGGCTAATCGGGATATAAAAGGTACGTAAAACGGCTATAAAAGGCTACGTAGATAACTATAATTTAATTAATTATTTACCCGTTCCTTAGATAGCTATATAATAATACCTTATACGTTTCGTAAGCTTATTACTACGTTATTTTATTATTATCTAATTACTTACGCTACGGAAATAATTAAGTAACGAAAGCTCCGATAAATAAACGGCTTAAGGTAACCGTATAACTACGATTAACGGTAGAAAGAGGTTATCGATAAGTTAAACGATTAAATCGTAAGGATAGCTACGAGGATAACCACGAGATCATAAGATAAGGCGGCCGAGGAAGGAACCGAATAAGAAACTACGTAAGATATCGCGTTAAAAGACCTCCGTAAGAAGATACGTAAGAAGTTATAGGAGGACTTACGTAAGACGACCGAGCATATTAACTAACGTATAAATACCGTAAAGTATTTCCTTAGGGAAATAATAGCTAAGCTAGAAATAATAAGCGAATAACGGTAAAGAAGCTATCGCTAATCCTAATAAGACGTCGCCGATTTAATAAAAAAAGGCGACTTTACCGACGCTAACGAAGGTAAGAATAAACCTTATATTAAAGACCTAAAGATTCCGAGGAAATTAAATAAGTCGGCTATAAAAACTTAACGAGTCTACGGTAAGGACTACCGTAAGAGCCGCGAGAATAGCCGCTATTATCGTACCTCGCGCTTAACCCGGCGTAAGAGCTACCGCCGCCGGGGCCGTAGCCTAAGTAACTTATTAAGAAGCTCTTCCGATAATAACTCCGATTACGATATACGACGTAACCAGAGGATAAGAAGTAGGAGTAAGGATACCGCGTTTAGGAAGGACGGTAGGATTAATTAGAAGAAGTTCGTTTTTAACCCTGATAAGAACGCTTATCTTAAAGGAATTTCGAACTAAAGCTTATATCGGGATATACTTATACTTTTTATAAAGAAAGTAAGGTATAAAAAAGGAATAAAACTCGACGAATAAAACGAGATATCCTTAGCGAGAGTAATCGCCGGAACTTACCGGGGTTAACTCTTATAATTAGTAGCGGGCGTACGCTTAAATACGAGGATATTAAAGATATTCGATTAAACCTATGCCTCCATAGGAAAGGCTCGTTAATAGGAGCTATAAAAGTAATTTATTAAAATAAAATATAACGATAAAAACCCGGTAAAGTTTACGTTTAAATAATAACTAGCCGTTCGTTAATATATAAATACCGGCCTTATAATCGATAAAGAGTAATAAATTACGATATTCCTTAGCTATATATAAAATAAGGTAGCTAATTAGGTTAAGATCGTAAATATTATAATTAAAATAAGACCTATAAACCTATTAAACGTACTTAATAACTTCCGCGGAAAGTTCCGTAATAAGATTAATAAATATAAGGATAATAAGAGTAATAACGGTAATAATAACTAGGTTAATAACGCTTAAGGTAAGGAAAAGGATAAGAAAAAGAAGCCCTCGTAAAACTAATAAGGAAAGCCCCTTTACTTTAACTATAAGGAATATAGGTATAAGGCTAAGAACTACCCGAAACCGCTAAAGGAACGAAAGGGTAAGGGTAACGACGGCGGTAATAATAACGGCGATAGCGCCTCCGGCGGATTAAGGGGCGGTTCGAAATAACCGTCGACGTAATATACTACGTACGTACCGTATACGCTACCTTAATTCGGTTATTACGATAACGGAAGCGGGGTATATCGAACGAAAATAAATACGGTAAAGTTCTCTAAGCTAATAAGCGCCTATAACGAACTACGCCGTAAGAAGGACCCTAAATAAAAGCCTATCCCTATTAATCCCGGTAATAACCTAATTATAGCTAACCCGCTAAAGGGCGAACGGCCCGTAAAGCCTTTAAGAATTAACTACGGAACAAGGGCTAACGCTTATAAGGATTACCTACTTTTCGATATAAGAGTTAACGTTTACGTTATAAACGATTTAAGAGATCTAGACCCGAAAACGATAGTAACGTTACTACCGGGTTACGTTATTAATACGGAAGAAAGCCTTATAAACGTTACGAAAATAAGTAAGGCTACTTATTACCTTACCGGCGACGACGGAAAATATAACCAAACGTAATTAAATTATACGTTATTTATTAGCTTCTTTTTAATTAAGATCTTCTTAGGAGAGTTATTTTATCGTAACGGAGGCTAGCTAAATAAGAATAATATTATAAACCTTAACGGGACCGTCCTAATAACCCTAAACCCTAAGAAACGAGGTTTCCTATTATAAAAATATAAAAAAGAGGAGCCGAAACTCCTTCCCTTTAAACGGTATTAAGAAGGCGCGCTAGGGTATTAACTCGGTAAGTTTAGCGAGATATTATAAGCGATACTAATATAACTAAACGATAATACCATAAAGCAACTAATATTATAGTATCGCCGCTTTTATTACCCTAGTACGGAAAGACTTATATAAACTATTAAAAGGTCGATAGGGATCGACCTAGACCTAGTACTTATAAAGACGGTACCTTATTACGCGTATAATCGGGTAAAGATTACTAGGATACCCTCGAAGGATCCTTAGGAGCGTACCTAAACTCTTAGGGAAATTACTTAATACGACCTCGGAAAGTTATAGCTTCTATCGATCGAGAACTACCGTTATTTCATATTAATCGTAAACGATAATAACCGAAATAGAAAGTTTACCTAACATAAGTCCAAGGAAAAGGCTTAATAAGTATTAATAACTTACCTTATCCGAGTTTATTAATTACTCGAGGTATTACCGAGCGCCCCGGATAAGAACCGGCGACGAATAAGAATATTATAGTAGTACGGTGGATCTAGGCCACGTAGCCTTTTCGATGTGTATTTATATGGGTCGCGTACTCATATTTTCATCAGTTAGACTTAGACCTATAGATATCAGGACCTACAGCCATTCACTCGTTTCTTACCATGCCTTTCTAGCCACCATCCTCCTTTTGCCTTTTCCAGTCTCTCCTTTCCCAGCTGCCGTTTTCAGCTGGCCGATCAACCGATTACAGCTGTTTACAGCTGTGATCTTGGTTGATCGGCACTGGGCCAGTTGTTGGCAGTTGGGTAGCCGTTTCGTGCCTCCGTCAGCGTACCCACGCTACTCCTATTCAATATTACGCCTTAACGGCGGCCGAAAGTTCGGCATAAGCGCTATCGAGTAGTTTTATAACGAAAAAGGCATTACGCTAAATACCTCTACGCTAAATAACTAGTATTAAAACGGCGTAGCGGAAAGGAGCATACGCTTCCTATAGGACGATACTAAAGTAATTTACGTTTAAATAAAGATCCCTACTTACTTCTAGGACTACGTCCTCGTAATAACGACGTATACGATTAATAAGACTAACGTTTCGTCCGTAAAGGAGCTTACGTTATACGAGAGATTTATAAACGGCATAAAGCTAAGAAAGAACTATAAACCTAATAACGCGTATCTACGTATCGTCGGTAGCCGTTACGTAACTTATATCGATAAAAGTTATCGGGTAATTTCCGAGAAAATAAAACCACGTAAAGCCCGCGCCGTTTTCATAGGTTACGAAGGGAAGTATAACTACCTAATTTAACTCGTAGAAAGAGATCGTTTTTTAAAGACGCCTTACGTTATTTTTTACGAAAAATTAAGAGATTCCGAAAGGGCCCTAGACCTAAGGAACGTCGTTAGGTCCCTACTTAAGTACGTTTAAAAACGGCTACGGCATCGGAAGAAGATCGCGGCGATTAACGTTCGTAATAAGGATAATAATATCGTCGACGAGAACGTTATAAACGAAGATAAGGGCAGGATACGCCCCCGGAAAGGGCGCCCGAAAAAGAAACTACCTTAGATTTATATACTAGAGGTACTACCTAAGTTAAATAAGGTACGCTCCGTCTTAGCGCTAGGCGGCTCGTAAGAAGGCGAGTTAAAAAGAGTATCTAAAGGCGAATAAAATACGCTTAAAATCGCGCCCCGAGAGAAACTATATTATATTAATACGCTTATTATTATACCGTAAGAGTAAAGCTATAAGTAAATAATATTAGTAACGGCGGGCTTATTTAAGATAAACGAGAACGAACCGCTCTTTAAGGAAGTAATAAAAGAATTAAAGCGTAATCTTTAGACCTAAGCCGTTTTTAAGGAGATCTAAGAGAACCTAAAACGTAATACGTTTAAGTTTATATAACCGAGCGAGGTAATTAACGGCTATCTTATCGACGTTAAATAAGTCTTAAAGAAGAAGTTTCTATCTAACGGAAATCTCGATAAGTTAAAGGTACGGA